GAATAAGTACAACTACATGTAACCTTTGAAGGTTAGTTAGGAGACTTTTGAGTTTGGAAACACACGCTGAGACTTTCTTCTAGCTCCTTATAATTAAGCTCGTCTGAACTTCCCACAACGCCGAGCAATAATAGACTGAGAGTTGACATGCTTGCGTTGTCATATACATGTTGAAAGACTTGGTCCGTGAAGGAAGCATTGAGTTGCCACAATTGGATTGCGATCCGAGATGAACAGCTTAACTACAGAGGTAAATGCTTCCACTTCTGTGATACGGAGCCGGAAAACCTTACTTGATCATCACCGTCTATCAAACCATAATGAAGTACTACTCCAAAATCCATAACTGACTCTATCTGAACAAACTCAGTACCCTGAACGCCGAGCGTGAAAGGTTCCCTCCGGCGGTCGTTACCTACAGTTATTCCCTATGGCACATTCCGCTGAATATCAGGGCTAGGGTTAGCATCCTAAAGATGATCTGCACTCTACTCGGTCGTTAATTAAAAGGTCGGAAGTTTTAGTAAGCATTTGGTTGCAACGATATCCGACCATTTAATTAACGCGCGAGTAAATAGCTTTCGCTAATGCAGGAACCACCAACAAGGTTCCTGAATAAAGTGATATCTGGAGTCAAACTTGATCAACAAAACACGTATGTAGTTTATGGATCCATGGGGCGACGCGCTTTTGGTCTTGAAAGCCTGGACTGTGCCTCGCTTAAACCTCCCGGTACAGCGTTTACTTCGATAACGAGATGTTCGTAGAACATTGGACGCCGGGGGTATCCAGGGAACTAAAGATCATATGGGAAATTCCTTCCTAGCGGGTTAAGGTGTGGTCTGTGCGTCGGGTGTTTAATCCTAGGTCCCTGGCTAGCAGGAACAGGGGCCAGCTGGGATTGCGTGCACTTGTTCTCGGCGACCTGGGGAGCGATCACGTGAGCGTGGTAAAAATTTGTACTGTGGAGGCTGTGTGGATACCTCTAGGCTTTAGCTCTCTACTGGAGTAGGACATATAGATTTTACGGACATAGGGAGTAGTTGCTTCTGGACAACAATTGATAGCGTCGTGCTCCACGATTTCTACCGACTCTATGGCGCTTCAACCAATCAGACTTATTCTCAAGGAGGTGAATTGAGACTAGCAGCTTTCAAGATTTAATAGGATACAACGGTAATGATAATATCCCTACAAACATAATTGCTTGACATTAATACCATTTCATCATAGAACACCGAAAGGCCCGAAACCATCAGAAGAACCAGTTTTGAATCAACGAAACCCATATAAATATATCATAAAACAAAACCGAAAACAAAAAACACTAAAACATAAGAAAGGTACCCTTTTCATGACTGTTCCCATCATGATCCTATCGCCCAAATCCCCCTCGACCACCTACAAACCTCCCACGCACTCCCCAAACCACTCTTACCCGCTACACCTGCCCAAAACTCTAACGCCCGTTCTGCCCTCTCCACAACTTCCTCCCATCCCATCTGCATTTGAAATCCATTCCCTGCTGCTGCCCTCAGTATCAGGGTATCGCATAGCCTTGCTCTGCAGTCAAACCATACGGCAGGGCTACGGTACCACATTGCGCCTCGATCCGTACTTAGGTTATAGACTGCATAGCTCAGTGCTAACGAACTGAAATGTGACACCTCCCACTGCAGATGACTGTCAGACAGTGAATCTAGCCACGGCAGATGGTTTAGAGCTAAGTTGATATAAGGCCTATAAAGCAACTCATGGCACTCTATGAACCGCTTGCGCAGGTGTTGTTGAAACTCGTCTTCCAGCGGGGTAATATCGACCGGCGGGAAAGGGTTCGGAAAATGTACACTCGGTGGGAGGCTGCTCTGCCAGCGAGATACATATGCCTCGAACTCCCGTGTAATTGTGACCAGACTTGCAAGGCGCTGCTGGTTTAGTGCCTTTGATACGGTGACGGGGCTGTCCAGGTCACACTCAAACGATGAGACCTCATGCACAATCCGGTTGTGCAGTCTTCGAAGAAATATCTCAGCCGTGTAGTAGTACCAGGACTGGTTCTCGACATCTGTGTAGTGCTGCGGCTCAAAACTTGTTGGTGGCGCCGGGAAGTGGAGCGGGTACTCCATCTGCGAGCCCGTAGGAACTGGAAGAGAGAGGGCAGCACGGAGCTCACATTCGGCCTTGAGACAGGTCCAGTAAAGTCGCTGCTTAAGGTACTGCTCATAGGTCATTCCAGTTGCATCACAGGAATTCGAGGTGCCTGAGCCCGTTGTTACATTGTGGAGCGTCTGCCAGGTGACACAGGCGGTGTGGAAAGCCTTATACGCGGAGATTGGCTCAAGATTGTACAGATACCAGAACCTACACCTATTTATTAGAACCGCTATCCCGCCTCAAACAAGTAGCCGATAAGTTACTACCCGGATAGACATAGGCACTGTACAGCAAGCTCACTATCCTCGCTCATGGCGAGTCCTAAGCGCTGCTGCGCCATACTCCAATAGTGCCGCGCGAGCTCTGTTTCCCCCGATGAATTGCGTGGAGAGTCGAAGAGAATATAGTCGGCATAGTCTTCGGATATAGCGCCAAGCGCGCATGTTAGTGCAATGAGGCAGGAGTCGAGATCCCATAAGAAGCCAGATTTGGCGACAGAAAGCATTGCGCGCTTCAGGACGGCCAGGTCACTGATAGGGTGGCTGGGTCGCACGCGCATGACGTAGATGTCATGAAGGCGCTGGGTCGTCTGCGGTGGTGCTACGGATGCAGTTGGAGGAGGAATGGCGGTGTGTGTGGATGCGGGAATAGTTAATTGCGGGTGGTCGCGTGGAAAGACTGACCAGGCGAGGACAGAATCGAGACGGGAGGGGACGCGGAGTTCTGTGGCCGGAAGAAGACCGGATCCTGCTACAGTTGGGGTGGTGCTGGATGTGAATTCATCGATAATGACCTGATCCTCGCGGTCGACAATATGAGCGGGTGTGGAGTGAGCGGTGGCGGTGCTGAGAAGCGGAGAGGGCACGATAGAGCGTGGAGCTGGGGGGTGAGGGGGTTTATGAGCGGGTGGATTCTTCATAAGTTTCTCCAGTCTTTCAATCCCCTCCAGGATCCTCAAGCTCGTTGATTCATACCTGGCCGGCCCCGTGGTTAGCTTGAGCTATTCCGTTGGAGTACGAGCATCAACATACAAGCTCAACTCCTTCTCCTCTAACCCAGAATAATAGCACTCAATTCCGGTCCTAACGCAACTCCCACACGCTGGCTTCACATTATCACATTTTGTTTTCCTGCTCCTGCAGCTATCACACGCTGTTGGCGCCCTCTTCCTCACGGGCGTTGTCGTTGACCCCCCTCCAGCTACTCCCGCCGTGGTCGTCATGGGCATGGCGCTCGTGCTCTGCGGCGATGTTGTCGTGCTCTTACGACCTCCGCCGGCGGTACTACTGGAGCCGTCTACCCCTACTAACGATACGAAATCAGACTCTGGTTCAATTAGGCTATCTACATGCTGCAGTACAGTGCTGCCTGCAGACAAGGATTTGAATTGAAGCATGTAACACTTGCCTTCGACACGCTGCCGTTTCTGGGGGTGAATACTGGCTTCTGAACGCAACACTGTCGTAGGAACTGGTAGATCGAAGGGTGTCATTTCAGAGAGAGAAAAACCAAGATAACTTGCAAAAGAGTTAAGTTAAGCAAGCAGCACCTCTTTTTGAATTTGACTGGCGACAAGAGCCATAAGTGCTTGGGTACGTACTGTACAAGACTCACTAAGGGCTAGGTGTCCCCCAATTATTAAGCCCTGGAGCAATCTCCGCTGACCAGTTAAAATGCAGCTGTGGTTCTAGATTGCATTAAGTGGCCATACACAGCATAGCCCGTTCTCACACTACACAGTAGTCTGTATCCCTCAAAAGCCTCCTCCATACATGCTCTACAGAATGCACTCCCCACAAAACAACGCTAATTGGCGCACTATGTTCAAAATGCAATGGTGGACAGACGCTTTTGGACTGAATTAATACCTAAGAACGCCAGAATCTGGTATTTTATGCAAGATTTAGCAGGATGCGCGCCCAGCTCAGTCCAGAAACGTCAACCACTCAACTCGTGCATACCCCGGGGTTATGTAGGATGATCTGCACCTGCCAGGCATAAGGTTAGACTAACGGTAAAAACTTCCCCAGAAAGGGACGAAAAGTAAAAGGCTGCTCCGCTTGACCGTGTGATGGTTGGTTGAGTTCCCGGGGGCAGGCTTAACTCCGGGGATAATTGCCGCGGCAGCATCTTTCATCGCCGAACAAAACCAGGACTTCGGGATTGCTTTCTACGGCTACGGGAAATGGAGGGAAACATCGATCTGGTACATAATTGAGACATCCGCCCTGATAGAATTGGTCCGTCTCTCTTTTTTATTTCATTTTTCCCCGTCCCCGTTCGTTTATTAATACGTTTTGGGGTTAGGGGTTTTCGTTTTCTAAGCGTACCACGCATCCACTACCCCACGAATGGATCTACAGCACCCTCAATTTCGCCCCGGAATCGATATCCATATCGATATTGACAGTCAGTGCGCGATGTAGGACGAACTGCATCTGATAAATCTCTCAATTTCACCCCACCAGGGTACCCAGGGTGCTTCCCAGGTGATAGAATACAAACCTTCGTTTTTCTCCAAGGGAGAGAAAAAAGCCTCAACGGGGCGGTGATAAAAGCTCTATTACCTGCCATACGTCATGTCACACCATATCGGACGTTTATTTCACAAACTCAATTGCAAGCGAAACAAAACCGTATATTTGCATATCCGCATCAACGATCACTCGGCGGCCAGATGGAAAAAGAAAAGAAAAGAAAATCGTGCACAGTTTTATCAATCCCAGAATTTTCTATTCCATTAACCAAAAAGAAAATACTCCTCACATAAGAAAAAGAAAATAAAAGAAACAAACCATTTTATATACAGGAATCAAAAACACCCAGCCAAATAACTCGTAGCACGCTTAAGCAGTAGAGTTAAGAACCATCTGCCTGACGGCAGGAAGGTACTCACCCTCAACATCACCACCGAAAGCAACAGACATCTTCATGAGCTCCCTGTAGTTGCGTCCAGGAGAAACCTTTCCAACGACAGTCTCGGTCCTGGTCTCAACCTGCTGGGGAACGACCAAAGGACGTCCGAGAATAGCCTCCATACCCTGGAAAGCGAAAGTGATGGCCTCCTTGGCACCACCGTTGACACCGGCCTCGTCGAGCATGGTGAATCTGACACCCTCAGCTGCGAACTGAGACTCCATGTACTTCCAGATGTTGGGGTTGTAGGCTCCACCACCGCACATGTAGACCTCCTTGCACTTGATAGTACCGTCGGCGTTCTTGGGTCCGTACTTGCGGTAGGCCTCAACAGCGGCGCAAGCAGTGATACGGGTGATGGTGGCGACGGTGTCCTGAGGAGAGAGACCGCGGGACTCGCAGAGCTGGATGAGCTCGAAAGCCTGCTGGTCACCGAAGAGCTCACGGCCGGTGGTCTTTGGTGGGGGCTGGTCGAAGTAGGAGAGGCTCTTGAGGTACTCGGCGACAATCTCCTCAGAGACAGTTCCGGCGGCACCGAAGACACCATCTTTGTCGTACTCCTGGGCGCCGTTGGTGTAGTGACGCATGGCGAAGTCAATGAACATCTATCAATGGGTTAGCTGTGCCCAGTAGGCAGAATAGAAGGGGCAGGGATAGCTTACGTTTCCTGGGCCAGTGTCAAAGTCGTAGATTCCGCTCATTCCACCGTTCTCCTCAGAGGTAGGGGGGATGAAGCAGACGTTGGCAATACCACCAATATTCTGGCAAGCACGGGGGATGGTAGGGTGCTGGAGGAGGAGACCGTCGAAGAAGGCGATCATGGGAGCTCCCTGGCGGCCGACAGCCTGCTCAGAGATTCTGAAGTCGGTGACGGCGGTCTTTCCGAGACGGGCAGCGAGGATGGTACCCTCGGCCATGGTGAGCGCGGAGCGAGTCTGGCCCTCGTTGGGCATGGAAAGGAGCCAGATGGTCTGCCCGTGGGAGGCGATAACATCGATGTCCTTCTCAAGGTCGAATCCGTGGCGCTTGCAGAACTCCTCGACAGCGTCGGCGAAGACCTCACCGAGCTGGACGTTGATCTGGCAGAGCTCCTCGGGGGTGGTGGTGTTCTCACGGATAATACGGAAGACAGGCTTCTTGATGGACTGGGGGAGCTCAATGTCGTCGTACTTGAGGATCTTCATGTGAAGGGGAGATGAGGGGGTCTCCTGGGTGAAGTGGCAGAGGACACAGTCGACACCGTCCATGGAGGTGCCGGAGTTAAGTCCAAGAACGCGGAGAGATAGAGGGGCCATTGTAGAAGATGTTTTGCGTGGTATGGGTATCAAAGTTTGGAAAGAATTGTGAAGGAGATAAAGCTAGAATTAGGGGAGGGACTCGACTTTCACCTGAGAGCAATGAGGAGAGAGCTTGGTGATCGCCTTGAGAGCAGTTCTTCCGTCTTAATATACCCGTCGGGCATCTTCTCTCCAGCATATGACATAAAAATAATAGTCCCGAATCATCCGGGGAACGCATAATCATAGCTCTTCGCAAGTCAGTCATGCGGTGCGGGGAGCCCGCGCTATCCGCTTGTTCTCCCCGGAATTTGACTGATAGCTGTGAGCTCTCCATCCAAGTTGTTCACGCCTCAAAATCCACCTCCGAGCATCTCCCCGAGCATCTCCCCGGAAGCTCTATTGCCCAATTGAGTTTCCAAGCCTTACAATTGACCCTGTCCAAGGCTCAAAGTTATTCCGAAAAGATCTAGAAATAAAAACCACATGAGGTTGAGGGGTGGTGTCACGTTTGACGGAGAAAAAAAATTAGTTGCAGGTTGGCCGCCGCCGTCCGCAGAGGGTAGCGGTAGTAGGTGGCTTGCTCGTCTACCGGATATCCCGAGGACCTCCCCGTGAGAGGTTCCTGCAGGGATGGATCTAACGTAGCACCAAACCATGGTTCAGGGCTGGGAAGACCCCGAGACATGTGCATTTTTCCTACTCTTTTTTCTCTTTTTTCTTTTGGCCCGCCACGGGCCACGGGGCTTACCAAACAAATGGCTAAGGTCTGCTGCAGTGGACACCAAAAGTCCATCACGAGAGTAAAAAGGCTCTCTCCCAGGCTCTAGCGATCCAATGAGGAGTTACGTGGTCAAGCCTCCGCAATCCTTGAGCACATGTAAGCTGGCGCAACAGGTAATCCGTTTTTTCTTGGGACGGCGGATAAAAAAGCAATCGAGAGATTTGGGAAAGGGTCACAAATAATAATGCTTGGTATTATTATAAATGTGGCAAACGGGACTAGTGCCCTAGTGACATCAGGAACTTTGTTCCCAACTCGGGCGACGCAAAGTGACAAGCAGCAATTGAGCTCCCTGTAACACTAAACGTCTGTCTCTGAAGAAACCGTTTCACTGCCTGTAAGACCTGCAAATTTGTCTAGGTGCCCTGGGAAGTGCTAGGTTGTACCCCACCCGCACAGGACAGGTTCCCCAGGAAATTCCTAACCCACAGTCTCCACCTCCACTCTCCACCTCCACCTCCATCTTTCCATGGACCCCCCCCCCCCCTCCAATAAAGGTTTTGTGCCTGGCAAGACCACTTACCTAGAGAAGTCTTGGATGTATGCGGCTCGCTTGCCCCAGAACCGGTCTTTTCAACCGTCCATGGGGGTGGTTCGTTCTAAGGAATTGTTCGTTTGTGGCTTTCCTTTCTGTAGTATGCTAGCTGAACCCGGAAATCGGGATTCCTCTAACCAAGAGTTATGGGTCCCTAAACCTCACCGTCAAACTGGAAATCTGATAAATGCTCAACGGCCAAATGCTACCTATATAAACCTCTGTAGCATGCCGTAAACATTCCTACTCCCTCTCTCAGTATCAGCTCCTCCCCCACAAAATCCTCCCTCCCCCTACCCTCCCTCCCTCCCTCCCCACATCTCCTCTTCCCCATACTTTCTCCATACAAAAAAGTTCGCCGCCATGTTCATTTGGGGCAACGCCCGCGGGACGGCTCTCCGAGTCCTGATCTCCATCGCGAGTTCTTCAGCATTCTTGCTCTTTGGTTATGATCAAGGAGTGTTCGCCGGTCTTATTGGAGGCGACGGCTTCAAAAACACATTCAACAACCCCGACACCACCACCATTGGAACCGTCACGGCCATCTATGAGATTGGATGTTTCTTTGGTGCCATCTTCTCCTTCTGGGCTGGTAACAGGCTCGGAAGAAAGAACTCCATCTGGCTCGGGCTGTTTATCATGATGGTGGGAACGGTGCTGCAGACATCGGCGTATACTCTTGGACATATGATTGTGGGACGTATTGTGACGGGAGTCGGTAATGGAATTAACACTTCGACTGTTCCTATGTGAGTATTTTCCTTTTTTTTATTTTTTTGAGATTTGGGGGTGAAGATGAGAGTGAAGAACAATGTAGCTGACTATCATTTCTCACAGGTACCAAGCAGAGACCACAAAGGCCCGTTCTCGTGGACGTATGATTTCCATCGAAGGATGGTTCATCACAATCGGTAATCATTACCCCTCCAATGATTAATATTCAACTATTCCTAAATGTAAAACCCCCAATACTAACATTACCCACCAGGTATCGTCATCTCCTACTGGATTACCTACGCCACCTCCAAGCACACCAACCCCGACATCCAATTCCGCACGCCCATCGTCCTGCAGGCCGTCTTCGGTCTCGTCACCATGGTCATGCTCATCGGTCTCCCCGAGTCCCCCCGTTTCCTCATGGCCAAGGACCGCCGCGAGGAGGCCCTCGAGGTCCTCGCCTGCCTCGACGACGAGCCCATCGACTCCCCCAACGTCCAGCGCCAGTTCAAGTCCATCTCCGACGCCCTCGCCACCGAGGCCAACTCTACCTCCGGCGGCAAGATCCAGTTTAAGGACTACTTTGCCGGCGGCAAGAAACAGACCTTCCGCCGCCTCTGTCTCGCCTACGGTATCCAGATGATGCAGCAGCTTACCGGTATCAACGCCGTCATCTTCTACTCCGCCTACCTCCTCCAGAATGTGCTCAACATTGAGCGTGAGCTCTCCCTGATCATTGGTGGTTGCACCGGGTTAACGTTCTTTGTGTTTACCTTCATCCCGATCTTGTTTATTGACAGCTGGGGTCGTCGTAAGCCGCTCATCTACGGTGCCGCCGGACAGTCGGTTTGCATGATGTTCATCGCCGTCCTCGTCAAGCTCTCCGCCGTCGACGGTAACGACGCTGCCGGTGTTGCCGCTGTCATCTTCGTCATTGTCTACATTGCCACCTACTCTGGTTTCGCCTGGGTCGCTACTCCCTGGTTGTACCCCACCGAGATCTCGGAGCTCAAGTTCAGGTCCCAGGCCACTGCGCTCGCTACTTCCGCCAACTGGCTGTGGAACTTTGTTGTTGTCAAGATCACGCCGCTGGGTGTTGAGAACCTTGGGTGGAAGTTCTTCTTGATCTGGATGTGCTTCAACGGTGCCTTTGTGCCGATCATCTATTTCTTGTACCCCGAGACTGCCGGAAAGACGCTTGAGGAGCTCGACTCGTTGTTCTACAACACTACCAAGGCGTGGCAAATTACCGAGAAGGGGTCGCGTCTGGGAATGGAGGGAGAGGCTCCAGGCCCGGGGTCCGTCACGGATGAGGAGGATGTTAAGGAGAGCATCCAGATGCGCGAGTAGGCGAGTGTCATGTGTTGGGGATGTTGAGATTTTTTCCTGGGTTGGTTTTTTGGGTTGAGTTGTTATGCCTGATGCGACTTATGTATTATCTTTTATGTTTTTATTTCTTTTCGATGATATCTAATTTCTAGAGTCGGATTTATTTTTTATTCTTTTATTACTTTGGGGTGGGCATTGGGACGACGGGATGAGGTACAACTACATAGTAAAAATGGGCGGAACAGTCAAGTCAGGAGTGTAGATAGATAAAATGGAACTTTTACTTCACTTCATTCTGTTCACTTCACGAGAGAAACAAGAGTGGGTCTAGCCACAAAGAATTCCCCGAGTGTTTATCCGTGATCCGTCCGTCCGCAGGCCAATGATCGCCAGGGGGGAAATAATACAGCCAGGGATCAGTAGCATGGCGCTTGGCAAGCTTGGCGTTTGTATGACGTCGGTGATCCCTATAATCTGGTGAAACAAACCGCACCCCCGCCGCGCACTGTCTGTCCTCCTGAGATATCCCTGGGCTCATCTCTTTGAGCCGCCTCAACAACACGAACTTTTGCATTGTGCCCTCATGGCCCAGTCCGTTTGAATTGCCGATTGACATCCCTTGCTGCTATTAAGAGCTACGGGGAGGAAGCACCAGGAATCTACGTAAAGTGATGTCGGGTTTACCTAAAAGGCCTGGGGAAGTAGGGCAAACACCGGTCCCTCGGTGCAACTACGATTGCAAAGTATCTAAAGACTGATAAATTATAAAAGTCCCTTCAAGCCACCTACGTACTCTATGTAGAAACTGGCGATATCCGGTCGGTGGCAGCTTGGCAGCTTGGCCGTGGTTGTGGTTGTGGATCTGTGGAGTTGTGACCAACCCCACTCGAATCCTTGGTGCCCGCCACAATTTGTTCGGTACGCACGGCGAGGCACTCTGTGGGGATTCACGATGGTTTTTGGTGGGTTAGGGTCGTTGTTTAGTATGTAAGTGAGGCCAGGGATGATATTTCTAAAACCCCCGGCAAGACAGGACGTAATTGCATACAGGGGCCAGTGTGGGTTGATAGCATTTGACGATTTGGTGAGTTGGTGATTTGAGCCAGTTATTTATCAAATCTTTACCAACAGCTGGCGACTCGTCTCCTTGTATCAATTTGAAAACTGGGCCCCCCGAACCCAAAGGCCTATATATGTAATATCTGGGTCTCTACGCACATCATCAGCATCAAGTCTCTCTTATGTCATTACGCAGAAGTAGATAGGTATTAGTGCTTAACTGGTGATATTCGCCTTAAATAGAAGAAAATTCTCAAATATGGAGGTAGAATTGCAATTGCCACCTCTCTGGCGCCACCACCATGTCCCAACTCGCCCATCTCATATATAGGCACAGCTCATATTCTCACTCTTCATCGTGGGTCAGGCCAATTCACCTCTTGTTGACCCTCGGTATCATCATTAAAGAGGTGATTCGTCCTCCGATCATACCCATGTTGAAATCTATTAGGTAGCCAAACCCATAGACAGATCCTCCAGTCATCTCCTTCCAAAGCTGTGCGATCAATCATTTACCCTTCTATATTAGTAAACAGACGAAACCGAGTGATAATCCAAGATGCAGCAACCAATCCCACCCCTCGCAGCTGACTAATCACCGCACAAACTTCTCATCGGACCTTCACGCACCAAAAAAAATTTCAGATTCGCACACCAAAACCCCACAATCCATAATGGCCGCCGCAGCAGCAAGGACTCTCAGAATTGGTACGTACCTTACTTCGAATCCCTGTTCTAAGTGAGCTCAGTTAATTTTGGCTTTTTTTTTGCAGGACTCATTCCCGGTGATGGAATTGGCCGTGAGGTTATTCCCGTAAGTTGCCGAGAGATTCGTTTTCACCAATTGAGTGGGTTCAGTACTTATCAATATGTGTATTTAGGCTGGAAGGCAAATCCTTGAGGCGCTGCAGAGCTCCACAAACTTGAAGTTCTCGTTCGTGGACCTTGAGGCTGGTTTCGAGACCTTCAAGAAGACTGGAACTGCCCTGCCAGACAAGACCGTCGATGTGCTCAAGGGCGAGTGTGATGGTGCTCTTTTCGGTGCTGTAAGGTAAGCAGACTAAACATCAGGAAAACGTTGAAAAAGAGGAGGCGAACAAGTAACTAACGGTGATTCCGCAGCTCCCCAAGCACCAAGGTTGAGGGCTACTCCTCCCCCATTGTAGCCCTCCGCAAGAAGTTAGACCTCTACGCCAATGTCCGCCCAGTCAAGTCTGTCAAGGGCGGCGCTATCCCTGTCGATCTCGTCATTGTTCGTGAGAACACCGAGGACCTGGTATATCACCCCTAACATAGTCAATGATCGCGCCAACCAGCTAACCCCGCCCAGTACGTCAAAGAGGAGCGCACTTTCACCGCCCCCGACGGCACCAAGGTCGCCGAGGCAATCAAGCGCATCTCTGCCCGCGCCTCCAGCCGCATCGGAAAGATCGCTTTCGAGCTTGCGCTCAAGCGTGCCTCCCTCCGCGGCGCCGGCGCTGCCTCCCCGCTCGTGACCATCACCCACAAGTCCAACGTCCTCTCCCAGACCGACGGACTCTTCCGTGAGACTGTCCGCGCTGTCTACGAGTCCAACCCGGGCTACTCTGGAATCCGCTGTGAGGAGCAGATTGTCGACTCCATGGTCTACAAGCTCTTCCGCGAGCCCGCCTACTTCGACGTTGTTGTTGCGCCCAACCTTTACGGTGACATTCTCTCCGACGGTGCCGCCGCCCTTGTTGGATCTCTCGGATTGGTGCCATCCGCAAACGTCGGTGACAACTTCGCTATTGGTGAGCCTTGCCATGGCTCTGCCCCGGATATCATGGGCCAGGGAATTGCGAACCCGATTGCCACCATCAGAAGTGTGGGGTTGATGTTGGAGTTTATGGGCGAGACTGATGCCGCCGCCAAGATCTACGAGGCTGTTGACGGTAACTTGGTTGAGGGCAAGTACTTGTCGCCCGATTTGGGCGGTAAGGCTGGAACCAAGGAGGTTGTCGATGATATCCTGAGGAGGTTGTAGAGGTGTAGTTTGTCTGCAATTGTATATATCCACTGACATAAACTTATCCATGTCCCGAGAATAAAAGTTGTTTTATGTGTTGATGTGATTTGCTACGGTTGATGCCTAGATATGCTTATCATCTTACTACGTTTCATCAAATACTCAAGCTCTCGAGCTCGCAGTAGGGTTTGCAAACTAAGACGATATTATCAAGAGGATATAGGAAATTACCTCAACTGGCTGATATTTCTCGATCTACATCTTAGACAGAGCTACCTCAACACACAGATCCCTAATGACACACCAGGCAATCCTGGATACTACCCAATCCACTCCAGTATTTACCGCGGCGTCGGATATCAATACCCAGACCACCTTTATATCTGGAATCTCGCTTCGGTTCGACCTGAAGTACTCGGGGTGCTATTTATCTTGTACCTAAACCTAACCCTAGGACTCAGCGCATGCCGAGTGATTACCTATGAAGCCAAAAAGGAACCCACAAGGAGCCAACTCACCGAAGAATTAATAAACATTCTCAGACACACAACCCCCATAAATTCTCATACGTCCTCATCGCGAAGTAAGTATAAGCGTTATGAGACTCGTGATGATCATTGTCGTTGACGATCACCGGTATTGCTGGCTTGTTAGATCCTTGGTCGAGGAGGGGCTGAAAGGAAGAACGCCGAAGGAGGGAGGATAGTTAAGTTGAATTTCGACCAATTCTTTGCTGCAATATACTTCAGTGGTATCTATTTGCCACCTGTTGTGATACGTGTCAGACCACGTTTTCCTCACCACAAGGCCACGGCGTAATATTTCACCCTATTGAACCTCGACAAAACTCAGGAACACATAGGTTCAAAGTAAATAAAAAATACCACCATAAAATAGGGCAGGTGAGATGGTATAGCGTGTGATCAAAGCTGAAAGGCGTTCAAACCTTCTCAGCCTTTATTATCGATCTTCTTCTCCATCGCCAAGAAACCCTAGCCCACTAATTATTTTGATTCTATGTGCGATGCGAGTGTTTGAAGCATGTTTTAGCTTATAATTACGAAGATGAGTCAATAGATTAAATAAGAGTTATTGGGTTTTTAGATAACGGCGGGCAAAGTCCGGGCGGTCTCATTAGCACTGGCTGCGCAAAGGTGTCATTCCGATACTTACCAAGTTGTTCCATAGACGTCAATGGTCTTTTCAGAAACTTCGTGGTCATGAGCCAGAGAAAATACACATATACTATTCGAAAATGAGATGGATTTTGCAAACGAATATAACGCGTGAAATGTGTTTTACTAAATCATGTGGGTTAGTGTTTGTGAGGGGTGCATATATCACGCTGAGAGGCCAGTAAAATCCAATGGTAATGAGATTATTTTTTCTTTTCTCATAGAAATATCATTTAATTCAAGTAGTTCTGTAGCCTTCTCATAGCTAAACCTATCTACTCTCTAGAAAGTGCTATAACGCACACAGTCCCCAAGCCGCTAGTTCTAGCCATTCAAATAACAGGATCTTCTCAAAAGACCAAAATCCTCCCCGACTCAAACACCACCCTCCCTCCTACCCTCGGCTCCTCCTCGCCCTCAAACGTTTGCTTACACTTCCCCTCCAATCTCCACACAAAGTTCGCAATCCTCACACAATCCACGCCCCTCATTTCCCCCATCCCACAGACCGCGACACCTGCAGAGAGATGCGTGAGTAGCTTGACACACTGGTTCTCCCCCTGTGTCTCGGGACTGCACTGAGCATCCCCTTTACCACGGCTCCTGAGGACGTTGGAGGCTTCGAGAACGTCTTTAGAGAAGGGGGACCCGGCGTGCGTCTCGCAGAGGAAGTCTTTGACGATCCAGGAGTTTGTCATGCCTTTGCAGCCGCCGAGATAGCGGTTGTCTTTGTGGAGGTCGGGGGGACACTTGATTGCTAGGGTGAAATTTGGGAGGATGAGGAGAGCTATGAAGCCGGACAATATTGTGATGAGCTTCATTTTGGTTTATGGAGCGAAAAACGTTTTAATACTCGGTGGATATCACGCGGTCAGGGAGAGATATAAGTGAGGGTTTACGAACACCGTTGGAAGTCGTCTTATATGACTATGGCCATGTTCTAGACTTAAATAGCGTACGTATTGATATAATAGTTTGAGGGATACGTGTATATTCCGTCAGAGAGATAGAACACGAGTGATTTCCCATGACCAAATTTCCCAACCATACTATAAGGGTTTTGGCCTATTCGCTGCACATTTCATCATCACTAAAATCTAGATTTACTTGCAGTAGGACAAATTGTCATACTACCGCTAAGAAAATATTGTATGCTCTACCCAGAATAAGCTCCGAGGGAACTCTATTGTCTCCAAGGGTAGGGGAAGATAAGACGTCCATGCATATACTGAGCAACCTCAACCAATCAAGATACTATCTTGTATTTCCCAGATGGCGTGAGGATGCATCTTATAGAGATTCGGGAATGGGCCCACCCATTTCCAAACGCTTAATGGGCGAGTATTGTCCTTGAATGGGCCAGGACACTAACGGGCTTCTACCTTTTTTCCACCGGGTAATCGTAACACACAGCATCCCGAGAAAATACCCAGATCAAGCCAAACCCTAACACGATTGATAGAGAAAGAAATAAACCCTTATCGTACTTTATTTACAGTTCGCAAGTTTAGGCAAAACATTCTATGGGATGTCGCTAGACCCCACGTGACATAATTTCGTGGTCATCAACCTCTACCACCACCCAACCCCACATCCTCGCTCTGATATTACAGTTAGGGATTAAAAGTATTTCTTGATTACTACGTCGGCCTTTGCTCATCCCTCTCCCATGACCGGAGCGGTCCCAACTACACCGAATGGACCTGAGAACACCACCCGTCCAACAACAACGACGACCGCACAACACATCGAGTGATACCCCATGACGCACCATCCCGCGGCCGTCACTCTCATCGACCTTCCCAAAACCGACATCGCATCACACACCCCCACACACTCTTGGCGGGTCGACCCCCCCTTTCCCCCGGCCCGCTCGGCCGTCAAAAAGAAAAAAGAAAAAAAAAAAGAGTTCAGAGACACGCGCCAAGACAGGCCCCGGGAGCTCCCGGTGCTGGAACGCCCGTCGTCAGAGGAAGATTTGATCTAGGGGGTTAAGGGGACGATCATGAACCATCACTCCGTTCGCACCGCGCCGCACCTCCTCCCCCCACCCCCAAGCACCCCTCAAGCCCACGTGGGCGTGCCGTTCTAGACCCGTGCGCACGGGTGCTGGTGTCTGTACCCAGGGAGTTCTTTGTTTGGGTAGAGGTGCAGACAATGTGCGTGATGAAGGCAGGACAGGTTCGGGACCGTGGTAGAGGGCGGGCTACATACATAGGGAGGTTGGCAGTATTCCTGGGTTTGAAGGGATGAGGAGTATCCCTTACTCGGGTTATGTTACCTCGCCTTGCCTTACATCCCAATCCCCCCCCGCTCACTCACCCCTCCTCGCATTGGCATTGGCGGAAAAGCAAAACAAAGCTGATTAAAGGAATATAAAAAAGCAATTATTACCATCACATGCATAACAATTTATCCTTTATGCATAGGGCTTACATTGTGATGAGGAAAGACGTCATTCATGGGATATCACTCGCAGGATCTCACTGGGAAATGTGATAGGTTCAATATTCGATAACGTTGGCCTTCGGCTAATGCAAGGAAGAAAAAAAAAATAGTAATAAAAAGCCACCATGGAAAAATTTATAGAGTAAAGAGATAATATAGATACGTCTCGGCGGGGTTAGATCAAAGTATGCAGAAAGCACTAGCATAACTGACGCTGCTGTCTCTGACGTCTTCCACTTCGCTGCTGTGCTCGTACCTCACCCACCGGAACCTTCCCTGGGTTTCGTCCGCGTCTGTTTCTTTAAGTATACTCTCAATTCCTGCCATGACGACTCCGATTGGATGGCGCCCGCAGATGGTGTTCTTTGTCTTTCGCAGATACTCCACAAAGACATCATGACTGCCTGTGGACACAGCAGCCATGCCTTGCTTATCGAGTGCTGTGATACTCTCATAGATCGGCGGTCCATCAGCTGGTGGTGTGACCCGAGAAGATAGTTTCTGATGCGGGGGGTATGTGGAAGGTTTCACAGAAGAAGGGTCAGGCAAAGGATGGGAGCACGGTATGGGGCCAGGAACTTCGGGAAGATCAGGGTAGTAGTGGGTAAAATCGAAGCGAGTTCCCCTAATATATATCAGCGCCGGGTCCTATATCAGAATATCAACCCAGAAGGGCTGAACATACCAGTGGCAGAAGTCTGTACTGACAACTACAGCTACGTCCTCCGCACCAATCAAATCTGCAAGTAACTCCCCAAACTCTTTCTCGACTGCTGCGCCCACGGATCCTACCATGATGGGTATAATGGGTGTTCCTGTCCTCCCCGCAAGCTCAAGCATCTTGTAAACATACGGCAGGTGCATTTCGAGGGAGTGCTCTGCCTCATCGACTGCCATCGTCATGGTCTGGAACTTGCCCGTTGCTCGCAGAGATGAAACAGTAGCTGAGTCTAGTGTGAGTGGACCGAGAGGAGTCGCATATGTAGCAGTGGTAGCTGGGGGAAGAGCACAGCTGGCAAGATAAACGTGGTGGGAGGGGCCGAGAATGAGGATTCGTTTACTAGAGGTGTCAGCTAACACCTCTTTGGATTATTAGAGGGTATTTACGCTTGAGAGAGGTCCCAGGACTTGTAGGCATATGCTGCTGCTGGCCCAGAGTAAGAGTAGCCTGCATGTCTAGATGGTGTCGGTCTTCTATCAGCTCTGCTCTATATAAACCGCGAAAACGAGTTTTCTGATGGTGATAGGTGGCCGGACGTGTTCTCTTGAACTAAGAACAGGATCTAAGAAGGAGGGGTGGGGTAAAACTCCTGTAAACTGCGAAAACAGTTTGGACGAAGACAGCTCAGGAAAGCTCAAACATACGGTGCGATGATGATTCTAGCCCCGCTCACTGGCACAGGCCCCGCATCTTCTATCTCATCTCCAACAGCTTCTAGCCACTCGTTTAGCTCTGCATTCAGCGTCCTCTTATCACCCGAGTACCAGCTATTTGCATGAGTTGCACGTCGAGTCGACATCGAGAGGTAAATCAGGCTATATATGCAGAGCTTTGGGGTTCGAATCAAGGTGGAGGATCGGATAAAGGTTTGAGAGGTGGAAGTGAGGGGTGTTTATGTGAGCTATAGGAGCTGTATCCTCGACAGAAAGATGGCTGTTTATCGAGGAGGGTTGGCGGGGTAACTTGGCGGGGTACAAGCACAGATGGGTAGTAAAGTAAAGAGGAGGTTGTTACTCCTCGTTGTTACATCACATCAACAGATCCGTCAACTCCACAGCTAGCTAGACTCTAGAACACACACACTCATAACAACAGCATGCACGTCTCCATTATTTCAATCGTCTCAGGCATTTCGTCTTCGCCAAGACTTGATTGATGTACATACATGTAAGTACATGTACCTACCTACATACTTGTACCTCCTCCTCGTTCTCTGTTTGTTTGTCTGCTCACGTTGACATGCAATGGCAAGGAGGCCAATTGTAGTGGACGAAAGAGTGAAGAGTAGCCGAAGTCCCGGAGTTACTATTCACCGCGAGGGCAATTGCCTCCCAAGCAGGACGGGTTTGTGTAAGAGGAGGAGGAGGCGGTTCACCTATGAGGAAGGGGCAACGAAGAGTACATGTATTTGATATTCGGAGACATGCATACCAAGAATTTGAAACAATACTAAATTGATTGGAATATCTAGATCTTGCCCCACAACGCCTCTTTATGTACTCGTCTGTGGCTGTGTCCTTCACGTTCAAGCATCATTTCTTTGTTTCCGGATATGAGGTCGACCGGTTATGTGGCTATCCACACATCCTGTATGATGTGAGCACTCTGCACTGCATTTTGGGTAGCGGTGCTCTAGAGTATTTGTATTTCATTTATTTTCTTTTTCTTCCCACACACTTTTGCTTGTTCGTTCCCTCCTTTCCCTCTCCGAGCTCACCCTCATTTTTTGGGCGCGGGGTGGGGGGGTGGTTTTAAGTCGTGGCTTGCTTGCTTGCTGGCTAGCTGTGCGAGGCTGGCACGCGGCACCCCCGTCGTGTTCTCTTTGTGTCTCTTTTGGTAGGAGGATGAAAAGCTGGGACTCGCCTCCACCGAGGTGCTGCTGCATATTCCATGTCAGTGCATACCCACACACACTCACCTTTTTTTTTTCCCTTCCCCCCTCCGCTTTCTGAGCCATTGAAGCAGCAGCTCTTGCGTATTGGTTTTCTGCATAAACTGAATTGTGATTTCCTTTAAGGGAGGGGAGGAGGGGTGCAGGAGGGTTTCGTGTGGTGGTGGTTAATTGAATCTATATTTACTCCTTTGCTAAAGACACACATGTATGTAATGGGTTCCAGTCTTGTCAGTTCAGTTGTCCTGGCTGACTGATTACCAGACCCATCTGTTTGTTCGTCTATCTCTGTCTGAATATAGTCGTCTATCTGTCTGTGCCCCCCGGGGGGGGGGGGGGGTGGTTTGAAGACGCACTGACCCTCGCTTTTTCCTAACTCGCTACCTACAGAAATTTTTTTTGTCTTTCGCAAACACCAACAAAAGTCGTCGTGAATCCAGTCCTAAGGGCGAGATTGTGAACGTGAAGTGAGGCGTGAGACTTTGAAGTGTTGAAAGCCTGTTGTTGTTTCGCTCTCTCCATCTTTCTTTATTGATTTCTGTGGGGGAAGGAGTGAGTGGGGCCGGCCGGGGGACGAGTGATCGAGTGAGAGAGGAGAGAGGAGATTATGAGTGAAGTGAGTGAGTGAGTGAGTTAGTTATAGTAGTCGATCCTGCTTCGTCACTCGATAACTCGATTGACAAGAGAGACCCCCCCAAGCCCCAGCCTCCCTCCACCTCAACCCCCCCCCCCCATCGCCCTTCTCCCTCAAGTGGCTCACTCGATTTTGACACGCGACTGTTTCCTCGAATACCTACCCTATATACCCTATATCCCTGCTACCCCATAACTCTCTCTGTCGTGTCGCCATCACTCACTCGTCCGCTGCCCTCCACCCCCCGCCATCGAGAAGCCCTTCAACAACGACCCCCCCCCCCCTATCTATCCAAACAGCTTCCAAATATATATATTCGGTCTCCGCAGCGCGCGTAACAACCTTTTTTTCTGCCCGCCGAGGCAATCCCTCCATTTGAACATCCCCGGATCCCCCGCAACATCGCGTCGGGAAATTTAATCTTCTCTTTCTCTCCCCGGCCCAGCACTAAGGAAAAAAAAAAAAAGAAAAAAAACAAAAACAAAGATAGAGAGAGGGAGAGAGGCGAAGTGAGTAGTATCGAGTAATTCTATATCTATTACATACACATATATAAAAAGCTTTGGGGATTCTTACATACACACCGTACCAGCACTCTCGACCACCCACCTTTAACCCCCCCCTCCTCCTCCGCTCCCCTCTACTCCGGCGGGCACGTCATACATACACTAGTAACGTAACCCCGTCACCATTCACCATCTGCTTAGCAAACAAAAAAACAAATGGATCTCCGCAACATGTTAAACGAGGGCCCGCCGCCCCAATCACCTCGGAATCCTCCTCCGCCCCCTCCGCTAGCGCAGCAGCCGCTTCACTACCATCAACAGCAGCAGCATCAACAACCTTCTCTTCTTCATCATTCTACTAACCATTCTCAACACCAGCAGCAGCTACATCACCAACAACAACAGCAGCAGCACCAGCAGCAGCACCAGCAGCAGCACCAGCAGCAGCACCAGCACGTCCAGCAGCAGCAGCAGCACCAACAGCAGCAGCAACATCATCAACAACCACAGCAGCAGCAGCAGCAGCCGCACCCACAGATCCATCATCATCAGCAACAACAACACCAACAACAGCAAAACCATCGCCCTACCCCTCCTCCACCAATACAGCCCCCAAGATCCCCCGCGTTTCAATCCTCGGCGCATAGTGGCCCAGGATACCCCCATCAGCAGCAACAGCAGCATCCTCAATCTCAATCCCCCTACCACCCGAGCCCACCTCCAAATTCGAGTCGTCATTTTTTGTTCCCCCCTCCATCTCCGCTACAGCAGCAACATCATCAACCAAACTACGCACAATCGCCTAGTACGCCGCATCCAATGAGCGCACATTCAATTCACAGTCCCACACCTACGAGCTCAATCTCGAGCAGTTCGCATAATCAATTCCCCCCACCACCACCTCCACCACCCCCACCCCCGCCTTCGCAGGGACAGTCCCAGGTTCAATACGCGAATAAGCCGCAGCAGCAACCGCACCTATTACATCCCGCTCCATCCCCACACCAGTATCATAGCCAACACCACCAACAGCAGCCGCAGGCTCAACAGGTCCAGCAGCAGCCACAGGGATACCCCAGGCAGTCACCAATACAGCAATCACCTATGCACTCGCCAATTGGCCCCACAAGGCCACCATTGATACACGCGGGGAGCAGTGGTGCGAATGATAGGTCATCACCTACAATATCTACACCTATAGCACGGAGGGATCAGGAGCGGGATCGGGAACGGGAACGAGAACTACTACGTGAGAAAGAGCAACGGGATCGAGACACACGGGAAAGGGAGGACCGGGAAAGACAACGGGAAAGAGATCAGCGGGATCGGGTAGCTAGGGAGCGAGACATCAGTGTATCACCCAAAACAAGAGTCCCTACCTATCTACCCGACGACGAGCCAATTCCAGATACGCAAAAGGAGGAGTTCTCGTATCCTGCTCAGCAGCAGAAAAATTCCCGCCCGAATTCCCAGCACGGTGGTAGTCACACTGGAGGCTATAATACAAGGCCGAGACGGGGCTCTTCGGCTGCGACGACGCCGAACCACGACCGCCGTAACCACGACGCGATGGACGTTGACACCCGAGAGGCACCTCCGAGCGTCCCTGCGGTTCCAGAGCGGAAACGGGTTGGTGGTCCCGTTGTGGATAGAGGGAAACCCAATGGGTCAGCGGCCGGCGTTGGCAACGGCAGGGATGGTTCGACTCAACAGCTGGCACCACAGCAACAGCAGCATCCTTCGCCGTCTCAACAAAACACACAACAACCACCGCCGCCTCCTCCACCCCCCTTAACAACTCCTTCTACAAACAGCAACCCCAGTTCCACGTCGTCACAGCGTACTGCAACCGTTTCTCCAAATAATAAAGATCAGCCCCATCAGCCACCACCCATAGCCCGGTCAACTTCCACCCCCACAAATATCAGCGCCCGGCCACATCCCCCACCCTCTCCGAGTCCTAAGCCAAATCAGCAACTCGGCCCGCCGCCAACTCCAACTACGTCGCACGCAGTGGAGGGCAATAACAGCAGCCCCGGGTCGGGGGCCCCGCCGCGGAAGCGACCAAGGAAAGATCATGAGGCGCCGATATGGGCCCGAAAGGCTTCGCGAAGTTCCAGTAGCAGCCCCGTAATGTCTAATCGGCGGCAACCTAGTAACAGTTCAACTTCAGGGCCTCCTCCTCCCCAGAGTGCACCCCCGCAACCAAACCAACAGTCAGCACCACCATACCCCCAGCCGCCCCAGCATCAGCAGCAGCCGCAACCGCAACCGCAACAGATGCAACAGCAGGGGCAGCAGCACCAGCAGAGAATTTCAGCGCCTGCAGGTCCTCCGCGCATGGTTCCGGTTATTGGTTCTTGGGAGCCGTCAATCGGGAATACGGAGCCGCATGAAGAATTAACTAGGTCTATTGCGGACTTTTTGTGGCGGGAGGTTATCATGAGATATGAGACGCAGCCTGCTGACGAGGTTAGCGGGACTATGATTGAGATTGAGGCTAAGATTGGGCAGATAATCGATAGAAACACCAACGCAAGGGTAAACTTACCTGTATCTACGGAAACAGTCATGGTTAATGATAATCGTTGTCCGATTCAATTCAAGAGCAGCATGACCGAGGTACGTACTCATGAAAGTGGAAGACAGAAATTATTTCGGGCTGGTTGCGGGACTCGCAGGTGCAACCGCTGGTAATGAGGATATGATAAGCTAATTCGTGGCACAAACTGCAGCACCAACATAAACATGCAAACCGCTGGCTCAACAAGCTCTACGAGGAGAGCAAAACCCCCCCCACCGCTTCAGGCAGCCCTCAACCCCCCGGACCAACCCGGATACCGATGGGCTACACGCATACTCGTGAAAAGGACATGTTTTACGAGCTCCCTGCTTCGGAGGTTTCAACACTCCCCCGACTGCTGCTGGAACAACTGAACCCACGGCACAAGATAAAGGTCAGGGTAACAACGGACCAGCGCACCGGGAAGGTCTTGAATACGATAATCAAGGCCCGGATTGCAGACTGCAACATATTCTGCCCACAGTCACGCTTTGATTGGAGGGTCAGCGTGAATATGGAAATGCCGTGGGAGGGGGATATAAAATCATTGAAGGAAATGGGGGAAAGTGATGGGCCCGTGAGGCTGAAGGATCGTCTCAGCTATAAACATCTGGTGTATCAGGTTGATTTGACCCAGGTCACAGGGGTATGTTACCTGCCCCTTTTCCTCCTTCCCTAATGTCATTTCATTGGGAGTATTAACTGAGCGGGTACAATAGAACAAACCTTCCAAGGAGCACGAGCTGGAAGTGGAAGTCTCAGGAGAAGAGCTTAGGAAACATGGGCGGCTTGCAAATCATGGAAAGCCTAATGCATATGAACATATAGTGAGGGGGTTCGTCGATAATGTCAGATATATAGTCCGGCATGCAGCACCAGCCGAAGCAGGGCCCGAGTGCGGGTGCTCACCTGGTGGACCTCAAATGCGGCGATAGAATGCGGCGATAGACGTTATGAAGGAGACGGCGGAGTGCGAACCGCGGCGGTGACAGTGACAGTGTGACGAGAATGCATCTAAAAAACGCTCTTCACGAAAATTCCGAACTCAACGACATATAACCTTCGTCATGTGTATTATTTTTTTCCTTCTCATTTTTCCAACTTTTTTTTTAACCTTTCCTTCTAGTTCACCTTTTCATCTCATCATCATCATCTCTTTCCTCCCGAGTATGCGGAGAGTTAGCGGAAGAGGATCGAATGGTGGGAGGCGGGGGGAGGCGGGGGGAGGCAGGGGAGGGGGGAAAGAGGAAAGGTCATTTGTCTATTCTTGTATTCGTGTTATTTTTTTCTTTCCTTTTTTTTTTCTTTCTCTTTCTGGGGTCTTGAAACTTTGGTTACTTTGGTTGGTGGCTTGCCTGAACTTTTTCAATTTGTATTGGTATATTTTATTTTATTACCAACTTTTCTCCATTGGTTCCATTTTTTCAGTCTTTTTTTTTTTTTTTTTTTTTTTTTTTACCTTCTTTATTTTTGATTCACTTGTATTCTATGAAAGAACAGAAGAGAGCGCGAGAGGGGAGCGTCCATCCATGAGCGTCCCAATTTATGTGTATTTGGTCTTCCTCTTCTCTCCATTTATTTTTCTTTTACTGGGAACGCTCCGATACCATCCAACGTATGTAGAAATTAAAGCTCAATATGACCACACAAAAAAATTAAAAAAACGAAAACAAAAACAAAAACCTCTAGCCCTGGCCCCTGGGGGCGCAATCTGATTGGTGCCGCGTGGGCAATGATCTGCAGCAGGGATTCAGGGGCCGCGCTACTCAGAAGGGGTTAAGCGAGAAGATAAGCTTCTGTAATCGGCGTTTCGGTGTGGGGTGGTGGTGGTGGTGGTGGTGGGTGGGGGACTGGGATCGAAAGATGGGAAGTGATTACATATGTAGTCTGCTGCCCCATGTTTGGGTTTCGGGGCGCGGGTGTTTCATGGATTTGTGTATGTGTGTGTATGTGTGTATGTGTGTGTATGTGTGTGTATGTGTGTATATGTGTGTATGTGTGTGTATGTGTGTGTGTGTGTACTTGTAGCTAGCAGTCTATAGGTACATGTATTTACATATGCCTTTAGAGCGAAGAATGTACCTACTCTATGTCGTGGCCGCCGGGCTGGAAGGATTGGGAGATATCGTGATCGGGACGTACGTCGTAGTCGGTGCGGGTAGCCTGTAGGCGCGGCGTGTGTGTTCTGCCTACGGCTAGGTATCAAGATTAAGTAAATACAAAACTCAAGGGGGAGCTACACAACAGTACTATAACCGTATATACTCTACTTTGCAAACCTGATTCTACCCAGGAGTCCCCTCTTTCTTCTTCACCCCCCCACAAACCACACGCCTGGGCCCCGTATTTCTGATCATGACGGAGCTAGGGACCATGCCAAACAGCTTCGAATTATCGGCCTGACCACCCTCTCTTCCCCGTCCCTCCCCTCCGCGTTTCATTAGTCTACCTGGCCGAGAGGGGATGATGACGTGACTGTACATTGACAAGGCTCACAATCATGAGCTAGCCAGACAACGGCGACAGCTAACCTAGGCTCCCATAACACAAGCTCAGCAAAAGCCGAGGCTGGTGAAACTGCTGTGGCTAAGATGTGGCTAATGCATATCAATGATCAAAGTGAGTGTTTTACATGGGTGTCGTTTTCGTTGCTTCACTGCATTTAGGTGAAATGGTGGAACACTGCATTTTGTTTAGGTATATATTTGGCGTTTGGGAGCTACAGTACTGCTGGGGGTACTCTATCGTCATGGTCCGGCATAATACGTTCGGGGCTTACGAAGTAGGCCTTCGTCGCGGTCGGCGAAGCGGACGTCTTTATCCTTGTATTCGCTGAGGCGCTATTTGCTTCCTTATTTGGGAGGTACACGTAGTGAGGAGAGAGGATTACGTGGCTGGGATGCTGAGCTAGTATCAGCTGGGGGCATCTTTTTGGGCATGTACGAGGGGTTAGTATTGGGTGCGGGTGTTGGCTCGGGGTAGTACAGTTGGTGCGCAGTATGGTAGGAGGAAGAGCACGGGATATTCAAGGCGATATGTTAGGGCTCGAGTTTGCTAAATCACACGAGAAGGCTCGAGACATTGGAGACTAAAGAGTAGTCAGCTCAACTTGCGCTTAACGTTCCCGTGAGTCTGAACTTTGGACAGGCTCTTTTTTTTTTTTTTTTTTGTTTAATTCATTAACTTTAGACAGGCGGGGATGCGTTCTTGACACATCTTTTTCTTTTCACCCCACTCGTTCCTTTTGCTCAAGCACTTATAAACATTGGCAGCATGGGATGTATTTCAATTTCAGCTTTCCTTACTCTCTCGCTGACAGCCAGAGAGTAATGAAAAAAGAAAAGGAAAACCAAAAACCAAAAATAATGGTCGCATCAACCAGAGGCAGTGTAATACTGGTGATACTGTGAGGCAAAAGATGCACAAGTGCAGAGCCAATGCCTCGATGGCTAAAAATAAGATTAATCTTAGATAGTCCCGTAGGACGGTTTCAGAGATTAAGCTGATTAGGAGTGATACGTTAGCGGAAGGTTCGAAAGGTTGGATGGAGGAGAGAGGGGGCAGAGGAGAAACATACCTGAAAAGAACAGATACTACACTTGATCTAAGCCACTGTTAAACAGTTAGCAAACTTTCGATCAAGCGGTGGGAGGTCGAGTTGGGGGTCAACTTACAAAGGCAAAGAGAGCTGGAAAGGAAAGAAGGGTGAAGGGGAAGAGGCCCTTTTATAGCGAATGATGGGAAGGCCAAGACCGGACTGTAAGGTGTTAGGACAGATTGGCCGCTCTTAGGGCTCTGGGCTGGGGCCAAATTGTTGTAGTTGGCGGCTGGCTGCATACTATGGAGAGGTAAATTCTTAGCTGGGGACATCTGGCCCCTCCCCCGAAGAGCGTCAAACCAGGCCTTAGTACAACTCTACCGACTCAACTGTAGAATGGTGGGTACCCCGATGTGACTCTGGCGTCTATGGCATAATGTCGCCCAACCACATAACTTTAGTGCGCGCGGAAAGAAAAATCCCACATATATCGATAGATACATTCTTTACTCTACTGCGACGGGAAATTCATTAATTGCATGTATCAACGCAAAGGATTGAGGAAACGGCGCGAAATGATGATTATAGAATTAATCTTTGTGTTAATTTCCTTGATACATCTTTCGTTGTTTTGAATCTCAACTTTAATAACATCAGTATTACGGGTGCGCCACACTGCGCACTGACATTAAAACTATATCACGAACACTTTTGCTGAGTGGCTGTATGTACTTTTAAATCCTAGATTTAGTTTCCCAGACCTCCGGAGAATGATTCTGTTGTAGATGTACCTAGCGGCACAAAGCCACGCTTAGGACAGTTGTGACGGAAAGAGACCACTCACACGAATCAAAGACGGACGCTATACGTATAATTACTTACCAAGTCCAGATAAACTTAGCTTGAACCTTGACTATACATGTCAATAACTAAACGCTCGCCCTAGACGCATAATCACTAAATCATCCCTCGATTCCTCAAGTTAATTCCTTTCTTTTGTCCCTTCTAGAATGTGATAAACTAATATATCCTTCTGATTCTGATCAAGATGAGATTCTTGCCGGTACAATAACGAAAAAGATCTGTTCCATCGACGAGAAAAACGTCATTCGAGGTCCAATATATAAAGCTTATTTCCTCGGTAATAGGCAGGGGTATTTTTTTTAAATCATATAGTAATAGGCAGGGGTAATGGTAGGGGATATTACATGTCCCTATGCATGTCTCAGACCCAGAGATCTCGTCCTTCTTCACTCGCAGATACATCCTCATACCAAGATTTCTAGAAATCCATGGGATGTGTATCTCGAGGACCTCAGTCAAAATCCATTCATTGATCAAAAACTCCTGAGGCGTTCCTGCCACATGAATTGGCCCAATGAGCATACATGTAGGTTACACAGCCTGGCAGCCTTGTTGCCGACTGTAAAGTACGAATGTGCTGATTCCAATCTCATACAGATCAACCAATCTCTTCTTAACGCTCGATATTTAACTCAACTCCCTTAAACACTTGACCTAGAAATTCCTTGTTATGGCCGAGGCTGTCGGACTTGGAGCGAACATTGTCGCACTCATTCAGCTCACCGCGCAGCTAATAGCTATAAGCTACAAATATATCAGCGGGGTAAAGCAAGCTCGCGACGAAATCCGGAACTTGGCATCTGAGATGCAATCGCTCTCTATCGTCTTCTCCAACTTGGAGGTCTGCATGCAAGACGGTTCTGGATCCACACCGCTGAAGGAACTCGGAGACCCGCTACAGGAATGCACCCTGGAAATAAAGATTTTCTTGAAAAGGCTGGAGCCTGCAGGATGGTTCGCAAAGAAGATGACTTCACTTACCTGGCCTTTTAAAGAGAAGAAAACGTCAGACTTCGTTTTACGTATGGAAAGATACAAACTTCTGTTCTCACTTATGTTGGACACCATCGAAATGTAAAAATTATACCTATCGGCCGCGTACCAGGATTTAACATACTGATTTGCGAAAATATAGGCCTCGGTCAAAACTTATTGAAGCAAATGTGCAAATACTTGGAGACCATGTCCAAGATATCAAAAACGATGTACAGGAGATGAAAGTTCGCGCGGAATACTGGAGTTCAAGATGTCAAATATACTGCACAAAACATTGATACTAATGTTCAAGACGTCAAGAAAGATATTGAAGATATGATGGCAGAGTCCGAGAGGCAAAGTGATAGTAAGAATGACCACGTAATAAATTCGAACCTCTACTAATACATCGCTTGGTGTGGATAGATAAAAACCGCAACGAAGCTCTCGATTGGCTATATCCTGGGGCGTGTAACGAGAGACACCTAGAGATCAGTAGAAGAAGAAAAAAGGACACCGGACTATGGATTTTTGACATGCCAGAAGTCAAAAACTGGATTCAAAATACAGTGCCAAAATCTCGACTGATATGGGGATATGGTATTCGTAGGTTATCTAGAATTGGTTATCACCTTCTTAATAATTTGATGCTAAATAAGTTATTAATAGCGGGTGCTGGGAAAACCTTCTTAAGGTTAGTTTCGACTTTTTCATGGTTTTTAAGTCCCCAGTTTCTTCCTCTAGCACATTGGTACCTTAATGATCGGGCCTGCCCCGTTCGAAAGGAGTCGGCTTTCACAATAACGTACGAAGCACTAGAAGTCTTAAGAGTCTTTCCTCCTGGTTAGGGTAACCTCAAGATCATAATACTAATATACTTAAACTAACGATAATTTATAAACCTTCTTCAGAAATCCTTTCGAACTATCAATCTTATTGAACAAAGGCTAACTAAATCTCTCATATACTTTTGGCTCTCTCATAATCGACCGGCTCCGAGAACAAGCTTTCGCAAAACAGTATGGAGTGGCATATATCTACTTCAACTACAACGAAGAGGATAAACAAAAATCGACAGATGTTCTCGCCAATATCGTTAAGCAACTTGCCTGCCAAATTAATGCACTACCTTAGGAAGTCAAAAAGAAGCTCGAAAATATACGAAAACCTCATGAAAAGCCAACCCTTGATGATTTGAAGGAAATTCTCATTTCGATAGTTTGGTCGTTTACCCGGGTGTTTATCATATTTGATGCATTGGATGAATGCAACCCAAGATCTCGGCTGGACCTCTTTCCCCTTTTTCATCATATGGGAGAGAACGGTATAAGCTTATTTTTGACAAGCCGGGAATATCCAGAAGACATACAGGAGTCCTTTTCCAAGCCTATAAAGAACAACCTTTGGGCCAGAGATGGAGATATCACTAGCTACATAACACAAAAGATTAATGATTACCCACGGGTACGGCGTTTGGTTGAAAATGGAAACTATCAAAAAATGGTTATTTCTCAGATCACAGAATGTGCCCATGGAATGTGAGTAGCTAGGTGCTTAAATTCTACTCTAAAAATCAGTGCTGATGTATCAAATTAGGTTTCTAGTTGTCCATTTTCACATTGAGCATTTATGTAGCCAAACTACCCTTAGAGGATTTCGACAGGAGCTCCAAACACTCAAAACTTCTTTTAATGAGGCCAGCCCCTTGAATCCTATATACGGTAGAGCTATGGATATCATCAAGAATCAGTCCAAGACCCGCGTGGATCTGGCACTCAAAGTACTGTCATGGCTTGTTATGGCTAAATAGGTTCTCAGTCTTCGCCAGATTCAGATGGCAGTGTCTATGGAGGAGGGAACAACTAATTTCGATGACCAGGAGGATCTGCCAGAAATATCGACCCTACTAGAGGTTTGTGCTAGCCTGGTAACAATCGACGAGAAAAGCAAAACAATTAGACTTGCTCATTATACAATTCAAGAATATCTTGAATTGAGTTCGGATTTCTCTCAGAACGCGAAAACAATTGTTTCTATATCTTGCACGACTTTTCTTTCCCTCGATAATTTTAAATCTTACGTTTCCGGCGCCTTCTCTCGCGGTATAAGAGGTCTTATTATACTCCTCGGAAAATATCCGTTCTTGCACTACGCATTAAATCATCTTCCATACCATGTTGCAGTCTGCGGCAACGAGGCCTTGTCAATAAAAAGCTTCCTTAAATTCGTAAGCACGGATAATATCAAATTGTACAATCAGCGGGCGGAGTATAATATGTACGAAAGCGTGTGGATGTACGACAATATTAATCCCCCGCTCTCGAATCCTCTGTTACAGCTGGCAGCTATTATAGGCAACCTTTTTGCGGTACGTATATTGATTAAATACATACATATCGATACGTGTGATATTTATATGAGTACGGCACTGCACTACGCAGTATCTGCAAAAAACTTATCGATGGTGCGGCTTTTGCTTGATGAGGGGGCCGATGTCTCCTTTCAGGATAGACATGGAGATACTGCGTTACATATGGCAATTCTAGGCTCGAGATCTCTCGTCCGTATATGTGATAAATCCATATATTATGTTGGAGACACGTGCACATATCAATCTTTAATAGATAGACGTGGCGATATGGGGACTGGGCCTAACGATATATGTGGAGATGCCGATGCTTTGATGGATCCTTTACCAGTTGTCAAGTTATTGCTGGAGTATGGGGCCAAACCCAATGTTACGAATGGCACCGGGTACAGTGCGCTGCACAGCGTGAAATTTGCACAACATTCACAACATTCACACGAATCGATGGCGCGGCTTTTGCTTGATAAGGGGGCTAGTCCCAGCTCGCCATGCGGTTGGGCTTATGTTTCGCACCGGCAAAGGGTACGAACTGCTAGTACTCAAACCCTTAGTACTAGCTAGCGGATGCGGTCACAAACCGTCGCCCGTATCCCTCAATGCAAAGTCTCTAATATCCCATTTCAGTTATCCATCACTTTCTGTCAAGGATAATTAAAGCTAACGGAAAGATAATTATAGCCATCCCAAGATGAGGCGAAGACAAGTCTGGCCATGTTAGCTACCTGTAGGTATTTGTATGCATGTAAATTACAAAGTAACTCATCTTGGCACGCGAGTGATAATACATGATTCCGAAAACCCTTTGTTCTGGTTTTTGTATAACCTGGAGTATAGTACTTTATCATTTTATTATTTAACTCTGTGGTCGGTCGTGGTTGGGTGAGTTGTATGATACCAATATTGCCCGCGAGTTGCGTCTCATTATTTCGAAAACCCACAACCCCACAATATTCCCATAAAACCCGTACCCATTAGCCCAAACACGAGCCATAACTATCACCATCATTATAGCTACATAATATTGCCAAATACAAAAGTCTTGATATATTTTTCCGTAACTTCCCTTTAGCATGTGCTAGGCGTATCCCGATGCCAGCCGGAGCGGCTAAAACAACCCCATATTGGCCATCTTTGTAGAGCTATTAAAGTCACCTACTCCGTGCGGATTGACGTATGGGAGCCAAGAGAAGAATCACTGGTACGTACCGGCTCGTAGGATAAATACGGTAGACCAGTAATTAACAGATGGGTGTAAATGAGTCTTATAGATGCGTACATTGTGTTGCACTGCATTTGAATAAAAGCTGCTATCTACATGTATATGTAGAATGGATATATAGCCATTCGATTCTATAGCGGTTTCCAGCATATCTGCTTCCTATATTAGCCTCTGTATTATAAAGTCGGAAGCACCCACACACCCGACCACCTCACAACGCTCAAACACAATCCATCACTCGAGCCAATGCTGCTGAATCAGCCCCAAGCCTACAATCAATAGTAAGTAGAGATAAGATAAGATAAGATAAGATGTGCACCTCATCCCATCCCACTTCCCCCAAAAAACCCCACACCCGGGATCTGACATCTTTCGATCGCCATTGCAACCTCCAAGTCCACCCCCTCCAATGGAAATGGGATAACCAAGGGACGGAAACGCACCTAGACCAACCGAAAAGAATACCAACCACCTTTGATCCAGTCTCCGCTCCTCTCAATGGTGCTGCGTCTGCCCCCCCGGGCGCCAGCGCCATCAATCTGCCTCAGCTGTCTCTTCCAATTGCGCCAAAGCTCCCTCCCCCGCAGGTCCCTCTCCACACTGGTCCAGCAGCAACCTGTAAAGCCTCTGCGCGCCGCCCAAGTTCCCTGGAAGCCCAGCTACTTCCTCTCTAACCGCTCCCTCTCTGACGACGCCGCCCCCACCACCCCCCCGCAGCTGCTCCCCCACCGCCGCCGCCAACAACTTCACAAGACCCTCGAGAACGCCGATGATCCCAATGCTCCCCTCCCCCCAGATGCGTCGAGCCTGCTCTCCACATCCTCGGCGTCTTCGCCTACGGGCTCACTAAAGCGCCTCCTATACCCGTACCTAGCACTCTCAAAGCCGCGTCTCACCGTGCTTGTAGTCCTCTCCGCAATGGCCCCCTACGCCCTGTACCCCACGGATCCGCTTCTCGCAACAACCACCGCCCCAACTCTCTCCGCGCTCACACTCACCTTTCTCACCATCGGCACCACGCTCTCCTCCGCCTCCGCAAACGCCTTCAACATGTACCTCGAGCCCGAGCATGACCGCAAGATGTCGCGCACGCGCAACCGCCCCCTTGTCCGGGGGCTCATCAAGCCCGCGCAGGCCCTCGCGTTTGCCTTTGGCACTGGCATCATCGGCACGACCGCCCTCTACTTCGGCGTCAACCCGACCGTTGCAGCTCTGGGCGCCGCAAATATTGTGCTCTACGCCGCCGTGTATACGCCTATGAAGCGGCTGTCTGTGGTCAATACGTGGGTTGGCGCTATAGTCGGTGGTATCCCGCCACTCATGGGGTGGGCCGCTGCTGCGGGCGCTGGAAGCGTCGAGGGTGCTGGCGTGTGGGAAAATCTTGCGCACCCGGGTGGGTGGCTATTGGCGGGACTGCTGTTTGCGTGGCAGTTCCCGCACTTCAATTCGTTGAGTTGGACGATACGTGAGGAGTATCGGGCCGCGGGGTACCAGATGCTGGCGTGGAAGTATCCGAAGCTGAACGGGCGGGTGGCGTTGAGGTACAGTTTGTTATTTTTCCCCATCTGTGTGGGGTTGTGGATGGCAGGGGTTGTGGACGCGGGGTTTGTGGTGGATAGTTCGGTGGTAAATGGGTGGTTGGTGAGGGAGGCATGGAGGTTTTATAAGAAGGCCGGGGAGGGCGGAACGGCGAAGAAGTTGTTTTGGGCTAGTGTGTGGCATCTGCCAGTGGTGATGGGACTTGCGATGGTGCATAAGGCGGGCTTGTGGAGGGGCATGTGGGAGTGGGCGGTGGGTAGGGAGGAAGAGGACGAGTATGAGTATGAGGATGAGGAAGAGGAGCAGCAGGCGGCAGCGACAGTGGCCATGAGGACTAAGTGAGGTGTAGATGACCTCTTATTTTTTTAGTTGTAGTTAGTATTATTGTAAATAAAAATAAAATAGAGTAGGGAGTAGATCGACTGTTGTAGTGAATAACACATGCTAGTTATACCAATCGTTTGGCACCTTTTAGTATGCTGCCGCCAAGTTTAGTCTCTTCCTCAACTTCGAAAATTATTCTTTAGCACAACATCCGAGTATTAACATATCTTAGATGAAGCTTCTTTTATGAACATGAGAGAACACACCAAATCTCCTCAGAGCATGTCCGAAACCACTGATAGTAATCTACTTTTTTGAACTCAACTTGTGATCTGATGCCCCAAGATTCCAAAACATTGATAAGGCACATTGTATCGTTAAGTTGGGAGGGGCGACCCTGCGTGATATAACTCCAAAGCTCACTAGAGAATGATCTCTTCCTGGGGTTCAGGTATAGATGTAGGTTGGGTCCTTCCCTATCCAAAATGTACACCTAGTCCATAAGGGCTGGAAATCGATATTTTTCTCCAGCTGGCGTAGCCAGCATATTCGCCCCAGTGCCATGAAGCATGCGGTACGATACTACCACTACGCTACACATGAAGTAGAGTAGTCGGGGGCCCGAAATCAACTCATGCATGTGGATGATGAGTATCTGTGATTAAAAGGTGTAGAGTCACTTAAAACACCCAAATTTTAGTGGTCGTTCCAGACATCTGTTTGTGTGGGTGTACATGTGACTCACTAGGCTTGAAGGAGAACTCATACGATGATCAAGAAACTGCTTACTCCCACGTGGAATCTCCACAATTAAGCTTCCGACCACTAGTTAGACCACCCCTGATTCGTAGTTATAGCCGGTGCTAGACAACCAACTACTGCCCGATCGCAAGTTAACTATAATCCAAACGTGGTAGCAAATCCGCCGAGGGCTCCAGCCACGACCACTTGAGACCCATATAGTTTCCATCGTGAATCTTAGATGTGCAAATGTACGATCCATAACTTTCATCAGAGAGTTCTGCTTTTGTGTGAGAGGGAGACTTGGTCGGGCCTGCTAGACTAGTAGACGTCACCGAGCGGTTCTCTACGATGGTCTGAGTGCAATTTATACACTCCCCCTCCCGCCTGTTGCCTCTGTCCGTGCGGTGTATCGATTGACTGGCTGTGTTGGGGATCTATTAGAAAACAAAGATTATCAGCGGGGAGAGACTTTTGGGTATATACTGGTTGAGAAATTTCGAACCCAAATACCATATGTCTCCTAGCTCGATGTAGAGAAGCACGAGGAGAGGACTTGCTTTGAGACAAAACAAAACGGAAGGCTTCTTGGACTTTGAAGACCAAGGCCTAGTATTTGTAACATAAGTTTAAATTTATTTCGACAGCCGTAACCCGGCAGTGGTTGATATTTGAGACTGAGTGAGTAATGTCCGAGATTGATGTGGATGTAATATCTCCACTCCCCGAGTTTTCCCATCGTGGCTTACTTGTCGATAATTCCAAGAAGAGTCTCAAAACGAGTTGAGAAAGGCTAGCTGTTCTGGAGCGGGGCTGCGTTTTGGAGCGGGGCTGCGTTTTGGGTGCTCATGGAGTTGTATGTTCCAATACAATGGTAATGGCGAGACCAGGCTATTGGAAGCGAAGGAAGATGATAATGTTAGCTTTATAAGACGTGATTAGAGGCAGATCTTTATGCCACGTACCTCTTGCCATGAGTCCACAGCTCATGTAGTATACGTGATTGACAGTCACGAAGGTCAGCTCGGGACTTGGAGATTCTTTGATGGCCTCTCGCTAGGCGAGGACTTTCTTGAAGAGCGAGAGCTGAAGTGTACAGGAGGGCTTTGGCAGAGCACGTGTAGTTTCTGTATGCGTAGTTGCGAATGGGTACCTGCGCACGGCGTCGAACCCGGTATTGCATCTTCGAGCACCATATTCCCCCGCCTCCATCTCGAACTCCCCACCTCCCCCGCCTCAATCTTATCTACTACTTTTCAAAATTTAAAACTATACGGGCTAATGGTATTTAACTCCCTCTCCCTCGATAGGGGAAACTCACCACAAATTCCCCGCGCGCGCGCGGCCAAAAAACACCTTTCTCGACGAGCTTACAGCCAATCACCCATCCGTCTCCCTCCCCCTCCTCCGTCTTCATCTGCTCTCTCCGCTCGAATAAACGCATTGCTGAGATCCACCCGTTCCTAAAAGTACCAGACACCATGTAATGAGCAATGGAACTAAAGTCTCAGTATTACGTAACTCCGACATGTGCGATCACTCGCGGAAAATTTATCATTGACACCAACCTATTTTTCCCCCGGTTACTTTATGTGGCTCTCTGTGCTCAGGGCGATTGTTCGGTGATGTGGGGATATGAGAATAAGGGTGAGTGAAGATAGAGGCGTAGTTGTAGTGTAGGATGTGTGTGTTGGTGGTGGTGGTGGGGTGGTCATGGTCAACCTTCGATCGCAGTATGGGCATGGGATCACAATACGAGAGACGCAAAACTCAGAAATATTGTCGAAGGACATGTACTGCCTCTCACGAGCCTCAAGATGAGAGAGGGCTGGTGGATAACAGAGTGGATAAGAACACAGTACGAGCCTGATAAGAACGGAGAGCCCGCTAGTCCCAAAGCTCCCCAAGATTGACCCAACTTATCTATCGATTCCTCTCTCTCACCAGCGGCCCCCTCCCACAGCCCCAAATAATTCTATCTGCCCTCCTGTCCTTCTCCCTCCCTTATCTCTCTTTCTCTTGGCTTAACCCAGCCCTAACGCCCCGCCCCAGAAAAAAGTCTCCCCACACAAATCCGTACAAATCCGCACAAATCCACTGGTCCATCCAAGTCAACCACCACCATCCTCCACAATTTCCCAAAAATATCCCCCATCATCACCAAAAATTCTACCCCACCTGCTTCTTCATCTCCTATCATCAAAATGTCCTCCACTTCTTTGACCTCCCACCCAAACACCGGTATTGTCCCGACCCGGGACAGCCTCGAAATTAATATTGCTATCACGCCTGTCCGCCGCACCCGTAGGCCCGTGGCCGTTAGCCCTGGGAGTGAAAACATGCCAATTTCTGAGATCAATACACCCCAGCGTTCGGCTCTAGCCCGTAACAACCCTTACAACCACTTCCTCTATCCCAGTGACGGCACTGACCCTGCCTCCCCAATTAACGCCGCTGCATCCATCGACGCCGCTGCGTCTAACACCGGTGTTACTACAATTATTACTGGCGGTACTGCTACTGCCACTACCACTGGAACCACCAGCGCTGCAGCCCTCGGCCTTGCCGATAGCATTAAACAAGGAATTAAGGACCTCATTAAATCACCCATTGAGGCCATGAAGCGTCAAACTAAAAATTGGAAACGAGAGGCAACCGCCACTCAGAAGACCAATATCGCCGAGAACAAACGTCAACGCGAAGTTGACGCTGCACCCGCCAATAGTATTACTAAGGGCTCCGGCGGGGATGACGTTGCGACTCAAGCTACAATGCAAGCCGCGCACGGGGCTATCGCGGACCAGCCGGCGGGCAATCAACTCGGGGAATCATCCTCCCCTGCAACCGCCACCACCGCTACCGCCAATGTTCCCGCTGCGAGCGCTGTAGACACCACTACTGGCACAGTCAACAACACCAACTTCAGGAGCATCCTCGATATTGATCTTTATGCAAAGGTCAAGGCCGCCATGGCCAAAAGGAGGTGGAGCGCCAATCATAAACGGTTCGAGAAAACTATGGCTAAGAGAGGGGCAGCCTCCAACGGCGGAAAGTGCACCAGCAACAATCAAAAGGAACCTAAGCGCCCCCACACCGCCTAGTCTCCGCTCTCCGCCGCGCGTAGCTAGCCCGATTCGAGTTTTACCAGGCTTCCCTTTACCGGGCCGTTAAGTTTTCATTTTAAATACCCGATTTCGTTTTTTCCTTGTCTTGTATGGGTCTTCTTCGGCTGCCATAGTACAGTCAGTCATTCAGTCTGCTGTCTGTCTGTCTGTCTATCAGCCAAGCTAGTAGTAGTCCCTTAGTCGTTCGCATAGTGTAGTGTAATAAATCTCTACATTACCAGGTCACGTCATGTTTTCTCACTCGCAGTACTAGTAGCGTCTTCTCTAGCGTGTTTTTTTTTTTCTCTCTCTCTTTTATAGTGTCTTTTATAGTGTCTTTTTTGATCTTGTACCCATCAACGCGCCGTTGGTGCAGGGGTAGCATAGTTGCCTTCCATGATTCCCGTTTTCGGATTTCACTGATAGCAACTGGGAAGGGTTCGAGTCCCTTACGGCGCATTCTTCTTTTGCTCTTTTGGTGGTGATGTCTTCTGTTTTGAACTTGCATGGTGCTTTTGTCAGTGTTGGTATTTTTTCTTGAATCGCTTCACTTCGCTTCGGTTATGTGTTTAGCATCTCTCTGGCTTTCTCTTTCCCTTTCTTTTTCTGGGGCGTTTTTTTTTTTTTAACGGCGGGGCGTGTATTCGTGGAGTGTTCTGTAATCTACGTGGTTAATTGGTATTGTAATACGGTGAATACAAGTATTTATCCTCCGTCCGCAAATCTACGGCCGACTCCAGGGCTAAGTATTGCCAGGTTACAAAAATAACTACGCACCCCGCATAGCAACCAGACACGAGTCTCAATCCGTTTCATTCCGGCCATGGACAAGAGTACTACATATAGTTCTCTCTCTCTAGATTCATAGATATAGAACCATCTTTCTCATATCTATTGTGACTGTCGAAATATACCTACTCTGACGGTTGGTGGTTGCCGTTGGTGCGTAGTTATTTTTGTAACCCGACAATACTTTTAAAGTGATATATTACAGCCCGCCGATGTTCAAAAAACCCAGCAGACGAAGAAAAAAATGTTTCCTCAAGTTTACCTGTCATTTCTATTTGGAAGCCTAAGATCAGAGCCCGCTGCGGGTTTACAAAGTAAAAAAAGAAAAAAGAAGGAAAAAAGAAAAAAACAATGGGAGACGTGACTGCGCTAGAGCAGCACATACATGATTGAGTCGGACGATAACTTGGTTTCGCATGTCGCACTCTTATTTTTTTTTTTGTCAACACAGTGTAACAACGCGCTTTCCCATGACCGAAGCTACATGCATGGTATATAAACGCCTTGATTGCATTAAATTCATCAATTGCGAGATCTCTTCTCCCCCATTTTGGGTTTTGCGCGGTGCATGCTAGGAGAACGTGCTAAGAGTGGTGAAGTAGAAGAAAAGATGTGTATATACGTAAGTAGGGAATGAAATACAAGAAGAAGAAAATGGGGTGGGAAAACGGGGGGGAAATGAGAAAGAAAATCAAGGAAAACGAGCCCGACGAAACTTCCCAAAACCCGAACACTAACTCCAGTACCAGTTATCCCCAGACCGACCACAACACAGTAGTACCCAGATCATATACACTTAGTTTCCCCCAAGAATCGTTACTCAAGTTAAAACAAGAAAAAGAAAGAAAAAACGAATATGGTCGTTATGGCGGGGGTGAGGGGTGCACGAGATCGATTCATTTCCACCATTCTCCACCCGTTACTCTTCATCCGGCTTATTCAACTCTGCCTTCTTCATCTTCGACTTCTCCAGCTCCTGGAAGTGCCTAAAGAGCTTCTTCATTGGCGTATCCTTATCGTGGTACCACTCAAAATCCCCTTGATTTTTCGACCCTGAGGCTTTTTTCTCCTTTTCGCTTTTCCTTTCGTTTTCCCTTTCCCTTTCCTCGAGATTGGTCTTTGTCATAGCGCGCTGAGTCTCCGCCGAGAACAATCTCTCGGAGGAAGTCTTTACCCCAAAGTACTCCTTCCTTCTCCTGTCGAGGTCATCTTTCTGGTCCGCGGTGAGCTTCTCGTAACCCGGAACATAGATATCTCGCATGCGAAGACCGGCGTAAAGTTCTGGCTTTGATTTGGGCTGAGATGGCTCAGGTGACTCCGATTCTTCATTATCAGATACCAGGTCGATGATTTCTGGGACCATTGGCATTGGCTCGTCATCATCATCGCTGAGAATGATATCTGGGAAGCCGGCCATGGGATCATCGTTGGTAAGCTCAAAGCTCTCTTCGAGGTCTTTCTCCTCAAAATCCTTTTTAACAGAGTCTTCCCTCATACAGTCCTCCATCGTAAAATCATCTTCCTCGGAATCTCCTATCTCCCCTCTCTCATCCCCCAGGTCACCCATCCCGGGGGCCTCCATCCTTGATTTTGACGATGACTCAGTTTGGGAACTTGCTGGGGCTTTGAAGTTTCTCTGCTTTTTAGAAGAAGGCAGAGTCGTGGCAGAAGTATCTTTATATGGAGACGCATCAATGCGTGGTTTCTTGGCTGCAATAACTTTTTTGGAGGGCGATGATTGAGTGCGCTTGCGGATATTTAACTGGTCGATACCTGAAGCCATTTCCTCGTCGTTGGGTCTAGACGAATTATTTGGCGTTTCAGGGCTTTGATCATCGGGATTTAACAAATTATTTTTCTCAGGAGCTTCGACCCCAGGTTTCACAGCTGGGCGTTCGTGCATTGAAGAATTTTCCCGCTCGGTCATGCCAGTAATATCGGGAGACTCTTTGTAGTCCATGAATTCCTTCTTCTGTTTTTCAAGCATATCTGTGACACTACGGGTATTGGCCGCTGCACGGATTTCTTGGGTCCCGAAATCAACTACTTTGAGAACTTTTCTCGCCTTCCTTGGGCCTGACCTGGAAACTTGTCGAGCAGCAGCAGAGTGTGATAGAATGTCATTCTCTACTCTAGTCTTGTTTCCCTCCGACGTAGCAGGCACCTCGATCTTTTGGCGTTCTTGGGCCTCGCGCATTAGTTGCTCTTGTGATCTAGCAAAGTCGTCGGGGAGACCTTTTTGGGGATCTTTTGGTTCTACGGAGAGCCAGGGAAGATCTTGTGATGACATCTGTCTTTCAGGAATAGTTACAGGCCGAGAAGTTGGGGAACCTTGAAGTACTGGACTTCGAAGCTCTTGAGAAATATGTGGTTCTTCCATGTTTGTTCCCGGTATGAGCGTTAGGTCAAGTCCTTCATCGGCGCATACAGAATGAATACGTGACTTTGATTTTGCAATTGTAGGACTCAAGTCTTTGCCCAAAACGCCGACTCCTTTTTTGTATGGTGTCTCTTCAACTTGAATTGACGGACTCGCAGTGCTGTTGATGGATGACGAAGGTAGGGCGGGGGCAACACCTCCGCCATATTTCTGGCTTTTGGAGACGTTGACTGCTTCTGGGGCGACCGAATCTAGAACTGTACTAAGGCTGTCACCTACAGCCATTGCTTCCTCATGTTAAAACACCAGATCATTATAAATTAACTGTTCCTTTGTAATTCGAATGCTGCAGGTTAGGCACTTACTCTTGTTACCCTTGGGCTCCATCATGATCCCGGCACCATCCCCGACCTGTGAAGCATCATTTCGTTTGGGTGTCTCCGCTGGTCCCGTATACGTATGTAGGATGCCGGAGCACGGATATTGCAGGTCCGAGTTATCTAGAGCCTTTGCTGTACAGTGTAGTGCCGAGTTTAGCGGCATTAGCGGAGCTTGAGGAATCTCATCCTCTTCCTCATTTTCATCTGTATTGTCGCCCAAATGTTCGGCCATGGGTAACTCAATTGATGATCCGGGTAAGGATTCTGGGATTTTGTCGTTTTCTCCGTCTGAGAGAAGCATGCCACTGAGCTGTGAGGAAGGAAGCGGTTCGTCAGTTATAGGGTGTTGGCTTAATATAGGATGATCCACTACAATACTATGTGGTGTAGCATTTTCTGCGGGAACAATATGTTCGTTGTGCTGTTGGATTTCTGTTTGCTTGGCTCCTGGGCTCGGGCTGGGTAATTTGGAAACAATGGCTCCTACCACCTCCTTTGTAGGCGCCTCAGTTACCTTGTTTCTTTCATCTTCTGACGCCAGCTGTTTGTCCCAGGCTTCATCATCAAAGCCGCCATCACCATCATAATCAGTGTCACTTTGTGCATCCTCATTCTCATCCTCATCCTGGCGTTTCTGTGGCTGTTTTCCATTCTGTTCCCACAAATTCACCTGCTGAGCTTTTAAAATACCACCAAAAACCTCGAGCCGTGTCCGTCCATTTGGATCCACCACGCCAACTGGAAGGTTGGGGTGGTTGATAAGTTCATTAATGTTCTCATCTTCCGAAGAGGGATAATCTTCATCATCTTCTGAGCGATACTCACGACGAGGGCGCTGCTTCCGGACTGCCGCCAACTTCTGTTTCTTACTGGCCTTTGCCATTCTTGAGGGTTCCTTTATTGAGTTGTTAGAAGAATTGTTACATAAAAAAGCAAATAAATATCTTACCACATTATTCGGATCTACTGGTGTTTTTTTCGAGATTCCATTTGCTGCACGTGTGACCCGTTTGGCCTTAAATTCATACCTTTCATATGTTTCCTCGCTTTGTTGAGTACATGGGATTACATGTTCTTCCTCGACTCCTTGTACGGATATTTGGCTAGGTTGATTAAAACTACCATTGTTGCTTCTCACTTCGGCATCTGCAGAATTCGCTTTCTTGTTCAACCCTCCAGCAAGCGGAGATTGAGTACCAGAACGAAAACTGCTATCAGGTGCCGCGTTCATACCTCTCAAGGGGGAATTTACAGAACTAGACGGCCATGAAACTTGCGTACTGCCGGAGGAAGAGACTGGAGATCTAACGGGGGGCACAATAACTTGAATGTTTGATTTACGCGGTGGATGTGATTTTGGCACAAGTTGATCTTTGGAGACGAAATCGTAACCGGAGACATGGTGCCTATTTGTGTATGGATACCAAGCTACGAAGGAATTAGTAAATCTCTGAAAAGACAGGTTTTTAAGTTGGGTCTTTTGATTATAAAATGCAAAATAATTCATTCAACACTTGGTAAGTGACGTTCCATGGTGGGGGAGCAATTTGAATACAATGATATAGTGATACAAAACTACCCCAAGATACCAACCTAGCTACATTATCTATGTAACAACAGTACCAAAGACATATATAGAAAAGACAATGACCGGTAGAATAATTCAGGAAGACACTCACATTCAGGCCGATTTAATATCTCTAGCTGATCGTCAGGAATTATAGTCTGAGATAGTGTGACTTGCTCCATTTTGTCCCAACCCGGTGACTTTTTTCTACCCTTTCTTCCTACACCTGAACTTGTGAAAGATGCGGAAAGGTCGCCTCGCTTTCGCTTGCTTCGATTATTACTTTTTTGGGATTGATCCTTTGAATCCCCTTCCCAGCTAACGGCCGAGCTAACAAAAGGTCCCTCGGAATCAGACCCATCAGCATAATTGATAAATTTCGGTTCTGTATTGAGGCTCTTTGTCTGTTCTGCATTTTTCCTTGCATGGTGTGCATGTGGTTTCGGTGTCTTTTTTTTCCTTTGAGCCGAAGTCCCTAAAGACCCCCGGGTCGGGCTTTGGGGGTGGTTTGCGCCTGGTTTCTTCTTTTGACTTTTACGCTCAGGAAACTGGAGATCATCAAACGTATTCAGATGATCTGCATGGGCTTGAGTTGTGAATAGCAGCTGCGAAACGTCTTGTAAGCTGACATCGCCACGTTGTGATCGTATTTCGTCAGTTTCGTCATCTGGGCTCTCATCACCTGTCGACACCTTTGAGGACGCTGATTGCTCATTCGAATTCTTCCTTGACAAAGGTACATATTGGCTCAGTGAGAACTCTCTCCCAGAGCGCGCCTTCCTCGGCAGATCCGATAGAAGTGGTTTGAGGTCCGCTTTTAAAGATACACTCCTTGGATTCCCCCTCACTTCTGAGCATTTACCAGGAAGGAATGCAAATTCCGTGATAAAAAATATTGGTTCGGGCATAGGGAATTCGGCGTCACCATTTTTATTTCCTGTTCCCGTGTCTTGTTTTATAGACTTGTCGCCCATGTTATTCTTTTGGATTTCCTTTTTGCCCGTTTTCCTACCCTGAGATGCTGGTTTATCCGCAATTTGGGACCGATATCTAACACCTTCCCAGAACAACCTTCCGTGGACCCCAGGAAAGTAGATATCGTAGGATATGACTTTTATAATACCTCCCATGATAGTCGATATCTTGGTCTTAGAGGAAGTCTCATGTTTCCGTCTAGCATCAGAGGAAATTTTGCCGGCGATTTTAACCTTCTTGTCGGTCAAGACAACAGTACAAGGATCCTCGGTGGGGTCAATCTGTAATCAATATTACAGTGTTAGAGAATACGGAGCAAACGGTGTCTGGGAAAAGAATGAAAGCTTTATGACAAAAAAATCTTAGATATCTGGTTTTTCCCCAATAATTTTACTTCGATGCGGTTGAACGAAAGTCATGTATGTTTGGTAATCATCATATGAAATGCCAGAGTTATTTGCGGGTGAGTGGAGAATATTTGGGAAACGTACTTCAATGACCTGTAATAACTTTCCAGTACCACCTGGGAGTCGCAGTTCTCCAGACGGTCCAATTGTATCGACGATTTCATCAGCTTTAAGAGACTGCGGATCCCTATCTCGATCTCGCCTTTCGAGAGCGTCGTTTAACTTCTTGGTAATGATACCTAATACCCAGGCTTCCCGAAGCGCACGAGCCATTTGAGCTGAATCTGACGTGCTATTGCATCACACGATGCTGTAGTTGATTGTTATAGCGGTAGTGGAGCTCTTACTTGGTGATTGTCGCGTCGTCCGTCGTCTACCTGAATCCTGGGCACGCCCACGCGTTATAATTAGCTCACTTTGAAAGATAACGGCTAGACGCGCTACAGGCTACATGTAGGCACCTTCAGACTACAGTAGTACTGCTAGAGTAACAAGTACATGTAGGTACATGTAAAATACACAACACCATATATCCAGTATCAGCAATTAGGGTTTTAGAAAATTTAAGAACACGTAGAGTATGTCTTTTTACTGGGAAACACATCAGTCAAGACAATGATCTTATGATCTTGAAGGCGCCTAAAGCACGTGTACGTAGCGCAGGGTTTACTTGTGTGATTATGTCAGCTCGGCATCAAAAAGCAAGCTTTTGAAGCTGGGAATCACAGCAAGGAGCCGTCATGTGCAACTCAATCTACAATCCAATAGATAACTGGCTTGGGATAACAGCCCGTGATTCGCCCTGCAGAGAGGCCTGAACTGTCATGGTACAGGCATTTTCTACCTTACCTACTCGAGCAACGTACATTCCAGAACCATATTTCTGTCCCACTATCAGTTCCGTCAACAACTTTCTGCGAGTCGGTAGTTCAGTAGCTCCCAAAGTTCTACATAGTTCTAACAGCCTAGTTGTCTTTGCTACGGGTTTTATTATACAGAGGGACCTTGTGCATCGTGAATACTGCGATTCTTAACCCGTGCCGCGACTTGCCTCATCCATCAAACAGCAGTCAAGTGAGCTTGTCTACCCCACTTCTCACCTATACTCAAACCTATACGCTCTTCACCTCCGAAGTAACCCCGTTATAAGATCTGTCTATTCGTACTGTGGCTACAAAAGCGATTTGAACCCGGGTTTCAAATGTTTTCCTTTCGGCGGGCAGAGGCGGACCCCCAATCAGCCTCAGCTATCCCGGACCATGTTATAGAGCGCCCACGACGTGGCTCGGTGATGTCGCTCTCGCAAACTTTATATTCTCTTGACTCCACGCCTCCGCCGCCAGCAGATTTAGAACAAATCCACGCCTCCTCGTCTCAAGCTCCTGGGCTTACATCGTTCTCACTCGCATCCCCACCCAGCGGTTCCACAGAACAGCTCTCATTCAACAATTTATACTCGCGAGTCAAACGTGTTGCTTCAGCGGTCAGGGATGTTGTTAGTGTTCCAGTACGTGATGGAGCTTCGAGGATGTCACTTGGCTCGATAGGCAGCGACAGGTATCAAGGACATGCAGACAGCAGAGACTCATTCATGTCTTCAGCGACAATTGATTCTGAGGATTCGAACTACCCAGTGCTACCCACATCACCTTTATCACCTATAAAATCTCAATTTGGCAAACATTCGAGGATCACCTCTTCATCCTCTCTCCAGTCATCCTCTAGAGTATCAAGTAACAACTCCATGGCGAGCACGGCCATGGCCGGGGATTATGCCCCCCCGGCTGCATTGAGGAAAGTTAACCTTCGAGCCTCAAATTCAGGAGCTCCCGTCCCCTCATTGGCTCCAATAACTGTATTCAGAGATGGGGATGGTTCTGAATTTGTTTCACTCACTAGTCCTGGACTAGGTGTGAAAGGGATGTCAGATGTCAGTCGAAAAGACAATGAGGCCAACCTTCAAAACTCGGCGAAGGAGAAAGCAGCGGGAGTTCAAAGGACAACTGTGAATGCGCTGCTCGGAGCAGCTGGAACGGTAGTAGGTGGGACGGTTGGATACCCGCCTTTACCGGTAAGTAAAACAGTTGAGGATGAAAGTGGTGCCCGAGCAGAGAATGATGAAGAGTCCAACAGCTCTGCATCAGAGGAGGATGGGGGTGCCATTAGTGATAGTAGTGACGATGATATTATTTTGCTGAACTCCAGGCTACCAGGCGGTCACGAAGGTGACAAAATCGGAACCTATGGCAGTAAGGCAATAAAGGTCGCCGGATCTTCCTCTGAGAGCCAGCCAGTTTCAGTCCAAAGATCTTCAAGTAAAGACATACCTGCACCGCTCAATATTAATAATTCCAATCATTTACCCCCTTCCACGACCGGTAGCGATGTAGCTAGCGGAACATCATTAGAGTCAAACGCTGCCTCATTTGTAAACAACCGTCTTCAATCCCCGGGCACAAGTCCATCAGCCATCAAATCCGCTATTAATTTACCACCGAAGGGTGACAAAAATTCGCCATCCTCAAATCAACAAACAAATGTCCCTGGAAAATCTTCCCTGCCGCCACCAAATTCCCCCATGGCTGGAAGTGGAGAAACTGCCAGAAAGCAAAGACCAACAGTATCAAAAATCAGTACAGATCAAGCCAGTCTACTTCCAGGGTTCTCTGTTACTCGTGAGGCAAGCTCAGAGTCAGGATCCAGTCAGGGCGCGACTTCAACGGCAGATGTCGGGAAACATAGTGGGGGCTCTTCAATGTATCAATATAGGGAAGGCTTTCAAGATGGAATGGTCAATGGGGGTAACACAGGCCCAAATGGGGGTGTGGGAACAGGAAATTCAGAAGCTGTCAGCCAAGCTTTGAGACAACTTAGAATGGGTAACCTAACTAGCGACTTTTGGATGAAAGATGAGCTCTGCAAGGAATGCTTCTTATGCGCGAATACTTTTGGAGTTTTTCGAAGGAAACACCATTGCCGTAAGTTACTACTACTCGGTTTACTTTTGGAGAACTTCCCTTTCCTCTTCTCTCTTATTCTATTTTTATTTACAATATTCAAAACAAAACTGATCGTAGTTTTGTTTGGTAGGACTTTGCGGTCAAATATTTTGTTCGAAGTGCACTACCTTGATATCTGGGGACAGGTTTCAACACCAAGGGTCCATGCGAGTCTGTAGTCCATGTCTCGAGATTGTCAATGAGTATCAAGACGAATCAGAATCAGAGGACGATTTCTCACCAGCATCCGTTTTCCACATCCATCAGCCAATCGACCAGCGGCACGAAATGCAGTCTGGTCCTGGGAGTGTAGTTGGTACCCCAATAGGAGGACCTATGACACCTGGTTTCAGCATGCCCAGAGAGTCACGTCCCGCAACCACGCCGTTAATGGCAATCCCAGCATCCAGAATTACTGCTGGAAGCAATCCAAATAGACGTTCTCAGATCCTCGAAATAAACGCTGAGATACCATCACCCCCTCGGCCCCCGTCCTCACGATCTGGAAAGTCGCCCATGTCGTTTTCTAGACCACTTACTGCAAATGCTTTGAAGCTCCCTCAACATGGCCACTCACATTCCCATTCACACCACCACCATCACAAACACCAGCATTCCCGCTCGCATAGATGGTTCCCGGCCGCAAACGCAAACGAACGGGCACCTTTCCACCGAAACGTGGCTGACGAACTCGGGTTACAAGGAGCCCTCCCCGCGTTTCATTCTGATAGCATCATCGATCCAGATTTGGCGCCTTACATGAGTGATGATGCTAGCGACGATGAACAAATGAGCATATTCGCAACGATCGCGCCCAAATATGGAGAGGCATTTGGGAACCTGTTTTCGACTTCTGCCGCCGGTTCACAGAGTGGTCAGGCCGGAGGCATCTCTTTGGGGTTAAACGGAGCTACTTCTACAATGTCAAAGATCAGGAGAGCTGCTAGTATTAATGGAATTAATGCACTTTTGAATGCCGGTGGTAGTGATAATGGCAAGTCCGGGTTACTGCCCCCCACTAGATCGTCTAGGAAACGCAACTCGAGCTTCCTTGGAAATATTCAGCCCCGACCAGTTACCAGAGGAAAGGGACACCGCAATCTCATGCGATCGCTAGTGGGGAGTGTCAGCGATGCGTCCGCATTTGGAGGGGCTGGGAGTAGTGCCATGCCCTCTCCTCGAGCCTCAAGAAGTGCTTCCATGCGAGGACCTCTAGCACCATCTATCGAGCTCAACACAGCGAGCTTGCAACATGTTCGAACTCTGCTTCGCCAGTTACTTGGTGACGCGAACATCAAGGAAGTGGACAAATGGGAGCGGGCACTCATGCCAATTCTACTCAAAAGTACCGATGATTTGAACCCCGACATCCGCAGTGGCGACATTATCGATATTCGCCACTATGTCAAGGTCAAGAAGATTCCTGGTGGAAAACCTGGCGATACAACTTATGTTTCTGGCGTCGTATTTACCAAGAATTTGGCGTTAAAGAGTATGCCACGGAACATAGCACATCCACGAATAGTTGTTGTCACCTTCCCGATCGAGTACCAACGACACCAACAGCAGCTCATGAGTCTCGAGCCAGTAATTGCACAAGAGAAAGACTACCTTCAGAAAATGGTTGCTCGTATAACTTCTCTAAGGCCAACGCTGCTTCTTGTTGAAAAAAACATCTCCGGTGTTGCTCTCCAACTTCTCGCGCAAGCTAATGTAGCAACAACACATCTTGTAAAGCCATCAGTAATCGAAGCTGTGGCTAGATGTGCTGGTGCAGACATTTGTTCGTCGGTTGACAAGCTACTACTTCATAATTTCCGAGTCGGCCGGTGTGCTTCCTTTGACGTCAAGACATTTGTGCATGAGGATATACCAGAAAAAAAGAAGACATTCATGTACCTTTCCGGTTGTCCAAAGGAGCTCGGCTGTACAATTGTGTTGAGGGGAGGTGATATGGAAACGCTGGCAGTCCTCAAACAAATTACGGAGATGATGATTTATGTCGTTTACAACTTAAAGCTTGAGACTTGCTTGATGCGAGATGAGTTTGTGAATATTCCCTCAAGTTCTTCCATTGCGCCTACACCAACAGTGGTTCCTACAGCAGCCCCACAAACCGACGCACCAACTGCTGCTTTCGACGACCCAGAGAAAACGCTCTCGACCGAAGATGGCCAAGAAAATCTGGCTGCATCTGAAAATCAGGAGAAGTCGCCAAATTCCAGATCGGAAGAGTCTGAGCGTATGGCAGGTGGGGTACCAGATGATATTCCCAGCCCAACTTACTATGAAGATATGGTGAAGAATCACGAGACAAAAGTTCTTTCGGCATCACCCTTTGTTAAGTACATGCAGCCATACCTTTTAATGCGAGCTAGGGAACTCGAAAGAAAATTGGTGTATCTGAAGAGACTAAGAGATAGTCAAGTGGTTGAAGATGATGAACAAACCGAGTTTGGGTCTGATGGCAGGGTTGGAGAGTTGGAAGAACATGTTGAAAACGAGAAATCCGCCGATCCAGATAAACCCGTGGAAAAGTTTGAGTTGATTCAGCCAGAGATGGTCGATGCAAATGTTAAGAACGGAACCAAAAAGATGATAGAGGTACTGCGAGCAATCCACGATGCAGAATACGACAAAGCACTTCATGTCTATGAAACCCAGAAAAAACAATGGGAGAATTACTTATCCCAATATGACGATCTGTTTGATCCCTATGCTCATCAGAATATCGCCATACTATACAGTTTGGTATGCACATTAACCACTGTTCCCTGTGAAGGGCCAGAACTTCGCAGGTTAGGGTTTTATATCCAAGGCATGGATTGGCCACTCGGCAAATCAGACTGTACACTGGGGCAATATGTTGAACTTCTCTGCAACACTGCGAATAAACAATGCGAATCGGACACCTGCGACAAGAAGATGATTGACCACCACCGATCTTATGTCCACGGCCAAGCTCGGGTCAGTGTCCTAGTAAGCGACAAAATGGCATGCCCCATCCAGGGCATGCAGGATACAATTCTTATGTGGAGTTACTGCAAAGTATGTCCGAATACTAATACCCCGGCCATCCCAATGTCCGAAAGCACCTGGAAATACTCATTCGGCAAATACCTTGAGCTTGCTTTCTGGAGTTCCGAAATGAAATTGAGGGCAGGGAATTGTCCACACGATTTGAACCGCGATCATGTTAGGTGTTTTGGCTATAGAGGCTTAACAGTGGTTTTCCAATATGATCCCATTGATTTGCTAGAGATCGTCGTCCCTCGGACGAAAATCACGTATCAGCCGGAAATTGACCTACGAATTAAGAACGAGCAGTACTTACAGCATGAAGAAAGGACGGATCGTTTCTTCTCTTCAGTAAAGTCTCGTCTAAAGAGTATCAATATAGACTCTGTGCCCGCCGATAAAATCGATGCTTGCAAAGCAGAAATCGAAACGCTCACAACCCAGGCAGAAAACGAGCATAGTTGGCTGATCAAAAAACTTCAAGAAAAGTACAACAAGTCCAAGTACTTCGAGATCATACCGCTTAATAGGGCTCTGCGAGCTTTGCAAGAAAGAGTGGTGGACTGGGATGCCAGGTTCAATGCCTTCGATAATAACTACTTTCCGTCAGAAAAAGATATCCGCAGATTGGCAACACTCCAACTCAAGAAGATATTTATTGACAACCCGTCTACGCCTAACCTACAACCCGGTGAACGCACACCAACGCCTGAAAAGGAAGATCTTGGTAAAGCTGCTTCTATTGTAGATGGGTCTGCAGAAATGGTCACCTCCCCGGCCGAGATGTCACCAAAGCAGGCACACGATGTTCTTGCGTCAGTCGTTGAAGAGGATATCGAAAATAGCAAAGGGAAGTCTGCTAAGAATGAAAAGGAGGACAGCACGGAGGATAAGGAGGATGCGCCTAGTATAACTACTGTCACGCCGGAGCCGATTTCTGGCCAGGGAGGGCTCAGCCAATTTGAAAATATGGATCACCTGACTCCCAGGCAGGAAGTCTCTCTTGAGCAAGCAGCTCTAAAGACCATATCACCGGAGCCATCCGCGCCGAATAGTCCCATAGTCCCTATCCACCCGAAGATCAGGTCTAGCCCAGCAATTGTAGAATTAGAAGGGGCGAAATCGGATAGCGATACCCCAGGCCAACCCGCAAAGAACTCTGGTTCCAGGGCATCCTTTGAGGATTCCAAGGTATCCGTTGATGGCCCCAGGGCATCCTTTGAGAGTCCTCGGACATCACTTGAGGGCTCTCGGAGATCTCTTGAGGGTTCTCGAAAATCACTTGAGGGTCCCAGAACATCTCTTGAGCGACTATCTTCAGAGCGTGAGCGACCAACTAGCCACATGTCATCAATCCCGAGGTTCGTAGATGCAAGGCGAAAACTTGTAGCACCTCCACTCAATAGGACGCAATCTACCCCACACGTACCGCAACGAAAGGGCTCAGATGGAGTTCCGTCGGGACTGAGGCCTCTAACTCATACACCATCATTTCCCCTCAAGAAACCTTCGGTTACTGAAGCTATTCGAAAGCACAATGCGGAAAAGGCAAAGTCTGGTAAGGGGCCGGAAAAGTTTCGCTTCGCTTCACTAAACAAGAAATCTCCTCAATTGAGGGACACGCAAATTCCTCGTTCAGTCCCGACGCAAAGACGCAAGGACACCAAGGTTGCAACTATAGCGAAACAAATAGAACAGCTCGAACAACTCAGTAGAGAATTTGAGAAAGAGAGGGTAAGAGAGAAACGCCTCTCTGCCGCTAAGAGGACCAGGGCACTTCCGGTAGCTACCTCTAGGCCCATAGTCGAGGTTTACCGTAACGTCGCAGAAGCCGTTGAAGAGGTTTCCGATGAGGAACCTCATGAACCTATGCCCCCTAGTCGGGAAACCAGTAATATGACTGTAAGCACGGAATCAACAATTCAAACTGAGTCTCCGCAAGAGTTTTCTACTCCCGAAATAACGATGACCCCCGAACCTGTTGAGGAGCAGATTGAGGAGTATCATGCACAACCAAATCAAATGGTCCAATCTGATGTGGACATGAGTGATGGTGAAATATCCTTTTCAAGTGATCATGAAGCCAATATCCAACCACCTATTATAGACGTGCTCCCGCCAAATCCAGATACACCTCTAATCCAAAAACATGAGAAATCGGCCTGGACAAAAATGCTCTCAAATTTCTGGGCTGAGCGGTCTGCAAGTGGATGGTCTTCACTTGAGTACCCACTGTACGTCCTCTAATCGAAATATTTTACCCTAAGTTGGCAATGCTGACTTTACGAATATAGTCATCCAACAGATCATGTTTTCAACGACTCTGATGTTATTGTCCGTGAAGATGAACCTAGCTCTCTCATTGCATTTGCTCTCAACTGTGAGGATTATGCCACCAAGCTTGATGCCATTCGTAGCGCGGATGAAGGGCCAACAAGCTCAGAGGACTGTGCTCGTCCAACTGCATTTAACGCAGATGAACATCCTGAGCTTGAAAGGTCACTACTCAGAACCACTGGGACACATCTCAAATACCGTGCGTTTCACTTCCTCCCATCATTCTGTCCCAACCAATACTGATACCATTTTATGTAACAGAGTTTCAAGAGGGTTCGGCTAAGATGTTCTGCAAAATCTTTTTTGCCGAACAGTTTGATGCGCTGCGAAGAAACTGCGGTGTTGCTGATCGATACGTTGAGTCTTTGTCGCGATGCATCAAATGGGATTCCAAGGGAGGAAAAACCAAGTCCGTTTTCCTGAAGACACAGGACGAGCGATTCGTGTTGAAGGCCTTGGCGCCAATTGAGACGGCCGCGTTTATCAAATTTGCACCTGCATATTTCCAGTTCATGGCAGAAGCATTTTTCCACGAGGTGAGTTTCGGTTGCGGTGCGCACAGACGAGTGATGGTTACTGATGAGCAAATTAGCTTCCGACTGTTATTGCCAAGATGCTGGGATTCTACCAGATCATGATCAAGAACCCGACAACGGGAATAGAAATCAAATGGGATGTTTTAGTGATGGAGAACCTTTTCTATGACCGCAAGACCACGAGGGTAAACAAGATATCAATAAGAAAAGAAAAACCTGTTTATCGACCAATCACTAACTTTCTTGTTGTAGATTTTTGATCTCAAAGGTTCCATGCGCAATCGATACATGCAGTCAACTGGCGATCAGAATGAGGTTCTCCTCGATGAGAACATGATAGAATTCATATACGAGTCGCCACTGTTTGTCAGAGAACATTCGAAGAAACTACTTCGAGCATCTCTGTGGAACGATACTTTGTTCTTATCGAGGCAGAATGTGATGGACTACTCACTAATGATTGGAATCGACGAGGTCAGGAAAGAGCTTTGCGTTGGCATCATTGGTGCGTATAACCCCCCCCTTTCTGCAAGAAGCCTTAATCATGCTCGGCAGCCTTGTCTGACAGCTACGCTAGACTGCATACGTACCTTTACGTGGGACAAGAAGCTTGAAAGCTGGGTGAAGGAAAAGGGTTTCGCAGGTGGTGGAAACAAAAAGCCAACTGTCACCAGTCCTCGAGAGTACAAACATCGGTTCCGTGAGGCTATGGAACGATACGTTCTAGAAGCGCCAAGGTTTGCCTGTTCCTAAGAAGTGTTGTTTATATTAAATTGTGCGCGAGGCTCACCGGGTGGCAAATGCATTACATAGCTGTTGGCACTTGTTTCCCACAAATTACATAGGGACGATTCCTGTTCGGCTTCACCACCCACCACAGCAAACTGCGGGCATAGAAGATAATAATAATAACAACGTTAAAGAGGACAACATTAATAATTAGCTAACTAACGGGAGCTTAAGGGATGGAATTCATTTTATTTATATTTCCTGGGGCGAAATAATAGGGCGAACGAAATCTTGTTTGGCTCATGAAAAGGGGAAATGGGAGGGAGGGAAGGGACTAATACCCTATTGTATTCTATTATTTCCATGTTTTATTTGTTTTTTGTTTCTGTTTTGTAAAAACCTGGCGTTCGGATAATAAGGCGTAGACCCTTTGGTAGGGGGAAACTTGTGTTGGGTTTTTTTTTTCTTGCTTCTAACGAATGAACGACAAATATTATGACAATGCAATGTGGACGGTATGAGACTCCAGCCGCCGCTAAATACATACCCTTCTCAACGAAAGAATGCTATGCTCATCAAGGTCCATCACTGCCGTGATTGCATACATAATATGATGACTCGAAATAAGTGAGTGATGAGTGAGCATGAGCATGGGCTTCAGCTCTCTCCTTCAGCTCTTGGTGGTTGCTGTGGACCCTGCGTCGTTGTACCTACTGCTGTGATTGGCGCCTAACCCAGCCCGCACAGCCACGCCTGCGGCGGACCCATCAGTAAGCGCACGACTACGCCCCAACCACGTCGAAGATGTTGAGAGCGCACCGCACCTTGGTGCGAACAAAACAAAAAACCCAGTTCCCCCCCTTCCCTCACCTAAGAACTCAGGGGTGAGATGAGGGAAGGAACGAAGGAAAGAAAAGGGCGGTTTCCGTTTCATACAGCCTTGACAACAGCACGCGATGTGCAATATGATCGCAGCTGCAAGGTACGGACGGTACAGTACCTCCCATCTCGTTGTCTGGACTTTGACAGGCTGAGGGTGTGCTGTGTGGCTGTGGCTGTGGTGATGATGTGAATAATTAAGGGAATGGGAAGGGCTAGGGCGCGGGAGGTAGCCAGCAGAGTTAAGTTAAGGCTGCCCTATGGCTGGTTGGCAGCTACCTACCGTACCACGGCATGGGTACATACAGGCAGACAAGACATGACAGACCAGACGTTATGAGAACATTGACACAGCCGTAAATGGGTGTTTCCAAACTGAGTTGCTCTGGTACATCTCCGGATTTGGACATTGAATGGAGGTGTTCGTGCGATTACGCTCACTCACTCCCCCCCCCCCCCCCACCATGGCCCCCCTTCGCACCCGTGAAGAAATTCGCACCCACCGCCCAGATGGGCCACTAAGCCCCCCTCCTCCGTGCTTCAGGGGAAAAGAAAGCATGGCAGATGCTGCTGATGAGGATGATATAAGAGGCGTAGTCAGTAAAAAGCTTGGATTGAGATAAAAACAAGCCTTCACCCACTATCACTCTGACTCTTCAGCAGCATCAGCATCAGCATCAGCACCAAAAGCATATAATAAGATCATACCACCACTACCACTTAGTCCCATTGAGTCTAGCAGCAGCCTCTTAAGCCTTAAAAGCCTCCCACCGCCCTACTTCAAAGACATCCTTTTTGATATCAGCTACTATTCTCTCGTCAGCACTAGGCATTACTTTCCCTGCCACTGCCAGCATTAGCTACTAGTCACCACCACCACCGCTACTACTCTCACCACCATCTCCTCTTCTTCATACCATCCTGCATCTAGAGCTTCACACTAGCTAGCTATCTGCACGTCTGCCCCTGCACCGTCAGTAATCTCCAACATCAAGTAAACCAAAACCAAAACCCCACAAACCAAACCTCACAATGCCTTCCCTCCCCGTCGTCATTACCCAATCCCTCACCACCTCCTACGCCGCTTCCTCTATTGCTCCCAACAGTGCCACCTCCAGCACCTTCCCCAGCAGCAGCACCTCCGACCGCTGCTCCTCCCTCTCCAGCACGGTTAGTAGCTCCTCCGCCGGCAGCTACCACGCCCACACCTCCGCGACCCGTCCGCCGCAGGTGACTGCGCAGACGCCCTATGGCAAGAAGGAGTTCATACATACCGGCCGCCCACAGGGCGGGAACCCCCACGGCGGCCCGAGACAGAACATGGAGGGCTACGAGCGCGTGAGCAGGGGCAACGTCACGGTGCACAACACCGGCGGACAGGCGAGGGGCTTGAATTCGGTCAAGTTGGGTGTTGAGAGTGGGAATGATGAGAGGCACACCAAGGAGTGCAGGGAGTTGTCGAGGTATAGTGATAATGTTGGGTTGTGCTTTTGCCCGCCGAGCGAGAATTAGGGTAGGAGTTTGCGATTGTGGTGAGGTGGATCAGTGGGGTGTATTTTTTTTAATTGTATTTTAGAGTTTCTTTTTTTCTTTTTCTTTTTCTTTTACTTTGAGTGTGGGTTGGACTTGGCTTCTTTTTTCTTCTTCTTGGGTTAGGTTTTTTTTTAATGATTCCTGGATGATTCATGTTAGCGCTTTTGTTTTTTCGGTATTTTTGATCATTTCTCTTTAGTTTCGTACTTATTCTTTTTTTTTGCGTTTACTTCTTCTTCAGTTGATCAGGAAAAGGAGTACTTGCCTTGTTCTTTTTTTAATCTATATTTTTATCCTTTTTTATCTCTATCGCATCGTTTCCAATTGCAATATGTAGTAACAGCTCTCATCTCATCTCATCTTATGCTTCTTCATTTATAGAGTACGATACGTCCATAGAATCTGAATACGAGGTTAATCCTCTTAAAAACCGTAACATAAAACTCCAATCTGAACTCCAGTTAGCACATGGTAACAATATTGCAATACGTGGTGACACCCATAGAACAACCAACCAACACCTCAGCCTAGCAACAGCAATTGCACTTATCCCATCGCCCTCTCCCGCCTTGCCGTTGCCCATAATTAGTCTCGCCCCTGTCCCTCCCTCCCTCCCTCCCTCCCTCCCGCCCGCCCCGCTTCCCGTTGCCTCGATCGTAGAAGTGAAGTGAAGTTTGGGAGTGAAGTTTTCGGCCAGTCGGTTACCGGGTTGCCACGCAGCGGGTGGTAATGATCGCGAGGCAGGAAAAGTGAAATGTGCTGACACAGCCTTGCAAGTGATGATAGCGGTAATGGTTTTGAGTGGGTAAGTGGGTGATTGGTGAGTGAGTGATGTGAGAGTGGTACTGTGGTTTGCAAAAGGGGATGAAAAAGGGGAATTGCTACAAAGATGGGGAAACGAGGAAATACCGAAACGAAACTCCGCGGCATAACACCCTCAACAAGAACACATCTAGCTCTGCGACACATGAGATATTTGGAATCAACACAATTCAATGAGGATACATCGGATCCCGATTCTCATATATCAGAGCACCGATAATTCGATCCCCAACGCCGTGGACATGCATGGCAATGAAAGAACTTTGTGATCATACCAGATAGACAAAGTAATAGACAAAAGGTTCGATTCGATTCAGACAGAGATTTGCTTTACGTACTTGCATCTCACTGTGCCCCAATGCCAACCTCCCTTTCGAATTCCTCTTCCCTCCCTCCTCTCCCCCATTCTTAATCACCGGGTAAAACCTCAAAAACCGAGTGACAGCCCCATGACCAAACCCTCCCCAAGGCCCAAAAGTCCCAAGTAGCCAATAAGCACCCACCAGGTACCCGTTCCCCCAACCACTCAGTTATCTTCCAGGACTGACCAGGCCAGAAGGCCCGAGAAACCCAAGACCAACCCCCCTATACATATACCCCTTTCCTTTCACGCCCACTCACCCACTCACTCTCTCCTAGCAGCCAAGACCGACCGGGAGCAAAATGTCGCCAGCCAACTCATTTATACTTTTCCGCTAATCACCGCCAAAGACGGACATAGAACTTAGTAGCTAGCTAGTGGAGGGGCCAGGATGGCCTCTCGCTCGCATAATTAAGGACCTGGCACTAGTAGAGGAGAATGTCTTCCCCGCGGTGTTGGGCCTGGTAATTACTTTCCTCAGATGGTAAAGTAAGGCAAGACAGTTTCATGGCTCTCACATGGCCCTTTTATGTCGAGTAGGTACATTCGGAGCCAAGGACAAGACAAGACAACGTTAACGTTAATTAACGTTGGATTCATGATCAAGCACCTTCGATCCCCACGTCCGTATCCGACGACGTGCTTGTCGATTCTGATCAAACACAAGACAAGACATCAAGACACAGCTACCACCATCTCTATCTCTACGATACCGGTGAGCAGGTAGAGACATAGAGCACAACAAAGCACGTCTCTCACGGCCCTCTGTTTCACTTATATCTGCCCACCTTATCCACCCCACCCTATCTATCCCGGTGAGAGTACATGTAGCGCTGCTCGCCTACTCTATTTCCCCACGATCCCGTATTGCCCCGCACGGTATATCCGCCCCTCCCCGCGGGCCAGATACTGTATGCAGAGTAGTAGTATCAACACATTTCCCCACGAAATGACTATCATGGCTTAGATGACTCTAAAGCAGAGTAGAGAGAGTGCTCTATCTGTATTTTTTTCCCCATAGTGAGATCTGGGGATTTCGCTACCTGTACTTTAGAGTAGAGTCAGATCAGTGACTATCATGATCACCGTCTAGCTAGTTAACTAGTTGATTCGTTAGCAAGATATCCATACTCAAATCTTGAATTCCCCACGATCCAGTTGGCAATTAAACACCCAATTAAGCCCTACCCACCATACCTTCCCTCCCACTATTTCGCCCTATTTCCCTACCCATAAGTGTGCCACCACCACCGTTCACCACTCACTCACCACCACTCACTCACACACAGCCAAACCCCTCGGCAGCCCATTATCGTCCTTCACCCAAGCCTCGGCTTCGGAACTAAGTATTTCCTTCCTTCCACTCATCCATCTTTCCTCCCCTCTCGCCTTATCCGTCGCCCATTGATCCGCTCGATCGTGTACCTGCCAATGCCCAACGTTACATACGGACAAAAGGACCCATCTCATCGGACGAGCGGGGCGGACGGGCGCTGTGGGTGGCGTTATCTCCCATTTCTTTTCTTTTTGTCCTTTTTAGCGTTCTTGGTGTGCTTGGTGTGCTTGGTGTGCTTGGTGTGCTTGGTGTTATATATGTATGTATGGTGGCCTGAAGAACTGAAGAACCAAGAGTGGGCGGCCGGGTGGTGGTGGGCGGGCGTACCTTGGTTGCGGTTGCTTGAATGGCTGGGCGTGCTGTCAATGATGGGACTGAGACATGAGTTTGGGTATGCATGTTAGATAGAGTAGAGAGCTCTTGGTAAAAGTATCGTAGAGTAAAGTAGTATAGAGCTCAATTGTATGTAGAGTAGTAAGCCCCATAGCACTTCTTATCCCCACAGTCACCATAGCCAGCCTAGTTAGGTTTGTAGTCAATTGCACTCCAGAACCGCGCATCCAACTACGCTACCCAGCCTACATCCATACTCCAAGCCTTATGCACCCTCCAAGCCTTTCTACCTGCCCTCCAAACATCAGACGAAGTCTCGACGGCAGTAACCGAATTTAAATACTCCCACCACCACCCACCGCCCTACCCTACCAAACGCACGGTCCGGATGGCGGGGTGGAAAAACTGCGCTGCCTGCTTACAGGGGGTTCAAAACGAGCCGCACGCCATCTCTCTAGGATATATTAGGGTTAGGGGTAGCATTGTCAGCTAGGTTTGTTTATAAGTAGGTGCAGGAGAGGAGGGATTAGTTTTGTTTCAAAACAACTCAACAGAAAACTGAACCGATCTGAGTAAGTGGAATACCCGTGCGGGGGGGTGGTAAGTTAGTAGGAGCTGGGAAGGAAGGATTAAGAGAAGTTAGAGTAGAAAAAGGCAATCTAGATGGCGAGGTTTCTGATAGGTAGGATAGGTGTAGGGTCGAATCGAATCGAATCAAGTGCACGGTCGCTGGCTGGGTAAAATGCCATATCTACATAAAAATAAAAATCTCTTTTTTTCCGAAATTTAAGACTCCCATCATGGACTGGACTGGACTGGATTGGATTGGACTGGATGGATGGATGGATGGATGGAGGGAGGGCTTATTTACGCTACCGAGTTGAGGGCTTAGTATAAGATTTGCACACGTACCTACACTCTTCATTCGGTTTCATCAAAAATGTGCAATGTGCAGGCAGGCAGATTAGAGTAGGTAGAGTACATACGAGTCAAACATGAAGAGTAATCCAACCTCGATTATAATTCAATCTCCAATATAATATCGCGGCATGCAATATATCAGCTTTTAGCTAGTAGGCACTCTATCTATTAACCACGTCCAGTACCAGATCGAGATATAACCTACCCTACCCTAGCTTCCCCTACTCCCAAATACCATACTAGAATCCAGCACTGCATCCCTCCCAACATCATACCATTCGGTCCATACCCACCACCGCGCCGCCCCTCTGCATCTCAAAACGGGTAATTCACCTGTCCCCTACGCTACACCCTACCCTACCCTAGCTGACAGGTGCAGGTGCGGTGTTCTCCGGAAGACACTTTTCCCCGGGCGCCGAAGGTGACGGCAGATACTATCGGTACCGCTGCAATACGATCCACCACCACCACATACCGCCTACTTACCTAGGCCCAGCCAGCTCCCTCAAAGTACAAAATTAATGGATACAAAATAGCTACGGTGGTGGTGGTGGTGGTGGCGACTATAGAAGCGACAGTAAGGGAGGCAACAGTTACGTACCTACGACGCTTCGAGTACAGCAGCAGGAATTGGGGGTTCTGTTCCTGTCCTGTCGTGTAGTAGTAGCTCGTAGGTATTACATGCGCCATGACAGGCAGGCAGTGACCACAACGTCGTCCTGTTTCAGACAGAAAATCCAGACCAAGACGACCGAGGTACGACTTCGACCTCGCCAAAAAAAAAAATGTCAATGCGAACAGAGTAAAAAACGCAATAACAATCGCAATTGTAATTACCCGATACTTCTACTCAATTGCTCTGATCAATTAAGCCTGGGGTAATTGAAAGCACATACCTGCGCTCGTACAATTCACCGTCACATACAAAAAAACAAAAAAATCCGAGTGATAACCCGAGCATGCCAGTGCACCCACTCCTCGGCCCAAGGGGTGAGGGTAAGAAACCAATGAGTGACCAGTAGTACCAGTAACCAGTAACCAAAAGAAAGAAAAACAACCGACGATCTAGTAACTAGCTAATGTACTCTACCTGATTTCTCTTTCCCCACAACCAGTTTGCACTTCGATCCGCGCGTGCGAGATTCTGGGGAAACCCCTAGCTACCCAGTGTTCCCCGTCTGGTCCTGGTTTCCCCGGTGTCTGTCCACTTTTTCCCCATGATTTGAATGAAGTCTTAGATAAAGTTTTTTTGTTTTTTATTTTTTTGCGGGGTACAGTTATACCCTTTTCCTATTACTGAACGCTTCTCCGGCTGTGCGGAGCCTGTGGGTGCTTGCGAAAAAAAACAGGCCATGGTGAGAGTTTCATGGAGATCAGATCATTGCTCGAAAACCACCACTAGCCCTGTACGGCACGAAAACCACATTTTTGGCGTAGTGTGGCTGATGGGTCACTACAATACAAGCTTTCTCACTGATATGTGCCCAGGCTACCCCCCTCCAAAAAAGCATTTTTTGGGGTTCTCTCTCTCGCTCATTACTAATTAGTAGTCCCGCAGGGTTGTACCAGCCAACCAACAACCCATGACGCAACCCCAGTTTGGGCGATGCCGATAATTCCGGACGATACCTCACATAACCTATGAACAGCATACACCACATATCTAGAATTAGAGTACCGTACCTTTAGGTAGGTATGTTATGTAGGTAGGGAGAAGGTATGTAGGAGAGTAAAAAGGAAGAGTAATTACTCTAATTACTCTTCCCCCCCTCCCCCAATTCCACCCCCCTCCCCCAATACTATTTTTCGATCTCCCCCAGCCAAATACGCTCTGACATCTAGCACGTATTCCACCCCCCCCCCCGCCCCCAGCCGGACGAGGGGAAAAAAATGCTTTTTGGTAAAAAAAAGTTAGTAGGTAGCAACCTCCCCCCCCCCCCGGGGGAAAGAAGTGGGTTGTGTGATATGCAGCTAGTTGGGATTTTGCTCTAGATTGGGAGCTAGTTAACTAGCGAATTTCTGGAGCATATCCCGAATCTGGAGATGGCGGCAAAGGAAAGGGTAGAAAAGTAGTGCTAATCACTATCTCCGCATTATTCTACTCCACACGGACGGACGGGACGCTAATGCTGCCCCTAATTTTTGTTTATTTCGTTGGCTGGGGAGCGGGTGAGGATGGAGGGGGGTGCAGATGGTGGTGGTAGGGTGTGTTGGGATTTGAAACCTGGAAAAAAGGGTAGTGAGTGGGTAATATATATATCACGGCCCTACCCCACGACCATTGATCTTCTTCCCTTCTTTCCTTTCCCCATCATCCGCCTCCTCAATCAATCCCGACGACCTGATCACCTCCCCCCTTCACGACCTCACCTCACGACCTCCTCCTCACAACAGCACATCATCACCATGTCGGCCGCCAAAGAAGACGCTGTCCACGATGCGGGCTACAAGCAATCGAGCGACCTCGAGTACGGCGTGCGCCACCACAACAACGGCTTCAACCACACCCAGGAGGGCGGCAGCTCCCTCGCAACAAAGGAGGGAGTCATGATGCCCGCCTTTGGAGGTGCCTTCCAGCCCGGCCCGTACCAGCCCAGCTTCCGCAAGTTCGCCAACCCGGCGCCGCTGGGATTGTGCGCCTTTGCGCTGACAACCTTTGTGCTGTCGCTCATCAATGCGAATGCCAGGGGCGTGAGCACGCCCAACATCGTCGTCGGGATGGCGTACGCCTACGGAGGGTTGGTCCAGTTGCTTGCGGGAATGTGGGAAATGGCTGTCGGAAGTAAGTAAATGATTAGAAATCAACTTTTTTGTGTGTTGCTGCGGGAATGACCCTGTCCGCTTGTCTCGCTTGCGATATAGGGGGGTCCAATTGGGAAAGAGAATTGAAAGAGACTGACTCAGTGTTTTTTTTAGACACTTTCGGAGCTACTGCGTTGTCTTCGTACGGAGGATTCTGGCTCAGTTTTGCGATGATCCAAACCGGCAGCTTCGGGATTACGGCTGCATATGAGGAAGATCCGGAAGCACTCATGTCTGCCCTGGGTTTCTATCTCATCGCGTAAGTAGCTTTGAAAATAGTAATAGGTGATTGATTGAAAGGGCCCCCCGCTAATTATTTCTTATAGCTGGTGGGTGTTTACAACGATCCTCCTCTTCTGCACCCTCAAGTCGACCCTCGCCTTCTTCAGCTTGTTCTTCTTCCTCGACATCACCTTCCTGCTCCTAGCCGTCGCACACTTCGCCACTGTCGATGGCGGTATCAATGTCACCATCAACAAGGTCGCTGGTGTCTTCGGTCTGATCACCGCCTTCATTGCCTGGTGGAACGCACTTGCCGGTATCGCCGAGACCTCAAACAGCTTCTTCACCATCCCTGTAAGTACCTCCCATCGATCCTCGTTCCGCCGCGATTCCAATTGCTAATGGTAACTAGGTCGTCCACTTCCCCTGGAGCGAGAAGGTCAAGGCCGAGAGGAGGGCTTCCAAGAGCGATTAAACTCCAACATACCGCTCTAGTTGCCCATGAAATGTTTTTTCGCCATTTTCCACACTGTTTGAGATGGTTGGGAGGTTGCAATTGATTTTTTATTTTATTTATATTTTTTTCCTCTTTAATGCATGCGATGCTGCGAACGAAGCAATTTTTTTTTCACTCTAAAAAAAAAAACCTCTGTTATTGAAGGTGTTGGTAGTGGTGGGAGGTCGTCGTGGTGATAGATGATTAGATGTGGTCGTTGGTCGTCGGTCCTGTATCATGATGGATTTTATTGCCCTCTTCCTCCACATTCCCCAGTACGTTTTCGTTTACCGTTTCCGTCTAGAAAGCGAGCGAATCCTTAATACCAACGTTTCCCTCCTCCTCCTTCAGCAAGAACTACCCTTTTTTTGTAATGAAGTTGTACGTATCGGGGCGGGCGGGAATATCGATAATTCGAAAAAAATCCCTCCTTTAACCCCCCAATGATGAGATATCATGTATCTGGGGAAAAAAAAGAAGACTCCATAATTGAATCCATGAAATCATCAATTCTTTCCACATGACATCTTCCTCTGCCGTAAAACACTCAAAACATTTTTCCCTCCCAAAGGGAAGAGGTAGTCGCGGCCGGGAGTGCGCGGTGAGCATGTCTCACCCAACGTTCCCAAACATGCATTAGCTACATGTAGTCCAGGTAGGTAAGACAGCTACTGCTCTAGCTAGCTAGCTCGCGCGATCACTGATCGGTGGAAAACCAGCCAGCCATTCTATTCCATTCCTTCCATGCATGTTTGACAATTGGCAAAAAACGGCTGAACTCCTTCAACCTGCCCTAACCAGTCGGTTCGGTCGTTCGTCTAGAACAACATATCGAAACGGGTTGGGGGGGGGGGGGGGTGGTGTAAGAAAAAAATCACACCCTAGCTGGCCATGTGCCTGTGCTGCAGGGAGGGAGGAATGGATGGGTAGAGTAGAAGAGAGGTGGTTACTCTATTGCCTTGGGTGCCGATATACCCAGTGCAGTGAAAGAGGTTTCGAATTTCGTCTGGTCGGCCGGGGGAGGGAGCGAGGGAGTGGAACGCTCGATGTGGAAAGATCCTCCTTCGCTCCATTGCGCGCCGGAGTACATCTGTCTTCTAGCTAGCTGGGTAGCTGTGTGGATAGCTGGGAAGATCAGGGAGTAACTCTATCGACGAGCATCCGTCAGCAAACCTTCAAGTCGAGCTCGTAGAAGAGGGATGGATACGTACCAGCTAGCATCACGACACGAGCGAACACTTCCTTCGCTCACGCCCAAGGAAGGGGCAGCGTCGAATAAGTACCATCCATACCAACGCTGCCAAGCTCCTCCAGCCCTCCTTCCTCCTCCTTCTCCTCATTCCCACACTCCTCGTCGTCGTCGTAGTCGTCGTCGCCAAGGAATATGCTGTGTTCTTTGTGTATCGTGCATTCGTGCAACATGCATTATCCTTTCCTCCCCCACGAGCAAAAAAACAAACCATTGTCTGGCTGATTTCGCCGGCTGTTGCTTGTGACGAACTATTTCTCCTTTCTTCCTTTCTTTCTGGAAGGTCGACAATGCTGTCGCGGCGCGGCGCGGCCATGGGAAGTAGGTATTGAGGCTAATTATGGCAAGCTTAATTGAAGGTCATGACAAGCTTTTTTTCCTGAGAACAAAAAGTCTTGGGAGAACGTTAGATATTGCGCAGGGCACACACAGTCAGTCTGTCAGGGTCCCCTCCGACAACTGCAATGCAAAAAAGAAAAAAAGCGCAAAGTGCAAAAAAGCAAAACACCAACCGTACCGTTGCAGCATTGCGATTCTGGTTGACGAGTGAGCAGCGAAGACGAATAAGAATAACAATTGCAACGGTGGTTGAGGGAAAGAAAGAAAGAAAAAAATAACAATCAGGATTAAGAAAGGAATCAACGAACCATAAAGGAAAAAAAACATACCATCGGCCCTACGGCAAGCTCCCACCCCCCATGCCTTCTCTCCGAACATATCCGAGGCCGCACCTCACGCACGGAGCCCGGGGGTGGGCCGGAATAACTAATAACTAATAATCGCTGCAGGGACCCCCGGCCGGGCATACTCTAATTGAGAAAGATATCCTAACTTTCTACAATTTGCAACACTCACTACTAACTATGCTTCCGAACAGACGTCGTCGTCTTTACCTATTTTTACGTTGATAGGGTTACGTTTACTTAGCTAGCTATTCATAGTGTGTTTGTGATTCGCGGACCCAGCTATTGGAGACACGTATAATCAATCAAATCTCCTTCCCTCTCTCTCTCTCCCACTCACCCTCTTCCACAACCACGACCATCACAACCACAGGGGGAGAATCAACGGGATACTGGAGACAAGCGAGCGAGCGGGCCTCCCGTCCCTGGGGCGCGCGCGTCCAGATGCGCGCCCGTTGGGTTTGGGGTAATGATTTGGGCGGGATTTCAACTGGAGGGTAATGATCACAATGATCACGATGATTCGGATTGGGGCAGAGCAGCGGACTGTCAAGAGTCAGCTGGCCGATATAGCCATCGGGACTGGCGTGCATGGGCCGCAAGCTTTGTTTTCTATCTCTGTCCCCTATGGTCGGCCTATGAGGGGCTTGATATCAAATCTAGTTGCGCGGTATTCTGCGATGGGAGATTCGGGGGCGGTTCAGCTGGCTGCGGGTTTGGTTTGGTGGGTGGGCTACCTCATCATGACAATATCGTGCTGGGCGGCGGAGGTGTGGCAGTGAGATGATGATAATGATGATGATGATATCGATGTGGTGGTGGTACTGGCAGTAGTAGTGGTGCCGCTGGTGATTTAGTCCCAGACCGACCTGATATCAAATCTCCCCTCCTCTTCCTCTCTCCTCCACTCCCCTCATTCCGAATGTTTAATCACCAAACCTGAGTAAAGCCAAAAACCGGCTCCAACAATCCAAAGGGCCAAGACCACTATTCCATCCCATTACATCCGTTCATGCCACCCATTCCATGAGTGAGCGGCGTCCATGTGAGTGAGATATCCCGCATAATGTTTAATTACACCACCTCCACTCTACCCGCCGCACGCCGTCCAATCCCGCCGCTTCCACCACCACCCATTCCCCAAGCCAATACCCAGTAGATACCGATGAGCACCGATCACACGCCCCCCCATGCCCGGGCCCAGCTGCCATATCCATACCCATACTCATACCCATGCCAATGAAGGAATGGACTGAATACGACGCATTACGCCATGCCATCTTAAAACATAGGTGCCGGCTAACGCGCCATTCACACCGCACCGTCACCGTTACTGGTAACCCAGTTGGGATCTGGACGGGGATGGCGTGGACCGAGTGATGGTCTGTGATTGGAGATGCAGTTTTTTTGGCGCAAGTGTTTTTTTTGTTTTTTGTTTGTGCACTTGTGGGGGGTGTGATACCTGGATGATGCATGTAGCATACACGACCTGGCTATGGGGGTGCAGGAGCTTAATGGCGCTTGGTGGGTGGTGGTCGGGGTGGTGCTTGGAGGTGTTGGAGTCATGGGCTGTCACTCGGTGTTTCTACGTGCCGGCGTGCGGGTTGGGTCTTGGGTTTTTGGTTATTGGGAGGGCTTAGGTGTGTGGCTACGTATATTTAGCTAGCTACATTTTACATTCACTCGGTTAGACTTATTGATAACGTATCTTTCAGGCGTAAGGTCGTGGTGTCCAATAGCGAGCTGTCACGAGAAACGGTGTCCTATCAGGGCTCTAGTAGAATAGCTTGTTTTATCTTTAGACATCGATGACAATTGAAGCTTTGAGACTCGTCCTATTTGCCTTCAATAGGGTCATCTGTCAGTTAGAGAACAACCCCTCCAGCCCGCGTCGGGGCGGATATGGCTGCGGATATGGCCAGTGCTGCGGCATTACATATACACTCCACCAGCCACCACACTGGCCGACGCTGCCTGCTGCGCCGACGAGTGATGCTCCAATTAAAGCCAGCCCTGTCCAGAGCTGCCGAGGTGGCGGCTTATTGTATAGTACTTTACAGACTATCGCTACTAATCGTACTTTGCTGCAAAAGCTTATGTTGTAGCTAGCTAAGCCTAAGCTTAAGGCCGACAACTCCAGTCTAGATCTACCGCTCACAGCTCACACCTCAGCTCTATTTCTATCTCTATCTCTCTATCTTTCTATCTAGCCATCACATGCCTCAACAGCACCCCGTATACGTAACCAGCCCATCCCATCACCTTCCACCCCCGGCCGAACCGGGCCCGGCTAGCTACCAACCAGACACGCCCGTCCGCGATGTCACGTCTCTCCCTGCTGTATCTTGTGTATGTAGTCCCGTTTCAAAACCATCCAGCGATGTTTCCCGCGCGCGAGCGCGTGAGCGCGTGCGACTTGCGGGCATCTGCAATGTGTAATGTAATGTAGATTTGGACATGGGCTGCATGCAAAGGAAAGAAAAAGATGCAGATCATGGAGGAGGAGGATTGATGGCGATCCGTGAGTCATGACGTCTATCTGCGGTTTTTGGGCTCTTGGATTAGGTATTGGGTAATTTGGTAATTGGATAGTTGGGTTTGGAGGGAAACAGTCAGCAGCTCTTCCATGGAAATATTTTTTTTCTCGTTTTTTGTTTTTGTTTTTCTGTTGGCCCGGTGAGGGTATGTAGGTAGGTAGCTGGGAATTGGTAGGGCTAGGCAGCCGCATGGGAAACAACAGGTCAGGTAGAAGTTGTAGAATAGCTACAAACCTGGGTTACACTACAGTGACATTTACTTCACCCGGCCAGTGCACATAGAAGAAGAAGGCCATAGCCCTCTACCCTACGTGAAGATTCTGATTCTGATCCTGACTCTGAGTCTACAGCTATGACTCCCACGCCCAAGCCGGCCGCATCTCCACAGCCTGGGAGAAGAGGGGGAGGGATGTGTCTTTAAAGATTCCCCGCCCCCTCCCTCTCTTGGCATCGGCGGGCACGATACCCACCCACCAACGCGGGGAGGAGGGGCGAGAACAGAACGCGCGTGCACGTGCGCTGCAAGCCCTTACGTTTATCATTATCATTACCCTTACCCCAGCCAGTAAACAAATAAACAACACCACCACCACGGCCACCACCACGGCCACGGGGACGCGTCCAGTCATCGCGTCGCAGTTTGATGATGATAGTACTCGCCCCAGAGCTAGAGTAGGGTACATACAAGGCAGGTAGGTCAGGATGTAGGGAAGCAAAGGTAGAGTAGATCGTTGCATTGCAGGAAGGATGACGATATATACGTGGACACCGATTGGGCCCAGGTCGGCGATGGATGGATGGATGGGGTGCGAATATGTATATGCAGGAGAGGTTTAAAAAAGAGTTCTGCAGCTGTTTGGAACTGATGGGATGGGATGATGTTTTTTTTCTTTTCCTTTTCCTTCTTGCTTAGATTGCTTGGGTTGCTTGGAAGTGATAAACAATTGAACTATTTCTGATACGTTGGGCGTTTTGGCGGTTTTAAACACTCACTCACGCCCGGCCTCTACCTACACTGTCACTCCCCTAGCTAGTAGATCACTCCAACTCAAACCCCTTCACCCCTGGAGCTACGGGGAGTGTCAGTCGTATTCACAATAGGTACTTAAGTAGAGATGTTATTATTATCCTCAAAAAAAAAATAAAGGAAAGGAATGTGTGTGATTGCAATTGATTGCTGCTGCATAACATACCTACCTGCCTCACCTCACCTCTACTGCTACTCTACATCGATCACACCCATCACCCGGGGGTGGATGGGTGGTGAGCGCGCGTACCTGCCTCATCTCTGTCTCTACGCAATGGTACCCACTGTCTGTATCGCGGATCCTCCTGTCTATGTCTGTGTCGGTGTCTGTCTTGTCAAATCGCTTAATGCCCTACCAGTGTCTTCCGTAGCCGCCCTGTCCACCCTCTCTACGGGCCTTTGTGCTCTCTTGGTGTGTGGCTAGCTATAGCTAGCTGGAATGGTAAGATAGAGGAGGGTGATATGATATGGATCACCGCTTTTTGAAACAGCATGTAAACAGCCTTAGACAACCAACCCAAGGGCCAAAGCGTCTTCTGTTCTTCTCTGCTATAATATATGTGGCTAGTGCTGTGGCGCCAATCTCTCTAGTTCTCGCTCTTGGCGTGCCTCACTTCTCCAACCAGAGCAGAGGTGAAATGACGTCTATATAGGGGCCGCCGCCGGGGGAAACAAAATGTTAGCGCTACGTAGAGAAAGGGGAGGACGCCGAACGCTACGCTCGCTGCGCCTGAAATTTGACTGACCAGGAAGGAAGGAAGGAAAAGATGGAAGGCATGGTAGGTTGTGTGTGACGCCAGTGAAAGAGAGAGAGTGATGTCCGTCCCGGTAGTTAAGTTTAGTTAGATGCCAGCGCACCACACCACCCAATCAATAAGTCGTTTGGTGGTTGAGCCACCGTATGTACCGCCTCAGAGTGGCAGCCGTAGATTCGAGTGAGTGGTAGGTAGAGGAGGCCAAGGTAGGTACAGACCTGCGTGCATGAGGGAAGGTAGAGTGCTGCAGGGATGTGGTGGGACATGGGAGGGAAGAGGTCAGCCAAGAGGTTGTGCAGATACAGGTTTGGTTCGTATGTATCGTAGTCTAGCTAGGCAGTCTAGCTAGGCAGTCTAGCTAATCTAAGAACCAGTCTAGCTAGTCTAAGGACCATGAAGACCTGGGAAAACCGTTTGTCTGATAGAAGGCCTGTTTGGGGGCTTTTAACGAACCTGAACCGAACCGACCTTCAACTGCGCTGCCAAAATAACCAGATAGCTGTGCTTCTCCGTGTTTGAATCAACCCGCGTGTTTTCGTGCGTGTCCTACTCTACTTCTAGAGTTTCTACTTACATACCCATACCCATCCTACCCCGGCATGCACAATTTGGAGATGCAGGAGGGGGGGGGGGGGGGGCGCTGGGAAAGGAAAGAAAAGGAAAGGAGAAAAGGGAGCAAGGGGAGAAACGGAGAATACCTACTGGTTATTGGATGGGATGGATGACTGGATTTGCATATGGCCTAGCTGGCACGAGGTTCAGTCAGCTAGGTAGGTCGTAGAAGAGGTCGTAGAAGATGTAGAGATGGTAGAATTGTAGAGAAGGAGATGTAGATGTAGGTAACATGTAACGACATACATCCTTTTTTTTGCCCCCCAATGCTGATTGGATCTCCACAAACCGGGGGGCCCCTGGTCCATGTTCATGTCGACTTTTACACCTCCGCATAAAAAGAGAGGAGGGCTCAGCTTGCCTTTTTTTGTGAAATTGGGGAAAGCGAAACAGTTGCAAAGTTATATGTAGCTGTAGCTACTTCATACATATTCACACACTCCACACCCCTTCTGCTAATTGTGCATGCCTCATGGAGAGATGATCTTAATTCAATTGATTTATGACTGACTTACTGATTGACTGACATGGCTGAGGTAGGTGGAGTGAGTACCTACAACAACCTCAAGCTGTCGAATAACCCCTCTAGATCCCCCCACTACAACTTGGATCGGTAAAGTAGTCGGTTTTTTATTCAAAAAAACCAAATACATCATGAACTTGGGGTAAGCTTGCTTCTACGCGGAAACGCTAGAGCTAGTGGTGCTACCGCCGCCGTTGCTTGCAAGCAAGCAGTTTCTAGCTTTCTTCAGCGGCGGATAGATTAAATAAAGTAATCCTTTCCCTTCATCGTTTTACAAAGTGCAGTGTGTGTTTCTCCATCTCTCTCTTCTTTCTCTCGAGAAATCTCGCCATTCTTTCTTTCCCTCCCCCTCCCTCCACCCCCGCCATATTTCCCTGGGTCTTCACCCCCACCGCCCGGCAGGAGATTTCTTCCAATCGATTGAACGAGGGTAAAAAGGAGAGCTAGTATTTGGACGCACTGGCAGGCACTCCTTCTGGATTATTTCCTCTTCGTGTCCTCGAACCCAATTTGTTGTTCGAGCCGGCCGGGTCGACATTCTCTCGCTCATCAATCTTTTATTTTCCCTCCGCCGGTTAACGCATAGCATAGCATAGCATAATACGGGGGTGTGATCTGCGCATATACAGCACAAAAAAGGGCACATTACAACAGCTACTCCCCCTACCCCAGTCGTTCTGCTGGTGAAGCTCGACCTGGAATAGTTCAGAGGGTTTGTGAATGCAGTTTTGGGTGGATTGAAAGCGACGGTTACTACTTACCTGTCACTTTTTTCTGGTGGTGGAAAATACTTCAATTTAATCACACACAAGACAAGAAAAAAAGTGTTAGTGAAACCCCATTTTCTTTTTTGTTTCTTTTTCTTCTTTCCTTTTTCTTTTTGTTTCCTTGTGTTTGGTTGTGTGGTTTATTGGATACCGCTGTTTCTGGGTATTCTGGAATGATCTGGTTGTTTTGTCATTTTTTTATTTTTTTATTTTTTTTGTGGCTCAATATCCTTCATATCCCTCCCTTCCCCAAAGCACGAAATTGGGTCTATCTCGTCATGTATGGATGGCCACAGCAGGTTGGGCAAGCCTCAGCAGCAGTATCGCGATTATGTGAAGCCGCAGTTGTGACCAATCTATCAACCCAACCACACTCTTGGGAATTTCTTGAGGTCCATTTATCAGTGGTTGATCGAGCTGCGTTGGCTTGTTGGGATGATGTGTGCCTCTGGGTCGTATGTCCGGTCCGAGGCACTTTCCCTCCTCCTCTTGTCGATTCAGGAGCCGTATGTACCACGGGCCCGCCGCGCCCCTCTCACCCCCTGGGGCTGCGCTGCGCTGAGAATCCCACCTTAACAGTCTGCAAATAATACAGACCCTCCCCATTCATGTTCCACTCTGAATAAACTCTGCCAGTCTGTCTTTCGCATTCGGGCTTCCACTCTTTCGTTCATTGTTCATTCATTTTTTTCCCTGTATTTCAAGAGTCTTGTTGTGTTCTTGCTAACCAGCCCCTATCCCCTTGGTTGTTGGTTGTTGCATCGACATACAGACTACCACGCTCTTTCCGATATCACTACCGTCTCACTCATTCCTTTTCAACTCCCTTCCCGACATATTCTCCCCCATCAGGGCCTTCGAGAACCTCCTCTCAACTAGGCTATTCAGACACAGGACGGCTTTCGCATAGTCATTCCCGTGACCTGTCCAGTCCAGTCCAGTCCTGCTATCTCTCGGCACCCCGTCCTTCGCCCTTGCGCTCTGCCACATCTCCCTCCCTCCACACACCACCTCCCCCACACCCACATACATCCACTACCACAACCCACCCCTGATCCATCAAGTTAGGTTCGCATCTGGCAACCTTCGCTTCCTCAGAGACGTTAGCTCGTTATTTTTCTGAGTGAGGACAGGTACTTCTCTGCATCTACAAAATTACCCATTCTTGCAGAGCATTGTCGGTTGTTCTCGTCTGTTTTTAACGCAGGTCCACGGGATTTTTTTCTTTTCTTTTATTTCTCTCTCTCTCTCTCGAGTAAGGGGTTATCTATCACACGGGTCCTCCTGACGCGCGCTGTATCCCAAAAGGCATTCCTTCTTGCTCCACTACTTTGTTTCTCCCAAAGGTATGGATCCAGTGAATATGCACTGTCCCTCTCCCTCCCTCCCTCCCTCCCTCCCTCCCTCCCTCCCACCACACCCCCCCTCACTCACTCGAATCAATCAATGGCATTGGTAGACAAGCTTGCTTACACAGTAACCCCCCGTCACTAGAAACCTTTAATATCCGATTCTTATCCTCCCAGATTAGTCTTGGTTAGAGAGTCACCCTACTTCTAGCGGTCATCCTGTCACTCTCTAGTCACCCTCGACATTTTTTTCCTTCTTGTCCCTCATTTTTGTCGTTCTTTTGAAATACTTCCGAATCTTTTTTTTCTTTCTTTTTTTTGCAACGACCCTTTTTTAGTCCTTGCTTAGTCCCTCATTACGGAATATTTCGAATTTTCGACGTCCACTCTCTAATACACATAACACACCCCCAACCCCCTTATCATAATCACTCATCATGGCCTGGCACACAACCTGTGATTCCTTCTTCGTCGAGTCGGCTGAACCGGAACGGGATGGAATCTATGCTGCCCGCAAGAAGAGACAGGAGAAGGCCCGTATCGACGCCGAGACTCAGATGGAGATTGCTGATGAGATGTCCCGAATGGTTTCCGAGGAGTACCAGGAAGATATTTTAGACCACATGGAGGTCATGGAGGTCAGTGGTTTCCCGTTTCCCGATATCGGGATGTGTTCTTCCTGGCCTTGGGCCAACACCCCCCTAACTTAAACTTATCTCCCGTGTTTTATACAGTCCGAAACCTTGCCAGATGTTGCTAGCATCGACATTCAGACCGAGATCCAATGGTTTATGCGACCTTACCTTTTAGACTTTCTCATTGAAGCTCACACAGCGTTCCAACTGTTACCGGATACACTATTCCTTACCGTCAACCTCTTGGACAGGTACTGCTCGAAGCGAGTTGTTTACAAGCGCCATTACCAATTGGTTGGATGTGCAGCGATGCTCATTGCTGCTAAGTATGGTGACAAGAAGGACAGGGTACCGACTATCAGGGAATTGAAGGCGATGTGCTGCAACCTTTACGACGAAGACATGTTCATCCAGATGGAGTGGCACGTTCTTCAAACGTTGGACTGGGTTGTTGGGCACCCGACTGTGGATAGTTTTCTGCAAATGGTTCTGCAGGAGGTCAACTACGATCCCGAGGTGGAATGCATGGCCAGGTATCTTTCGGAAATAGCGCTTTTCCACAAGGACTTTGTTAGCACCCGACCATCCGTCATGGCAAGGTCTTCGCTGGCTCTTGCGCGCCACATTCTTGGCCGGGCTATGCCTCGTCACTCGGATTGGGCTGGAAAATATGATACCACAGTTGTTGTCCTCTTGTCTCAACAACTTCACCGACCTTCCCAGATCCTCATCCGAAAGTACTCTAGCCCGGAATATGCATGCGTATCAACTATCCTGGAAGACTTCATGGCCCGTCGGGCCGCTGTTGATAGGAACACGCGTGGACCTCCTACGCCACCATCCGAGGAGGTTTACGAGGCGACCAAGGCTGCTATCGAAGAAAGGAAGCATGATCAAAACTCAAACTGCATGACCCCTCAACCCAAAAACCAGTCATCTTTAGGATACATCACTCCTCCTGTGTCACCTAATGGTGGATATTATGTCGACGAAGACCTTGTGCTGCCAAGTCAGATGGACGTAACGCCTTCGATCCCCCAATACCATTAGTGAAACTTGTTCTTTTTTGACGGTTGTCTTTTTGATGTTTGAGCTTTCATATTAAACTGTTATCAACTTGCGTTTTTTTTAAAAAAATTATTCTTCGTTCATACAACCTCGTACAACCCTATCCCTCTCACTCTCTCATCTCTCAAATCAGCGTCGTTATCAAAAAAACGCACTTTCCAAGTTTCCGAAATTGCAAAAGTTCTCATCATTCGGCATAAATTGAAAAATAATTAAGGATATGGCAAATTAGGGGGAAGGGGTGGAGGGAAAGGGAAGGCACTGGGCCGGTTTATTTTGTCCATTTTTTTTTTAAATCTTCGCTTTTTGGGCTTTATAAGTCATTTCCTTTGTCGTTTTTGACGCATTCTGCTATTGTTGTTGGTTTATTTTCTTCGCATCTGCAGCTGTGTTGTATGGGCATTTGCATATTCAGTGTTGTTCTTTTTTTATAACTTATCTATCATTTGAGCGTATATTTCATTTTCATTTTCTTCCCTTTTTTTTCTTTTCACTTTTCTTTCTTCCTGTTTCGTTTCCCTCCTCAAATTTCCTTACATTTATATACTAAATAGTTTGGCGGATAGTGACGCATCTTTGGATGTCCTTCGGGATTTGAAATAGCTTTGGGAGAGAAAAAAGGAGTTGGAAAATGGGAAATCGGGGAGTCGACGGTTTGGTGGTTTTAAAGGGGCAGAAAGGGAGCGGGGGACATACGGTTGGGAGATTGTTATTGGCGTGCGCGCGAGTGGAGGGAGAATAATGGAGGGGAAAAAACATTATTGAGCAGAAATTTCTGAAGAAAACCAAAGATTGCAAGACGTTTTTTTTTTATTACTGCCTATGGGCCAGGAACGAAATTGAATCTTTCCTCTTTTTTATTTTTGCTCTTTCTCGATTCTTATTCTTCTTCTCCTGCTGCTTCCTTCTTTCTGCTGCTCATTTTGATGCTTCTTTAATCCTCACCATCTCATCGTTTCCCTTTTTTACTTTTTTTACTTTTTCTCAAACTTTTTTTTGCGATATTGTAATTCTCTCGGGGACCCGGCAATAACGGTCGTCGTCCCCAATAAGTAGGCCTGCATCTAGAGGTCTCTTTTACTTCTAATACCCCCCTATACCTCTACCTATCTAACTCACTATATCATCATCCTCTATCTACTTACCCACATCTACCTTATCTCACATCACACCATCTACCCCATCTAAAGGAAGGAAACCCCCCCCCCCCCCCTCTTTCCCCCTCGCTTCTTCATCTGTATATCTAAATAGCACGATCTGACGAGGAAATCACCCCCCCAATCTATTTCTCTAGCTAGGGGTGGGGAGCATCTTCGTTGAATCTTATGTTTCTTATGCGGCTATTATTCATTATTTTTTCTTCTAACCAAAAAACTCTAAACTAAACCTAAAAAAAATTCTATTATTTTCTGAGAGGTCGAGTTGGAGTGGGTGGAGTAGGGGAAATTTGGCTGGCTCATTTTTCCCCCGCCTCATCGCCATGATGACTTCTCAGATTATTCTTTTCTCTATCTTGCTCTCTATCTCTCATGAACTGAATTGAACTGAACTGGATCTGTTTGTTTTATTGTGTTTTATTGTTTTTGTTTTTTTTCGTCCGAGATGATGCATTGGGAAGGCCTGGCCAGATGTGGATAGGGTGATTGTCTGGTGATGGAAGGGAAGGAAAGGGAAGGGGAAGCTGCATGAGGGAGGAGTAGGGGAGAAAAAAGATGGAGAGGGTTTGTAAACTGTACATATAATTTCTGTTGTGGCTGGGGAATGTAACTACATACTACAATACCACCATTATCACTAGTAACTGATATACATGCTCTCAAACGTTAATGTCCTAGAGTAGTTGCTTTGTGGTACAAGAGACCAACCAGGAGAAAGACAGCAACAACAATGACTATCTACTTCTTTCCATGCGCTGCACTGTGAGGGACAACTGCGTTGAATACTGAGTTGGATGAATCTCGATTAAATGTAAGGCGGTTGCCCTCTTCTACCCTACAGACAGTACATACGCCTCACGACCGGACGGGCTGGCGCACAAACTGGAGCTGTATGGATAAACAATTAACGGCCACAATGGAAGGTCGGGAGAAGCGTGGAATGTTGCTGCCTACTGGTGGGTGGGAATGTGCAGCGCAGACGCAGACGCAGTTGTGGTTGAGCTTCATATCATCTTCTCATGTACATTATTATCATTGTAGCATGCCAGGCCAGGCATGAGGCGGGATCGATGGAGATTTCTTTGTAAAGTAAACATTTTATAGTTGAGTTTTTGTTTATTGCTTTTTCACTGCTTTCCAAGACCCAGATACCGGGCTCTGACTGGCTGGGAGTGTTTGCTTTTTTGTTCGTATTCATTTCGTTTTTTTCTTTCGTTTTTCGTTTTTTTCGTTATTTTTTTTTTGTTTCGCAGCGCACATATATGGTTATCAGCTGATTGTGACACCGACACTGGATGATATCGAAACATATAGTTAGCCCTAAAGAATTTTATATGTTTTTTTTTAAATAGTTGCTAACTGCCATGTACTGCTAGTACTACTACGTGTATATGTTTGCACCATATCTATAAATGTTTCACCGATATGACCGGCTCAATATCAGAAACAGCAGATTGGTATATATAGGTTATGTGGTACAATAGTACAATTGCGGCGCATAGTGACATGGAAACATTGCACTTGAAAATATGCATGTACCGCTGGAAGATTAACAGCCTCCAGCGAACCCATTTGGAGGAAACAGATCCCATACTGCGGTGTTACGAGTGGACGTTGTAGATATATGAACCACTGCCATCAACATAATCTCGTGGACATTGACGAGAAAAGGACACTAACTAGTCAGCGTCAGCTAGACAGGGAGCCGTTTGTGAACCTGAAACCTACCTGTCTGTAGTGCATATAGTAGTTGTTGGCCTTGGATAAGTGGATAAGGGTGGGTTGAGGTCAAGGAATGCGCGCCGCTAGATCTTGCTGGCCCTGGTGCGCACCACGGTGAGATCTGGACCAATTATTGGAGTCGGATCCTCAATGTACGTGGGATTCATCTTTTCCCGAATACCCAGAATCATGATCACGGTTTTGTTCCTCATATTTTGGGATCTTCGTCCAGGGGGGGTATGCATACATGTACATACATCGAGAAATGCGCTGTAAGTACATACGTCGCCCCACCATTGGGACCCCGAGGGCAGCGACCACTTCACTGTACGTACTGCTTCTTTCCTTCGGAAAATATCGATCTCCATTCATCCATTTTCCTACTCTGCGCTCCCCTGTGACATACCATACAATTCCGAAACAAAGCGTTCAGACGCAGTCCGACAATGTTAGATTAAACGTCACGTCCGCCCCACAATAGGGGATTGCATATATATAGATTGCCTAGGGAATCGTATGCACACAGAACCCCTCCAACGCCGAAGAGGTGGAAAATAAACCTCCCGTGGTTACTATGGGCTGCAGCTGGTGAGCGTAATACATGAACGTCCTGTTTCGTTAGTTATGCCTGTCAATATATGCACCGTCCCGGGCCTCGCTTTTGGATAGACGCCGGCGGGGTTCTTTGGAATTATTCATGCTGAGGATCGTTCCAGCGGAGAGGACAAGACAGGACGTTCACGGCCGTAGATCGATCTGGTCCGTGTTTCACTCATGCTCGCCCACGAGGGTTTGATCCGAGATATGAAGGGAATTTAGGGCTAGCAAACAAACAAAATCTTGGTCTTCCAAGTAGAACAACCACTCGCACACAGGGGTTCGATCTGCTCAAGGGCTACTCTACCGGAAAATCTGTTACCGCCCACCTTACCCGCTACCCCCTACTCTAAATATCCGTTGCTGAAAATAATACTAAAGGGGGGCATTTGAATTTTGCTCCAATCTCCGGCCGAGTGGTTATATAATGCGGGTTGCATATCATATGTGGAATTTCTGAATTGGGAACGCCGACCAGCCAGGGGGGTTAATAATCATCCACAGAAGCCACACTTGCAGAAGGCTTGGCGAAATTGAAAGTGATCTTTTGCTTGGTTACTTCTTGGATTTAGTTGAATGATGTTTGTCTCTAGTATGTGAGTTGAGTGAATGGGACCGGGGTGTCGAGGATGAAGGTCGAGGATGAAGTCGATCATGAGAAATCACTCGGACCCGGCTGATCCATTCCCAGCGTGCCCCTATGAATGAGCGTATATTTAACGAAGCGCCCTACGCGCTGGCCGGATGCAGTAATTATATATTGCTGGTTAACGTTCTTGGGTAGGATGTTCTCTCTTGCCCCGCCATCTAGTCATATGTGGCTGATTAAGTTAACAGATGACATGATGTTTCAAAAGGTTCCTTACGGTCGGGGCCGGCTTACGTAGAAGTAACAGTAGCCTTTTCCATCTCCTAAAATTAATATCATTAACACTTAAAATCATCGTTTATCTTTAACGAGGATCCTTTACTTCCCATGGCATGTAACGATATCTAAAGCATTCTATATATAGTACTCCACCATAACTTATGACCAAAAACTCATAATAATCCCACTTCTTTAGTGGATTCTACTAAAGCGGGGTGCTTCTAACAAACTGACTAATCTTTATGCTGAACACTCCTATGGGCAGAACGCCCATCCGGCATGACACCCTGTAAATAGCTATCGATTGAGTCTTGCACTCTAACAGAGGGCTCAAGTATATCTAAGAACAAGCTTCTTTCTTGTTAATCTGGGGTGAGATAATAAACGAATTAAGAGCAACAAAGTCTGGGTGAGATTTGCTTCATGAATGATCACTCGGGGTGGTAATAATTTAGAATAGACGGAGTAGTAACTCGCCCTATCGTCAATTATATAAGGTAATTCTCACCCGGCTTTCTAGAGAACCGGGCATGTACGAAGGGATACTTGTAAACACGAAACTTCAAGAAAGGTCACTTCAAAAGCTGAAGTTGAAAAAAAGGGGGGGTTGAGGGGCGCGACAAAAGGAATTACCTGAGCGGGAATCGAACCCGGGCCTCGCTGTCGTCATGTTTCTTTCCGAGGGCATGCACCAGCATGCCAAACTGCCACTGTGCTACAGAACCTGAAAGAACAGTGTGCTAGAGGGGATTATAAAGATAGCTTTTACTCTAGGTACAAGATCTTGGCACACTGCCAAGCCCAAGTATCTACTAATCCACGGCCTTTTTTCAGACTTCATTTTTTTGCTGGTTAGCTGCGTTCCCCTGCGCGATCATGATATCCCAAAGTTTGTATCACCGGGTTGGTCAATCCGGCAACTATGAAAGGGTATCCCCCGAGTTGTCAACCCTACAGCAACATCAGAAGCGGTTCTCCAAGATAGATGTACGGTCTGGGATTGCGCATTGGGCCATGTTAATTCTCCGGGCGGCGTGAATTGAACCGTTCCGGAAGGAGGGATTAGGCTAGTATGTTCCCTTCGGTCCTGGGAATACGAAAAATGGTCGTATCGGGAAGCAGCAGTTACATGTAGTTACCGCGCTGGGTTTTATCTGTAGTAGAAAGAAATAAACATACCCTAATATGATATAACAAAACAATTTCCCGGGAATAGCCATATTGGTTGTAGCAGAATGCTGGATCACTGCCAATGTCGGCACTACACTGGCAGCAGAAGTTTGGCAGAGGGGTAATGAGCAACTCTCCACTAGCCGAGTACTAATAAAAGATCAATACCTTGATTGAATGAAACGGAAGAGACGCCTAGATACTTCGGTGATTGTTCGCACTCTTTGTCTTATATAGGTGGGATAGCTGTGTGGAGCGGGATAGGTGGTTTGTGACCCGGGGGATGATATGTAGCTTGATGTGTATGCTAGTTTTTTTTGTTTAATTCATGTGTGTATGCTAGTGATAAATCTGGCTGTCCTAGTACTATCAGCCACCACGATCTAATTGTGATATAATTTCTTTGTGGGCCTTGCTAGAATCAATGTCTGGTTGTCAACAACTCACAAGATTATTCGTTTGGGGTACTGCGAATATGCTTTCTTACACCACAAGCCTATTTCTCTATGCACGCCCCAATTAAGTGCAAATAGAAACGCCAGACCAGCTAAACCAGTAACCACATGTACATGTAGATACAGATATCGATATCATCAAATATGCACATAAAAAATTCCATGCCATCATTTTACCGTCCCATTTACAGTTGAAGCCCAATTGATATAAACATACACAGCCAAAGTCCTGCTCTCAACCCATTTACGCCAGTAAAAACAAAACGATACAACAGAATATCAGTCCTTCTTCGCGGAAGCTCTATTCGCCCACCCATTCATACTCCTTCTGATCCCCAGAGTCCTCTTCTTTGGCGGGCCCTCTGCCGCCGCCGCCGCCGCCGCCGCTAACTTCTCCGCAGTGGTCAGCTTCCCCACCAGTCTCTGCTCAGTCGTCGGCCTTGATGAAAGTGCAGATGTGAACCCAGTGGAAGACGAAGGCCCAGATGCACGAGCGGCGGCGTTAGCAGCTTCAGCAGCTACCTCTTCCTCAATACTTTTACAAAACTCTTCAAACACAGGACTACTAGGGATTTCCAGATCAGGGCTCATTTTTCTCTTTCTATCGACTGATCTGGCCGGAGAACTACTCAACAGCACCACTTCGTTCTTCGGTGGCCGAACAGGAAACCTGGGCTGCGGAAGTACCTCTATCTGTTCCCTTAGGCTCAACTTCAATCCTGCCTTGCGACTCTGTCTCATCACCTCTGACGCCGTCACCTCTTTCTCTTTTGGTGGTGGCGGCTTGGGGGCAAAATAAGACATGAGGCTTCCCTGACCTGTAGCACGCTTATTTGTCTTTGTCCCCGCAGTAGTCTTCTTCTCGATAGTAGTCTTCTTCTCAACAGCGAGTTTAGCTGACAAAGCTGCTCTCTTCTCCACAGCAGCAGTAGAGGTGGCCAGCATGGCATCTTGGCGTGCCCTCTTCTCCACACGCTCCTTATCAGCTTCACATGTAAGGCGGTTCTGTTTCAGCGCCTCCATATGCGAGCCAGCACTCTTGAAACCTGCAGCTGGCCTTTCAGCTGTAGTCGTCCTTGCAGCGAGTCTCTCGGCTGTAGTCATTTTTTCCTTGAGGCGCTGCTCGGTAGTCATGAACCCGGTGAAGTTCCCTCCACCACGATTCAATCCCACTGCTGCTGCTTGCCCGCCAAGGTCGTAGACGGCCTCCGCTACGTCTTCTGCTCTACGCCGTTTGCGGCTTCGCCAGTCGCCCTCTGCATCTTCGGCCGCTTCTTCACGCTCTTCCCATTCTTCTTTTTCGGGGATTTGATCGTCGAGCAGTGATTGGAGACCCACTGTTTCTACTAATGTGTTGATAGCGGACTCGCTTGGGCAAGTGCGGCCGAGAATTTGGAGAATACTCTGAACCGATGAGAAGCGTAGAGGGGGTGCACGCTTGTCTAGAAGTTTTACAAGAGATTGTGGCGTAAGAAAGGGGCATGGAGTTGTTTTTTCTTCAACGGTTTCACATCAGTACACCACGAGTGATAATTCATGATCGAAGAGTTTACCTTTTGAGGAGCTGCGCCTAGGACACGACATGTACAGTAGACCCTGCGCACGTGTCATAGCAACATAGAGGAGTCGCCGCTCTTCATCAGTATCATCCGCTCTCGAATGGGGGATCGAGCCCTCATAGACTGCCGGGATGAACACAACGGGCCACTCGAGCCCCTTTGCAGCGTGGATGGTCGATATCGTGACCTGACCCAAAGCTTTCTTCTCCTGATCCTCCGGTACCTCACTCAGCGCCGTATTCGACAGAAAACGTTCCAGCACGGCTTGCAGACCTGTCGCAACAGCATCACTCTGTGGAACGCCATCAAGGAGTGGTAGTGCGTCTTCGTCTTCGTCGCCTACCACCATGTCTCGCGCCTGTGTTAGCAGCTCCGTAATGTTTGACCAGCGCCCCTCCCAGTCTTCAGGGTAATGCCTAATGAGGTGCTCCTCGTAAGACAGCTTGCGGAGGAGATGCTCGATGATATCAACAAGCGTCTTCTCGTCGCCTGGTACCTGCTCCTGGCCCAGAAGCCGCTGAGTAGACAGTATCAAACCGACAAAGTCGCCCAGACCATTGTCAGCGACCTTGCTAATCTTGAGATCCCGCCAGCCACCGCTGACACCGGACCTGATGATGTCCCAGAGGGTTTTTCCCTTCTTGTCGGCCTCGTCAAGAAGCGCCTTAATTGTTACATCCCCCACTTTGCGTGATGGGACATTTACAATACGTGCTACAGCGTCATTGTTCAGCGGGTTATGTATAACCCGCAGGTAGTCCAATAATGTCTTGATCTCTACGCGGTCATAGAACTTGAGTCCTCCTACCATCTTATACGCCATTCCCGCCCTCACAAGGGACGTTTCAATCAACCTAGTCAGACTCGCGCTCCTCACCAGCACCGCCACATCTCCCAACCCCACCGCCTCACCAGAGAGTATACGAATACGAGCAATCTCACTAGCGATCCAGGCCGCTTCTTTCTCCGCATTAGGGAGCTCACGAAGCACTGGCCGCGTCCCGACCGCATGTGTAGGTGTGAGCGGTTTCTGTGGCCGCGAATCATCCTGCTGTATTACCTCTAGCGCAGCTAAGAGGATCGACGCAGAGCTTCGGTAGTTCTCCTCCAGATGTACAACGAGTGTGTCTGGGTAAACACGCAACATGCGGGTGAGGTTGCGGATCTCGGCGGCCCGGAATCCGTAGATAGATTGATCCGGGTCGCCGACAATAGTAATGCAGTTCTTCTTAGAAGCTAGCAGGCGCATGAGTTCGAACTGCACCAGGTTTGTGTCTTGGAACTCGTCGATCAGGACTGCCTCGACGTTGCCTACACATTCTGGATGCTCCTTTAATAGCTCCAGACACTTGAGCAGTAGGTCGTCGTAGTCTAGCAGGTTCGATGCCTCAAGCCCTGATGCATAGTCTTTGAATATTCCTACAAACTCCTCCGTTGATATGCCCTTCTCCTTCTGCTGTGTACTCTGCTGTGTCAACTGTGTCCCCACAACCTTCGCCCGCGCATTCGCAGCAGGAACACTATTCCGTGCTTTGAAATGGCTTATTCTGCTCCTTACCGCCTTCGCATCCGTGATAGGCAGTTCTTTCTTTTTGAGTATCCTTTTTACGATGCCAATGCTATCACCATTATCCGCGATTCCCCAGCCGCTACGTAGCCCCAATAAATGTCCATATCGGACTAGATAGCGCCGCGCAATGCTGTGGAAGGTACCGAGAACAAGCTTGGCCTCAACACCATTGCCAACCAGCTTTGAAATACGCTCCTTCATCTCGCGGGCAGCCTTCACAGTAAATGTTGCCACAATTACATTCTGCGGGGCAAGGCCCTGCGCGGGAGAGAGCAGGTAAGCGACACGGGATGTCAGCGTGCGGGTTTTTCCAGATCCAGCTATATATACAAAAAGAATCTCATTAGCCATCTATATATAGCAGTCCAATAATGGTAAAGAGTATATGGGATATCAGACGAGGAGCGAGTATCTGGACCACTGGCGCGGGATTGGTGACAGCGATTGATTGCGCGATATTCAGGCCCGCCAGTATGGGGTCTTGCTCCTTCTCGGGCTCTTGTACAAAGTATTTAGAGGCCATGTTTCGGGCCTTCAATATGCGATTGTGCTGCTTCATGGTGAGTGATGTGTGGTGAAGGTCGCGAGGTTTGTCGAGGAGACGCGTCGGCCTTGGCTAGGAAGCTCATATCACGTGTCTGCTATAAAAACACCCTGCACAATTCACAACGGTAGACTAGGGCCTAGGGTTATGATGAACCAAATCTTGATGACTAGAATCAAAGGATTCGATGGGATTCAAGAAGAACAGTGCTATTTAGAGTACGGATTCGAACAGGACACATACATATATCTAGCTAACATAAATAGTATCAAAGACACATTTATAGAACGGGGCGCAGCAGTCACATCTGTCTTGACAACCGTGTACCGTAGGTCCACAACGAACGGTAACGAGCTAGACTATCAAACTCTGGGGAACCTCAAAAAAAATACTCGGGCTCTATGACGTCTGCAGGAGATCTATCGGCATAATCTGATTGACACCTTAGCCACAGGTGCAAGCGATAGGTGTTTCTGCTATTTGCCTGCGCATCAATCATTACCGGTAAACTCAATCATTACCATCACGACAACCAGCCATATTACTTGAAGTACTAGCCTCTCAAGTCCCTAGGCCTATTACACGGACCCAATCGGATGGATGTTAAGCATAATAGCCTATTGGCCACTGCACGAACAATGAGAAACCGCATTTAAGCTTATTAAGAAGTAATATCAGAAACCCAATGTATGTACTCATGCATTAAATGGTCGGAATTCTTAGTTTGCAACGATATTCGACCATTTAATGAACGCCCTAGCATACCGATATATCCTAGTGGAGCTCGGAATTCCAGGTGGGTAAAGGTAATTAATAGTGGCTAGGCTCTAGATCTATGATACAGTTCAACCACGTCTTTTTGCTGGCGGTATTTCCACCAAGCACCTGTGCTAATCTAAACACCTGCGAAACATACGTACATACCGTGAAAATTACAGAAAATAAACATGAAGCAATAAAAAGAAAGAAAAAAGAAATACCGTCCAACGCCATTAATTTCAAAAACCCCGCTGTTACCGGAGGAAAACTTCAACATTCCGAACAGCGCAACTACCTCTCACAATGCTTGTCCGGGACGATGGGAAGGCCCCCTCCCCATATTGAACCAGCAAGGAAGAATTTTCCTACCTCATGGCACACTCCAAGCAGGAGCGCCCCTCGTCCCTCGCAATCGAGCACCCACCGTCACAAACTCTCCTCCCACACCCAACGCACCTTCCCTCATCGTCCGCACAATCACCCATGGGCCTATCACAATCCTCACAACTCGTCACCGCAGGAGCCTGCAAAAACTTGAACCCGCCCGAACCCCTCTGTGGCTGCAGCGCCGCGAACGCGTTACGTGGTTTCTGGCCGGTGTGGGTCTGTGTCTTTGGTGGTGGGGGAGCGAATTGCTGGATGGACTGGACAGATTGGGCCTGTAGCGGTGCGGGGTGAGGAGGATGTGAGGATTGTGCGGACTGCGCGGAAAAGAGCTTTTGAAGCGTGTATTCTGGACCCCGTCGTTCGAGTCAGTCAGTTCAATAAGCTCGTTCACAGGTTCCAGTGGTGGTCTGGTGACTCTTGAGTACTCATGGACAACTGACGATAAACCTCCTCCTCCTTCGGCTTATTCCTCCACCGCTTCATCGTACGCCCGTTCCCTTGAAACTCATGCATCTGATTTTGAATCATGCCTCCCGGTCCCATACCCCCAGATCCAGGCCCAAGGTCGTCGCCATAATCGCGCTTCCGCTTCGAATTCCCAGCAGGAATTGCGAGGCCGCTCTGCGTCTGCATTTGCGTAATCGCTGTGGCAAAGAGTGACGACGCCATATGAGGGGGTGATTTCGGAGATATCTCTATCACACGACAAAGAAAAATTTCCGGTGGGAAATTTGGAATTTTAAATTGATGGTCAATGATAATGATCGTGTAAAGTAGGTATCTGTCACGACGGCGGCGACGACGCGTTGAGGTCTGAAGAGCACAATCTAATCTAACCCATTGCAACTACGCTGCTGCATCCCCTTTCACGCGCCATGTGTGGTGGCTGAGTGGCAGGCGGTGGCGCGAGAAGAGCGAGACCTCCCTGGCTGGGCCGGCTGCCCTACAAAGCAGACCAGTGGTTGGTCGGTGTTCCTAAAATAGGCGGGTCACGGACGGCTCCTAGATCTGCTCTAACACGCACCTTATTGCAAAACGCGTAAGCCCTAGCAGGCACACATCCATGTACAAACGATCATGACTGGAGAAGCTCGCTTGCTCGTTCTGGATTCTCCAAACGAGAGACAAAGGACAAGACTCGAGCAAGAAAGAAAAAAAAGAGCAGATCTGTGCCCATTAGAGACTTTAGGGTATGTATCATATGCTAACTCTATCATAGCTACACAAAGCTACACAAAGCTACACAAATAACCTCTGATTCTTCACCTCGCTCCCGCAAAAGCCAAGCCCAACTCAAAACCCTAACCTTCACCTACGTGTCCGAAGATTCTTGATCATGATCGACCATTACGCGTTTTCCCGGGGTGGTTGAGATTGGCATCATGTACAGAGGCATACCTTCTCCATGGGGTAATTGTCTTGCGCTTGCGCCAAGTTGTTGTTTGATAATCGAGCTCTGGAGGTTATCAGTTCTCTCGAACTCTTTTTTCCGATCTGTCTGTTTCTGATTCTGTTTCTTGATAGATGTGTGCCCTGGTTGTGGGATCCAGAATTTCGAAAATCCCAAGTGATGACTGATAGATTACGATTGCATCCAAAGCGGGGATGGGATGGGGACATCCACATCCATCGATATTGACGCAGGTCACCTTAGATTGGTCAGTTCATCATCTTGGATTAGGGCTTCCGTTCCGAGCTGTCGCTGTCACTTATGCAGCTCACTTATGCAGCCACGGGGTAATTCTGTCCGGTGGGTGGAGTATGTAAGTTACACATGGTGGAGCAGGCTGAGAAATGTGCCTACATAACAGACAGTTTCCAGTCGTGAAAAAACCCTAGCGGAGACAGCAGTCGACAACCGAATTGACAACGGAGGCGACTCCAGACTGTGTCATTGGTCAGATCGCATTATTAGACTGTCTAAGCAGTACTTTAACTTCTAGGGCGGGAGGCGTCTGTATGGATGATGGTGTGTCCTACAAAACCTAACCCAAACTACCTAGGGTCTTGCTACTCTAGCTCAGAGCCTCAGTTAACGGGGTGGATTCCTGAATCCCATACGATCGGGACAGTCAGTATTACGTCTCACCTGCTACCTAGGTACTACAGACGTACATACGCAAAATCAAAATCAAAATCAAGACTCACAGAAGTAGCGGTACAAGTCGCCACAGGTGGTAGGTACGCAAGAAACTTGCGAAGTCGAATCTAAAGGCGGGGGGCACTCCGTCAAGATAAACAACCAAGGTCGTGGCTTAGGCTCCCCCCGAAGGAAGCAGCTGGCGAAGAAGATCTATTGTCACCTGGCCAGGCCGACGTCGTTGATATCACAAACCTAAGCTGGACTTTTAAAGCATGAAGCCCACGGGCCTCCGAGCAGCAGCATCAGCAGCATCACACTGCGTTATGTGCATAGATACCTTACGAGTCAGTCACAGAGTTGACAATCACAGCTTGGTTAGTAAGTACTTACACAGCTGCTGCAGAAGGGACGCGTGGATGCTGTAACCGGCAGCCAGCAACCACGTATTTTAAACGTGTCGGGAAATCATCAAACGCGCGGGCCAATGATTGTCGATCTTGGCAGAATAGGCGAGAAAGAGAATGGCTTACTAACAGGTGGAAAAGGGACTTGGAAGTCTTGATTACCCCTGCCGCGCGTCTTGGGTGGGTTGCGTATGCAGCAGCTCAAAACAGAAGAAAGATAGGGTTCGATGGATTTGACCACAGGAATTTTTCGCTTGGGGGGGGGGGGGCACCGGTGTAGGTACAACCGTAGAAGTAAGGTGTAGATGACACTGATACCAAGAAAAAATGCTAGGGTTTGCGTCTTGGGCTGCGTGTACTGCCTCTGCCTGTGGTGGCACTGCACTGTTTTTGGGAGGAGAGGGAAAGAGTAAGAAGTCTGCCTCTTTCTTGTATCTTCTGCTCTCAAGGCTGCCCGATAGAACGGTTTTATCCCAGTAGTAGTTCGCATCGCCGCAATTCTCAATCACAAAAAGCCTCTCCCACCCATACTCCGCCCGTCACTCATAATATACGCTTTTTTTTTTTCGTTTCTCCATTCTCTGAACCAGGCTATTCCTCGAAAGTTCGCTTCCGTCTTTTTTTGGACAACCTGTCGGACGGTTTCATCTAGATCTACTGGGGTTATTTTTTGCCCTTTTCTCTTTCCGCGGTTGTCACTTCTCACACACCTGCTACTCTCACCACTTACATGTGTAATCTATTATTCGTATTCACTTGAAGGAAGGGGGGTCCACAGTTACTCACGTCCCCAGCGCTTTCGTTACATCCCCTCAAGTATTTTCATCCTCTGTTATAAAGCCACCCTCTCTCTCTACACTTTCCCAAGCCCCAATTTTTCCCGGGCTCTTACAAAGTAAGTAGAAGAGTAGCCGTTGAGCCGTCGTCTTGAGGGTTTGTTTCGTGCGCGTTCGGCTAGGCAGAATAGGTTGTTAAGTAGGTCAGGTCAGGGTTGTAAGGAAAAGAAGGTCGAGCTGCGTAAGCCTCTCTCGCGCTACTCTAGAAACCCTTCATCCCCCCCAGCCCAAGCCCCCCAAAAAAGAACGTCGACTCCCCCATCCATCATCCTTTCCTGTCGGCGCGAAACCTACAAACCCTACCACCTACATACCCTTCATTACACACCCACGGGCCATCTATCGAAAGGGAAATCCCCACCCACCATTACCACCACCTCCGCCTACCTCCACTGCCATAATCTGGGCCCCCATACCATACCAGTCCCATACCATTCACTCTACCACCATCCCACAACCCTCAACCCTCGACGACATCTACATACTTACTCACTCCTCCTCCAGAATACTTTCGTCGTCGTCTATCACTCGATTCATCTATCCAACATCTTAGATACCGATATTCCTCGGTTGTTGGTTTTTTGGTTTGGTTTCGTGTGTGTGTGTGTAGAGAGTAGACTATTGAGTGCAGTGCAGTTGCTTCTTTGGAATACTCCACTCCAACACCCTCCACTCGATCACTTACCCACTCCTGTTGTGGTTCTGCCTGCTCCTCTTCGGGTCCTGCAACACTCACTCGATCACTTCCACCCCCAACCCAACGGCAGCCAACCCGGGCCCCGTCACCTGTCGTCGTCATATCGATTGTGTAGACTAGCAGCCTCTGAGCCTTCTTCTCTTCTCAACCATCCACAGCGACAATAACAACACCAACCTTCCACTCATTAGCAGTGCAATAATATAGCAACGAACAATTCTCCTCACACTCTTCGAGAAAGAGAAGAGAGAGAGAGAGAACAACCACCTAACCGCTCGACATATATCTCACCCTCTACCCTCGTTATAGCATCAATATATCCACAATGTCAGGATTCCCAAATCCTTCCGAAGACCACGAAGCGTGGGCAAAGCACTTGACGAGCCGCTATCAAGATGTCATGCACAACAAGCGTACCGACGTGCTAACAAAGCAGACGCGCAACCTTTCGCTAGGAGGTTCCTCTTCATCACGACCGTCACCATCGCCACAACGTCCAGCGCTTTACCCGCCATGCCCTACACACACCCCCCCTCCTCCACCTCCTCCACCACCACCACAACTTCAGAAATCAAGGTCGAAATTCCAACTCACATCGGCGAGCACCTCAAGATCGCAGGAAGTTGGCCCGGATGGTCTACCGGCGTATACAAGGACCGCACCAAAGATTCCTGTAGCCCCAACCGACTCGGCATCAATAAAATTCCGAAGTATGTTGATTTCGCTGTCAGCGACGCCGACAAGATATGAGAATCCGGGGCTATTAGATGAAGCGCTTGGAGTGATTCCGTTGAACAGGATATATCAGGAGGCGGAGGAAGAGAGCCAGATCTTGTTGGTAGAGGCTAGGAGTTTAGGGAAGGAGAAGGCGAAATGGGGATACCAGGATTGCGTTATCCAGGCTTTATTGAGGTGGGTTTTGCTGGCTCTTTTTATCCCGAGAGATTCTCTTTGTGCTTTTGGGGTGGTGGATATTCGGGAGCCTGCGTTGGCGTATCACGAATTTGGGAGGGATGCAGGGTTTCTTCATGGATGAGACGAACTACAGCCGCTGAATTGTCGTTTTTTGCCGGGGTTTCTTTGTCTTGCGGGTGGATTGCTGACTTGGGATTTCTTGATATCTAGATGGTTCCGACGGGATTTCTTCACATGGGTCAACAACCCCCCATGTGCACGCTGCTACTCAGAAACGACGCCAGAAGGATTATCACCAGTGACGGATGAGGAATCGGCTCGAGGTGCATCACGGGCGGAGATATTCAAGTGCAATCAGTGTGGACAATATGAGCGATTCCCTCGATACAGCGATGTATGGACGTTGTTGGATACACGCCGGGGCAGATGCGGGGAGTGGGCAAACTGTTTCTCAATGCTGTGTCGGGCAGTCGGAAGTCGCGTGCGCTGGGTATGGAACAGCGAGGACCACGTAAGTGTATTCCGTTATACAAAACGTAAACGAAGTATACGGTTACTGACATTTAAATCAGGTCTGGACCGAGGTATACTCAGAACACGCCCGCCGTTGGGTGCATGTTGACGCCTGCGAGGAGGTATGGAACCAGCCACGGCTGTACGCTGAAGGCTGGGGTAAGAAGATGGCATACTGTATCGCCTTTTCACACGACGGTGTAACCGACGTTACCCGCCGCTATGTCCGCAACACCCGCACACAAGCCCTTCCACGAACACGATGCCCTGAGGAGGTCCTCCACTACATCATCAAAGAGTTACGCGAGAAGCGCCGTGAGAAGCTCAGTCCCGAGGACGTCAAGCGTTTGGAGAAGGAGGACCGTGCTGAGGAGAGGGAACTTCAGTTGTATGTGTCACAGGGCCAGGCACAGGAGAAGTTGTTAGCTGGTTCGACGTCATCGAGGGGTGATGTGGCACATGGCGACCTGAAGAGACCCATTGGAAGACAGAGTGGTAAGATTGCCTTGGCATCTGGGTTCTATCGCTTTTACTAACTTTGCTACTAAAGGATCAACGGACTGGAAACATCGACGAGGTGAGGATGGCGTCAATGTAAATGCCGAATCCCCATTGGGGATTAACGAGCATAGGATGCATGAAGGCTATTAATCTCGGCCCGCATTTTTCGGGGATGTTTTTGTTTGTTTGGTCTCTAGTCGGAATTCGGGGCTGTAGGTCGCATTGCAACAATGGGCAAGATTTTTTGGAAGGGCTTCTCACAACCGGGCTTGAATTTGGATGGGGAGGTTTCAACATTTGCATGGATATAAGCGAACGACCAACGGGCATACCGCACCACAACAATAACCCACTCACTCCACTGTAAGGAGTCTCTACATGAAGGACCATCACCACCGTCAGCACTTTCTGCAACTTTTATGTTGCTGTTTTTATTTTTCGTTTCTTTACTTCCCTTTTGGGGGGGTTATCCATCCAACAACCACCAACCATCGGTGACGAATGTATGGATTTTGGGGCGCGGGAATTAAAAGGCGTTTCGTTTATTTTGTCTTGTTTTATATCAAGAATTCTTTTTTCACTTTTTTTTTACATTCGGGGTTGGGGGACTTTTTTTGGGAGGTTTTTATGTTTGGTTCGTTTTCTGTTTTGGTTTCTTTGGGGGAGCTGTGACGTCTGTTCGTTTGGTTTTGGCAATTGGGCGGGCTAATCTTTATAGCTTATTGCTTATTTCTTGTGTATATTCTTTCTTTCCTTCTTCTTTTTACACATTCTCTATTCTTCTTCTACTTTATATGTGTGGTGTCTTCTCCACCTCATCGCAGACAGACATACCTACCTACTCTAACATTTATTTCTCTTCCCTTTGTTTTAGCTCTCTTTTTGTCATTTGGATTTCCAGATCGGATATATAAGTGTGTATACAGCAAGCAGCGCGGGTATATTGGTTGGCGAGGGGCGGGTACAGGTATCTGCGAAATTCTATATTTGGGTGGAGGCTTTTTCTGAGGAAACCAGCCTTACTACTGTGTTGATCTTCATTTTTTATTTTTTATTTTCTAGTTGTGCCTGGATGGCGTTCGACTTTGTGGCCCTCCGTTTCTAGGCCATTTCTCTGGATTATCATATCCTTCTATCATGATACGTTTCCCATGTTTATTGCTTTATATCTTTGCGACGGTGTACTTAGGAGTTCTTTTTATTTCTCGTTTTTCGATTCTTACCTTTTTTTTACTTCTTCTGGAGCTGGGTGGGTTGTGCATTTTTTTAGACATCTTTTTTTTTTATATAACTTGCAGGAGGGCAGCTTAGTTAGAGACCACTGAATTCAAAAACTGGGCCAGCGGGATATCGCAAGGTCAAGGGGGTGTATTTACATATTTTTTTCTTCTCAGCGGTCCTAAAAGCTTAGCTAGTTGGTAATCAACAACAACAAAAGATCTTAAGAGTACTTGAGAGCAATATATCAAAGCAAGCCCTAGTTAGAAATACCACTTGTTTTTTTTGAGTCTTCATCTTACTCCTTCGTTGAATTCCTCCGATAGGTGACGAATCCTCTGCGGTCTGTCGACTTGAAGTTACTATGGAGGCCTGGGCAGGATGACAACTCAGTCACTCGTGCCACTTTACTTAGTGTCATCACTTGTGATTGTGAGGGGGCAGAGGTAAAATAGACTCAAAAGAGTACTAACTAGCGGTGGTGACGAGGCCTGAGCGGCCTCATCATCGTCATTATCAACATCGAGGGGTGACCTCCGGTAACAAGGTGCCACATATATATCGCCCAGCAGCGGCCACTTCCCCTCACTCACGCTCTGGGGTGGCAGGTTACGCACATGGGTTATAGTGGGGGAAGTGGCAGGGCGACAGAAAAAAAGTGACTCGCCGGTTTGCGCACAAGGAAAGAGGGGGAGAACGCAGGTAGGGGGTCGAGTGATCCCTCATGAGTCCGAAGAAAAGAAAATATTAAGCGGATAAATATAATTCCTTTCCTCATTCCAGTAAATTCCGAAGAACGCGTGTCCCCCCAAGGCCTAAGCCGGATATTGCTTAGTGGGGGTTCATTTTAAAGGTGGCTGGATGGGGAATAAATAAATGAAGGGCATAATCCGAGTTCTCGTGTTTTATCCTCTAAACCGGCATGCTGATCTGAGTACATAGGGCTGTAGTGAGATCGGATAAGAGCATTTTGAATCGTTGGTTCCATATTCATTTCTATGTATCCATGATGTTGAGGTTTGAGGTTTTAAGATTGGTTCTTGGCCCCAACCAGGAAACTAGGAAACAAAACCTCCTCGCTAGTTGGCTAGAGCGCGGGCCCTAGCTGCGGCCCAGCACATCCGAGATTCGAGTGTTTGCCGAGTTGTTTTAGTGCGGTAGTTTATCGATCGAGTAAAGCTTAAAAAGTTCGCTCAAGGCCGTGCGGGTTGAAACATGCAGACCTTTGAAAGCAGCAATGCAGAATATATTTCGTCCTCCTAAAAATACCTTTGCTGTTTGCGATCTCTGACTGGGGTTTGGTGTTGGCAGACAAGCGGATCCTAATAGATATTTTTTATAAAAAGGGTTTCTTTCTTCCTGGGGGTGACCTGGTCAATTGTCTTAATTGCACACCGCCGGAGTACTGCCGCCGCTGTATATCGTTCGATAGGGCGCAGACAGACCTATTGATTAGCCAGACTTGCGGTTAAACTCGGTAAAGATATGGAGTTTTTCCTTTATTCTCTCAACATACTAGACAAATCTTACTGCTAGAGTTATCCCCATTGTAGTTGTGTTTGTGGCGGAGGTTACGAGTGATATCGCATGATTTGAGGCTTGCCAGCCACAGTAGTATTACATCATGCCGCTCCCGGGGCCAGGGGGGACGCGTATGCCCACGCTCCTTTACTAATCAGAATGCCACCATCTTTTATTTTTGCTCCCCCCTTATAATTACCTGCAGGTGTACATATGCACGGATTTCCTGCGTATGTGATGTGAGGTTCTTGCATGATGTGTAGGTATTGGACGTCTCGGTAGTACACCATAGAGAATGTAGAGAATGGTAAGTGAGGCGTATGTACCTATATAATCAATCGGGCCGGCCCGTTAGTTCAAAGATTTGAAGGCTTGAGTGGGTTCTTACTAGCTACGACTAACTTTCGTTAAGTCGGTGAGAAATCCTCTGCGGAGACTTTTCGTACCTACGATATTAACAAGTAAAAAGACCACATCAAGCTTAATTCGGCATCTCAATGGCCGAGTCATGGATGATCCCACTATATCACGACAGCGATGGTTACCTCTCAGCCGCTATTAAGATTGCCTTCTTTCATGTGCTCCTAGGGGAGTTGGCGAGGACTACGGACGTAAGGATTGCCTTGGTATGTGTATACGTCAATTGGAAGATATTACAAGCCTTTTCTATTAGCGAAACTCGGAGGCGCAAAGATAGGAAGAAAGTAACTCAATGAGAGTAAGATCTCCTTTCTGCATAGCTCTCTGTGGAGTCCATCTTGTCAACGGGGGTGTTTTATAATACTGCCAGGGTGAAGTAAAGCACCCCCGGAGTTCCGTTGAGAGAGACCAGTTCTACCTGACGTTCGCACATATATGTACGGTATCATAGTTTGTACAATTAAAGGTGCATTCGTTTTACGTGGAATAAGTAACCCTAATCAACGTTAGAATAACTATTAAACCAAGAAATTATGGGACTGTGGGTAACTTACCTATATATAAACATGAAGAATTAAAGGTTTAAGGTATAATGTGGAATAATATAATTGAATATATATATTATCACACCACATTTGAAGCTTGCATGAGATGAAATAGTGTGTATCCTGCCCCCATAACCATCGGAAAATTAAATCCTGATAAGTCTATATCAGTTCTTTATATAATATCTGTGAACACCCGGGCTTATCACGTTTAACTATAAAGTGAAAAATGGGTAGGTACATGTAGTGTTGGATAACCGATCCAATTGAATAAAATATTAGACTCGATGCATAAGTGGTAGTTCGGATTATCGCACACCACTAGGCCAGAAGCTTCTGTAGCTGGAATTGATCCAACTGATATCACCGTTGACGTAGCTTCTAGGTAAGTTAAGTTATGCAGTCTTCCTATAAATATTTGGCTAGTTTTATAACACCTGTATAGTACCTTCAACCTCTCCAAAACGTAGACAATATAGTTGGAAGAACCCTATTCTAACAGTGTGAGTTCTCCTACGATAACATATTCGTATGTCATCCCAGATAAATAGCGATGTTTACACAATTGAGAACGGTCTCACCTGGGGTGATCCACCATTAGCGGTGTGGTTTTATATAACCACAATTTCTCGGCTATGAACTATCTGTTGGATCATCAGTTTAACCAATAAAGAACACTTAGTAGCTGTTAATCTTCATAGGAAGTTGATTAACCTAGATCTTTGCAAGATTTAGTGAGCATGAGATGGTTTGTGATAGTTTGTGATGGCCATGGAAGTGTTAAGTAACATCAATAGCAAGACAAGAGGCTCACAGCGTAGCGATTCAAAAGTTTATCTTTTTAAGACACGTACGCAAGACAGTATAGCGAAGTTTTTAGAGTGTGGCTTCTTTGTATCCTAACTACCACCTGTAATAAACACTCCAAATTAGCCTGTATATTCCATCCCCATTATATAAACAGGAAGCGGGTAGATAACCTACATGTAGCTTCAGATTGGAGTAAACAATATGATAGTGTGATTCAAATCGATATATCCGTGTTTGAATCTAGTCTCTACGTCTAGTGCACGTGCAATAGAGTACATGTGCATGTGGTTCCATTAATTCTACAACATGGGCCGTGTCCGATCATGCCTCTGGGGTGGTGGGAATCATGCTTGGTTTTGAGTATGTGTGAGATTGTAAGTATAAATTATGGTTGCAGTTCTTATTTATGCCAACCAAAGATCTGAGTCTCTCATTTTGCCCTTCTTGTTGACACTGAGAAAGAGATAGTCGACGCGAGTGATCCCTGGTGATAGAGGCTCAACAAAAGTACACCCTATACTACATGTTTAAGTACATATAGGTGCAAGTTCTTCTTGCGCTGATCATAAAACCTGTATACATGTACCGGATTAAGGTTTCGAGATTGATATAATACCCAAGGACTCAAACTTGCGGCGCATTGAAATATATATATATATAGTGAAGTGATGCTTAATCGAGGTCTCGCTTTATAGGGGCTGCTCAGTACAACAATCGCAGCGGATATACACTTGAAATATGTCTGATAACCTTATTCGATATTACCAGGAAGTCTTTCTTTTACCATCCTTTTAATTTTAAATACGCCAGCAGAGTTATGTTGTTGACGGGTCGAGTGTCACCGTCAATCAAAATAAAGAAGGGGAGAGGGACAATTGTCTCTCTCCCTCTCCCTCTCCCTCTTCGACTCTCCCTAATGTTTAGTATCATTCTTATGCACTCGCTCGCAACATATTTTTAAATTCTATCATAATATGAGAAATTCCGGTAAGATAGGATGCTTGGTAAGGCCTAAGAGCGACCTCTCACCTCACCCTCAACGAGGAGCTAAGCTTCTTATTTCTCGACCTAATTAATACACAATTAGAATGCCCTTTTGATATGTGTGATATATCATCACTCAGCGCGTTTAAAATTGCATATATGGCTAACAAATAAGTTGGCAGAGAATGGTTTGTGTTTTGTTTTAGCTTTTTAGACCATTCAGCTCTGAGAAGTGTACTCTACTGTTGATTAAATACCTTGTGTTGCATCGCCTAACAACCCCTAACACCCAAAACTTGAAAGTCTCATCAACTACACCACCATGATCCCCGGAATCGGTGTCGACCTCCTCCACCTCCCCCGACTATCCACTCTCCTCTCCCGGCGCAACGGCCACTATCTCAACCGGTTCGCCCGACGCATTCTCACCCGGAATGAGCTCGCCACATTCCAGCGAAAGCTCGGGGAAGCAGATGGCGCCACCCGCGAATGGGGAAGAGAAGGTGGATTGGTGAGATGGCTTGGTGTGCGCTGGGCTGCCAAAGAAGCTGCATTCAAGGCTACTGGAGGTGTTAGAGGTGCCCTGGGTTGGAAAGAAGTCCAGGTGGAGTATCATCCTTCGGGTAGGTACCTGCGCTGCATGCAAGGTTGTTGTAGGAATATTGGGTCGGACTAATTGGAACAGGACAACCATATTTGTCGGTTTCGAGAGGGTCGGAAAAGGCAGTTGGCGGGTTAAGTATCTCCCATGATGGGGAATACGTTATAGCGATGGCGATGCTGCCAGCTACTCCTGCTCAAAGATGAGGCGGCGAACTGTAAGGTTTTAGGGGAGGCTAGACGGAGGTCGACTTCCTGGTCCTTTAGTTTGAACTTTTAGAATAGAGGGCGGTGGTAATGATGTAGATCTATAGATTGTATATAAATCTAGATGTTTGCACCGAAAGTCTGTATGATAAACTCCCAGTTTTGATATCAATAATACTTGGGGCTAGAGAGCTCCTACCCAACGCACCACTGAATACTAGGCCTGGCCATGATGGCCTTTTGAATCAGGAAAAAGCTGCATTGCTTTCTCAGGTATCTTCTCTATTTAATCCCCTCTCCATACTAGCCCGTCTATAGCGGCCCAAACCCCCAGCACTCAGCAACATAGATGCTAAAGTGGAGAATCTTTCCTCTTATTCTAAGATACACACATACAGATCTAGAAGCCAATCCAGCCCACAAAAAGACCCACGGAAATAATTTTTACAAGAAGCAAACCGGAGAAACCCAATCACGCACGAAAAAGGAAGAAAGAAGCCAGAAGCCCAACCCAGTCCAAAACCACTACATATACAAAAATGGCTACGGAGAGAAAGAAATTGAAATAAAAAAGCAATATATATATACGCCAACCAGCCCGTATCATAGTAAGTAGTAACTAGAATCCCTTTTTTTTCTTTTCTTACTCAATCTCCTCCATCAATCCGTCTAAATCTACTTTTGGTGCTTCTTCAGCCTCTCCTTCTCATACTCTGCAATGAGCTCCTTCTGCATATGAGGTGGCGCGGCTGCGTAGTGCGAGAACTCCATGCTGAATTCACCCTTGCCCTGGGTACCAGCTCTCAACATGCTTGAGAAGCCAAACATGGCATTCAGCGAGCACATGGCAGTAAGTGTGAAGTCCTCCACACCGATCTCAGAGTCCTCAATGACAGCGTTACGCTTGTTCATCAGGCCAACGATGTTACCCTGGAACTCATTGGGTGAAGAAATGGCAACCTTCATGATGGGCTCGAGGATGACTGGCTTAGCTTCCTTGAAAGCCTTGCGGAAGGCTTGCTCAGTGGCCATTTTGAAGGACATTTCGGAAGAATCCGTCATGTGAGTGGCACCATCGTTAACAACCATGTGTGTACCAAGGACTCTATGACCTACAAGAGGACCTTTCTCGCAAGAGCGCATGAAACCCTAGGAATAATCAGAACGTGTTATTGGCAATTGAAATGCGGGTATAGTCACCTTCTCACACGCAAACAAGAACTTCTCAGAAATGGTTCCACCAATAACCTCCTGCTCGAACTTGTTGAAGGCAAGATCTCCAGTGGGCTCCATGAATCCCATAACTCTGGCGTAATCACCAGCACCACCAGTCTGCTTCTTGAGGGTATGGTCGAAATCGATACGCTCGGTAATGGTTTCTCTGTACGCAACCTCGGGCTTACCAGTAATGCAGTCGACGTTGTATTCACGACGCATACGCTCGACGTAGATATCAAGATGCAGCTCTCCCATTCCTGAGATAATGGTCTGCTGTGATTCAGGGTCGACGTGGCAGCGGAAAGTGGGATCTTCACGCTGGAAGCGGTTGATGGCCTTGGAGAAGTTTGCAGTTTCTTTGGAGTTCTTGGGAGTAATAGAAAGGGAGATGACGGGTTCGGGAACAAACATGGAAGTCTTCCCATAGCGTTAGTAAAGAGTGGGTCTCAAAACGTATGGGATGGTGAGGGTTTACCATAGTGTACGGCAATCCACCATCTGTGAAAGTGTCGCCAGACGCACAATCTACACCAAACACGGCACAGATTTCACCAGCACCAATCTCCGAAACCTCCTCCATCTCGTTCGAGTGCATTCTCACGATTCTGGGAACCTTGATCTTCTTCTGCGTCTTCGCATTAAACACATACATCCCCTTCTTGAGCATACCCTGGTACACCCTGATGTAGGTCAACTGTCCAAAGTTGCCCTCTTCGAGCTTGAAAGCCAGTCCTACAAACGGCATGCTGTTGTACGGAATCAACGACACTGGTGCCTCAGCCCTGCGTCTATCGAGGGCAAGATTTGGTACTTCAGCCGGGTTAGGTAGATAGTCTACTACGGCATCAAGCATGGGCTGAACACCCTTATCCGCAAGGGCAGAGCCCATGCACACCGGTGCAAATTTACGTGCAATAGTCTGGCGACGGATAGCAGCCTTGAGCTGATCGATAGAGGGGGTCTGCTCCTCGAGCCACAGCTCAGCGATCTCGTCATCAACATCGGCAAGGGCCGCAATGAGGACGCCGCGTTTCTCCTCACAGAGAGCCTGGAGGTCTGCCGGAATGTCCTTTTCGACGACGTTGATACTAAGAAAATGTGAGTGACAATCCATGAAGATGGCAAGTATAACTTACCCTTTCGGTCCCTCGAAGTAGAGGGCTCTCATCTTGATCAAATCAACCACACCCTGGAACGAGTCCTCACCGCCGATCGGGACCTGAATAGCTGCCGCCGGTAGTTTCAGCTTGTGGTTGATCTGCTCAATTGCCTTCCACGGGTTCGCACCCATGCGGTCCATCTTATTCACAAAGCACACTCTCGGAACATCGTAACGTTTCATCTGCCTATCTACGGTGATGGTCTGCGACTGTACACCGCTGACAGCACACAAGATCATGACAGCACCATCCAGCACTCGGAGAGCTCTCTCCACCTCGATCGTGAAATCAATATGTCCTGGTGTGTCGATAAGATTGATGTGGTACTTCTGTTCGACGCCGTCCTCCTTCTTGACCCAGTCACAGAACGTCGCTGCAGACTGAATGGTAATTCCCTTCTCACGCTCAAGATCCATGGAGTCCATCTTTGCGCCGACGGCGTCTTTACCGCGGACTTCATGGATGGCTTTGATACGACCGGTGTAATAGAGGACACGCTCTGTGCAAGTGGTTTTTCCGGAATCGATGTGCGCCTATAAGGTGTGAAGGGATATTTAGCAATTTGCTTCAATTATTTGGCAAGTAAGTAAATAGGTATTACTAACCGCAATGCCAATATTGCGCACTGTGCGTAACCGCTCAGCTTCCACGGGGTCCATCTTGCTGTGAATTTCCTCCAGCGAGACCAACTCTGGAGGTTCCTCAGCTCTGCAATCAAGAGCCGAATTAGCATCCTCGTGCCCACTGTATTCAATTGAAGCCACAAAAAAAAATTAAAAAAATTAAAAACCTACACAATGGCTTCTGCAACGCTTGCGTACCCCCTAGTCCTCATCCTCAACGCCGGCAGTGCAGCTCTCGCCAGCACTGGCGCCGCGAACGACGAAACCTGCTTCACGGTTCCCAATCTTGCAACCGGGCGCGCAAGAGGCGCCATCGTCCTCAGAGCAGAGGAGGAAAAGGACCGGAAAGCCCGGCATTGGGATCTGGAAATCGCAGCTCTCATGATTGCAATGCTTCCTGGAGTGGAGTTTGGGGGTGGCGGGTGAAATCGAGATTTGCTCTACTCCAGGGACGGGTGAGGCAGGGTTGGAAAGAAAAAAAAAAGACCCGGCAATGGTGGGTTGCTTATCTTATCTATCAGATCTAGGTGGGGCAGGGAGCCGCAGGGCCGAGTGAGGGTCCCTAACCCTTGTAGGTTCATGATATATCACTCGCAGAGACTTATTCTCTCTTTCGCGAATCGATATTTGGAACAAATTATCGCAAAAAATTTATTTCTCATTAAGAAGAGACCAAACAAAGAGTTGGTAATCAAAGTGAAGTACCACATTTATCCCATGAATAAAAAGAATTAAAGAGAAGGAAAAAAAAGTTCCCAACTCCCATCCCCTGCGGCCGGGGTGAAAGCTGGTAATCTTCCGCCGAAATCACCACCGGATGGTGTGAAGTCAGCGCGGGTTGAACGTACACGCATTATTTAAGACACAGCTGGTATTGAGACAATGGCTCGGCCAAATACTGCTGGGGCATCCAACCCGATGTCGATAGCATGTTTTTTGGTACACTTAGCCTTGAATCTTTAGTATACGCGTACACGGTTCCAGAAATACTTCTTACTGGGGTATTTTTACACCTTTGCTCTGAATTAAGCTTTTAATGGTGACCCGGCTTTCAGTAACTTTGCGCCATCTTCTGGGCCACTTCCCTACCGACTCTAGTCTCGTGAAGCAGAGGGGTTTGGGGGACGAGCCTATACCGACTCCTGTCTGGTGATGAGAACACTATGGACTGGTGTCTCGAGACTTCAGTCATCACGACAGAGTAATCGACCAACACTAGAGCTCGAGGTTATGGCGCCCCAAATAGATCAACCTCACTACAAGCCGCCAAGCCGACACAAATCAAAACCGCCCCCTCATTTCGTCTGAAGCAACCGGAAAGATGAGTTCAAATATGTGTAAATGGTGACGACGCCATGGAGAGACTTCGAGAGATAGACATCTCCTCATCGACTTGTCATGTTTATCATTTAGCCAGCCACAATCTTCGGTCTTATGAAGGAGGAAGAGCAGGAAGAGGAAGATATGGGGGCTGTATATAGATACGCTTGGGGGGGGGGGGGGAGTTGCGTGAGTTAGGTTTGGCGAGTGATAATTCATGATGATGATGATGATGATGGAGAGTTTGTTGTGATCACCATATATCACTCGTTTGAATTACTTGCTCCGTGTTGAGGATAATGTCCGAGTCTAGGATCATTTACTATATGGGTATTTACAGATCGTCCTTAATATTTAGAGCAGATGATTCTGTTATAGTCAATTGAGTCACTTCTCATCGTTTTCGCACCTCATTTAACATCAGTGTGGCTAATTCACGAAATATATGAGAGAGGAAGTCCCGAAGCAGCACGTACGTCGCAGGAGTGAGATTGAGGTGGGTCTTGAGGGTAGGATTAATTAATGGTGGATGTATAGGCTATCTGCTCAATGGAAAGGCCAAAGACCAAAGGTCGTCGATTCTTGGGTGCCGCTAGATGCCAAGTCGATTATTTTAGGGGGAGAAAGCTAGGCGAGGTGCTTGCAGATACTGTCCACACTGTACAGCAGCTAGCTGCAATCTAAACCTTGCAATGGCACATTGAGGGGCTGATATGCCTTCAATTATACTTAAAGAACTGGAGCTCTTATCTTGCAGAGCTACGGGCTTGACGGTTGAGTCCTCTCCCGCAATCTCGTGATATCTGCTAGTTGGGGATAGAAGTTACACCTCAGAAACACCAGATACATCCCTCATAAGATTACGGATCACTAAGTCTTAAGTACTAAAGGGCGCACGGGCGATTTTTATATGTAGCCATCGCACCTCCCCGCTCTAGTAGTCAGCCATCTGGCCAAAAACAGAAAGAGCAACAAGATCAAATAAGGGTTATAACCCGGGTGGTTACTGCTCACATTGTCACGTACATACCTCCAGCCGAGACAATCCACTACTTGGAGAAATCAGTTCCCGTAATCACTGATCCCGAGTGCTACGAAAGCCCGGCCCTTGCTTCGTAAATATCATTAATGCCAGTACGTGGTGGTAGATATCCGAGAGTTCAGCTGCTGATTGGGTAATGATTTTTTTGAGAGCGATAGGTTTACGACGACCGGGGGGGGGGGGGGGGGTAGAGATATCCTCATCAATGAAAAAGGGTGCGCAAGAGATAGTGCCCCTGCGATGCGGCCCATTATGGTAGAGCTTAACCTTGTTGCGTGATTTTTCTGTATGTTCTCAAGGCCGAGTGATAATCTATGAATATTATACTCTACACCCGAGCCAGGCAATCGACTGGTTGCGTACCATCACCGGTGGCCTCCTTTTTTCACTTGCTCGAGAAGACCTAGGAGATGGGAGCTTAAATACCAGACAATTGTAGCGGAAAAGAGAAAATGAATGGTCATCATCCGCTCGCTAAAGGGGTTTCTATCTAATAATAGCGGTTAGATGACCTAACACCACCTTGCATGTTCTACTGTGTGGCCGTGGCGGCCGCGGCCAGTTAAAGGGCCGGGTCAATTGCAAAACCTTCATATTTCTCATTCCAAGTAAAAAAAAAACACCAGAGCTAAATAAGTAGCTAGCTAGTCATAAATCACAATCTCGAGATATTTCCCTTCATAACAGCAGTACCAAATGGAGACTTTACGCCCGCGCCCGTCCCCGCCAGATGTACTAGATTCGCAGCTTGTCAAAGATGGACAATCGCACCCGCCTCCCACACATTCTGCGGCTCCAGCTTGTGCCATTTCGAGACCGCGCCGGCTTCAATGCAGACTATATAGAATTATATATTAATTGCACCGCCTCTTGTAATAGAATATAACAGAGGCCGAAAAAAAAAGGATCAACTTACTCATGTTCTTGTACCCATCACTCGGGCCAAAGTCCGCAATATTCGCACAGCTCTCCCACGGATTCCACACCACCACATCCTCCAAGTTCGATCTCTCAACCCGATACAACGGCGTGCCACCACTCTTAACCACAACCGACCCGGGGACATCCGCATACACACGGTCAACCTCCTGCTGAATCGACAGCTCCGGCATCTCCTGGACCGCCTCGGTCCCCGTGACCTTGCACCTGTACGCAATGTCCTTCAGGCCCTCGATGCTGACATTGCCGACGTTCGGGACGCGCAGGTACGTGTGGAAGAGGAGGTTGAAGTCGAACGTCTCGTTGCCCTCGTTGCGCACCAGGATCTTGGTCTCCAGGCTGGTGCGCGTGAGCGTGACGGAGTAGATCAGGCCGAAGGCGTACGGCCAGGCTTTGCGCAGGTCCACGGTGAGGTTCTCGGGGCCGAGGCCGAAGTCGACTTGGATCGAGGACTCGTTCTCGCTGGTCTTGCCGAGCAGCTCCCATTTGCAGATGCGGGCGAAGCCGTGCTGGGCGAGGGCGGCGGTGGGGCCATCGGTGGACTTGCCGAATACCTGCGGAATGGGTCAGTATTGTGTATATAGATCACGCACCGGTGGTGCGCTGTGAAGACTGGAGGGGTAAAAAGACGTACCGGGAATACGAGTGGAATTCCACCACGGACAGCTTTGGTCCCGTCTGTAGGCAATTTGTTAGCAACTGGCTACATAGCTACGGAATGGTGGAATCAATCCTTGGTAGTGATTAGGACGACGGTGGGGGGTTGAGTACCAAGGCAGGCTTTCTCGCTCAAGAACAGCTTCTCCTCCCCGCCCGCGATCCAAGAAACCACCGTCGCGCCGTAAAGCAGCACATCAGCGGACTCTCCGGACGGCAATGACAGCTACACACATTCCCATCAACCCAATTTAACCAGTCAGCCTGTACTGTTTCTGTTTCCCCCACGCATATCGAAAACAACCAAAGAGAAACAAAAAGAAACAAAAGCTCCGCCATATATTTATTACCTTGACCCTGCCGTCCTCAACGCTCATGCCGCCGTGTGCAGACGCACCGCCAGCGCTGACGGGAATGGGAGCGGGCTTCTTGCGTTCATGAACCATATTTGCTAATTTTTCGGGCTTGTTGTTTGTTTGTGGTGATGAGATGGACGAGATGGACCGAGATGGATGAGAGGGGGAAGGTTGTTATAGGGTGATGTATGGTAGGAGATGTAGGTACGTTACAGACAGGACTGGACCTCCTACCCCGCCATCCATGATTCCAGTTCTATGCAAGAGCTCATGATCAAGGCGCTGAATGCGGCTGCATGGCTTGGCGCGTGGAGGGGTGGGATGGATCCATGTTTCGGAATACATATACTTGACCGGGTGTGGAGGTCAACGGAGCTTCTGCGATCTGGGGGGTTTACATATTGACCGGGGGATATATGTGCAATTGAAATTGGGGAGGCCTTGTTACTAGTGGTGTGCTTGATATATATATATATGTGGGGTTTCTTGGGAATTAAAGTGGGTTGTTATGATACTGCTAGCTACATGTAGTCTTGGGAATTGAGATTCCTCAAGTGATCGTAGAGTATATGTCGAGGAAACAAAGATAGGCGCAGATAGAAATGATAAAATAAATAAACAGAGCCGGACACACTAGCTAAACCTCTCAAAAGGAGGACGTCTTGTGGCTCCAAGTCGGTAATATAAACGTCGTTATATATATAATTATTTGAATTGCTACTTAATCATGCGGATAGATATAAGGCCGACTAGCTGGGATCAATTCCAATAAGCCCTTCGACGTTTTATACGGATTAACTTGCTTTGCAGGTTGACAGTTACTCTCGGTGAAGCATAAACAAGCAAGAGAAATCATTGATACTTAGCCCTGGAGACCGGAGTGGGAAACCTTTGGAGGGAACTAACTGCCGGAAGCATCTTGCTTTGAACTATTCCACCTTATTACAGTCTAGACCTAGGTACTGTACCTACAGTTCCTCCATGGTCTCGTAGGGCTGGGATAAGGATCAGCTTATGACATAGAGACTCGCTCAGGATGCTAATATTGTGCCATTCGGCTTAATTAGGTGTCGGTTCATAAGAGAGGGGCAGAATGTTTAAGTTCACTCTGTCCTAATACAACCCGCAGAAAAGAGGAATAAATGGCTAGACCATTACGTACAGTCTCACAATTGCGGTCAAACATGGCCGTCGACTACCTGAAGTTTACAAACTGCATATATAGATTAGAGAATACAACAATACTCTGTAGAAAGCTTCTGTTCTGGATCGATCTACCAAGCAGAGGCCGTTGAAATGTATACTTCTATCCTGCGGCAGTTAGTAGTTATATAATTAGTGTTCCCCGCAATGCATTATTCCACCCCCGCCCAACCCCTCCTACACATAAACACCACTCACTCCTCAGCCCGTCTCCATATATTCCCAATCCACTGTAAGCAGCCAATCCCTCCTTTCCCCCTTAATTCTCCAATTCTCCATTTCAGTTCTTATTCACCAGGGTTAGGGCTCTTCCAAATACCCCAATGCCTGCAGGTCCCGCGATAAGATCAGAGCCGCACCCAGCACAAATTTCCCCACCAGCAGCACCACCCGGGCCCACCACCACCACCACCACCACCACCACGGCGCCCATGAACAGAATCAATCTCTCCCTCCTCAAACCCGGCGCGCTGAAGGGCAGTCTCAAGCTGCCCAAGAGCACACTCAGCATCCGCCCCGCCGCGCGCCACACGGCACTCTCACACACACTCCTGGCCCGCTGCTCGGAGGAGCTGTATCAATGGCAGGTAATAACACACAGAGACATACACACAAAGACTACTACAACTACTACTACTGCTACTACCTACCTACCGCAACTACTACCTACCCACAGCAGCGCTGACGTCCGCAGTAGAGTAAAGCGCTCCCCGCCGAAAACTCATTCATCCTCCACGACGGCCCGCCCTACGCAAATGGCGACCTGCACCTCGGCCACGCGCTCAACAAGATCCTAAAAGACATCATCGGGCGGTACCAGATCCTCTCCGGCCGGCGCCTCTGCTACATCCCCGGCTGGGACTGCCACGGGCTCCCCATCGAGCTCAAAGCACTCCAGAGCCTCTCCTCCTCCACCACCCACCCCACCCCCGCCACCAACCCGGAAAACAGCAAAAAGAAGCATTCCAAAAAGGAAAAGGCCAAAGAAGCCACCGCCGCCGAGGCCGCCGAAAGCGGCAAATCCATGCCCCCCGTAGAGCTGCGCCGCCTCGCAGCCTCCCTCGCGCGCACGACGGTCGAGGCACAGAAGGAGGGCTTCAAGAGCTGGGGCGTCATGGGCGACTGGGAGCACGCGTACCGCACGCTCGATCTCGACTACGAGGTTGAGCAGCTGCGCGTGTTCAGGGACATGCTGCACAAGGGGCTGATCTACCGCCGGTTCAAGCCCGTGTGGTGGAGCCCGTCGTCGGGGACGGCGCTGGCCGAGGCCGAGCTCGAGTATGATGAGCGGTATGCGAGCACGGCGGCGTTTGTGCGCTTTCCGATGGCGGAGACGGGGCTGGCGGCGGAGTTCCCGGGGCTGGCGGCAGCGATATGGACGACGACGCCGTGGACGGTGCCGGCGAACCGCGCGATTGCGGTGGGCGCGGGGATGGAGTACTGTGTGGTGAAGAACTCGCAGCATGGGTATCTCCTCGCCGCGACCGCGCGCGCAGAGACATTCATGAGCTTCCTCGAGGGCGACACGGAGGTCGTCAAGGCTGGCATTCTGGGCGAGGAGCTGGCGGGGATGAAGTACACGCACCCGCTGCTCAAGGACTCGCCGCAGCAGCAGCAGCAGCAGCCTATTATTACCGCCGACTTTGTCACCGCCGACTCCGGCACAGGCCTCGTCCACTGCGCGCCGGGCCACGGCGCAGACGACTACCTCGTATGCCTCAAGCACGGCATCGCGCCATTCTCACCCGTCGACGCCAACGGGCGATACAGCGACGACGCGCGCGCCTTTGGCGAGCACCTGCACGGCCTGCACGTCATCAGCGAGGGCACCCCGGCGATCATTGATCTCCTCAGTGCGCGGGGCGGGCTCCTCGCCGTGCAGGACAAGTACCGCCACAAGTACCCACTCGACTGGCGCACGAAGCAGCCCGTCATCGTGCGTGCGACGGCACAGTGGTTCGCCGACGTCGACGGCATCAAGGCGCCTGCCGTCGACTCGCTGGCCGCCGTGCGGTTCGTGCCCGAGACGGGCCGCTCACGGCTCACGGCGTTTGTGCAGGGGCGGTCGGAGTGGTGCATTTCGCGGCAGCGGGCGTGGGGGGTGCCGATCCCGGCGCTGTATGATGAGGAGAGCGGGGAGCCGCTGTTGACGGTCGACAGCGTCGACCATGTCATCTCCGTGATCCAGCAGCGCGGCACCGACGCCTGGTGGGGCGACGCGGCGGACGACGCCGCCTGGGTGCCGGAGGCGAACAGGGGCGATGGGAGGAGCTACGTGCGCGGGGCGGAGACGATGGATGTGTGGTTCGACAGCGGGACCAGCTGGGCGGCGCTGAAGGCGCGGATTGGGGAGCGAGCGGGGGGTCGGCCGCTGGCGGACTTGGTGCTCGAGGGGTCGGACCAGCACCGGGGGTGGTTCCAGAGCTCGCTGCTGACGTCTGTGGCGTGCCGCGGGGTGCAGCCGTATGGCGTGGTGCTGACGCATGGGTTCTGCATGGATGCAAGGGGGAAGAAGATGTCCAAGTCGCTGGGGAATGTGGTGGCGCCCGCGGATATCATTGAGGGGCGCATCCCGAAGGCGAAGGCGCTGAGCGGCGGCGTGGATGCGCTGCGGTTGTGGGTGGCGTGCGCGGATTATACGAAGGATGTGGTGGTGGGAGAGGGCGTGCTGGTGCATGTGCATGAGGCGCTGAGGAAGAGTAGGGTCACGGCGAGGTTTTTGTGTGGGAATCTGGAGGGGTGGGATGGTGAGGAGGTGGAGTATGAGGAGTTGACGAAGGTGGGCTATGTTTTATATCACTGCTTGTGTGGGGAGGTTTTGGGGGAGACTGGGGGCTGACGGGGGAGTAGATCGATAAGTATGCCCTGGCGCAGCTCTACAGAGTCAACAAGGCCACCCAAGACGCATACAGCAATTACCAGTTCAACAAAGGTAAGAGGAACCAAGCCCTTTACAGAGTGAGAGCCAGCTCCGGTTTCCAGTAACCTGATTATCACCAATCCCCCATCAAACCACTGAAAACCGGAGCTATCTCTCCCCCCTCCCCCAAAAGCCCCCGAGTGACAACCCATGACCCACTAACAACCCCCCCCCCTCTCCCCCGCGCAGCCGTCAATGCAATCACAAACTACACAACCCTCGACCTCTCCGCCTTCTACCTAGACGTGATCAAGGACCGCATCTACTCCGACCCCGCCCACTCGCTGAGCCGGCGCAGCGCACAGACGGTCATGCACCACATCCTGCGCAACTACGTGTCGATGCTGGCGCCCATCGTGCCACTGCTGACGGAGGAGGTGTGGGCGCACACGCCCGCGGCCGTCACGCGCGGCGCCGTGAGCCCGTCGAGGCTGGGCTGGTATCGGCCTGATGAGAGGTGGAATGATGGCGAGCTGGTGGCGCACTTTGCGCTGCTGGAGGAGGTGCATGCGGTTGTGAGGGTGGGGATTGAGAGGGCGAGGACGGCGCAGTGAGTGCTCTTGTTGTTGTTGTCTGCGGTGGTGGGGGTGGAGGGGTGGAGGGAGGGGTGGGTTTGCTAATGTGTTTGTGGTGTGGCGTGCTAGGAATCTGAAAGTCAACCTCGAGTCTTCGGTCGTGATAGTTGCCCCCGAAGGCACCAAAGCCCGCCCCATCATCGAGAAATACCGTAACCCCCCCCTCCCTCCACCTCTCTCTTAAAACCACCCACTAACCCAGCACCACTGTACAGTCGACGAGCTCGCCAGCCTCTTCATCGTCTCCGGCGTCTCAGTGTCCAACACCGTCCCGCAAGACGAGGCCACCGCGAGATGGAGCTACGCCGAGGGGGTAACGCTGCTGGGCGAGGCCTGCCACGTGGTGGTGAGGCCGGCGGGGGGCCACAAGTGTACCCGCTGCTGGGTCTACGCCGCCGAGGAGGAGGAGGGCATCTGTGCGCGCTGCGAGGACACGCTGAGGAGTTATCCGAGGGAGGAGTATGAGGCGCTTTTTGCTTGAGGAGAGGGAGGAGGAGGAGCAAAATAGACGCCGGGGGGGGGGGGGGATAGACCGGGGGGGGGACGTTAAAAGCATATAGGTATATATTTGAATTAAGCTTTGTGTTTAGATATATGTAGGTACAGGGGGGTTGAGGGTAAGTGATCACTTTTCGCTACACCCAGTAGGTACAGGGTGGTGTGCTCGTATTCGTATTCCTTGTAGATAGATTTTTTTGTAGATATCGTCGTACTCGTAGCTAGATGGATATGATTGACTCTTCGCTCTCCCAACAATTAATCCCTACATGTACCTACATACAAAGTACTTAGCATAGCATAGCCCTCGCCTGTCCTATCGCTGTTGTTGCGCTGTGCTACAATGTACCTACAGTAGAGTACTTGCATGTAGAGTATGTACCTACTGTACACACCTCACGCAGCGTACAGCGTTCGTCGTGAACTGTTGTCAGTCCAACCCCACACTTTTCCGGAGCCATCCTGTGGCTGTACTCACAACCTACGTCAGCCAGAGCGATCCTCGCCTTCCCCCTGCCGATTCTTGCTTGGGCCCCGACACACACCCATGCCCATGCCCTGCCCACACCTCAACGCTTTAGCCGCAGCAGCGTATCGTGTGGCCGGGCGGAGAGATGAGATCCAGCCCGTCCCAGCAGCGCGCGCTGGAGGTGAGGTGGTTGGTGGGTTGGAGTGCGTAGAGAGCAAGTATGTAGAGCGAGTAGAGAAGTAGAAGTACATGTAGTCTGGTTAGTAGAGGAGGTACATGTAGTCTGGTTAGTAGAGTGGGTACATGTAGTCTGGTTAGTAGAGTGGGTAGAAGATACATGTAGGCACTGGATAGGTGTGTCTATCACGTATCGTATCGGGCTCATATCAGCGGTAGAATTAATACTCCAGATTGTGCAGTTGTACCTGACACGGGGCCTATCTGATCTGCCTATCTCATCGATTCTACACACGCTCTCTTCTCCGTCGTCGTCTCTGCCTCGACTCTTTCTCCTCTCTTCTCTTTCTCCCTCTTCTCTTTCTCCCTCTTCTCTTTCTCCCTCTTCTCTTTCTTCTTCACCTACATCCCCCTTTACCTCCACACCTTTCATCCCTTCCCTTACCTCACTCTCACTTACAACACCTAACCCACCACATACACCACATACACCACACCCACAGTTGCGTTGCCCGGGCCACACCCCCCGCACCCATGCTACGCGACCTCGGAGCCACGCTCCTCCTCGCATCGTCGGCCCTCTCGCTCGTGAGCGCGGCCTCAAACCGCTCCCTCGCCGTCGACTACAGCCTTCTCCAGAGCCAGGCCGCATGGAGCCTCGACAACCGCCCGCCGGAATGCCCGCCTTGGTGAGTAACAGTTACCTACCTGCCTACACTTGGCCTGTTTGCGGGGAGGCAGGGGGGGGGGGGGGGGCGGAGGGAGCAGGGTTTTGGTTAGTTTGTATGTGTGGGTTAGCTGACAAGTGTGTGTGTCTGTAGCTTCAACTGTCTGCTGCCCGCGTTCAGCTGCAAGCAGTATGCCGAGTGCAGCACACACGACGGAAAGTGTGAATGCCCGCCGGGCTTTGGCGGGGATAGTTGTTTGGAGCCGCGTATGTGTCCTGATCTCTGGTTCGCGGTGGCGACGTTGCTGGGTGTGGGGGTGTGAGCTAATGGGTTTCGTTGGGTGCTGCTAGTTTGTGGGTCGCTGGCCGGCGACAATCACAGGCCCGTGAAGGGCGAGGAGCCTTGCCAGTGCGACGAGGGCTGGACTGGAATCAATTGCAATGGTTTGTGGCACTGGGAAAGCTTGGGGTAGGGGTGGGGCGGGAACTACAGGCTGATTGATTGTGTGTGTGTGTGGATAGTTTGCGAAACGGATGATGCCTGTGATGCCCTCATGCCGCAACGTGAGGGTGGCGTTTGCTACAAGCAAGGAATTGCGGTCAAGCAGAATTACCAGCAGTGTGATGTTACGAGTATGTGGCTACGGTAAAGAACTGAACCGGGACCCGAGGCTAATGGTGAGCAGATCGGAAGATCTTGGAGATGTTGAAGAGGAACCCGCAGGTCACGTTCGGGTGCAACAAGGAGAAGGAGGAGTGTACTTTCCAGTGTAGGTGTTTCCGGCCCGCTTGTTAGGTTGGTTGTGGGTTAACGTGTCGGGGTTGTATAGTCTGGGTTGATCAGGTCGAGTCGTTCTACTGCGCTCTTGATGAGTGCGAATGGGAGCTACAGAGCACACACGATAAAAACGTTACAGACTACGAATGTAAGAAGGTCAAGTGCGAGTGTATTCCGGGCCGTACCCTCTGTGGTGAGGGTGGCACCATCGATCTCACCGAGTTCTTGACGGAAGGGATTACTGGGCCCGCGACATTCTCTTGCGATTCTTCAAAGTCTAAGGATTCGTGCTACTTCTCGGAGCCTGCAATGAATGATGTCATCTCCTCAATCTTTGGAGATGAGAGTATTCTGTTGGATTGTAACGCAGGTGAATGCCTACACAAATCGGAGGTCCCTGGATATAGCAGACCGATCAAGACCATCAACAAGCCTCTTATTGCGGGCGTCATTGCCGGATGTGCGTTGTTCATACTTGCTGTAGTTTTGGGTCTTTGGTATCTTGGCAGGCGCTCAACCCAGCGCAGTGGCGCAATTCGTCTGGCAGAGGATGACGATGAGGCAAGCCGTCTTGGTGTGGAGCACAGACCTGCGTCATTGCACTTTGAGAAGGTTTCTTACTCGCTCAACGAGAAGACTATCCTCAAGGATGTCAGCGGCGTTGTTAATTCTGGGCAAGTTATGGCAATCATGGGGCCCTCCGGTGCAGGAAAGACCACCTTCTTGGACATTCTCGCGAGGAAGAATAAGCGTGGCAATGTACAGGGAAATATCTACGTCAATGGATCTTTGGTGTCGGACGAGGAGTACAGGGAGGTTATTGGTTTCGTTGACCAGGAGGACACCATGATGCCGACACTCACGGTCTACGAGACGATTCTCAACTCTGCGCTTCTTAGACTCCCGAGAGATATGAGCTTCCAGGCTAAGGACACACGTGTTATGGAGGTTATGGCACAGCTCGGGATTTTGGCAATCAAGGACCAGCTTATTGGAACATCAGAGGACAATGGACTTCGCGGCATCTCTGGAGGTGAGAAGAGGCGTGTTGGAATTGCCTGTGAATTGGTCACTAGCCCTAGTATCCTGTTTTTGGATGAGCCTACCAGCGGATTGGACAGCTTCAATGCCTACAATGTGGTCGAGTGTTTGGTCAACCTTGCAAGGAACTACCGCCGTACTGTGGTCTTTACTATCCATCAGCCGAAAAGCAACATTGTCGCGCTTTTCGACCAATTGGTTCTTTTGGCAAAGGGAAGATGTGTCTACTCCGGTCCTTTCGACAAGTGCCAGAGATACTTTGACCAGCAGGGTTACCCATGCCCTCAAGGCTTCAACATTGCGGATTATCTCGTCGACTTGACAATGCACGCAGACTCCCGGCGCGCACTTCCCCAAGAGGAGGATGTCTCGGAGAGCAATGAAAACTCACGTAGAAGCACAGTAACATCACCAAGCCCCAGTGAAAGCACCCCTCTCTCTCCCACAAGTTCAAAGAAGAAGGGCCGCAAGCGGGGTGGTTCAATCAGGGCCCTCCAGGAAAGGCAGCTTTTTACTCGTAGACGCTCTGAGATTGCTACCCCGGTTGGCGAAGAGGTCATGATGTCCGACGATTTGGAAGGCACCAGAGTCTGGAGAGATGTCGGCGAGCCACGCCACACCTTCGAAGAAGCAGAACACCTCCTCCCCCCTGCTCCCCCGCAGATGAACGGCGACGCCACAGATCTCGACGTCCTGATCGCCGCCTACCAAAACTCGGACGTCGCCGCCGCCATCCGCGACGAGATATCCTCACCCGCCGGCATCTCCGAATCCAACGGCGCCGCCAACGGCACCGCCCACGGCCGGCCCGCCAGCAGCGGCATGCGCAGCTTCAAGCGCATCGGCTGGCTCGCGCAATTCGTCATTCTCAGCCGCCGCACCTGGAAGAACCTCTACCGCAACCCTATGCTCATGCTCGCGCACTACGCCATCTCCATCCTCCTCGGCGTGCTCTGCGGCTACCTCTTCTTTGGCCTCACCAGCGACATCTCGGGCTTCCAGAACCGCATGGGGCTCATCTTCTTTGTTCTCGCCCTCTTTGGCTTCAGCACCCTCACCTCGCTCAACGTCTTCGCCGCCGAACGCACGCTCTTCCTGCGCGAGCGCGCAAACAGGTACTATGCCCCCATCACATACTTTGCCGCAAAGGTCATCTTCGACATTGTCCCGCTGCGCATCATCCCGCCAATCATCATGGGAATGATCATGTACCCCATGGTCGGCCTGTACGCCGAGTGGCCCGAGTTCTTCAAGTTCATGCTCGTGCTCGTGCTCTTCAACCTTGCCGCGGCCGCCATATGTCTCTTTATCGGTATCATCTTCAAGGACACGTCGCTTGCCAACCTGGTGGGGAGCCTGGTCATGCTCTTCTCGCTGCTGTTTGCGGGATTGCTGCTGAACCACGATTCGATCCCCAAGGGCGCGCTGTGGCTGCAGACGGGGAGTATCTTTCATTATGGCTTTGAGGCACTGCTGGTGAATGAGGTGAGGTATCTGAGTCTGTATGAACATAAGTAAGTCCCCCACACCACTCGAAATCTACCCCTAACCCTATATATACTATGTATCTATCTATATATTACTATTGCAATGCATTACTAACAAGCTAAACCTAAAACCACCAGATACGGCCTCGACATCGAAGTACCCGGCGCCACAATCCTGAGCACGTTCGGCTTCAACTCGCTCGCGTACTGGAAGGACGTGATTGGGCTGGGCGTGTTTGCGGGCAGCTTCATCGTCCTGGCGTATGGTGCTATGCATCTCCTGTTGGTTGAGAAGCGGTAGTTTTTTTGGCTGGCTGGTTTGGTTGGTTGGTGGCAGTGTGTGTGTGAGGGCGAGGGAGAGGGGCGAGGGGAGATGGGGGAGATGGGGGGAGAGGAGGGAAAGACAATACATGTATGAGTTAGGATTCAGAAAGGACACACGGTTTTTCTTCTCTTTTTTTTTCTTTTTTTTTTTTTCCTTTATGGTTTTTTCTTTCTTTTTCATCTTTTCATCTTTTTTCTTTTTTTTTTTTTTTTGAACGGACGGCCGCCGCGGCTCGTTAATGGTGGATATAAATGAAGACTTGAGACCCCTTGTCATAGATGGTTTTTGATGGCTTTTTTTGTTGTTGTGGGAGTTCAGTACCTTTCTGCAAAATGATGGACGGAAGACCGTATATATATAAGGGGGGGAAGGAAGGAAGGAAGGAAGGAAGGAAGAGAAAGAAAAGAGAGAAAAATGCAAGATTTTTTTCCCATACAACTTCTTTTTTTGTAAGTATTTGGAGTTTTTTTCTTTCTTTCTTTACTTTGTGTTTTTTTTTTGGAAAGGTATTATTGGTTTAGTGAGTGTTATTAATGTTTTTTTTATATGTTTTTTATGTCGCTTTCCCGCTGTTTAAGAAATAAACTACAGTGTATGTTTAAACACGCATGCGTTTTTTCTTGGTTATTCTTCTTTTTTGGGTTTCCGTGGAAAAGAAAGATAAAATCCTGGGGGGATATACAGGTCGGATCCAGAGAATTAAAGTCGGAGGTTTAAGTAAATGTTGAAAGAAGAAAAAACCTGGGTACTACTATACATATCAATGATCGGTCGTGCAGTGCATGAAGGCGAGCTACGTAGAGTAGAGTAGGTACAGTTCGCACCAGTTCGCGCCAGTTCCATTCCACCGTATCTACGTGCAGTGCGATGTCGCACAGGCGATCCGGGTATGGGGGGATCTTTGGGTGATTGCATACGTAGGAAAATAAATATCGAATATCGAAACAAACCTGTAGATACCCCCCTTCTCGATGCTAGATATCGTGAGAACCCTTATATTAGTGCTGCTAGGTAGGTACATGGTACTGTACTGTAACCCAACGACACGAAATGTATGCTGTCAGGTAAGTAGAGTATGTACCCCTAGGTACATGAAGGTACTCTACTTCTACTATACTGCATGTATGTATACCTACTAGAGCACCGTCATGGCAGACCATGTGTTCAGCATTTATTAGTCGAAAGGCACAAACAGACCTCCATCCCCCTCTTAATCAAAAAGAGGCTTACCGTAGCACAACCCCACACCAACCGGTCCCAAGGAATGTTACTGGTGAATCCTCCCTCCTCCAAAAAGAACTGCGCTGCGCTGGCTATTATTACCGATGTTTCTTCTTCTCTCTCCACGGTTTCGGTGCCCCACATACATATGATACAGGTCTCAAAAATAAGCTCTCCCAGCTATGAACCCTTTACCTAGAAAGGGGTGGGTGACTAAGTTTTGTACCTGCGCCGACCCGATCCATAGGTTTCAAGCAACCACAATCATTGACACTAGAGGCTACCTAGACTCCACTTCTTTTTTTCTCTAGCGCGCCAATCTTGAAGATCCCGCTGCGGATTCGATAATTATTACTTTGCCAAGATTATATCCAATGTTTAGTTGGAATTGATAGACAGCACAGCTTCTGCGATACCTGAAAGCTAAAGGCACATCATGGTGATGGCGCAGTTAAGTTGAGTTAAGCTTCAAACCCCATCAGATTGATGTAATTTATATCTATTTCAACCAGTTCTTTGTGTGCAGATAATAATTCAGTGGGAACACAATGCGAGTTAATTATCTGGGTAGGAATATTCTACCCTCATTCCTGCTTGAGCCGCAAGCATTGGTGGGGTTAAGCTGAGGGGGTAGGGATCGTGGGTTATAATTAGCACCATCCATGATCCCAGATAGCCGTTGTGCAAAGTAGGGACCAGTACGAACACAGCAACGGAACGGATGCAATACGCTGAAACAAGAGAATGACAGGTCCACACTCCTGGAAAATTATCACCTCCTTTTTCATATCGTATGGCCGATATTGGTGATGTGTTAGCCTTTGAAGAGGGGGTCCGAGGATGAGGTAAGTCGTGGACGATTTATTCTTCCTCCGCAAGTCGAGGGGAACAGCAAAAAAAGTTGAGCCAAACAGACACCGTTCACCGGAGAGCTTGCAGGCAGTGCCGTGTCTGTCCGAATCTCACCCACATCCTTCATGTTGTATCACTATGCTGTTCTGTGGCGGAGTACTTGTTCTACATGCATGTACAGTACCAGTACTGTAAGTACTTAGAGTGCCTCTTCTGTACTGCATATTCGCATGTCAATTATTTCAAGCCCAAGTAACAGAGGGGAAATACATGTACTCCATGCAAACAATTCCCTGCCAAATAATCCCCTCCTCAGAAGCACTATCGTATGTAGGTGCTGTATTAACGGAATAACAGCCGAGAGTCGCTTAACCTGTTGAAAAGGTCAATGCCATATTTCCATTGACTTCTCGGCCACGGCCAGGATATTCCCCATCCCCCATCTCCATCCCAAGGACCCGCCACAACCGTTCGTTCCATTCAGTTCCAGTTAAACCTGCCCTATCGACCTTCGTGTGATTTGTGGCTTGGAGTGGGTCAGCGTATCATCAGCCTCCTTCTCTTCCGGTAGATCGCTGCTGTTGGGCTGTCTACCCTACATACGTACTCTCACCTTTACCCTTTCCTTCTTCCACTCCAGTTGAACCTGTCTTCCACTCCTCCGTGTTGTTTTGACCTGGGGACCCTTTTTTTCTTTCTGGTTTTGACAACGTCCCAATCTCTACCCATCAAAATATAACGGATAGGCACACGTAGTAACCTGTTTTATCCTGTTACACACTTGCTTGCTTGCGTGTTTCTGAATCTTTGTTTTGGCTCCCAAATTCTTTTGGCGCCCTTCTACTCAAATTTCCTTGTCGACTCTATTTCTTTGGCGCTTTGCAGACGAGCGCTTCGGGCAATAAGTCGGTGATGAAGCTTCCAGTACTAGTAACACGTGCGCTCATTGAGAGGGAATTTCATCATGATGATGATGACGATGAGGATGGCCCAGGAGGGTCCAGCGGTCAAGGGAAATCGCTTATAGTGAGTTTCTTATCAAGCTTTAGAAATTTCCACCTTTTGGTTTTGCTTCAGGCATCCGAAATGGTAGTTATCTATCGTTGTTCCTGTAGCTAACGCAGCTCTCCCCCACTTCCTTCAGGTAGCTGTTGTCTTCGTTGCCGTTCTTCTCTTCTCCCTATTCATCTACGTCGGTCTACGTCTCCTCCGCCGAAGTGTATCAGAACCCCCAACTTGGCTCCCCGAATTTGTGAGATCTTGGTGGACAAAATGGCGGCCTGGTACCTATATCCCCACACCAATTTCGGAAAGAGAAGCTATCGCCGCCGCCACAGCCGCATCATCTATGTCCAGCCGCCATACTGACCGTTCCACCAACTACGACAGCCGCCGTGATCGACACAGCAGTCGACGTGACCGCCATCGCGAAAACCCAACACAAGGGATTGACAGAAACACCAGTATTCGCTCTATCATGACCTTGCCTGAATATCGACCTGTCGCTTCGCCCGGAAAGGAGCGGACAATTGGCCGAGAAGGTGAACGGGCTGGCATCGATGTTGTACTCGAATTTCCGGAGAGTTCAACTGAGGAGGAACAAAGGAGGGAGGAGCACATGCAAGCTCTGTATGAGATCCGACTGGCGCGGCAACTTGAGAGGGCGGAGGCTAGAGAGAATGCCGCAAATGGAGGAAGTAGAAGTAATCGACACGCCTCACCAGGGAGCGATCGGGGGAGAAATAGGGATGGCTCAAGTAGCACTTCTCTAGCTGCTGCTCTTGCTGCAGTTTCAGAGAGAGACCGAAGACTGGCCAATGTTGCATACGCCGAGGTTGGAACTGCAAGACCGGACGGATCAAGAGTTAGGGCTAGCTCAACAGCATCTGAAAGAGATAACCAGCCACTGCTGAGCTCTGGAGCCAGTATGGGACGGCATGGGAGAAGTGTATCGATAGAAAGTGTTGAGATGTTCAGCGCGAGACCAAGTATGGAGACCAGGCCCCCAGGAAGCTCCAGCAACAGGCAGGTCTCTGGTGTCAGATCAATGTTGGATGTTGATCGAGAAACTACTCCCCCGCCGCCCGATTATGGCGGTCCGCCAACGGAGCCACCGCCAGATTATGATCAGTTACATGATCTGCACGACTATGATGGCCAACATGGAAATACAAATATGCAGGTTCCATTACTACGAGTCGAGGCGGCCTCGCCCGAACCATCAAGCTTACCCACCTACCCCTCACAGGCACGATAATCATAGAGAATGATATATATATACATTAGTATAGAGGTTTTCTGAAACTTTTAGGAGTAATATAACTCACCTTTCCCCAATTACTGTTCTGATATAGCATGGCTACTCTTTTCTTTCGTTGTATACCCCCCATTTTCTAACCATTTTATTTTTCTTTTGGGCAAATTCTTTTACTTAGGCGTTTGTATTCATCGTTATTCACTATACCATGCGGTGGTTCTTTTTTTCTCCTTTAGCTTTTACTTCTTGCGGCGAATAAGGTTGGAGGCTGTTATTGTTTTGTGGTGCTGTTAGTAGGGAGTTGAAGGTAGATGAAGCATCGAGAGCTACAGCTATAGGTGTAGTGATCTAGAGATGAACCCACATTTGCGAAACACGATGATCATAATTAAGCACGGACTCACTTCGCGATACGTTGGTCTTGTAAGGTTGAATCGAGGCTCTGTATCTGGCCCGAGTGATTCTATGTGTTCTAACTGTGATTACAACCACACCCGAGGGTTGGTTCGCTGAAATAAAAGGAACTAGGTTCAAGTTTGTAATTTAATATGAACATCTTCGCCTCGTATTCAGGGCCAATGTCGACATCAGTGCGTCTGCATCAGTATTGGTTCCGAGAGAACCCCCGCGGGGCAGGTAATCTATTGATACCTCACTCCGGGCGGCGTAAAAACCTGTCAGAAAGTGTAATCCACCCATTTATCATGAGGGTTCAATACTTAATACGCAAAAGGACTACATTCATAGGAATTAGTGTGGTCCACGAGGACGCTCGAGGCGAGGCTTGGGGGTGTCCTCGAGGTGCCTCGTCCTCGTTGACCTCTGTCCTTGTCTGTCCTCGAGGTCCGGCACTGTGGTCCTCGAGGTGCCTCGAGGTACCTCGAGGACGATAAAGGGATGACCCGGTAAAGCAAAAAGGTGATATTTCTCAAAATGAAGGTATACTTTATTCATGACCTCATCCGATTAGGGCATATTAAGTGTGTATTATAGCCAAGAATTGTTCTTGGAAGTCCTCGAGGCGAGGTTAGATATTGTCCTCGAGGTTCCTTGTCCTTTTGGACCACTGTCCTTTCGTGTCATCGAGGACCTATCCTCGAGGTAAGGACACAAGGACGCTCGTCCTCGTGGACCACACTAATAGGAATGTTGGCGTGGTGTCCTACGCAACGGTGTCTTTGACATGAGTACATATCTTAACTTAAGTATTGTATGTCAAATCTGTATAACTGGTAAGTGAGTTGATGGATATTCTGACTGTAAAGTGTTTCCACTCGAGTGAGTGAAGGAGGTGGGGTTTGTGTTCAAGTCTAGGAGTGGAGTGTTGCGAAGGGTTGTGAGTGTCTCAGAGCCCTAAAGAGAGTGCGAAGAAAAGGGACTATAAAAACACAAGCAATTTTTCGGAGGCGACTGTAGTCACATCCCATTCCACTCGTAATAGATACATGTATACGTGTGCATTTATTCGATACCGTCTCGAACTAAGCCAACATAATATCATACAAACAAACGAAGTACCACGTAATTCTTATGCTTTGAGTTGAACGGTTGTAAGAGGAAAGCTAATCCGTATAGAATGCATATAGTCAAATACGTTCTATGTCACCATTAAAGGTTTTTATCAGTTTATCTATAGAAGAAGCTGTATATGGGCGTATAAATACAGAATCAACGTTCATGCTTTCGGGCGGAGGCAGGCTAGACCCGCATTGGCTGACGAGTGAGAATCTGTGATTGCTCTGGTATCGTCTGCAAACACACGGAGACGCCAAGAGTTAGATGTAAATTTCCGCACCTCCTCTTAACTCCAGTATCTGTTTGTGCGTTATATTTTAGTCCTATTCGCGTTACAGAAACTCTCTAGCTCTGATATCCCTTACCACTATAGTAGCCTCTACTCTGTCTATGGTGTTGGGCAGCGTTTTAACGGGAAACACTGTCTTTAACTCAACTCGAGCTGCCATCACAGAACGACTCCAACCACTGAATATACAGCTTCTAGTAGAATTATTGTGGAAAACAGGGACCAACGATTACGCCGAGAACAGGGCGATTTTCCAACGCCACACCTCCGCAATAATTTACCGGAGGCTGTATGTACCGGGTGTTGAGGGTAAGTGATCAGAATCTGATAGGTGAATGTTGCGGTGAATACGTGTATTTTGTCTTATCAGATTCTGATCACTTTTTGCAACACCCTAGTACAACGCCTTAGTCGGAGGTTACCTATCACTATTATCATTCTTCAATGAGTGTTATCCTGAAAGTCAACAATTTGATAGGCCAGTGTTTCACGTGCACCAGGCTTGGTTTTCGCTCCCCAGCAGCATACCTACAGTCCATTCAACGCCATTGACAATTGACAAGTAAGAAGACCGGAAGCCAGCTGAAAAAGCGGTTGGTACACAAACGCTGCTTCTTACTGGGTAACCACCCACCATCATACCAATTACCAAAGGCTGCAGTTGGTCATGCGCAATATGTTAATTATTGAGAGCATCGTCCTCAAGCGAAAGACGTAGAAGAATTTGGGGACATGCACCTCCTCGAGTGCATTATCAAGGTCCATAGACACCATGAGCCTTGCGGATAGACACCTACGAAGCCAGTTGAAGTGCTTCTTCCCTCACATAGGCGATCTATTGCTAGTCACATTCGAACTACAAATAATCGAGAGAAATAATTGATCTCAGCTCTAGATCTACTTCGAATATGCACATATTATGTTTCTGGACCCCCCACCCCCTAGTAATGTATGCTTACTCAGTCGTACCAGATACACTAGATGGATGGATGACACGCGAGGGAAGTGAAGGGGGGGTGTTAATGGGACAAAAAGCGGAAAATACATCATGCAACTAGTTTCACAAGTGCAGGGGATCAACAAGGAAAAATCACAAAGACGAGTGAGCATCCATGATACACTTTTCGTGATCCGAACGCCCTTCCTCTCGAGCAACAAAAAACCAAGATTACCTCATGAGCTCGATAAGGTAACCGCTCTAGGGGAAAATGGTTTATAAGGGTACGCCTAGGTTCATACCACTCGACCATTTTATTCGGAGCGAAAGCCACAATTCTTTGGTGAATTTTGAGGGGCTATTGGACTGTGTGTCATAGAGTTCCCGAGCTGGTTAGGATAAATGGGAGGAAATGATAATTTAGGATATGACGTAGGAATTCTAAGGTTTATCTCAACCTCCGAGGGGAGAAGCGGGGAGTTCTGAGTGAGACACGAAGCGAAAAACATATATTCTTGAAGATTGAGAGATTATGCCATGTAATCTCCTTCATTACATAGAGGTTCAACAAGAAAAGTGCAAAGACGAGTGAGCGTCTATGATACGCTTTTGGCGATCCGAACGCCCTTCCTCTCGCGCAGCAAAAAACCTAATTACCTCATGAGCTCAGTGAGGTAGCTCCCGGGAAAACAGCCTTATAGATTTGCATAGGCACATACTTCTTGACCATTTTTATTTGGAGCGAAAGTTATAGTCTTTTGGCGTAATTTGAGGGGCTGTCGGGCTATGTGTCATAATGCCCACAAGCTGCACAGTTAGGATGGGTGGAAGGAAATGATAATCTGGAGTGTGATGTTGGGGTTCTATATAAGGGTTGTCCAACCTCCGAGGCACTGACGAAATAAGCGGGATTAGACAAATATTTCAATGCAAGGCCCCTCTGGTTATTTCGTTCAACGATCCGTGAAAGCCAGTTCAGATAGCTCTCCCACGACGCTGTTCAACCCCCCGCATTAATGTTCTGTTCTGATAAGTGATGGCCACGAGACAAGGCAAGACTGAATTGGCAGTAAGGTTCAGACTTCACTTTGACGAGGCTGGACTAAACCAGCACGCCAAACTAGCTTCAAAATTAAATTTAGCTCATCAACAGTCATCAACACCTCCTTGGAAGTACCCACATCCCGAGTATGAGATAAAAGAGGGCCAGAAAGACTCCCATAAATCTTTCGTGTCTCTATCATTTTTCTCTTTTCCCTAGGCAGGGCGTTTTCGATCTTTCTTCATTCTTCTGGCCTATTATTTACTACGAGTGATAAGTGGTGATTGTAAAAGTCCAATCGACTGGCTGATTTATTTATTCATTCATTAGTTCATTTGACAGCTTCGCCATTTATATTTACACTACTAAGCTGGGGTTACAGGGTTTTAGCTGGTACCAAAAATGCCGGCAGTGGATGTATTTCTACCTAATCCACCACCTCTCACTCGTTCGATGTCAGAGTATGACGGCCATAGATAATCAAGAGAAACAAACACAAGAAACAAAAACAAAAGACCTATCAACCTCATTAGCTAAATCCACCACATCCACCGTAACCACCACAACCCCACCGCCAGACCGCACAGAGCACCGAATAAGCACCTGCCGCCCAACATCGCACCCCCAGCAAACGTAGCGAATAACTACAACCTGGACAAGCAATTCTGTCCCGGTCCCACCGCTGGAACCCCCCAAGACAGAGACAGTCGAATAAGCGTCAGAGCCCGGGGGAACTAGTGGTGAGCAAACAACGGGCGAGTAACCCTAGCGTGTAGCCGGACCCGAGACAGACTTGCCAGGCCCTGGGGGTGGGGGGTTGTTAAAGAGAAGGGAGAGGAGGGGCGGGGGGGGGGCTTAGCTTTCGTTTGTTTGGTGTTGAGGTGGTGAGTGGTGGGTTGTGGGAGGGTGGTGAGAAAGGTTGTTGAAAAAAGGTTGTTTCGTCCTTGGGTGTGATGTGTAGAGGGGAGGGAGGAAAGGAGGGGCAGAATGGTAGGTGGGTGTGTTATATACTCTCGAAAGTCAAAACCGAGAATTAGGTTTGCATCAACAAGCCCTAACGTCAAACACCAAACATCAAACTTGCAAAACCGGATATACCATTCTTCCTTGCGGTGTGATGTAGGAGAGGTGGAGGGTGCGGGCTTGTAGGTGCCTTATATGAATGATCCCCTAGCCGCACCCTCACCCGCACCCGCACCAGCACCAGCGCCCCTTACCCTAACATCAACTGTAACTGTTTTCCTCTTTTCGTTCTCTCACATTCTTGCACCTCCATCTTCTTCAAGCTTCCAAAGCAAACACCGTAAAGCAAACATCCCATTACAAAACCCTAATCCTAATCTACAACCCAGCGCTCCCCCGCCCCCCGCGCCCCAATCATTGACCCCACCGCCCACTCCCCACTCTCCACTCCCCCTCCCCCTCCCCCCCTCCCCCCTCCCCTCTGCCCACCACCTCACCACCAGCCACTATCTCTCCCTTCTCTCCACCGTCCTCACCTTCGGCACCAGCTCTTCCAGCCTCTTCTTATCCTCCTCTGTCGGCACGAGGTCTAACTTCTTCTCTGCCGCGTCGCTGATGTACAGCATGGCCGTGGCGTACACGACCACGCCTGCGCCGACGATCGCGCGTGTCTGCGGTGTGAGGTTGCGGTAGTATCTAGGAGGGGGTTAGTTAATGAGGGTAGAGAGAGAGGGGGCGGGGGGAGGTACTGCCAGAGTGACATTGTGGGTGGTTGTTGAGGCCAAGAAGTGGTGCGGGAGTTGCCGGTGGAACTTTGAAGATGTTGCGGGCTTGTGCACTTACATGTTGAACCACTGTCATAATCTAGAACTAGACCACGGTGTCACACCCGGACCAGAACTATTTAACTAGATGATGGACTCCGAGACTTATCATATCTTATCAAGTCTTCGCTGTGGGCAGAACGCCACACAATGCGAAGGCCCAGCCAGGGTTGTGGTCAAGCATGGTGTGATCAAGGGAATATATTGCATCCCCTAACGGGAGATATAAACGAACAATTCTTGGGAAATCGCCACCAACGTTTTCGACCCAGTACTGTGTCAGACCTAGAAGTGTGTCGCATGGCAACGGCACCAAAACCAGACACAAAGCCCCCAAAAAGAAAGAAGACCCCATAACACCATAATAGAGGATAATCCATCTGGAAACAATCCTAATCCGTGTGCTTTTAAATGGAATTCATTTGTTAAAAATCTGGCAGTAAATATCTCAAGAGATGGTGGAGATAGCTTTGGCAACAGAAATCCCCATACAAATTTGTATGGGATTGACACTCTTCTATGTCTGACACAGTACCCGGTCTAAAACGTTACAGATTATTGCCTCAGTTTTCCAAAAACAATGATTTCTGTTGATATTTATATAATTAGCACTAGTTAGGATTGTATCATCCCTAACCCTAGCCTCGAGTCGGACGCTGAGAGTCCCATGAGATTCCTTTGGCGACTACCTAGCCCCGCAGGATACTTTCATCACCGGGGAGTTTCTATCATGCTCTAGACACTATTCCTTGTTTGCTCTACCTTACAGCCATGGATAACACGGCATCACAGAACATCACCCGGTTACGTTTCGCACCAACTACATATAGCAGGGTATCGGCTTCGACAGAACCTCTACCACACAACCCCAACCCCAAACAACGAAAAAACGAGCAGAAAGAAGAAGAAGCACTGAAAACACATCTATCGGCTACATATGGGACCTCTATAGCCCCAACGCCTTTGCCACAATGACCGACGTCCCCGCACTCGTCACGACCTGATTATGGCCGCCCCACGTAACCACCCACTGCTCAATCTCGTTCCCACCACTCTTCGCCCCCGGCCACCTGTGCTGATAGCTCTCAACACCATAGTCCGTCCTCTCTTTCACCCTCTGCACCTCCGTCCAGCTCAGCGCCTCCTCCCCCGTCGCGTTGGCTGCAACATAAAATAGTCGGTCACAGTGTGACCATGGGATATCAAAGTCGTTATACGCATGCAGCAGGATCAGCTTTAGCTTTTTACTCTGCTTAACCAGTGTCTTGACACGCTCATCGCTCTCCCAGCGCTCCACGATAAATCCCGAAAACAGCTTCTGCAGAAACGGGTATGGCCGCAGCGGTGACAAGATCGGCACCACCCCACCAATGGCATACGTAACGACCAGCTCCTTGATATTCGTGAACGCTGCGATGGTAATAATGGCGCCGAGCTCGACGGGGCGGGGTTGCGTGATCAGGCTCTCGGCGACGCCGAAGGTGACGGCTGTGCCGAGTGACTGGCCGACGAGCGCGACGTGGGACGGCGGGAGCCCGAGGGTGTCGAGCGCCCAGTGGACGGCGGTGAGGCCGTCGGTGATGAGGCCGTGCTCAGAGGGAGTGCCGCTGGAGAGACCGAAGCCTCGGTAATCGATGGTCAGGATGTGGATCTTGGAGGGGTCGGCGGCGGAGAGGGAGCGGAGGTAGGTAGGGCGCCAGGTAGCGCCGACAGTACCGGCATTCTGAAGAGATAGATGTCAGTGGCTATATCTAGGTAGGTACCGGTGGTATAAGTATCAAGTCTCGCTACGTACCCCATGGACTGTTGTTCCAGTTAGCAAAACCCCACGCAAACAAACCATGCAAAGAACAAACACATACAATGAATAATCAACCTCGCCTCCGGATCGCTCATCAACAACTTAATCCCCTCCGACTGCAACACATTTTCCGGGATACCATCTGGCTGCTTGACCAGGTCGTCGCGGTGCGCCTTGTACAGTCCCAGCGGCAGCACATGCCACGCAAAGATCTTCTCACCGTCCGGCGTGTCCAGGAAGAACGGCGTGACTTGATTCTCTAGATATTCCCACAGCCAATATGTAAATAACCAGACCAAGCCCTCACTATAGCTAGTAGAAAGAGTGAACAAACGTACTAGCAAACCCAAACTCCTCCGGCTTCGTAAGGTCCTGGCGCCAGGTGACTTTGAGGAGGTTCATATAGATCGCACTGTCCACACGCACCCAATCAGCACACATAAAGCTTTCCGAATAACAGTAAAATAACACAAGAGCGGAAAATTAAAAACATACTTGCGCTGCACCCACGGATTCGCCAAGCAGCCCAAAAACACAAAATACAGTGCCCCCATCGCCGCCAGCGACCAGTAGGCCTTCTTTATTAGCGGGTTCATCACCATCTCTCTCTCCTCTCTTCTATTTCCTCTCTTTTTAAAAAAAAAATTGTGGTGATTGAAATTGGAAAAAGGTCGTGTGCGCGCGGCCTGAAAAAGACAGTGTCGTGGAGCTTTCGGAGATTTATATACCTCCGGCAAGGTAGACAAGTCTTGGCGGCGGTGGTGCTCGAATCAGCTCGATAGCGATAGGATGGTGACATGGGGGACGGCAACTAAGCGTGAATGGGGAAGGTATCATAATCTGTCTCTCGCTGGACAGGGAGGGTTATGTATGAGTGGTAGGTTTTTGGCAATACCCCTCATTTGGAATGCGTATTTGTCGTGGCCGGTTTCCTTTTGGGTTTGGGGTTGAGTAATTGAGATGTGTAGTTAGTGAAATTTTTGTAGGTACTGATTTGTAACATATATATTATTTTGTATTCCAGATTTCCAGATTCCAGATTCCCACCGACCCGTACAAGAAAGATGTCCAAAAGAAAAGTACATGAGGAAGTAGTAGTAATAATACAGATGTTGGAAAAGAAAAAAGAAAAGAAAAAAGAAAAGAAAAAAAGAACAATATGAGAGACGACACTATGAAATACATAAAACTCGTTACAGTACTACATGTCAAAGCATATCTGCTGGACCCCCAGCCACTACTAACAATACTACATACTATTTAGTGAAAACAGCCAATGGCATATCCGGCGTGAAAATGAGAACCCTATTTTGTAGCATATCAAATGCGTGAGAAATATGTATCCGCTAAATCTACCCCGTCAACACCAGCTCTACCGGTCCGAATTAATTGGAGAAGCACCACGATAGTAAAGAGGCCAACATACCCAAGCCTCGCCCTAGATTACATCCTGCGACACATATGGCGGCGGCGATGGCTGCCTCGCGCGGGACTATCACAAGAGAGATCAGCAACCCCTCCCTTCTTCTTCAAGCACCCCTTCCTTCCTTCCTCACAGTCAACATACCCAAAGTCCCTGATGCAGCGCAATGACCCTCCCCGCATACTCCATCGAGACACCCAAGTTCTCAATCAAAAACAGCGTATTAATCGCCCACAGGCTCATCTCCATCGGATGCTTCCTCTCCTCCTCCTGCAGTGACGAATGCGCAAACGTCCACCTCATCGTCGTCTTCAGCACCCTCAGCCGCTCCACCACACCCATCGGGTTCTTCACAAACGCCGGTAAAGAGCGACTATCGCGCACACCGTTAGCCTAGCTCCTCACAACACCCAGCAGCAGCACCAGGGGGACGAAACCTGTGTGCCATAACAATGTTCGCCAGCGCGAGAAAGTCCCAGCCCTTGAACAGCACGTCGGCCTTGCGGTGCCCCACCATGCGGTTGATCTCGTCGGCCTTCATCTGCCGCCAGCCCAGCGGGTACGCGGCGGCGTTTGCGATCAGGAACTCGCGCAGCACGCTGGTGAGTACCTCCATGAGGCGCAGCGAGAACTCGGCGACGGTCACGGCGGAGGCGAGGTCATCCTCGTAGGCAAGGGTGAAGCGCGGGAAGATCGTGCCTGAGTACTCGACTCTGCGGCGGCCGCGGTTCTCACTGCGGGGGTTAGCTTGTGTGGATGATCGGGAGGTTGGAGGGTGGGGGTTGGGGGGTTGGGGGGATACCTGTCGAGGTGGGGATTTGAAGGCTTCCGTTTTACGACATTTGCTCTATTCTGCTGCGGGGTCTGTGGGCTATAAGGGAATGGATGGTTAGCCAAGTTCTCCAGAGCTTTGTACAGAGCAGAGCTTACGCATTCGACGCAACGCCCGGCGGCCTCGCCCTCGAGCTCGGGCTTGGGCTCTCCACCCGCCATTTCGGCAATGGCGGCGGTGTGTCAGCCCTCAGCGGCGGTGTGTCAGCCCTCAGCGGCGGTGTGTCAGCCCTCAGCGGCGGTGTGTCAGCCCTCAGCGGCGGTGTGTTAGCCCTCAGCGTCTCCACCGAGCTCGTCAGATCCACAACCTCCACCTCGTCCGAGATTGCGATACTGGGCACCGCGGCACTGAGCATGTCATCATCGTCAAAGTCATCAAAATCGTCGTCTGTGAACCATAGCTGCTGAGCTGATGCTGATGCTGGTGTTTTTGGTGCGGGTGTGGGTGCTGGCGGCTTGGTGGGTGTGGCTTTTTTCTCGACTTCGTCGGCGACGGCGATGAGGTCGTTGTAGTCGATCTCGCCCCAGGCTTCGCTGCCGTAGCCGTCTTCTTCTGCGTCTTCCATGGTGGGTGGTTTTGGGGGGGGGGGGGGGTGGGGATAGTTGTAGAGGTGGGGTTGGCGAGAGAGCTGGGAAAGAGCTCCAGGACTGCCGCCTAGACAGGTATCTGAGCTATCTATGTCGTATGCAATGCAGCAGCGGCTCGCACCGAATACGGGCGAGGGTTAACACAATTGGTAGGAAGTTTATTTGGAGCCTTGCTTAAGTTGACGGATAGGAATAAAATGATCGACTCCTAATCCAAGGAAGTTTTTAATTCATGTCTTCTAAATCAATCATCATTTTGACAATTCATTGATTTATTCAATTACCTATTAATAGAGCTCTGTGGAGTGATAACCGTGGGCGTGTCGAGTTGCTGCAGCGATCATTGGTATCGTCTGTTGTGGCCACGGCTTGGCGCGCCAAGCCGTGACCAGGTTTTCAACTTGCAGGACTGCCAACCATCGCCCACAACCACACCACAACCCACCATCATCAACCACCACCACCATCCCCCATCATCACCAACCACCACCATCCCCCATCATCACCAAACACCCCCACTATGCTCCCACGGTAATCCCCCTCCCCCATCTTCACGACACCCCCAACGCGGCACCTGGCAGCCAGTCTCGGGTCGGTTACTCGCCAGGGTTATCTCGCCCGCATGTTTACCCAACGCTGGTCCCCCCGGGCTCTGACGCTTACTCGGCTGTCTCTGTCCTGGTGGGATCCACTGTTACCAGCGTTGGGACCGAGACTATTTGGCGCTGTCCAGTGTGTGGTTATTCGCTGCTCTGCTGGCGTTGGGCCTGCGCGCGACGGGCTCTTATTCGGGTGTCTCCGTTTTGCGCGCGGGGAGTGGAGATGGGGGGGGTTTGATACTGACGGACGGTGGGGTTTTAGGGGAGAGGACTGTGAAGGTAGAAGGTAAGCGTTAACCCCTTTTATTTCGCGTTTATACATCAACCCCCCCCCCCCCCCCCTCGCTACCCCCCGCACAATATACCCGCAAACACCGCTGCCTGCTGCTATGAGGAGAAACATCAAAATTTTCATGATCAAACTTGAAGACTTTATAACTGGTTAAGCAATTGAACGGCCATCTGAGCAACGCCCCCTTCTTACCCCACTTTATATTCCTATCACCGCCATCATTCTCTGTTGGGGACAAAGAACTGACTGGTGTTTTTAGTATTTCGCAGTGACTTCAGACCCGACCCGCATGGTAAGGTAAGTATGCCTCCCCCCATGTACGTCTGCGCAGTGTATTGTAAGTGCGGGGGGACTAGTGTTGATAGATAATTGATGGGGGTTTAATTTATAATATATTTTCTTAACTAATATAAAAATGTGTTGGTTCTGTCCGTCTGAGTTCCCTACTGCACTGTGATATAAACGTGAAGCCGAAGATTTCTAGTATTTTCCTATCCTTCCTTCTCTGTGACTCGGCCGAAGCAAAGGGGGCGGGCATGTACCATGCTATGCTGCCCCATGCTGTGCTGCCCAACCTCCGTTAATTTACTGGGAGAACGCTGGCTTTTTCGAATTGGAACTGTGTATCTATATCTATATAGATGCTTCCAGGCGAGGTCTCGCTATATATCAAGGGTCCTGTCTGTAGGGAAGATCAAATGGGTGCCGCAGCCTAACTTTATAGAATCTTATATGCTTCACCGAATCCCACCATATGTACATGTAGCTGTTAATTGTAACGTGTTCTAACACCTACATACAGTAGATACATGTATTCAGCTAACCTGCCCCCATGCCCAGAACGTCCGAGATCGGAACAGTTAACAAACTCTATTCTACAGCGGATTTATTTATTGGCCAGAGGAAGTAATTGGAGACATGGCCTTAGAAGCAGAAACACAGATTGAAGGGAAGGCTCAGTTACGAATGTCAAACGCTGCATTATGTAGAGTGGCATGGTTTAAGGATTTATGTACCTACATGCTGGGTATTGCGATCTCCAAGAAGGATCGATGGCACCGTTTTCATTGACACGAGAGAAGAGAAGAAATGACTCTGGCTCTTGCAGCAGACGACCCTAGATTATACAGAGGGGTCGTGAAGAAAGGCTGATTCGGCGCCGAAAAAGCGTTCATTCCACGTAGGGTAATTGCCAGCAAAGACTCTGCCTCTTTTCTACGCGCCTCGCTCCTCTCCTCCCGCAGCCGCGGCATAGACCAGTTGGTGCACAGCACATCACTCGCACACATCACATCTCACACAATTGCGGACAAAAAATAACGCTATAAATATTTACACACCATTAGAGCGGAGATAGATCACAGCTTTTATACACAGGAAAAAAAAGCACCCCATCACCACCACTGCACCACACACGCAGCGATAAAAAAAGCGCAAAGTAAGGAAGAAAAAGAGAAGAGAAGAGCGGGAGGTAAATTGTTATGAACAGCAAAGTAAGTAGTTAGTAATGCGTAACCCGACACCATAAGGAAAGTAAAAAAAAGACAAGAATCCCATAGATAAAAAAGAAAAGAAAAAAAACAGAAAAATACATACACAGAAAGAAAGGAAAGTGAAGACATCCCGGGGAGAAGATAGAAATATGCAAAAAAGATATATCTAAATAGCAAAACCCTTTTTTTCTTTCCTCTTCACATTATTGCTCCCAGACATATCTTCATTTCCAGATAATAATTTTTTTTTCTTTATGCTCCTGAAGCGCCTACATTTACTCCTTCTTCTCGCCCTCAGGCTTGGCCTCATCGGCGGGGGGAGCGTTCTGCTGCTCAGATCTGGCACGGTGCATCTTGTCGAAGAGGGTCAAAGACGCGGTCTGAACGGCATCGGTCTGGGCCTTGAGCTCCTCAGCGGTGACACCACCCTCACCGGACTGGGCCTTGGCAACCAACTCCCTGAGGGAAGTGATCTTCTCCTTGATGGTAGAGGCCTCAGACTTGTCAAGCTTGTCCTCAAACTCCTTGAGGGCCTTCTCAGTGTCGTTAACGACAGAGTCAGCGCGGTTGGCAGCCTCAATGGCGTCCTTGCGGTCCTTGTCGGCGGCCTGGTAACGCTCGGCATCGTCAATCATGGTCTGGATCTCAGAGTCTGAGAGACCAGAGCCGGAGGCAATGGTGATGGACTGGTCCTTGTTGGTGGCCTTGTCCTTTGCGGAAACGTGGACGATGGAATCGGCGTCAATGTCGAAGGTGACCTCAATCTGGGGGACACCACGGTGGGCAGGGGGGATTCCGACAAGCTGGAAGTTTCCGAGGAGCTTGTTGTCGCGGACGAGCTCACGCTCTCCCTGGTAGACCTTGATCTCGACGGCGGTCTGGAAGTCGGCGGCGGTGGAGAAGACCTGGGACTTCTTGGTGGGGATGGTGGTGTTGCGGTTGATCAGACGGGTGAAGACACCACCGAGGGTCTCGATACCGAGAGACAAGGGGGTAACGTCGAGCAACAAAACGTCCATGACCTCACCGGCGAGGACACCTCCCTGGATGGCGGCACCGATGGAGACGGCCTCGTCGGGGTTGACAGACTTGGCGGGGTCACGTCCGAAAACGCTCTTGACGGTCTCGGCAACCTTGGGCATACGGGTCATACCACCGACAAGGATAACCTCCTGGATCTCGGAAGCCTTGAGGCCAGCATCCTTAAGAGCCTTGCGGGAAGGCTCGATGGTCTTCTGGATGAGAGGGTCGACGAGAGCCTCGAACTGGGCGCGGGTGAGCTTCTGGTTGATGTGCTTGGGGCCGGAGGCATCAGCAGTGATGAAAGGAAGGTTGATATCGGTCTGGAGAGCAGATGAGAGTTCCATCTTGGCCTTCTCAGCTGCCTCACGGATACGCTGAATGGCCATGCGGTCGCCAGAAAGATCAATGCCAGACTCTTTCTTGAACTGCTGGACAAGGTGGCGAACAAGGGTAATGTCAAAGTCCTCACCACCGAGATGGGTGTCACCGTTGGTGGACTTGACCTCGAACACACCCTTCTGGATCTCAAGAATGGAGACATCGAAAGTACCACCACCAAGATCGAAGACGGCAACAATACGGTCAGCATCCTTCTCAAGACCGTAGGCAAGAGCGGCAGCAGTGGGCTCGTTGACGACACGGAGAACGTTCAATCCAGCAATCTGACCGGCATCCTTGGTAGCCTGACGCTGGGAGTCGTTGAAGTAAGCGGGAACAGTGACGACGGCGTTCTTGACGGGCTTGCTGAGATAGGCCTCGGCGGTCTCCTTCATCTTTTGCAAGATGAAACCTCCAATCTGCGAAGGAGAGTACTTCTGGCCACGGGCCTCAACCCAGGCATCCCCGTTGGTGTGCTGGACAATCTTGAAGGGGACCTGGGCGATATCCTTCTGGACCTCAGGATCGGTAAACTTACGACCGATGAGACGCTTGGTGGCGAAGAGGGTGTTCTCGGGGTTGACAACAGCCTGACGCTTGGCCGCGATACCAACGAGACGCTCGCCGTCCTGAGTGAAAGCGACAACTGAGGGGGTGGTACGGGCACCTTCGGGAGTCGGTTAGCAATTTTTCGGGTAAGACGGAGTGGAGCGCGGGAAGAAAAAATTCTCACCCTCGGCGTTCTCAATGACGCGGGGAACCTTTCCCTCCATTACGGAGACGGCAGAGTTGGTTGTACCTAAGGATTCAATGTCAGTCAAAATGAAACCAATTGCAATTATCTAGAATTGAATTTTGCGATCAAATTGCAATTCCTCAGAAGTGTAAAACTCACCCAAATCAATACCGATAACCTGACCCTGAACCTTGGGTTCAGAGGAGTTGAACCGCGAGAAGGCGGATAGTGTAGGGCGAGTGACATTAGGCCTGACAAACGACCTCAATGAAGGGGCAGCCCGGGGAGCCTGTGAGAGCAAGCCTCAGTCAGCGTTGTGGTTGACGATATAGACCATTATACCCCACCGACGTCAGTCAGCAAGCGGGTGGTGACGAAATACTTACAACACGGGCAATTCTTGAAAGAACCATTATGACAGTGGTATTTAGAGAAGAACTGAAACAACAAAAGGGCCTTCCGTCAAGAATGAACAGAGAAAGAAATTAACCAACGATGATGATCGTGGGAGAGATGATGTGTGGTAGTGATTGGGGGGGGGTGTTGCTTGTGAGAGATGAGGAGCGGGTTGATGACCTTATGAACTTTTTTTTTTTCCCTACTCGGGTCGGTTCTGGTTGCAGCGAAAAAATTTCGCCCAACTTTTTTTTGTGTGAGCCGAAACCGAAAGAGGAATCAACAACGGTGCTGACAGAATCCACTGGAATCTACGGCACGCGCCACACACCGCTGCCCCCGGTCATGCGGGGGGGAGAGATCCACAGAGGGGAAAATGTAAGTTTTTGCTTCATGCTGTGGCAAGAGCCTGCAGAAAACATGGCTCTGATGCCTGGGCTTCGAATTGTTTGTTCTCCGTTCCGACCAATAACAGCCATGGATTTCCCTTGTTGCTAGTAATCACGGGTTGTCACTCGGTGGGCAGTGGGGCACAACGTTTCTGGATGTTTCGGGAAACAGGCCCTCGAAACACGGCTTGGGGGAAGAAGGACTCCTCCCACCATTCACGTCCATGGTACCCCGCATAGAATTGGTGGAATGGCAACTCTTGCTATTCGGTCGGCGACTTTACCGTCGACCTTGTCGGCCGGAGTTGCGGAGCATTTTCACAGCGATTAGTCATCAACGGGAGACCTAAAGGCACTGTCTTCGCTAGCTCAAGCTGGACGTGAGTCAAAAGCTTTGTCCAGCTCTTACATCAACGTCAAAGGTCTAGAAGAGAGCTGTTTCAGCAACATTCTCTACCGCTGCTAGCACCAAGGCCTCCCAAACCTTCTTTGGAGCAGTGTCCACTTTGCCAAGAAATACGGCTACTGGAGGTTGAGTGGTATTTGAGGTTGAGTGGTATTTGAGGTTGAGTGGTATTTGAGGTTGAGTGGTATTTGAGGTTGAGTGGTATTTGAGGTTGAGTGGTATTTGAGGTTGAGTGGTATTTGAGGTTGAGTGGTATTTGAGGTTGAGTGGTATTTGAGGTTGAGTGGTATTTGAGGTTGAGTGGTATTTAAGGGCGAGCGTAAAGCTTCCCAGCCTTCTTCTTGCCTTATGGATCACTCAGAGTCGATGGGTTTAGTGCTCTACTGCTCAATTCCACGGCAATGAGTGGAAGCAAAGAAGTGTACGGAGGGTAGATGTAGCTTTGAGAGACTGAGCTACGATATTCACATGGCACTGGCCGGTGTTCCAAGCTTCACGACCGGTGTCCCACCGCGGATACAGCTCTCTCCTTGGTCCTCGGATTATTTCGATTGAAAGAGCAGAAACAAGACAAGTACATGTACCAGACTTGGACACGGCACATGCTTGGAGCTTACGGTACTACATGTAGTAGCTGTCATAGCGATCATTGGCACCCCGCCCCCACCTCCATCAAAACACAGAAGCGTGGGGTAGACACCTCAATGGCACTCCTCTTCTACGAATTGCTTCCTCTCGAGTACTTAAGGCCTCACTTCCCACTCGATGATTATCAAGCAATTCGTACTCACCTCCACCGGGTATCACTGCTTAACCCCCCGCCAGAACCATGCTGTACCTCGGCAAAAGCAGCCATCTTGCACGATGATCATTGCATGGTGGGGAGCTGCACGATGTCGTAATAGGTATTCCCGAGGCATCACCACCACCAACACAACCTCAGCTCCGCTTTACTTTCACACCTTACTGACCTGACCCTGCGGTGCTACTGTTATCACCGGGACTCCACAATTGCTGTTTCCCCGCATCTAGAGGCCTCCTATAGCTCTTATCTAGCCGTTAATAATTGCCACAACCTCAAGCTCCTAAATCTACCATATATATCAGTGATGTTACGGCTCTTTACTCGTCCCAGAGTTCTCCGCCCCTTATTTCAGCCAAATCCTCACCCAATTCTCAAGATGTCTCTCTCTACACACAATGTCCCTAAAGTAAGTATATCAGAACATCACCCACACATCCAATGACCTGTAAGACAGAGCATACTCTAGTCGGTCCATAGTTCATAGTTAGCTAACTTGTACCACAGCTTAAAGACCCCTCCCTCCTAAAAGAAGCGGCCTTCATCAACGGCCAATTCATCACCTCTCCCTCCTTCACCACCTTCACCGTCACCGACCCCGCCACCAACACCCCAATCGCCACCATCCCCGACCTCACCGCCGCCGAAACCCGCACAGCCATCACCGCCGCCCACACCGCCCTCCAAACCTTCCGCCACACCCTCCCACGCGAGCGCGCCCGCCTCCTGCGCGCCTGGTACGACCAAATCATTGCCAACGCCGACGACCTCGCCACGCTCATCACCCTCGAGAACGGCAAGCCCACGGCCGACGCCCGCGGCGAAGTCGCCTACGCTGCCTCCTTCCTCGAATGGTTCAGCGAAGAGGCACCCCGCCTCTACGGCGACACCATCCCCTCCTCCGTGCGCGGCAACCGCGTCGTCACCATCCGCCAGCCCGTCGGCGTCTGCGCGCTCATCACCCCTTGGAACTTCCCCGCGGCCATGATCACGCGCAAGATCGGGCCCGCCATCGCAGCCGGCTGCACGGTGGTTGCGAAGGCTCCCGCGGAGACGCCGCTGACGTCGCTGGCGCTGGCGGAGCTGGCGGTGCGCGCGGGGATGCCGAAGGGGGTGGTGAACATTGTCACGGCGTCGGCGAACACGGCGGCCGTGGGCGAGGAGCTGTGTGTTAACCCTGTGGTCAAGAAGTTGTCGTTCACGGGGTCGACGCCGGTCGGGAAGCTGCTGATGAAGCAGTGCGCGGGGACGCTGAAGAAGCTGTCGTTCGAGCTGGGCGGGAATGCGCCGTTTATTGTGTTTGACGATGCGAATGTGGATGCGGCGGTGGCGGGCGCGATCGGGTGCAAGTTCCGCTCGTCGGGGCAGACGTGCGTATGTGCGAACCGCATCTATGTTCAGGACGCCATCCACGACGAGTTTGTGGCGAAGCTGGTAGAGAAGGTGCGTGCCTTCAAGGTGGGCAGCGGGTTCGACGGCGAGAATACACATGGGCCGTTGATCCATGACCGTGCGGTAGGCAAGGCGCGCGAGCATGTCGATGATGCGGTGGAAAAGGGCGCGGAGGCGGTGGTGGGCGGCGGGGTGAGTCAGTTGGGGCCGAACTTCTTCGAGCCCACGGTGCTGAAGGGGTTGACGGGTGATATGAGGATCGCGAGCGAGGAGACGTTCGGGCCTGTGGCCGGCGTGTTCAGGTTTAAGACGGAGAAGGAGGTGGTGGAGCTGGCTAATGATACGGAGGTTGGGCTTGCCGGGTATTTCTTCAGTAGTGATATTGGGCGTATTTGGAGGGTCGCGGAGGCACTTGAAGGTTTGTCGCTCCCCCTCGCTCCCCCTCTCTCTGGAAATGGTAGCTTGTGCTAATGATGAATGAATAGTCGGCATGGTGGGTGTCAATACAGGAATTATCAGTGATACTGCTGCGCCTTTCGGGGGTATCAAGGAGAGTGGCTTTGGGAGAGAGGGTAGCAAGTACGGGATTGATGAGTACACGGTCATCAAGAGTATTACCTTTGGTGGCGTGGGAAACCTGCAGGGCTAGTTAGGTTTGCTTCTTAGTTTTATGTTTTTTAGTAGGATCCCAATTGATGGGTTTTTTTCTTCTCTTTTTTCTGGTAACGATTTTGATCTCGATTTTGGTGGGCGGTGTGTGTGGGTAAAGATTATCATTGGCACTGGTGATGGCAGCATGGTTTTGTCCGCACAACGCTACTTATTTATCCAGCTGTATCTCCCCACATTGAAGGCTACTGAACACTTGAATGATACCCATAACCACATAATCCAAAGCACAACTCGCAGCACAATGTAGGCCACCAACCACCAGTGCAAAGCATAATCAAGAAATAAATAAAATAAAATAAAAAACGCTCAAAAAACAAAAAAAACCTGGTGGCCCAGGATAAGTTTTATAAGCCATTAGGTCTTGTATAACTCTCCTGCCCAGGAAGTAAGCTGAACCTGGGCTGGGACCACCCGGTTAAACTACCTCGGGAACCGTACCCCAATGCCACTGGGTCATTGGGAGGTGCGGAGTCTTTTACTCCAGCAATATTATGAGCCGCAAACCTTTAACCTTTGGTGAGGCTAGGCTTGGCGCTCCCGCACACTCACCACATCCGCGCCTTGGGCATGGCATGGTACTAGTAATCAGAATACGTGACCACCAGAGTACTAGGTGCGTTTTTGAAAGCTTGTGGTGCGGGGCTCATTCACGGCGTGGTGGGTGAGCTGATTTGGTTGATTTTACACCCCAATATTAATTTTCTACCTAGACGATAGCGAACCGTTATTTATTTACTATGAGCTGAGTAGGCACTAGTATTAGTCCCCGTTCATATCGACTTTATGTTCTTATCGCACGCTGTAGTCGACTTGTGCATATATAGGCCGCTAGCAGCTAAAACACGAAGACAGACGGTGTCTTGGCGCGAGTGATCTTTCATGATTGTGGATTATACTCGTTGAGGGGGTAGATATCTATCGACGGATGTCACCACACAAGGTCTCTTCTAAAATCATGACTGCGTATGTGCGTGTATGCACTCATATGAATGGCATGCTAGGCTCAGGAGCTGGAATTAACTGACTGCCACAAGGGAATTCCATGAGAGTGGGCATCATCGATCAACTATTACGTAAAGTATACAGATGATAATATTCTACTTTTTGGAGAAATGTATATAGGCTCGTAGGTATAGACGGTGTTGGTTGTGTAGAGCTGTTGCGCCTGCCGCCTGAATTTCGACTGCCAGATAACGGGCTGTTCGGAGGCCAGTCTTTTCGCTGGAACTACGGCCTAAAGTAGGAGGGGAACTCTGCCCATTTCCTGATGCAGTCGTGTTTTCTCATACTTGCACCCCCGAATGACGCTTCTTCAGCGCTCTCTTCTGCAGTAGAGCTCATTTTCTCGTGGGTTCGTAGCCCTAACCCACAAACCGCCACTAACCCAATTTACAGTCTTAGCACCCGTCCACGGTAGCACAAGCATATTGCCCTGACACGTGACCTCACGCCTTCACTCACACTTGCATTCATTCGTTCTCTCCTTCGTTCCTTCCCCTCCACGAACAACAATTCTCCCCCCCTCCCCCACGGCGCGTCTATCTATCACCCACCGACCCCCAAATTCAATTCAGGCCGCCGCGGTGGATGACACCCCGTCCCCGAAGCAATGGTGGAAAAACGGAAACGCTACATGGCCGTCAGAGAGACAACCTCTGCAAAACGTCGCAGCCCAAGCCCTCCAACCACTGCTGGTGCGACGCCTGAGGTCGCCCATGATGTGCCGACAACGTTTGCAAGGGATGGACCGTTGCCGGTGCTGCCAGTACGGCAGGAGAAGGAGCTGCCGTTGAAGGAGTACAAGAGTGTGGCCGAGAGGTGCGTTTTCACTGTTACTGCTTCTTGGTGGGTTTTGACTAACTTGTACCAGTCGAGTCATGCAAGAGTCGCTCGAACGCTCACGCCGCAAATGGGTCGACGGCGACATCTTCGAAAAGTTCTGGATCAAGCCGCTCAAGTCACGCCGGCTCGACCCCGTCGAGATGGAGAAGAACCCGGGGAAGGACTGCATGACCAGGCTCGGGAGTGCCACGCTGAGCTGCAAGCCGCACAAGTTCGAGATCAAGCTTTTCGGCGTTCTCGAGCCCGTCAAAGCCCCGCCCGCACCTCCTGCCCCCACTCCTGCTCCGCCGCAGCCGCAACCACAACCGCAACCGCAAACTCTGCAGAGACAGCCGCAGCCACAGCAGATGCAGTCGGTTAATGGGGTACAGCAGGGAGCCCCGTTTCCGGGGACTGCGCAGCCGGTACAGCAGCAAGTGCAGACGCCAGCGATACCGCATCAGCAGCCGGCTACCCAAGGACATGTTGCTGCTGCTCCACAGCACTATGTGCCGGCTCAGGCTCCGGCCCAGCGCCCGATGCACCTTACTCCACAGCAGCAGCAGCAGCAGCACCTGCAACAGCACCCGCAGCATCAACAACAACACCAACAGCACCCTCAACATCTGCAACACCCGCAACATCCACAACACCCGCAGCACCCGCAATATCACCCCCAACAGCCCCCACACCCGCAGCAGCCAGGACCACCTCGGCCCGATCCCGTTATCCAGTCTCTGGCAATCCGGGCCGCCGAAGATCCCGAGCTGAAGGCTCTCATGAGGATCGTCGCCTCCGGGAAGGCGACCCAAGAACAATTGAAGATATTCCAGGGCCATATCGATGCATTGACTCCACAACCACTTGTACCGGTAGCCCGACCAATTGCTCCTGCGCAAGGGCTTGTCAGACCTCAACCCCCCCAGCAAATGCACCCTCACCCGCACCAGCAACCACAGCATCTCCAGCACCTCCAACACCCTCAACATCTCCAGCATCAACAGCACATGCAGCATCCTCACAACCAGCAGCAGCACCCCCATCCATCATACATGGTGCAACACCCACGCCCCCAGTACCAGCAGGCCCACCAAGCTCCACGCCCGCAGCAGGTGGCACCCCCGAAGCCGAAGCCCTTCCCGCAGCCGCCAAAACAGGAGATCACCGCCATAGTTTTCGAGTTCACCGACCCATACAGCCAGGGCGACCGCTTCATGTTCCCGAAATACTCGATCCTCGAGTACTCCAGGAACGGCATGATGGTCATCGCCTCCTTCATGGTGACGCGCAAGCCCATCGACGACCTCGACGAATACTACCAGCCGCTCACCATCACCCTGGAATCAACGAGCCCGCGCAACCTCGAGATCCTCCAGCGCGTCGTCAAGGACGCCGACACAACACGCGAGCACATGAAGAAGCTCATGGCGACACTGAAGCGCGCGGACGACAGCTTCCTCGCGTTCCGGCTGCGGCGTGAGCCCGGTGATGCGGTCCCCGATAGACTTGATGCGCCGCTGTTGCTGCCACCGCCGCCGCCGCCGGGCCGCGCGAGGGAGAGTAGAGTGAGGAGAGACGCGAGCACGCCGGTGGTGCCTGGGGAGGCGAGGGAGGCGCCGCGTGGACCAAGGGTCAAAAATGTGAAGAAGGTTCGTGCTTTAAAAAGTTCTTGTTAAATTATCTTTTTTTTATCTACCTTTTTTTTTTATTTTTATTTTCTTTCACAAGGGGCACGAAAATAAAAATAACTTTTTTCTCTACTACTACTTTTCTGGTTTATTATTTTTCTTTTTTCTCTTTTTTTCTCTCTGTCTCTCAATCCCGTTTTGAAAGTAGAACACGGTCATAGCTAAAACGCGTTTCTTGGGTGACCACCAGGCATTACCGCGAGAGCCCACTACCACTGCTGCCACTACAAATACCACTACCGCCACCACAAACACCCCCACAACCACACACACCACCACAACCCCCACCACCACCAACCTCACCACAACCCCACCCACCACCACCACCACAACAACAACCCATACCCACCCCCCAGCCCCCACCCCAAACCCCCCAAGCCCCCGCGCTCCCGCAAGGGCCGCATCGCAGATCCCACAAAGTCCTGCACAATCTGCAAAACCTCCAAAACATCGCTGTGGCGAAAGGCGGACATCGACGGCGAGAACGTCACCGTGTGTAATGCGTGCGGCATCAAGTGGAAGACGAACGCGCAGCGTGCCGCCCAGCAGGTCGTGGGGGATACGATTGTTGTGAAGGGGGTGGAGGAGATGGGGGGTGTGGCGGTGGCGGTGGGGGGAGGGATGGGGTTGCAGATGGGCGGGTTGGTGCCCGGGGCGGTTGGTGGTGGTGGTGGTGGTGGTGGTGGTGGTAATGGGGGTGCGCCGATGGTTGTGCCTGTGGCTGCTCCGGTGGTCGCGCCTGTGGTTGCCCCTACGGCTGCTCCTGTTGCGGCTGCACCGCCGGCGCCGGCGCCGATACAGGCACAGGCACAGGCACAGGCACAGGCACAGGCACAGGCACAGGCACAGCCAGAGACGCAACCGCAGACACAGACCCAAACCCAAACCCAACCGCAACCGCAGACACAGCCAGATGCCCCGGCGGCCTAAACTAAACCTTCACGGGTCTATCGCTGTAACCAAGTCCAAGTCCAAACCCGAACCTAGTAGACCATGTCTACATAATGCCACCTCGCAACCCCCCCCCCCAAAAAAAAAAAAAAAAAAAAAAAAAACCCTCCTTACATCCCACTCCATTCCGCGACTTTAGAAGTTCTAGGCTTCACGATCATCGCCTGGTTGTCTAGGTTCCCACAACTGTTTCTTGGTTAGCTTGTTAGTTAGGGTCTTTTCTCATGTCCTCTTTTTTTTCTTTCTCTTTTCCGTTGTTTTTGTATGTGTTGCGTTGTGTTGTGCGTTGTTTTTGGTGTCATGGGCGTTTTAGTCTTTTTTTTCCTGCTTGTGTTTGGAATTGGGAAGCATTGAACATTCGAAATTACAGCAGCGCTTTGTTATGTGCTCATGATCAGGTCGGGGCGGGTCGGGGGCGGGATGGGGGCAGAACGGGATAGTACTAGTATTTGTAATATAATATTTTGCTGTCTTTTTCTCTGTTTGTTTGTTGATTGGTTGGTTAGTTTGTTGTTTGGTTGGGTTGTATTAGTAGTATCAGCAGCAAATGGTGGTAGTAGCAACAGTAAGTAGGTACATGTAGTTGCAGTACATGTAGTAGTTTAAGAGGGATAGATGGATATGAACAGACACGCGCCAGCAGCAGCACAAGTACTTAGTAAAGACACGAACTTGGAACCAGCCCACGGCACATCAACCGGCGAAACACCGCGGCTGGAGGAGTTTGTGTGTATGAGTGCGAGTGATATTCTGTGACCGCGGCACCGAAGATAGGTTCCGGGTTGGAGGCAGTGGAGGAGAAGAGGGAGTTAACTACATAATATACAACGACAGTACTCTAATATGTGCATGAACATATTGACGAAGTAATATGCGGAGGGACGGAGGACATGCATAGAGGTAGGGGTAGAAAGTGGAAGTAGAAGTAGAAGATCCCCGCGCGGGCGGGCGAGTGGGGGCATACTTCTTTGAAAAGATGCTGTATGGATCATTTCCCCGGCCCATGTCCCAGCACTCTAGAGAAAAAGGCAATGTTGGTTTTTGCGCTTACAGTTCTGTCTGTCCTCTCGGGCAGCTCATGGCATAACTTGCAGCTAGCCGGGAAAGCAACAGAGCCTCCCGGGGTGTACGAATGCCTTGTAGCAGGAGCTAGAAATGGGGGAGTTGGATTGGATTTCTTGGGTTCTCTCTTCTCGGTGCTCGCTCGATCTGCTAGGTTAACCCTTTGGTGGGTGGACTATGCGACCGAGTGATGCGCCATGTCTGATACTCAGCAATGCTATTGATCACCACCAATAATAGGCTCTACTAACATAATTCGAGTAAATAAGCCCTTACAAGCCATCGTTATGCTGTCTTAAGATCTGGGGGATATAATATAATATAATATATTCCTTCTGTTGCAGGGTCTCGCCACCCTTGCATGCCTGTGCAACCCCAGCCGGGCCCAAGAGGTGCAACCTCAACCTCCATCCACCTAGTACTCCAGGACCACTCACACACACACTCTCTGCCTCTGGCACCGCACCAACAATTCCGTGATACCCCAATTAACAATACAACATTATACAGCATTCTCCAACAGCAATGGCCTCTCTACCAGCCAGCGCGCAGCCAAAGCCCGGTGAACGTAATGCCCCTCGACCTTAACCCCCTTGCTCTCTCTCTCTCGTCTCCCACCAGCTAACACCCCCCAGCAAAACAGGCATCCGTCGAGCGCCTCCTCGCCGTCCTCTCCGCAGACCTCACAAACCCAACACTCACCCCAGCCCGTAAGCCCCACCCTACTCCCGCGCGTTCCTGCTGCGTTGCTAATTCTCCAGAGCAGAGCGCACCGCGACCCTCGAGCACCTCAAGGTCCACGGTAGAGACCCGAACGGTAGCGATGCCATCTTCACCAGAGAGGTAGACAGAGACAGAGACCCTCTACTTACATCCATGGGCGGGGGGGGGGGGCGATAGTGGCTTACACTGCTCTGCTCTGCTAGGGAATTGACACACTGGGGAAATACGCCTTCGACCAGCCCAACTCCGACATCTCGACCTCGCAGGAGGCGCTGCGCTGCCTCGCGAACGCGCTCCTCCTCAACCCGGGCTGCCGCCGGACCTTCGTGGACCTCGGATACGCACTCAAGGCCGCCGAGCGCTTCGAAGTAACACCTCCCCTACCTGTGCGGCGTAAACACGCATGCTAACAATCATGATACAGACCGCATCCATAGACGACGAGTTCCTCCTCTCGCGCATCCTCTTCCTCGCCGCCTTCACCCCGCCCATTCCACCCGGCCTGCTAGAGAGCACGCTCTCCACCTCCCTCGCCGCCGCACTCACCCGCCACACCACGGCCGCGCACACGCCGATGCAGGAGATGGCACTCACCGAGACGCTCAAGCTCCTCTTCAGCCTCGGCCACCACACCTCCTCCCCCCTCCTCCTCCCCACCCTCCCCCCGCTCACCACCCTCCTCACCACCCACCCCCTCCCCACGCCCCCCTCCAGGGCGTCATAATCCACCTCATCAACGCCCCGCTTTCCCTCCCGCTTACCCCCGATCCCCCAACCACAATAACAACCCTCTTCCCCCCCGCCGCCCCGCTAACACTCATATCCCGCCTCACAACAATCCTGGACACCGCAACCCTCGATCCGGACCTCGACGAGCCCGCTATCCCACTCATCACACTCCTCAGAAAGCTCCTTGAGCTCGCACCTCCGCATGTCGTCGAGCACATGCAGCAGACGCTGCTCCCGGCGCCCGAGGAGCGCGATGCCCCGCTTGGAACAAGTAACACGCTCCCGTCGCGCCTGTTGCGGCTGACGGCCGCTGCGGTGGCGCCGGGTCTCCGCGACCATGTTGCGGAGTTGCTGTTTGAGCTGAGTGGTAGTAGCCCCGAGAGGTATGTGCAGAATGTGGGGTACGGGTATGCATCGGGGCTGCTTGTGTCGCGGGGGCTGGACGGCGGCGGGTTGGGGGCTGGATCTGTGGGGTCGGGGTCTGTGGGGGTGGGGGAAGGGGAGGGGAAGGGGAAGGGGAAGGAGAGGGAGAGGGAGGTGAATCCGGTGACGGGGCAGTGGGTGGAGATGGAGGCGGCGAGGGGGGACCCGTTTGAGGGGATGACGATGGAGGAGAAGGAGCGCGAGGCGGAGAAGATGTTTGTGCTGTTTGAGAGGCTGAAGAAGACGGGGGTGGTGGATGTGAAGAATCCGGTGCAGCAGGCGGTGGAGGAGGGGCGGTTTGAGGAGTTGGAGGATTAGTGGGGAGGGGAGGGGAGGGGAGGGGAGGGGGGTGCAGGGGAAAGCCCCGGGGGGGGGGGGGGAGAAGGAGGGGAGTGTTGTATAGGCTGTTTGTAATAAATATACCATGTTTGTGAATGTGAATTTGGGGCGTGGTCTGGTTTTTAGTATTGGTGTTGGCATTGAGTTGAGAGGGGGGTGTTTGTGGGATCGGGAGATGAGTGATATCAAACGCTGCGGAAAAGAACCCTCCCACCCCCCCAGTCGATCGAAATCGTGCGAGCTCCTAAACATCCCAGAAAACATACCCAAGACGCAGTACTTGATCGACACTATCTAAAAGCCCGAAAATAAAAAACACACACTCACACTCACGCTTTAACATAGTCTGAAAGCTAGAAACAAAGCCTTCTTAGCTTTGGTTGGAGGCGCCGTTTCTATAAAACACCTGTCCTACCGGTAATGTGTTACTGTCTAGCTTCGCGAGTCACAGTACCTCTTGTCCCATGGTACACAAGCCCTTAATGTCCTCAGTCACAGACGGTCACTCGGGCGCCCGAGTTATCTGCCATGATGTGCTACTTAGCTAGCCTAGATAACGTTTCGGGTTTGAAACGCGCCGGTGAATACTACCCATCGGTCTCCACGGAGAACCTGTGTAAGAAACGGTGATTCCCTTCTTGTTGTAGTACCTCATTAAATTTTATTTAATACACAAGTTTGCATGGTTTGAAGATTAATACGGGCTCTAGATCTGGGGCTGGGTGTGGTTCAGTAAGATTAGGATGTTTGAGCCATTCTATCGGTTTTTTCTTCTTCTTCTTGGGTGGTTAATTCAGCTTTCCCAACCACACGTCCATTCTATTAGAACCGAAAGACCAGATCCCTAGAATTAATACATATGGCACAGATCAGGCACCCCGCTGGTGGTGAAGAAAATGATATATGATCGCCTAGCTGTACATATGGCAATTCTAGGTAGCCTAGTAGCACAATTTAAGAGTCACGGATACATATGTGGAAACCATCGTGCATTGAGTAAACAACCGACAGAGACATTGAATGTATTCAACTGTTGCAATTGCTTCAACAAGGAAGCCCAATATTCATTCCCACCAATGAAATTGCCAAGCCCCCACCCAGGGTCCCAGCCCAAAGGGGAAGTAATTGAGCCCTTGCGCGTCTTCAACGCGCTACTACGCGAACAGTCCACCTAAGGGGGAAAGAAGCGTCTGTCTTTCGTTCTGGTTCTGCTTAGTGCTGCTTGTCTGTCTGGCTGTCTGTCTGACTGCTGCCCTGCCCTGGCAATGCCAACCCTGGACCGTGTGTACCAACCAGATAGATAGACTACATATCCAGATGAAGCCTGTGCTCACTCGACCGACGACGACTTCCATTCTACATGTCAGATCACGGTGCCTGACCTGACCTGACTCTCACTCTACTATCCCTCTCTCTATCTCTCTATCTCTATCTCTATCTCTATCTCTATCTCTATCTCTCCTCCATCCCACCCCCCACCTCTCTCGTCTCTTCCTACCCAGCTGAAGTCTGTCTGTCTTTCTATTTGCGATTCCGCCCGTCAACATCCCCAGGTGGTTCTTGTACAATAACTACATCCTATCCTCCCTCCCCCCAATCCACATCCACATCCTACCCCCCCCCCCCCCATATTCTTGCTCTTGGACAGACAACAGAGACTTGGGAAGGGAGATCACGATTAACAGAGGATTTACAGCGGGACCTTGGAGAGAGACGGACGGACAGACAGACAGATCTAGATTGGATCTACACCTCTCCACCTCATCATATCACATTTTATCATACTAGAGTGCGAGTACTCGCCATTCTTTCTTTTCTTTTCATCCATCCACCCACACACACACACACACCCATCACGGCCTCTTCCATCCATTCGTCCCCATTCTATTGATGCCGGCCTAAATTGTCACCGCCACAACTGCTACATAATACATATCCCTCCGTCGCGTCACCCCCGTTCATGCCATCGTGACTGGAAGGACACGCTCCCTCCTCCTCACCCTCACATCATGGTCGTCAACGCCTCGTCAGAATCGTCTCCCTTCTTCCCTATCACCACCACCGGTTCTACTGCTACCAACACCACCACCACCACTAACAATAATAACACTACCCCTAAACGACGGTCCCTCGACAATAACGGTCTCCCCCGCCCGCCGACCCCACCGCGTGAGTCTCCGCGCTCCAAAAAAGCCTCTACCGCCACTGCCAAAGACCCTTTCGCAACCACCGACTCCAACATCCTCCTCGCCGAGTCCTCCCCTCCGCCCTCTTCCGAGTCCTCCGCCGTCGACAAGCCCAAAAAGCGCGTCCTCTGGTCTCCCTGGACTAAATACCACAAGCCCGACGTCCCCCTCACCTCAACCCCCATCCGCTCGCTCATCGACGCCAAGAACCTCAAAAGCATCCTAAAGCCCTCCCCCATCCCCCTCTACACGGACTCACCCCTTGGCCGTCCCATTGCCGCCCACACATTCACCAGCTTCGCCAGCATGCTTGAGAGCGTCCTCACCTCGCTGGCCTCGCCGGAGCGCAGCAGGAAACTCGACACCTACATCACCTTCAGCAACACGCTCAAGGCCTACGACGAGATCCCGGACATGCCCGCGCTCGAGGCGCATCTACCGGCCCTCTGCGACTTTATCCGCCGCGACCTCACCGCAAAGCTCGAGGACGGCGGCAACACCGACAGCCAGCTGATCCAGCAGGCCATCAAGCTGCTCGTCATCCTCGCGTGGACGCCGCGGCTCGTCGAGGCCATGGACGACACCAACGCGGCCTTCTTCCTCGAGCACGCCATTGCCCGCATCGAGGACGCCGCCACTCCCAAGATCATCGTCAACCACAACCTGCACCTGCTCGCGCAGCAAAAGTTCCCCGCGCGCGTCATGACCCCGGAGCGTGCGAACCGCATCGTGACGGCGCTGGAGACGCTCGACGAGCGCGTGACGGGAAAGAGCATCACGAAGGAGCGCATCGATATATACTACAAGCTGCTGTACCAGGCGAAGCTCGTCATGACGGCGCGCATCAGCGACTGGATGGACAATCTGTTTGGCGGGCTGCTGAGCAGCGTCACGGAGGTGCGCAACCGCGCGCTGATATGCATTGCGGAGGTGTCGCGGGTGCTGGGGAAGGACAAGGCCGTGCCGAGGACGCTCACGAATATCTTTAGCAGACAGGTCAAGGGAAAGCGCATGTTTGAGTCGATCAAGGAGCGGCTGGACCAGTTCATACGGGACGGGGAGGGCGTGTTTGTGGCGAGGATGTGGGGCATTGTGTTGCTGTGTGTCAAGACGCTGGGGGATCACTGGGAGTACTTTACGCCGTGGCTGCGCATCATTGAGGGCTGCTTCAACGTCAGTGATAAAGACGTCAAGGTCGAGGCACAGGTGGCGTGGTCGAAGCTAATCTACAGCATGAACATTGGGCCCAACACCACCCGGAAGCTACTGGGACTACTATGCAAGCCACTGGAGCAATATCTAGACCCAAAGAACGCCTATTCAAACACCAAGAAGCCCCGGAAAGCGGCAATGGCAAACGTAAGTGTATTACTATACTACGGCTTCCGCCCCACCGCAACAAACAAGCAGCTCTCGGACGTCTGGGACCTCGTCGTCGTCGGCCTCGTCGAGAAAATGGCCCTCTCGTCAAAAGAGGAGGTCGGCGAGGGCTGCAGCATCCTCTCTGCAATCTTCGACTCCACCCGCCCCCGCCCCTGGCAGGAGACGCGGGTCCTTGCAACACCGCCTATGGCACCAGAGGACGTCCCACGACTGGACCCGAAATGGGTGCGCTCCAACACGGCCCTGGTCCTGAACACCCTCGAAGTGGCGCTGCGCCGCGGCCACTGGAAGGAGGAGGCCGATAAGGGCGTCAAGAGCCTCTGGGCGCACTTCACGAAAACACTGAGCGACGCGGGATCAAAGGAGATCAAGGTGAGTGCGGAGCTAATGGAGGCCGTAGCACACCTCTTCAACATGTTCCAGCGCATCTGGGCCGCCGGTCCCAGCGCGCTCCTGGGCGCAAAAGAGGCGCCGCCAACAGTGTCGGCGTCGTTCATTAAGAAGTTCTCGTTCCTGGTCGTCACTGCGCTGCAATCACTCGGCACAATCCCGTTCACGGAAAAACACCTCGCATACGATGATGCGACTAAGTTTGCCCCAGCAGCGACGCCGACGCATAAGTACTCCTCCGGCGGATCACCGGCGGTCTTGAACCCGCCGATACTCCACCTCTTTCAGCTGTTCCTCAACCCGCCCGCCGACGTCTTCCCCGACGAGGAGTACTACGAGTCCGTCCGCACCATCCTCTGGAAGTGCGTTGCGGGCCAGGACTCGCGGCGCAAGAAGCTCGGTCTGTTGGCGTCGTGCACGGCGCTGCTGCCGCACCGCGACGCCCGCGAGCTGGACCACGGGATGTGGCAGATCTTTGGGCAGCTCGCGCGCAAGTGTCTTGCGCGCGAGAAGCTGGCGACGCTGCCGCCGGTGGTGGCCGAGTTCCGCGACGTGGTGCGCGTGCTGGAGTGGGGGTGTCCGTATGAGCTGCAGGGGTGGCGGCGGTTGTATGAGGAGTTTTGTGCGGTTGTGGCGGCGGAGCAGGGGGAGGGGTATGTTGCGGCGGTGGTGGTGGAGCCGATTGCGGAGGTGCTGAGGAATCTGGCGGTGGAGATGGATAAGTATGTTTGCCCCCCGTCGCGGGAGTGGGGAATGTGGCTGATAAGTGTAGGACGCAGAGCTTGAAGAAGGCGGTGATGCTGGTGGAGCATGCGGCGTGGCCGAAGGCGGAGAAGTCGTTTCTGAAGACGCCGTTTGGTGGTGCTGGACGACGCTCGCTGGGGTCGGACGCGTATGAGAAGCTGTGCGACCTGCTGGACCACCTTTTGAAGCGGTCGTATGCCCTGTGTGCGGAGGGACTGCCCATGACGGATACGCTGGCATTGATGGCGGCGCTCGGCGACATGCTCACACGGTGCCCAAGCGGGGGTATCCTACCGCTACTGAAGCGCCTTCAGGAGGGCCTCGGTCTCTTCATTGCGGATGAGAAGCAGGTTGTTGGCACGAAGAATACGGACGCTGCTGCGAGGATTTATAACTTGTGGGTGAAGGTGCTGGAGACGCTTACGAGGCTCCCGGCGCATGATGGGAAGACCTTGGATGCGCTGCAGGGGTTGGTGACGGCGGGGTTGCAGAGTAGGAGGAAGCAGATTGTGAATGTGACGGTGAGGTTCTGGAATGACACGTTTGGAGAGCAGAGTAGTCTCTTGTATCCCCCCACTGTCCGTAGCGCACTCAAGAAGCTGCGGCCGATCGCGGACTTGGTGCTGCCGACCTTCCCGGAGAGTATTGAGGACGAGGTGAGTTTTCTATCCGTTCCGCTGACTATTGCCGGGTGATTATTGGTGACGCTAACTAAATTTCGAAGTCTGCCAATACGCCGCCTGAATTCTCCGAGACCCAGAGCCCGGATCCGGACGGCGACGAGGACAGCGCAAGAGAGAATAATAGTATTGCCTGGCCCGCGACGCCGCTGCGGATGGCATCGCCGTTCCGGAAGAGCATGTCGCCGGGGATGATGGTGAAAGACACGCCGCTGCAGACGACGACGACGTCGTCACGGCGCACTACGCCGGGCAGCGCGCGCAAGGCGCCGCCGCCGAAGCCGAAGCATATGGACTCGCAGATTGAGTTTGCGCCGGTTGATAATGGGGCTGCGGGGGCGATTGACTCGCAGGTGCTGACGGAGCATCAGAAGGAGGTGAAGGAGCGGCAGAGGAACGGGGAGGCTGGGAAGTTGTTTTCGAGCTTGGTGGTTAAGACGGAGAAGGGGAGGGAGAGGGAGAGGGAGAGGGGGAGGGAGAGGGAGAGGGAGAGGGAGAGGGAGGTTGTGGTGTTGGAGGATACGCCGGTGGAGGATATGGATGTGTCTAGGATTGAGGAGACGCAGGTGGGGGAGGAGCAGGAGGAGGAGGGGCAGCAGCAGCAGCAGCAGCAGGAGGAGGAAACGATTTCGTTCATATCGGAGATGCCTGTGCCGAGGGAGGACTCAAACCCACAGTTCCTGCTGACCCGGCCGCCGACCCAGGAGTCTGGTGATGTTGCTTCGTCGTCCGAGATTGAGCTGTCGTCGGAGCCGGAGATGGACTCTCCTGGGGCGCAGGAGTGGGAGGAGAGCAACGGCGACGACGTCGAGATGAGCAACCCGACCGACGCCGACGTCGACGCCGACGACAACTCGGACTACGGCAGCAGCATCTCGGAGCTCCCGTCGATCGAGGACGACTTTGTCGATGCGCCGGACCAGCCGCCCCCGAGCAACAGCAGCAGAAGCAGCTCGCCGAGGAAGAATATGATGATGAAAGTAGAGGTTGCAGCGCCGCCGCCGTCGGCCACGCTCTCGGCGGAGGAGCGGCCGTCGTCGGCGGAGAAGAGCGGCAATGAGAGCCCGGATGCGCAGATCATCGATGAGCAGAGGGCATCGCATGGGTTGCCGGCGACGCCGAAGCCGGCGAAGGGGAAGAGGAGGGCGAGGAAGAAGGCGAGCCCGGAGGTGTTGGGTACGATTGTTATTGCGAGTGAGCCGCCGCCGGCGCAGGAGTCGTCGGTGTGGTATCGGACGAGGTCTACACGGCTGGCGGAGGAGAAGGAGAGGCAGGGGTCATTGGAGGTGCCGGAGGCAGGGGGGGGCAGTACGAAGGTTTCTAAGCCTAAGTCGGTTGAGAATACTCCGTCGAGAGCAGCGAAGAATGCGACGCCGTCAAAGGCATTAAAAGGGAAAAAGACGGCAGATACGCCTTCGAGGAAGGGCAAGGCCGTTGAAGCCACCCCATCGCGCGTCTCACCGCCACGGACGAGAGCGTCTGCCCGGAGGGGAGTTTCGGAGACGCCTAAAGCTATTGTAGAGCCCGGTTTGTGCCCCACCCCCCCTTTTTTTTGTGTGTGTATTGTTTGTTTGTTCTAGCTACTAACCTTCCCTAGCATCGCGGAAACGGAAGTTCCTAGCCACAGATGACAGCCCGGTCCCTGGCTACGAGAGCCACCAATCAGGGACCGAGCACGCCCCCTCCCCCACGCCCAAAGGGCGCCGCCGCAGGTCCGACAACCCGCCGCCGGTGAAGCGGGGCCGTGTTGTGGAGGAGGTCCCTGCCGACCCGGATGTGTCCTTTGTGGGGGAGACCCAGCTGAGCTATGGATCGTCCATCCCGGATACGTACGAGCAGGAGGTGGACGAGCTTGTCCGGGCGACGCCGTATGCGGGGAGGGCAGTGGGCATCTTTGATAAGACTGGCGTTGAGGCGGAGGGCGAGGTTGCTGCGTCGACTCCTGGGGGGAAAAGACGGAGGGTGAAGGAGATGGTGGAGGAGACGCCGGTGCCTGCGGAGGTGCCGGCCCTCGCTGCCGCCGTCGAGGAGGAGGTGGAGGCGGTGCAGGAGGAGGAGGGGGAGGAGGGGCTCACGGGTGTTGAGGCGGATGCGGCGACGCCTAGCAAGAGGCGGAAAATGAAGAAGAGGCAGCCGGCGCGTGCGGGGCGCCGCAGTCCTGCAGCGAAGGGGGGTCAGAAGTCGTTGACGGAGACGGAGGAGGACGAGGCTACCCCGCCGTCGTCGCAGGTGGAGATATCGGCGGCGTCGGAGAGCACAGGGGCGACAGTCGTGGTGGGTTCGTCGGGGCCGAGTGTGGTGGCGTCCAGCAGTGTGGTGTCGAGTGCGGCGTCGGAGCCCGTGACGGGCCGGAGCGCGATCGAGGGGCTGAGAAGTGCGCTAGGGGTGTTGGAGACGGTGGGGTTGACGCAGGAGGAGTCGAGGGAGACGGAGGAAATCATTTTGGGCGCGTTTATGAATATTAGGAGACGGGGACGCGAGTAGGTTCGGTTCGGTCCCTCTTTTGTTTCGTGCCGCTGGCTAGATAGATCAATGCCCGGGTTATGTATATGGGGGGCTTTTGGGTTGTTGGTTTTTCTTTTTCTTTTTCCCTATTTTTGCGGGTTCTGGGTTTGTTTGTTTGTAAGACTTGTGTGTTTTTTTTAGAGCGTTTGATATCTGCTTCTTTCTCTCTCTCTCTCTCTTTTTATCGTGAGCAATGGGTGTTTTCTTTTTTTTTCTTTCTGCCTGGTTCTTGCTGTGTATGATAGCGGCGGGGTGGGGGTGGGTTTTTTAAAGTAGAAAACATTGCCCGTGTATGGGAAATTTTATGTCGGGGTATTTTATTTATTTATTAGCATACCTGATTTGGGGGGGGGGGGGGGTTGGTACTTGGTTGGGTTCTATTTACATATGTAGCTAGTTAGACCTTGGTTTTGTTTGTTCTTTTGGCGATGTGATTTGACTTTTAATGGTTTCTTGTAATGCACAGACATCTGGAGCGAATTTGACTAAGTTCATTCATTGATTGCTCCGTTATACGCACGGCTTCAAGGGTTGTCATTTGTGATGGAGCTCATGTACATACTTGTAGACTGTGGGGTTTTTGCGTCATACAATATCACTCGAAGCAATAGACACAATATCAGCGGAACCAGCTAGCTGGGCCGGATCCTGGAGTTCAATCTTCGATCCATCCCGCGAATCTGCTTGCGGGGCATCCGGCCGGTCTCTGAGCTTCGTTGCCCTGCCTCCTGTCCTGTAGTATTGTATCCTCCTTACTGGTAGCTATGTAGGGACGGTTTTATTCTGCTGCGCTGGAGTGTTTGATTAGCTAGACAGGTATATATACATGTAGATAAGGCGTTGATACGGACGTTTCGGCCCAATCACCATGGCACGGAAATAGCAGCGGCGTGGTGCCTATGGGCCAGGGCGGAGGTGTCATGTAGATTAACATGTGTGTAGGCACGGCCGGGGGATTGGTTGCCTATGGCATGGCATCGGGTACATGCGGTTTATGTTTTGGGGTTATGGCCCGGCTACATAGCTTTTTGTGATTCATGATCGAGCTCAAGTGCTCATTCTCCACTCTTGGGCCTAGTGGTATGTGTTCGTTTTGTAACAATCATCTTCTTGCCTCACATCTAGCTGCTGTCTTGCGCCGTGCTCGCTCGTGCTTCTACGGACGCCACTTATAAATATGATGAGATGTGGAGTGAAGGGAAACCGGGCCGGTGTGTTTGTTCTGTGCTTTGTGGTTGGGTTGATGCTATTTGGACTGTGTTTGATCAAATCACTATATAGGCGGTATGTCCACGAATGGAGATAGATATGGTTTGACTCCGAACTGGTGCCTAGCTGCAGCACAGGGCCGTAAGTGAATACTCCTTAAAGACACTAGTATCAAAATGTAAGTGCACGCTGATAAGTAATGTAGGGATATTGATACTCGCATAACTACATCATATACTCAAGTAGGTACTTTGTCTAAGTTTCATCTAGCACAGGTCTCGGGCACTAGCACTCAAGCTAGCCTATATACATGCAAGTTAAGTAGAGCCTCACGACAAAAGAACGATTGGTTACCACCAAAATCGATGGCAGTTGGGGAATTTCCCCGTTCAACCACACTGCTTCACGATGCCATATATATTCTGGAAGCTCCCGCCCGTTAGAAGCGTGGGGCACCCCTGCCAAGCCATGTCTGTAGCGTATCGTAGTGGCATTCCTCAAAAGCCATGTCTACTCTGCATATCCGACGGGTTTTAAATGACCCAAGTTGGCCCACAAAAGCTTAAGCACGTGCAGGGGAATATTAGCAAAGTGATGCAGGCATATGGTGAAACTGGGGTATGACGATACGAATCTAGTACATACAGCTTGTAACCTGCGTTGAGCCTGGAGGGATCTCAACATCGTGGAGTCAGCGTACTGGATGAGGGCGAGATCGAGATTCGATGTGTGGATTTGACAGTTATTGCGCGCGGTGAGTGTGTTCTCTCGGTAAAGTTGGTCGGCACTCTCTGTCGGTACTCTCTATCGGACTGTAATAAGTGCTAGTTAGCAGAATATTTTCAATACTGTACATACAGGGCTCACAGGGCTGCTGTAATCTACTCGTTTACCACGAAAAGAACCATAAAATGCAAGTGACGGAAACAGGGATAGTTTGTATGAGAGATCACCGCCACTCCATACAAATAATCCTTGCCCTGAGCAACTGCATTTTCTGGTTCTTTTCGTGGTAAACAAGTACATAGGCATAAAGCACAGGGCAGGCGGCAGTTGCCGCGGACGATGTTTATATCGTCGCAACCACACCACGATCACCATCCTCAACAACTTCATCTCTGCTCTACATACGAAGGGACACATACTTAACAACGCTTTGCCCTGAGCATCGTAGCTCAGTTGGTGTTCTCAAGACACACGTCGTGCTGCGAATTCAATTGTTTAATACCCACGGTACACGAGGCATACGATTCTCGGAAGAAGCCCAGCCTTTCTTTCGGTGATGCCCTCAGCAACTACAGCTCTTTGTCTATGATATTTCGATAGTCACCAACAACGCCCACAACACAGTACCACAACGGCGCCGTACCAAACAAGTATCTTAAGCTCCACCGGTAGAAACTATATATATACGTATATCATTCCGGACTGCAATGTCTCTAGTTCCCTATAGCCCCACCGATGACTCCCGTAGTGTAGTTCTGTATGTTGTATTTTCCAGCTTCCCTTCCCCGCCTCGATCACCCAAGCTAATAGTCACAGCCGCCATCGTCAAACCCTCGTAATCTACGACCCTTCCTCGAACCAATTAGTTCTCCACCAAGCTTCGCCGTCCACCTCTGGTCCGCCCGACCTCCCCTCATGTCCATTCTGCAAACGCCCCCTCGACTCCGCGCCCGCACCCGGGTCACCCGAGGCTGGCGGGGAGGGGTTTGTAGTTCAAAATTACTTCCAGTTGTTGGATGATAGGTAATTCTCCTGACATTATTGCCGATACTCATTATTCTGACTTGAATCACAGAAACATCCCCCCAAACATGCCTCCTCCCATCCGCCGTACCCCGCCATCGCCCACACACCGTAGTCTACCACGGCCCGAGGTTGAGGATGTTGGTGAGGACCCAGGTTTTCACCAGGAAACAGACCCGTATTCTGAGCCGGTCGGAGGCGGAGGGATCAGCGATGCGGCGTTTAGTCCAAAGTATTTCGAACGATTCTTTGTGACGCAGAGGGAGCTAGGGAGAGGTGGGAAGGGTGTTGTGCTGTTAGTTCGGCATGTTCTGGACGGAGTATCGCTGGGAGAGTTTGCGTGCAAGAGGGTTCCTGTTGGTAAGAATTCCTTTCCGATTTGCGGATTCTGGTAACTGGTTTGTGGGGAATTGCACGAGAATCATCAATTGGCTTGAGGGTAACTGGGTAGGCTGACAAATGCAAATAGGTGACAACCATAAATGGCTAGAAAAGGTTCTCAAAGAAGTTCAACTTTTACAGCAACTTTCACATTCCAACTTAGTCTCCTATCGACATGTATGGTTAGAGAGTGTACGCCTAACAAGTATGATCGCTCCTAGGTTAATCCTTTTTTTAGATTCGTGAAAGCTGATAATTAAAATTTAAGCCTTTGGCCCGAGCGTTCCTTGCGCCTTTATCTTGCAACAGGTATTATACCCTCTTTCCTGCCCTGTGTGGTCAAGATTCACCAGTGCTCGATAAATCGGTACTGGGAATAGTGGTTGAAATCTAAAACCGGGGTTGCCAAGTTATGGCTGGGTTATTTTGAAACCCTCCAAGTGGCTCTAGGGTTCAAGTAAATTTGGATGCCGAAGATACTTATCCCCACAGATTATAAACATCTGTGATTAAAACCTCAAGGCGGGTTTACTATCGTGTACTAACCCCTGTTAGTACTGCAATGCAGGTGATCTCCACGACTTCATCCTCACTGCCACCAAAAAGACCACTACAGAACAATTGAAAGATAAGATTCGGCGTCGGACTCGCGGAATCTCCGCATCTGATGAAACGCCACTTGCACCGCGACGTTTAGCGTTTGAACAGATTATTTCATTCTTTAGCGATATTGCCAGTGGACTAAACTATTTACATAGTAACGGCTTTATACACAGAGATTTGAAACCGTCAAATTGTTTGCTAAACGATACTGGAATACCAGGCCAAGAACTTAGGGTATTGGTATCCGATTTCGGCGAGGTACAGATGGAAAGTGAAAAAAGAAATAGCACAGGGGCAACAGGAACGATTAGTTATTGTGCACCGGAGGTTCTGCGGAGAGGTATAGATTATCCACCCTGGTGCGTTCTTTGTGGTATCTAATAGCAAGATTAGTTTCACCTGCTGGTCAATTCGCAAACTTCACAACGAAGTCCGATGTTTTCTCCCTTGGAATGATTCTTCATTTTATGTGTTTTGGCAATCTCCCCTATGCCTGCGCAGATTTGAGGAACGAGGAGAATGAAAATCTCGATAGTCTTCGTAATGAGATTTTGGCTTTCCAGGGACTCGATGAACGAACTCGGCTGCGCTCTGATTTACCAGAAAGGTTGTATCAAAGTTTAAAGACTCTTATATCTCCTGATCCCAATGTCAGACCATCAGCAGAGGAGATATTACTAGGCTTGGGTGGTGCTATAGGAGAGGATCCTCCAATTGTAACCAAATCCCCAGCTTCCTCTGTCCAAAAGATCTTTTCTTACAGTTCACGGCAGAGACGTGGATCTTCTGGCTCCCAGAAGAAACCGGTGATCAACGTTGATGATGGGTCAACACTTGGTTTCCGCCGTATCTCACCTGTCGCGGATACTCCACCTCCCTCTACCCCTATTGGGTCTCCTAGCGCTGCTGCACATTATGACTACGACACATTCAAACATAAAGCATCATTCTCCTCATCTAGTAATGCACGTACAATTAAACAGCAGCGCGGATCTAAACTGTCTGCAGGACCAGTGTTTCCCCCTTCTGACCCAGCAAGTTCCGATAGTATAATCCTCCGCCCTCGCAGGCCTTTACCAGAGCAGATGGCGCCAAACTGGAAGAGGTCAGTGGTTATGCTTTCAATGAGGCCTGAGTGGGTTACAGCGGCAAAAATGCTGTTGTTTTTGGTAAAGGTCGGTACTTTGAGTGGATCTTGTACCCCGGTTGGTGTAAAACCATGGATTTATTATCCACTCATGGGGCTTGCTGGGTTCGATTTTTCAAGGTATGCTTTTTGCCTCGATCGTAATTTCTAAGTTTATAGATGTGCTGACTGGCCAAATAGGTCTGATCCCACGGTTACGATAGTGTTGACCATTGTGCATTTTGTAGTTTTGGGGCTTGTTCATTCTGTTGGAAGAGTATGCTTGTATTAGTTACTTATTCTTACCTTTATTTTTTTCCTTTATTTTTAGCACTGGGAAGGGTTAGTTTTATCAAGTTTTCAAGGCGTAGCTATTTCTTTTCAAGTCGAGGTCAAGGTGTGGGTAGGGTTCTTTTGCGACTTCCTGGCTCGTTTGGGTGTAATTGTTTTTGTTTTATGCATATTAGGGGATGGTTTGAGCATAAATATCATTGAGCTTTCTTCATCTGACCGCTTAAGAGGTGCTTTCATAATGTCTGAGTTAAAGGGGAGATAGTGAGCACGGATATGTGCGGCGAATAGTGGGGTGTAACTCTTTGAAGATATTGAAAGGAGAGTCTTAAAAAAACCGACATATTTAAACGCTCTGAAATAGCAAAACCAAAGATATGAAATAAAGAAATTTGTATGCAAAACGAACGAAAAATAAAATAAAGAACATAATTGGATAAGAAACCCGTTTCCCCACCGTATTCATGAAATATCACTCGCACCTTCTCATGATCAGAACATAGGAAAAAAATTGAAAAATTGAAAAATTAGAAGATCGTGAGAAAAAAGGGTCCAGTTTATCCAATATCAATTTCCACATCTATAAAGAATTTTAACATTAGCTTAAGAGGTGCAAAAAATGGTCCTTTGGAAACTCACCGAGCATCTGAGCCTCTACTTGTTCAATCTCCTCAGACCTTGCCCTCTTGGCGCCGTTTTCCGGGATGTCTAGGTTATCGGTCCTTAAACGTTTTTTTCTGGCTTCGGCGGCGCTGGGCCATGGGACCGTCCGTATGGCGTATCAATATTTCTGGAACGTGGCCATCTCTTTTAGATATCTCTTCCCTCATGATGAAGGCAACACAAAACCGGATGCTGTCATCTGCGTACTCGAGGGGAGTCTTTCCAGCGTTGTCGGTATCTAGTGGGTTCGCTCCATGCCTGAGAAGCGTTTTGAGTATACTATCTATTGTAACGGTATTGGGGTACCAAAAGTTTTCGACTGTAACATGAAGCGGTGTACGACCATAACTGTCTCGAATAGAGATGTCTACGCCATTATCAAGGAATAGTTGGATAGCATTCTCATGTCTACACCGTATGGCGTCATGAAATGATATTTGTCCATGTTTGTCTTTAATCGAAGGATCCATATATTTCTCAAGGAGTTGGATAATGGTTTCACTGCGTTCACTGCGCTCAACGATTGCACACACCATGGCCTGGTGAAGTGCTGCCAGCCCACATCTATTTTTAACCGAAGGATCCGCACCATTTTCAAGAAGGAGCTGGATAATATGATCACTGCGTCTGTAGGTTATGGTACTGTGAAGTGCTGTTTCTCCGTCACGGCGGTTTTCAATCGAAGGGTCCGCGCCCTTCCCAAGAAGGGGCTTGATAATGCGTTCACTGCTATTCTCCTTTATGGCACAGTGAAGTACCGTGGATGCATCTTCGTTTTGAATCGAAGTATCCGCGCCCTTCTCAAGAAGGAGCTGGATAATATGATCGCTTCTCTCGCACTTGATGGCCATATGAAGTACTGCGGATCCCTTTTTGTTTTGGATCGAAGGATCCGTCTCAAGAAGGAGCTGGATAATGCGTTCACTGCTGTTCTTATTTATGGCCCGGTGAAGTGCTGTGAATCCAAATGTGCCTATAATCGAAGGGTCCACGCCCTTCTCAAAGAGAAACTGGATAATATGATCACTGGTCTCTTCATTTATGGCATCGTGAAGCTTTGTGTTCTCATTGCGGTCTTTGGCCGAGATGTCGGTCCTGTCCGAATTCTCAATTAAATACTTTACCGCTAAATAGTGTCGTAGCTTATATACGATATTAACCGCGGGTGTATTAGTACGACTATGAAACTGTGATCGTAGATATATATGCTTGCTACCTTCATTTAGAAGAAACTTGAGAACAGTAGTTAATGTTAAGACCTGCTCGCGCGACTCTAAATACGCAAGATTCATTCCGATATATCTAAGGAGCGGGAACCACCTCACCAACTCCCAATAATCGGTATCCATTGTACATGTACTAAAGAAATCGAAAGATATATAGGTGGTGCAGGCTATCGCTACTCTGAAGTCTGCATCGGGCGGTTGCTTATTGCGTAGTAGGTACTCCTGGACAGTGTAATGGGCCAATCGGACAGTATTGGTATCCTCGTCTATAATAACTAGACTACCATAGATAGCTAGAATTGTGGCTTTTTCTACCAGCTGATCCGCCTGGTCTAAGTGATATTGGTCTGGTTCCACAGATATTGCTTGCTGAAATTCTTCAAAACTTAGTGTTCTTTGAGCCTTTGTGAGCCAGGAAAGCGACCTGAGTGCTAATTCAACACAATTCTGGGGTTGACTGTAGATGCTATCCATAACTCTATCATATGTAGGATCCAGAGGTCTCACACCACTAGATGAGTTTTTGAGACTTTCTAATTCTTCCATGATTTGCCTAAGAGTTGTTTGTTTGCAAAGGCATTCGATATGGAAACGAACAAGCAAGAACCTGGATGTAACCGAATTAGCCGACGGGAACGGATTATTCACTTGGATACTGATAGGATATCAAGAAGAAGTGATCACCGAGGGTCAAGGGCGATAATTGAATGGAACAAATAATGAGTAGCTCAACACAACCTCAACTACGTGCACATGTAACTGCTATATTTTTCTGAATAGTTTACTTACATCCCTTGGCACATTCCGTGAGGTCTGATATGATTTTGTTCTTAGATCGCGAGTCTTTCTGCCCGATTATGCGTCGTGAGCGTGGGTTCTCGCCTATTTTCTCCTCGATATAGATTTCCATATCTTCATCCCTGGCCCTTAGTTCAATCTGTGCTGTGCCCTGAAAGGAGTCTCGGATATCTTCTGGGTGTCAAAAATATGCTGATCCCTGTGCCAGGTTGTGAAGGTTTGAGAAATAGAGGGAGTAATTCTTTTCGCTGAGTATCTTTGTTGCATTCATCTAACGCATCAAATATAAGAAATACTCGACCGAAAGCCTTTGATATTGCAAGAAGAGCACTCTGTAGATCTTCTAACTTAGGGGTTTCATTTGCCGGCTTTAACCTATCGTATAGGTCCTTTAGTTCTAGAGGTAGTTCCTGTATTTGACTCGCGAGTTGTTTGAGTAGATTTGCTAAAATAGAAATCAGCTTTTGTCGAACTTGGTCTGTGAAGTCGAAGTAGATATAGGCTACCCCATATCTTTTAATTGAAGCGTTTTCTTGAAGATGATCGATAACCATCGAGCTGTATTGATGTTAGTTTGCGATTGAACTATTCATTTTCAGCTAATTCTCAATAGCCTCAGGTTGGATGAGAAGAACCAGCCGGACATCAAGAAATGTCATCTTCCCTGTGCAGAAAATTTCAACATAGGCTGAACATGAGATCATATCTATCCCATAATCCATCTACCTCATTCCCATCTACGTACTGTTGGAATTGACTAAGGGTTGACTAAAAATAAATTTTCAACTTGTGGAACAAATTTACCTCAAAAATGTTTTTCCGGCGCCAGCTGTTGAAAAGATATTCAGCTGATACTCGAGTTATCATTAGTGAATTTTTGATAAACGTACGAATTCCGTAACCCCATAATAGCAGAAAATTCGGATCCCCTTTAATAAAGCTCTGGAAAGCAGGCTCCCTTAAAAGCCATTTTCCGGTGTTGGCTCTCCTTTCCCTACTAATCTCAGGATGTTTATTGTCAAAATCGCCGAGTGTTTTCGATAGCCACTCGAGTATATCATTGCGCCGCTTCGCCCTTTCTCTCTCTTCATCTTGGTTTCGAGCCGCCTGGGATTCTATAGCCTTAGTGTGAATAGATCCTAGAATTGATTCCGACAGAACACTTATGTACGTTTTAGAAAATTTAAATGAGTTGACATTGGAGTTTGATTTCCCTTACATATGTGCTGAAGATTCCGCCTGAAGATTATGAACAATACGATTTGTATCCCGAACAGAGTGGTCAATCGCCCCTATTAAAGATCTTCAGAGATATCAGTAGCCTTGCAACGAAAGTTTTATAGAGGCCAACTCACAGTTGTACTCTATCCAGGACTAGGCCCAACGAAATCTTGTATCTTTCTAGCTGTGATATATGTTTAATAATATCTTTCTCAGTCATCAGCAGGCGTGTCTTCACTGCCATTCGTGATCCAGAACCTTGATCAATCTTCGGCTCAATTTTTAACTGAATTCTCTTGAGTTCCATTAGACATTCAGACAGTAGGCCATTTTGGCCATCGAGCATCTTTAGGATTTCTTGCTGAATGTCCGCCCTATCTCGAACGGAGTCCCGCAAACTGAAAAGAATCTGAGAAAGTGAGTAAAGCTCGTTCACTAGCTGCCTGATCTCTCTTGGTGCATCCTTCAAGCCCGAGATGTATTCATAACCCAGGGAGATAAGCTTTGTTGTAAGCTGAAGAACTGCGATAGAGCTGCCAACAATGCCAAACGCCTCTGCCATGATGCTGATGCTTCTATTGAGACTGATGGAGTAAAGATGACTTAAAGAGTTTTACGGAACTTGTAGTTTGGGTCTCTGTATCTCTTAACCCCGCACAGCCTTGTTATGCCAACACTCCATATGCTTTGTTTGTGTGAATCCCCCCGGGATAGGTCCAAATAATGGTCCCCCATGGTTGGCTACTCTACTACGCCTGACGGCCACTGTCTACAGACTTACTCACCTACCCACCATACATGTAGAGTACAGTACGAAAAAACGGGGTGAAACCAGTGCTGTATGACTACGGGATTTAGTGAATAATACCGAATTAAACCAGCATTACAAGGGGGATACCGTAGTAATGCCGTATTCTTGCTGCATTACTAGCGCATTCATACCCTTTTTTGGTATTGTAGTATGTAGGTACTCTACCATAGGTAGAGATGTACATACATAGTCGCAGTACGTAGATGGTACTACGTACGCAAGTAGAGTATACCTACATACAGTATTTACGAAATGCGACACTGAGAGGATTCAACCGTTGAGGAGTCTCACATTCTCTATGGGTGCAGACGACGAGAATACGCACGGAATATGCCGTGTAGCTCTATAGTTGGTGTCATGTGACTTGAGCGCTTGTTTACATCTCCAAGCTCCGACATAACCCAACTACACAACTAGAACTGCATGTGAAGTAAATGCCTGATGTCTCTCCCCACAATTCTCACTCCGACATATACAGGCCCAGCACCCCGAATGAAGTTCAAAAGCCCCATCTCGCTACCCGCACCACTTCCCGCCGCCCAAACCGCGCCCTTTGAAGATGACAATCGGTGGAAGTTGTTTCTAACGACAAGCACGAAAGTCAGCGTCTGGGATTCGCAGGGGTGCAATGCAGTCTTTACCAGTGGTTCGGAGGGGATTGTCGCTGCGAAGAGGGCAAAGGATGGATCGGTTTTGGCGATTGCAGACTCCCAGGTGGTCATGCTGCATCGGATCGAGGAGGGCCAGGATAAATCTTACCGTTTGAAAGGAACTCAGGTAGAGGAATCGCTTGACCACCTTTGGAGATCTATTAGCTGACAGACTCGAAAGCGGTGTCGACATCTACAGTATGATCACGACTCGCGCAGTCTATTTTTCACTGACTCCCTTCACAACAGCGTTCAAAGCTATTCGTTGAAAGAGAATCGAGTGGCCGATGCTGCAAAACCCCATCCATCGTCGATTACTGCTTTTGCGATATCCTCGGATTCAAATCTTGTAGTTTCCTGCTCTGCCGAACCACCTATTACCCAGATTCACAATCGCCTTATGGCAACCACCGTCTCGATTACACCACGATGCTCAACTGCGCCGGTGGTGCTCTGTAGCTTTCATCCGAGCCGGCGGACGATCTTTGTGCTTGCGTTTCGTGACGGTGTCCTCGCAGCTTATGATTACAGTAAGATATCCGGGGGGAGCAAAGCAAAAAAAGACGGGAAGATTGGTATCGGTCAAGGTGGTACAAAGGAAATACATGCCTTTCAACATCTACATGACCCAAGTATTTACTCGAGTGCCGGATCGGCAGGGATCACAGGAGTCGAGTTCGTTCCGGGGTACAGGAGTAGAGCTGTCACAGTAGGCGAGGATGGGAGGTTGTTCTTGGTGGATTTCGAGATGCGGGATACGCTGGGAAGCTGGCACATTGCTGCTCCTGCAACAAGCTTGACAATAAGGCCCATCACTGTTAAGGGGAAGTCAACCGATGAAGACGACATCGGTGGATGTGTAATTGCTATAGGGACTATCCACGGAAAGTGCTACGTCTATGACGAGGACGGAAACAAGATTGGTGAGCAGACAGTGGATTCGGATGGTGGCAAGGTTCTTGATGTGGAATGGGTGTGTACTCCTTACAGGTAGGCTTTCTATACCGATATATTGACGAAAAAAACAGGTATCTGGAGATATTCATCCCCTACCAAGCGAAGACGGTGATTCTCATAGCCCCACCTCTCCTCGTTCCCACATAAAGCCCCCTCCTTCAGCAGGAGCACAGCAACCAGCTGGAAATCGCCGAAACTCAGCGACAGCCGAAAATTCTAGACCCACCAAAGAAAAAGATAAACCCCTGAAGCCCAAGCTGGATCTAAAAGAAGATTCCAATCAGTGGCCAGGGGTTCAAGAAACCGCCACTCAGGGGTACATGACCCTATTCAGTCCTGTAAAAAAGAGACAAAAGCCAGAAAAGGCTGCGTCTCTTGCCGGAACAAAAACAGCCAATGCCGAAAAGATATCGGATCCAAAACTAAGAACGATTGAAAAAGAGGACCAGAGGAGTGTCATCAGCGCACCGTTACTGTGGAACGAATCGGCAAAGAACCAAAGTCGGCCGGGAAACACCAAAGAAGATCATAGCCCCATAAAAAAACCAGCAACTAAGGCTAATGACAATAAAGTTGCAACCTTATTGGAACAAACACCAGCTCTAGGCAAAACAGCCCCCTCTTTACAGCCATTATTACGAAGTAGTGGTACTGGCAAAGATAATCCGTCACTATTAACATCACATCGTATCACACCTGTTGCCTCCGACGTTATCAAAACAAACGACAAGACAAATGATGGAAAACTACTAAGTCAAATACGCTCAATAAGGGCAAAGGTTGAAGGTGATAAAATCGCCAGGGGAAATTTAGCAATATTTGCGCCCTATATGTCTAGCAAAATCAAGACTTCCGCCATTATAAGATCGGGGGGAGCAGCAGAAAACCGGAAAGCGCCCGTCTTATCTCAGGAGAAACCCGTAGATCCCCGGCTTCGAGCCCTAGACGGAAACAGGGCCGACGACCGAATGGACGGGAGCGTCGACCAAACAGACAGAATACCTAAGACAGCACCTCAAGAAGAAGATGCAACGCTCCCAGGCCCTGTGGAACCTCCGAAAAAAGACGAGGATCTACCCTCTCCAAACCAAGAGGACGACGCACAGTCCGAAGCCTCATTCGATGGCGATATCTGGCTTGTCGGGGACAAGCCGTCAACAAGCCGAAAGAGGAAGAACTCCAATGTGGATGATTTCCAGCCCTCATCCAGCTTCGACAGCAACGGCGATAGGTCTTCATCCAGAGCCGGATCCTCAAAGAGCAGAAAGACAGTCTCTTGGGATGACGGGCTTACCAGCCGCGACAACATAACCCCTGCAAACTTGCTACGTGAATTTGAGAATCCATCCAGCCCCCGATTTGCGTTCAGCGGCGACGCACCGTGGCCACTAGTAGCCAAGCGCGAAGGAAAACATCTAGCCTCTAATGCTACAACACCCGAAACTTCTTTCGCTTCAAGAAAGGTATTGAGCAGCCAAAAGGAAGACCCCACTTCTGGCATTCCAAGTAGCTTGGACGAGAACTCGTTCCACACGCCCCATGGCCCGGTTGCAAGCTTGATGGAGCCCGCGCCCCGAAACGCTCTTGTAGAGATGCAGACAATGTTCAAAGCCGAGATGAGGGGCCTACAGGCTGAGATGGCGAGAGGTTTCCAGGCGCAGATGCGGGTGCTAGAGGACCTGAGGAGCGAGGTCCGGACGGTTAGGGAGGAGAACGTGAAGCTACGAGACCAAATATCGGAGCTGAGTGCCAAGGACAGGGAGAAGCGTCCTTGAAGATTTGGGTTGCATTGAGTGTTTCTTTTTCCTCTTTTCTTTACCGGTGGGGCGGGACGGGCGGCGTTTTTTTTTTTTTTTTTTATGTATTTATTATACCTAGACTATGGAGGGTTAATCACGGAGTTTCGGGAGGTGCTATGTTTGTGCGCGCTTGTTGAAATATTGAGAATGCAGGTCGGGCGGGCTTGATTGTACATTCCAACTGACCCCGATTTATACAAAAGTAATGATTCAAACCACTACAGTTCTGAAGTATCGTTTATGTGTATTGTACCTACATACATACCTGTAGAGCCCATTGAGGCTAAGGTGAAGCCAAACTGGGCCCAACGTAACTGTACCACGCCGCAAAAGTCCCCTAAACAAATCCTTAGCGCCCCAAACCATCTCGCCGACCATCTTCCAAGTCCGTGGGTGACAACCCATGACCGCACCGCACCGCGCCTGCCAAGCCGCATCCGATAAGATAAGATGGAGGGGTCATGGTCACCCACCAAAAACCAAAAACCCAGATCTTTCCATACGGGAAAATCCAAAAATCCAAAAAAAAAGACCAAATTAAAATATATATAATTTCACGCCCCCCCCGCCCATTCACCCCACAACCCATCAAACCAACCCACCCCAACCCACTAGATACAGACCAACAACAGCAATGTCCGTCGCCCCAGCCGCCAAAACATTCAAGGCCGAAGAAGCCGAGAACCTTGAAGACGTTCGTCTCCCCCTCCCCCCCTTCCTCTCCTGCTGCTCCCAGTCAGTACCACCCGCTAACACCTCCCGCCGCTACAGATCGAAAAGCAGTTCGCCGTTAAAGGTACCCCCCCCCCCCCAAACTCCCCCGCTCCCGCAGCGCAACCAAGCTAACACCCCGCACAGCGGTGATGCACGCACAGACGTACTGGAGCATCCTCGAGACGCGTAAAGGGACGGACCTGCGGCTGACGCGCTTCGACGACGAGATCTATACGCACCTGCTGGAGGTGTTTCCGGACTTTGATGCGAGCAAGGCGCTCGACGAGGACGAGATGAAGAGTAAGGAGGGCAAGGAGAAGTGGAGGGAGTTCATGATGAAGTATGAGAAGACGGTTCGTGTCTCTGTGTTTTTGCGGTGGGGGAGACGGGGGAGGAGGGGAGAGTGGGAAGGAATTGGGGGGGGGGGGGGGATGGGGCTGATTGAAGTATGTGGGTGGTAGGTCGATGATTATAACTTTGGTACGCTCTTGAGGACCGATGCGAAGGCAGAGTATGAGAAAGATACCACTATCTTTGGTGAGTTTTGAGTTCTGGCCCGCCCCGGCCCCGGCCCGAGGGCACAGAAAGCGCAGCAGGCGCGGTAGTGCTAATCTACGATATGCACCACCCACAGTCCCCAGAATGCAGGTGTGTAACCCCCCTCTACCATTATCCCCCCCGAAAAATATATACTAACACACCTCCGCAGTTCTACGCCATCGAAATCGCCAGGTTCGCCCCCCCAGTATAAACACGCAGTATAGCACCACTAACAAGCGTAGAAACCGCCACGGCCTCAACAACTGGATCAAGGAGAAGATGGACGCCGAGAAGGCCGAGAAGGCTGCTGCCGCAAAGTAGGTATGATTTTTGCGTCTAGGTGGTTGGATGGGTGGGTAGCGTTGGCGGGGTTTTTTGTACAGAAAAAATTGGAGTCTTTTTTTTTTTTTTTCTCTTGCAAGGGAATGTGCGCGTGCGGGTGAGAATTTATGGACGGAATTGCTGGGGTTTCCGATGTGATGTGGGTGCCGAGTGATGATTGATGATACACGTAGAGTGCTGGCCTGGGTACATGTAGTAAATGGACTCATGTAGTAAATGGACTCATCTAGTAGCAGTGTTGGCGGGAAAGAAATACACACGAGTGATTTCACATGACGCCTAAATCACGACCCTCACTCGAGCGAGTCCACCCACCCCCAGATTACACGCCCCCCACTCCCAATTGTCCTCCTCTCCCCTCTCCCTCTCCCTCCTCCCCTCCCCTCCCCTAAACACAATATATATCTACACCTAAGAATTACTAACCATCATCAGACCACCTCCCCTTTCCCCACATTAACATTCCCCACCTCTCACTGTCGTACCGTCGCACACACATCGCATCTAGCCCCTCCTCTCTCAAATCTTCCTACCGAGCATCCAAATAAGGTTTCCCTCTCTAGTGCCCCACCCCTGTCCTGTCGCTCGCTAGCAGTGCGAGATCGGCGGTCCCCCGGGCCGATACACAAAACGGGCAGGGATCCACTGCTAAGCTTCAACGGCGAGTGGGGACCCTGCAGCAGCGCCCAACGCTACGACAACTTCCACTTCCTGTCGCTTCTATAGCAGAGTCTCGGTATAGATGTGGGACTGACGGACTGCACCTGCCTTTCTCTGGTCTCGGAGCGGCAGAGTACATATAGTTCATCTCAACTCTTATCTGTGTGTGGTGGATGCGGTGGTACCTTTGTGCTCTGGTATGTAGCTGTCACGCGCGCTAGCGGTTTGGTGGCTTGCGAGATATTTCCCGGTGCTCCGGTGCTGTCCTACCAGCGTTCGGTGCATTCTTTCACACATAATAGCTCGGATGGAACAATGACAGCAAAGTGCCCATAGTACCTACGTTCTTTATTAAAGGTGTACATAAGGAATTGAGATACCCACTTTTTGATTTTCTGGATACACACAAGAAATATACTCATACTTAATATCTAATTAATTTTATAATTTTACCATGTCGATGGATCTCGAGTCACAGAGATCTAGCATCTCGAGTTATCACGATGAACTCAGCAAGAAGGAGGCCGGAATACCCACCAACGTTGAGGAGCTCAAAGACGAGCCGGCAGCGACCAAAACTCTTCTTGACGGTGCAGCCCATAGGACTGGCAAAAAGTCGTTTCTGGCTTGGGCTACTATAAACACATTAGCAACCATAGGCATAGTTAATACCCCCAATACCCATTCCCAAACTGAACCTAGCTAACACCCGCAGGTCTTTACGAACAAGCGCATCTTCCAGCACCCCTCCTTCGCCGCCTCCCAAACCTCATTTGCCTCCTTCCACTTTTTCTTCACCACCCTGACGCTCCTCCTCCTCTCCCGCCCGCCCCTCTCCCTCTTCACCCCCTCGCGCACCCCTCTCACCACAATACTCCCCCTCTCACTCGCAATGTGCCTCAACGTCATCCTGCCCAACCTCTCCCTTGCCCACTCCTCAATCCCCTTCTACCAGACCGTCCGCATTCTCCTCACCCCCCTCGTCGCCCTCCTCAACCTCGCCCTCTACCACACCACCATCCCCATCCCAGCTGCTCTCACCCTCATTCCCGTGTGCGCCGGAGTCGCCCTCACATCATACTCCGACACCCACACCACCCATCCCACGCGCACGTCCCCCGCCGGCGCGATCTACGCCTTTACCGGCGTGCTGGCGTCAGCACTATACACAGTCTGGATCGGGTCCTATCACCGCCGGCTGGGACTCTCCTCCATGCAGCTGCTTCTAAACCAGGCACCCGTTGCGGGCGTGTTGCTGGCCGCATGCGCGCCGTTTGTGGACGATGTGCCGGCGGTAAGAGAGGTGGAGGTGAGCATGTGGTGGCTTGTGCTGCTGAGTGGGGGGTTGGCGAGTGTGGTGAATTTGTCACAGTTTTATGTGGTGAAGGAGGCGGGTGCGGTGGGGAGTACGGTGGTGGGGCATGTGAAGACTTGTATGATTGTGATGATGGGGTGGTGGATTGCGGGAGGTGTAGAGGCGGGGAGTGTGCTGGGGGTGGGGATGGCGATGGGCGGGGTGGCGGCGTATTCGTGGGTTGTGGGGAGGAGGAGGTAGGAACTCAGTGGGAGTTGTAGAATAGGGTTTGTGGTTGATAGTTGGTTATGTAAATATAGGATATGTAGGAACTGTAATTTCTATGAACACCTTATTAGTAGAAACACTGATATTGTTAATCACACGAAGGTCTTATTAGGTAAATATACTCATATTACTACGAGCACTTTACTAGCTCAGGTACTCAAATGATCTAGTAGCCAAACCTATCTCACACGACTAGAGTTATATTAGTAGAGGTAAAGTAGTCAATTTATATTACCCCTGTCTCCATAAGTACAGTCGAAACTAGTATCCTCGAACATTTTCAAGCTGCCGGTGGTCGAGGCCTTGTTATCAGGGGTCTGGAGGCTCTATCACTCAAGTTATCCGAATGCAGGAACCTGAGAGTGATGATGAGTGGATAAGTGGATAAGTGGGTGCGGCAGCTTAACTTTATAGGCTCTTTGAAACTAACACATATACTTGATCAAGATCAACCACGCAACATTTTTAACGTGTTAAACACCTATTAATTTGCATCACGTTGTTGAACATCTTATTAGCTAAAGTATTCATACCACGAATGACCTGTTAGTAAAACCACTCGAGTCAAACTTATCCACATTGGAGCCATACCTAATATATTGCGTTTTCCGGTTCGATAAAACTAGTAAACCGGCTGTAACTAGTATATAGGCTTTGGGAGGGTTCGGGCATCGATTAAGCACTTTATTGATAAAAGTCCCTATACTCACGCATTCATACGCGCCATTACGAACGTAACTGCACCTTTTTAGAAAAAGTGTGCACCCGGGTAACTTCTTTGATAATCAAACGTATCAACAACGGAGCCATAAATGTTTTTGCTAATTTTCATATATCCCAAGCTGTAGTAGATATATTAACTAGTAGTGAAGACTCATAATGTCTTAAAGGGGTTATTTCTCCGTGGGATCCGAACGCCTTGTTGTGTTACCAAAATTACTCATATCAATCTTTAGTTAGCCGGTATGTACTCCGTGCTCTCACAAGCGCACTGGATCCAGGTGGTTCTGTAGGGTTAGGGGTGGTTGGCTCGGCTTCGAACACCTTATTAGCCAAACTACTCATACTGACACCAACTCCAACAAATCAACATGTCAAGAGGGGGGAAAGACTTACAGATACACACCCGTATCCTGCTCTGTCTTACGACACTGAAAAGCTTGCCCCTGCGGCAGGAACGGCCGAGTGATTATCCATGACTGAACCCGGGACTTTCCCAGACCCGCGAGTACTTCCCAACGCGTCCGCGTATACTAGATTTTCAAGACCTATATTCCTAAACCTCACTTCTCTGTGAGTTGGAGCTATACTGTGATGAAATAGGCACGCTACGTACCTGCTGCTACTACCTGGAAGGACGTCCCGGACAGCCAACACCCGCCGGTTACCCAGCTGGACTACCACCAGAGCACGTTATCGAAATGTATTCGAAGAGGTAAAGTAAAGCGTTGATGAGTTTCAGATAAAAGCTTTCTGGACGAGGTTGTGGTGGTGCTGGGTATGGAGTTCGTTCGTGGCACGATGCTGGCCAGTTTGAAATGCTCCAGTTCTGATATTTACTAAGGTAGCGTTTCTCAGTATGTATCGTAGCTTAGGTGTCAGGATTTCCACGTTTTATCACCCGGTACGCCCCGTGGCTACATATACGCCTAATACTACATAGCCCATCCAAAGACACCCAAAGCACAGAAAATATTCATGGCGGCATGGCGCAGCGGAAGCGCGCCGGGCTCATAACCCGGAGGACGCACGATCGAAACGTGTTGCTACCAACAAATTTTCTTTTTTTTCTTCTTTTTTAACTGTCTGGGGGAGGGACGAGTGATGGCTTTTTGGGTTGAAGATTTTTGGAAACCTGTTATCTTACATCGTACATAAGTTGGCCGGCACATACCAACATCTCCCAAAATTTCTCCTCCACATCTTATTTAACCCCCATCACCACCACCAAATCCCCATGCAATACTTGTCCAGATCGCAAGTAAGTTGTCATAACCTTCGGGCTGCATGACATGATGAAATAATCAATTAATCAATCAACCAATCACCCAGATCGCTGCCAGTGAATCGACCGAGTGATACCCCGTGACTCAATCACTCAATCCAATCCAACCTAATCCACTCTCGTATCGTAATCACTCGTCAATCAAACCTGCATGTGAGGAAAATTGATCACATAGAAACTCACTAATTATTTTTAATGGTGAACATAGCCTTATGCAATAGTACGTTATGGTCTACTTGATGCGTGATGCTCGTCTGCCCAAGGAAGCGGAGAGGGACAGGGGAGGATTGCCAGTCCAGTCCGAACATTATCAGAGCTTAGAGAAGCAACCGAGTACCGGAAAATTCATTATCAACCTTCAAACCTTAAAGCATTCCACCCAACCCCACCGCCCGCCTCGTGGCCACATGTAATAGTACATACTTGTCCTTAGTATGTATACGCAGTGTCATACAACGCTAGCCCTATTGTACGTGCCATGACCACCCAAAAGTTTCAAATGTACGGAGAACATCCATAGCGGTATGGCGCAGCGGAAGCGCGCCGGGCTCATAACCCGGATGTCCCTCGATCGAAACGTGGTGCTGCTAGAACAAAATTTTTTTATTTTTATTACCTAGTCTGAGTTACGTGAATGAATCTTCTGAAACCGTTTTTTTTACGCACAAAACCAGTGTATGTGTTAATCTAGAGCTAGAAACTTAAAAGTATTTCGTTTGACTCCCGTATGTTGCAGGAGTAGACCCCATGTATCACTAGACGCTTCTAAATACGCCGAGTGATACCTTATGACCCACACACCCAACCAGCCACCGTGACTACAGTTTAATATCCAGGACCAGACCAATTACCGATGTGTCTGTGCCACACATAGACGTATTGAGAGATGCTGAAAAGATGAACAGCTATGATCAAGCCGGAATGTAGATGAAGCTCAGCTTACGAGTCAAGTGCATGACGAAGCCTAAATGTCCAACGGCAAACCGCCCGATGACCACACATACATGTATATTAGTAGCCCTAGCACCATACAACACTAGCACCATCCACCCGCGACCCAGAACTGCTCAAAGCACGAAGAGTATTCATAGCAGCATGGCGCAGCGGAAGCGCGCCGGGCTCATAACCCGGAGGTCGCACGATCGAAACGTGCTGCTGCTAGCACAAATAAATTCTTTTTTTTTTTTTTACCTGGTCTGAGTGATGATTTTTTAGATAGAAAACCTACATATACATGAATCTATTATCTCTTCTATCAGCGTCTTCCTTACTTTTCTCTCCACTACAGCCGCCAAAAACGCCCCGGGTTTCTGCTGGATAGACCGAGTGATATCTCATGACTCCCCTTCAACCCAATCCACCCCGTGTTCACCCGTCAACCACAGGCATATACGCAAAGAGGACCAATCTAGTCAACCTGGTCTGTTTTTTTCCCCGTGGTAAACGTACGGCACTCTAGCTACTGCAGTGTTATGAAGCGGTACGTTACTGTCCGACAGAAGTTAGTATACTACCTGCAATCTACAGTCTACAGTAGCAGTCTGCAGTCTACATATACACAACCACATGTTGTCCTTCTGGTACTTTGAAGATCTAAACTTGATTGAAGCTTTACACGGATTCTAACAGTCTACTGTGATCGCAGTAGGCACATATACAGACAGACGACAAAGCCATCGTATTTGTAGACTTTCTATTAACGGGACGTATATAGTAGCGCGACATACGCACAGAAAACCAGGCCCGGCTCTCCTCCAGGACGGAAGCACAAGGAGCAGGAATCCGGGGGTCCAGCTAGAAGCTCCGGAAGCACGAAAAGCGCTGCACCATCATCCCACAAACCCAACCGTCCTTCAAAACGCCGTCCTTCTAGCCCAAGGAAGGAAACACCGAACGAACCTACGACCCCGCCACGCCCACCCCCGTCCCCACCCCCGCACCCGCCGTCGCCGCCCCACCCCCAAATTCGACAACCCTCTTCAACAGCGCCATCCTACCACCGCCGCCGTCAGCACCTAGTACCACCACCCACAACCCCCACCAGCACCTACACCTCCCCCACACACCTCCCCCTCCACCACCACCGACCCAACAGAAAACAAGCTCACTCACCTCTCCTTATACAGCGCCTCCAACTCCTCCATACTCCCCCCCTTCTTCCCCGCCAGCGCCAGCGGCGGCGCCTCCGTCCCCTCCACCGTCAGCATCAACCCTCCCCCCGTCTCGCCCGCCCACTGCGGCGCCGCCGCAACCTTCACGCCCAGCACCTGCCAGTCGCGGCTAAGGCTCTGCGCGGTGACGGCGGAGTCTGTGACGTCGACGACGATGACGCGGTCGCGGTCGCGGTCGTTGTTGTGGTTGTGGTCGCTGGGCGGTGGGGGGTCGAGGGGGTCGATGTCGTCGTCGGAGAAGATGTAGTGCACGATGGGGTGCTTGTGGGATGTTGTGTGCGGGTTGCTGATGAGCGTGAAGAAGGGGGAGAAAGGTGGTGGAGGCGGCGGGGGCGGGGGGTAGTGTGTTTGGGGGTGGGCGTGGGCGTGGAGTGGGGGGAGGGGGGGGCGTAGGGGGGGTTTTGGTGCGGGGATGCCATTGTTGTTGTGGTTGTGGTGAGGAGGGGAGGGAGGATGGAGATAGAGGTAGAGAGAGGTAGGTTGAGGTAAGGTAGCGCGTCACGTGAGATAAGAGCACACGAGTGACAGGGGTAGCTTAGCTCTGCTTCCATTATTATCGCGACGTGCGAGTGAGAGCGTGTGTATCATGTATGGCCCCCGAGTCTAAACTTACAGACAAGCAGGTATCAATTTCAAAAGCACAACGCCAGAACAGAAAACCATATTCTCCCCCAATTCCATTCCCCAGTCCCTCCATAGCCAGCTAACCCAACCCAACCTAACCTCCAGCAACCTCAAACTTCTGCCGACACATGGGACACAAGCCCCTCGAGCTCTCGGTCGAGATCCAGTCGTTGACGCAATGCTATCATATCGTCCACCGACCCATTAGCGTTTCCAATTCCCTTCCTTTCCCATCTCCCCGCGGTTTCGCCAGCTAGGGTACTCCAGATCCAGGTGCAGGTGTAGTAGGTAGATACATGTACATACCAGATGAAACGAATGCCCACACTTGCCCACCACTGCACCACACTCATCAGCACCCCTCCCACAAAACATCTCTACCCAGCCACAAGGAAGAATACTCACACAACGGACAATCATCCCCCGGAAACCTACAGTTCGGACACGTGCCGTCAAACTGGACGCGACAGATGCCGCACACGTCGTCCTCGGGCACGTCCCAGCGCCAGGACGCGACGGCGTTCCACGTCTTGATCCTGACCTTCATTCTTTTTTGGGGGGGAGACGCGTTGAGAGATTTTTTTTATTTTTATTTTTGGTTGGTGAGGAGGCTGTGGGTTTGGGGTTTGGGGTTTGGGATTGGTGGAGGCGAGGGGTTGCAACTTGCAACCTTGCGGGGGTGGAGGGAGGGATTTGGTGGGGGCTTGGCGGTGGCTTGACAGGGGAGGGGAGGGGAGCTGGTGGGGCGGAGGTGCAGACGGGAGGGAGGGAGGGAGGGAGGTGGAAGCACGACACCAGAGACACAACTAAATACATACATCTTGACATCACATCGCAGCTACAGACAGACATCACCGCCAGACGTCATCGATCGAGGATTTGCAATTAATTGCAACTGAGGTCCGACATCATCTAGAGTAGAGTGCATACATAACTAGTTACAGGTGTGTTCTCAATCCTGGACAACATCCTCAGTCAACCTTAACCAACACCGCCCACTAACCCCCCAACTCAATCCCCCCCCCATAGCACCAATGCCCCTCACCACCCGCCTCACCACCCGTCTCCTCTCCACCACAATGTCCCGCCCCTTCAGCACCTACACCATCCCCCCGCGCGCCCTCGCCAGCGCCCTCACCGCCAACCCCCCACTCACCTCCCGCACCCCACGCACCATCCCCCTCTGCGCATCCTGGTTCCTCCCCACCTCACCCCACACCGGGTCCGCCGTGTTCGCCTCCGCCCGCATCCCCAGCGCGCGCTTCTTCGACCTCGACGCCATCAAGCACCCCTCCTCGCCCTACCCGCACATGCTGCCCACGCCCACCGTGTTCAGCGCAGCAATGGGCAAGCTAGGCATCACGAAGGAGGACACCCTCGTCGTCTACGACTCGGCCGAGATGGGCATCTTTAGTGCGCCGCGCGCGGCGTGGACGCTGAAGGTGTTTGGGCACGAGAAGGTGCATGTGCTGGATAGCTTCAAGGCGTGGGTGCAGGCGGGGCTGCCGGTCGAGGGCGGGGAGGTGAAGCCTGTGGAGGAGACCGTGTATGGGGATGTGGTGATGGAGGAGGGGTTGGTGGCGGGGTTTGAGGATGTGAAGGACTGGGCGCTGCATGGGGACCGCGGGAGGGTGCAGGTGGTGGATGCGAGGCCTAATGGGAGGTTTAGGGGTGTGGATCCGGAGCCGAGGCCAGGTAGGGCGGCATAGTCTACTATCGTCCCTTATTCACTCTGGCTAGCTATGTATGGGGGCTGATGCAGAACAGGGCTCCCGTCCGGCCATGTCCCCGGCTCCATCTCAATGCCATTCAGCAAGCTCGTCGACCCCGCGACGGGGAAGCTCCTACCCGCAGCGGAGCTCCGCGACGTGCTGGTCAAGGCCGGCGTGAGCGAGGATCAGGGCGTGGAGAAGGTGCTGATGTGTGGGACGGGGGTGACGGCCGTGGTGGTGGACATGGCGCTGGAGATGGCGGGCATCGGCGGGAAGAGGAGGGTGTATGATGGCAGTTGGACGTGAGTATCTTTCTCCTTTTCTTTTTGGTGTTTTGGTGTTTTGGTGGTGGGGGCTTGGAGGGAGGGCTGGAGGGAGGGCTGGAGGGAGTGCCTTGACGGGTAGGGTTGGGGGTGGTGGCTTCGGGGGTTCTTTGCTGTGGCTTCTTACTGCTCATGCTCATGCTTATGCTCGTACTCATGCTCGTGCACATGCTCATGGGTAAAAAGTAAGAGTAAGAGTAATAGCATAGCAGAGAATCCTCAAAGCCATCATGACCCGGTCCCACCCGGGGAAGGCACAGGTTCCGAAGTGCTCCGGGGATGAGATGAGTACTCCGCTAGGCAGCGCAGTGCAAATTGGCACGAGGGTTTTCCTCTATTCAAGCATTGTACTCATTACCTGACTCCCATCTACTCTTACTCTTACTCCCGGAGCCTTCCTCCCTTCCTCACATTCCTCCGGGCAGGCAGGCAGGCAGGCAGCGGTTGAGACGGTCAGCCTGCTTTGCTTGCTGCCTGTGGTTCTATACTGTCCTACCCTATCCTACCCTATCCTACCCTATCCCGTCCTACCCTACCCTATGGTTTTATACTCATACTCATATTCATACCCCACCCCCACTCCCGGCGCCCAATGCCCTCCCCGTACCTGTCTGTACCTGTACCGTATCCTACCCTCCCCGATCCCAGTCCCAGATCTATAGTAGCTGCAGATGAGTACCATCTCTCTCTCTCTCTATTTAAAAGTATCTGTGTACAATGCTGTGTGTTGGCTGAGTCACAGCCCATCACGCGGTCCACATGTGTACGTGCCGAGGCTGACATTCGCGACTCGACCTGCAGGGAGTGGGCCCAGCGCGTCACTGAGGATTCAGGGCTGATTGTAAAGTCCGACAAGTAGTGAATGGGAGGCTGCGTCATTGAGTGAGTGAGTTGGGGGGGGGGGGGTGTGCTGTACGTAGATACCTGTATGGCTAGCTAGCTGAGAGATGGGATGTTCGCGGGGGGGGGGGGGGTGAACTACACTTGGGATGGAAAACGTTGTGTTCGGCAGGCGCAGTTTGAATTAAGCTACGTGATTGATAGGGACGCGACATATATTTGCATTACATGGCCATTACTGTTTACATACTCTCGATAAAAGCATCGCGATGAGACACCTTGTAGATTACATACTCTACATCGGTTTCTATCCATAGGCCGCAGAGCACACGAAAAAGTGGGGTGTGTGGGTGAAGGAGCTATTGGATATTAATAGATAGCCTAGCTAGCCTGCACCGGCGATGACGATGAGGCACTGTTTCTTCTAACTCCCGGGTCTGTCTTGTCTTGTCTGCAGTAAGAACTTTAGTAAATACATACTACCGTTGTTCTGTACTCTACCTAGCTAGGTACATGTATCTTAGACAAGGCGTCCAAACAACGCGGCAGCTAGAGTAGAGAGAGGAGGGAGTGGGGAGAGTTAGAGTTGTGTAGTTGTTAGGCGAGCGAGGAGGATTTGCATCGCCGCCTGCGCTGCGTGGAACGAACCGTGGGAGGTTCCACGCAGCCAAGCATGGGTGGAAGAAGTGCATTGAGGATGGATGGATGGGTGGAACTGTGGAAGGGGAGGTGCGGGTTTGGTCTAACTACATGAGCTAAGCCCCAGAATTACCTCACCAAGGAGAGAGAAGGGCTGTTTGTTACACGAACCAACCCAATCCATCCCTCGCATCCACACTAAACACAACACCACCCAACAACAACACCTCACCCACCCACTCACTCACCCACTCACTCGCTCACTCACTCACCTCGCACACCTCCATGATCCACACCGAACCGAACACACCGAGCTACCTCCTCTTTCCTCCTCCTCCTCCTCCTCCTCCTCACTCCCTCCTAGCCAACCGCCATTGCGCTCACTCATCATTAACTAACTCACTCACCCATTCACACCCCCTACCCTCCATCCCCTCCATTCCCCCCCTCCCCCACCTGTGACTCTTAAGCACAACCCCCGAAGAGCTCATAGAGTTGTCCGAATACTTAACCACCCGCACCCCACCCACACAGTACCAGCACTATCACCATCACCACCACCACCACCACCACCAGCAGCAGTAGCAGCAACAATCACATAGCAATTCCGGGTTCGACATACGATGCTCCAGAATGGACACGCAAGGAAACATAGCACTCTCTCGCCCGACACAACCCCAGTCCCCCTCCTCACCACCACCACTGGTTTGTCCCCCCACTCCCCTCTCCCCTTCTCTCTACATAATACTACGGTATATACATACTCCTGAAAGCTCCCCCCACCCACACACCCATCTGTGTCACACAACCAGGGCTAGCTTGGGGGCATAACGGTTTCTGTGTAACCACCGCTGACCTCACCCAAGTATGAACGTCTCGCCGTAGCCCGCCTCCAATACACCGTCAACGAGCTCCAGACCAAGGTCGACTTCGACCGCCGGCTCGCGCCGCCCGTGCGCAAAGTGTACCACTGCGTGACGGACGACTCTGCGCTCGTGCAGAGCATCGGCGACTTTAAGCGCTGGGTCGGCGAGGGCATCATCAGCATGCTTGTGCCGCTATGCAGTACGTCCTCCCCGCACTCCCGCCCCCCTGGTAGTAGTTATAGTGGGATTAATGGAACAAACAACAAACAGCACTCGACGCACTCGACGACCTGAAGAAGGGCACCGACATGGTCAATGTCAACTCGCGCGAGTCCGTCCGCTACTTTGACCGCTGCCAGTCTGGCGCGGGGCGCAAGCCCGTCCGCAGCGTGCGCGTGCAGGCACCAACAGAGGTATTCGCCAAATGGGAGGAATGCGCACAGTTTATCGACCCTGACGCCGTTGTGCCGGCCATGCCACCCCCGAGCCCCCCACGAAACAACGGGTACTACAACAACCAGGGGAACGGCTACTACGCCAACAGCAACGGGAATGGTAACGGTAACGGTAACGGGAATGGGGGGAACAAGAACCGCAGGGGATCCCGCGCCGCCGCGCCCGAGCCGAATGTTGAGGCGGCCCCGGTCGTCCCGACGCCGCCAAAGTGGGTGCAGCCGATCCTGAACTGCGCGCTGTACAAGCTGCACCAGCCGGGGAAGGAGCAGCGGGCCAGGGCGGCGGAGACGGAGGAGACGGTGCTGGTGACTAACAATGAGATTGTGACTGCGTGGGCGAAGGTGTTTAGCATCAAGGTTGTTGACAGCGACGAGCTCGCGGAGCTGCTTGAGCGAGAGGGATGGGAGTTTGCCGAGAAGACCCGCGTCTACAATGCGAACCTCAAGACCGGCAACAACAGCAATGGGCGAAACAGCGGTGGTGGTGGTGGACGTGGAGGCAGGAACGGTGGGGGACGTGGAGGGCACAGGCGTGATAGCACCGGGGGCGATAACGTCCCGAGTTACTCCCCCGGCGGCGGCGGTGGAGGTAGTGGTAGAGGCGGCGGCGACGGGTTCGTTCTCCGCGGTGCCCCGCGGGGCGTAGCGAGAGGGCGGGGAAAGTTGTGGGAGCCGTAGTGTTTCCGGTCGTGGTCGTTTCAGAGAAACGGATAACACACACACCACTGACACATTCACCACTCATATCACATCTGGATCGAACACACACCGAACCCGGCTGCCTTTTGGTATTTTTTTTTAAAAAAAGAAGCTGGATTTAGACACGACAGACTACTAGTACTACACGCTGTTACAACTCCCTCCCTCCCGTCTCCCCTAGTCACCTCTCACCCTTACCCCCCCTTTCAGTATGATGCGCGCCTCTGGGAGGTTTATAGTTTCCGCAGCAACAGCAGCAGTGTTGGTTGTGGACGAGAATTAGCGAGCCATCCGCAGAAGGGACTCGGGGCTCTCCCCGTGTCACGGTCTGTCTCTCACTCTATGCTACGCTACTTAGTACTCCACCGCCCGCCCGCCCGCCAGCCCGCACATCGCTGCAGATATATATGTTAAACATGTCACCGGGGGGGGGGGCGCCGAGGATATATGGCCCCCCCCCCCGCCACTCGATCTAGAATGCTTCTTTTTGTTGGTTTTTTTCTTTCTCTTTTTGGATCTGTCCCCCTTTCTTTTTTTTCTTTTACTTCCGTTCTCTCTTTTTTTTTCGATCTGCGCTTTCGATATGTCGGGATTTACGTGCTCACCAAAAAGTTACCAAAAAGTCATCCAAAAAAAAAAGTACCTTTCTTTCATTTCCTTTCTGTTTTCCTTTCTTGCCGAGTTTTTCGTGTCTTGTCTGAGTAAGTTAGTTTTTGCTGTCAGCTGTCAAAGTATGGCCATATGGATGGATACAACATCAACGCACCCCCCCCCCTCGTCCGGGTGGGTGGGTGCCTACATGTTCTTCAATTGTTGTAGTTTTTTTTTCTTTCTTTATTTACTAGCTGGCTAGCTGCTGTTGGTATGAGTATCAGTATCAGTATGAGTATCGGTACGGGTATGAGTAGTCTACATGTAGTTAGTTGAGTCAGCAGATATACGTATGCAATAAAACGTTGATATATAAATACGAGTTTTAATTTGTTGCTTTTTTTTGAGCGTGGGTTGTGGGTTGTGTGTGGGTGGTGTGGGTTGGTTGGGGTGCGTCGGGGCGCGGCGCGGTGGGTTGTGGTTATGTCTGTGAGAGGGACAATCGGGTTAGGTTGGGTTTGTGGTGGATCATGAGCTATCACTCGACTCTTGGCACCGGTCTACGGGATTTCCATACCTACATGTACATGTACATGTAGCTAACGTCCCAGCATAGCCAGGCTACAAACCGGAGCGGGTAACGAGATAGGTAGCCATGTACCCTACCTCGCGAGTAGCTTAGGGCACGGCTTAAATGAGGAATATCATCCGATGCGGGGGGCGAGCCTGTGGGTGAGGCAGCCATTATCACCACCGACATGTAGCTAACGGACCAGCATGAATTGGAGCGGGTAACGAAATAGGTAGCCACGTACCCTAACTCACCAGTAGCTTAGGGCACGGATTAAATGGGGAATATCATCCGATGAGGGGCGAGCCTGCTGGACCCGTCGCCGAACACAACCCCTCCACCCCCAAACCCCAACCCCGGGAGTGCCAAACCTGAGATTAGCGAGAAACGAGGTAGAGCTAGAGGTAGAAGGAAAGAAGGATACACAAGTCTCCTAACTACGACATCTTCAGGCTGAGTGGTTTCGGGAGACAAAAAGTGGTAAAATTACCTACAGGGTATAGGCAACATTTAAGCTTCACCGTACAGACCGAGAGCTTCTAGCTACATTCACACTCACCTGTATTCGTGAGTTACATGCAGTAGCGGCTTAAGCTCCCACCCCACTCCACAAGGGTGCATGGTAGTTGTGCACCTAGCTGGCCCCCGTGTAGGCGACTTTGGGCACGGTACCCAGCACCGACATGTAGCTAACGCTCCGGCATAGCCAGGCTAGAAATTGGAGCGGGTAACGAAATAAGTAGCCACCCACGTACCCTAACTCACAGCTGGCTTAGGGCACAACTTAAACAAGGAATATCATCCGATGAGGGGGGGCGAGCCTGTGGGTGAGTCGTTGTTACCCGTCGCCGAACACAACACCTCCCCCCCCCCGGGTCCGTCTTCCCGGGGGGGGCCAAACCTGAGATTAGCGAGCAACGAGGTAGAGCTACAGCTAGAAGGAAGGAAGGATACACGCGTCTAACTACGATACCTTCACGCTGAGCGATTTCGGGAGACAAAAGGTGGTAACATTACCTGGAATTCCGCTGGGTGTGCGGAGGTGCGCTGAGAGTCATGGAATATCACTCGGTCTTGTGCGCGTTCTCCCTGCCTGCAACGGACAGAAATCTTTAAGATAACTGACAGGGGTACATGTTACTAAGAGTTTACAACTCGTTGGTAGAATTGACGCCATCAAGGATATAGAAGAAAAAATACTGCTTGAGCACTGGTCACTGCGCAAGTGAAAGCATTTATTCGCATATGAACACCTAGACTTCTGTGTTTATGGGCTGTCATCAAGCTTGTTTACCTGTCATGACCAGTAAAGACAAGTACGACATGACAGCATACGTATCTTTGACTGACTACAACACCAACATTTTCTCAAAGCCATGTTGTCCATGCTGGCTGATACCAGTAGTGGTATTCCGCTCTGCGAGTGATACCCGGCTTACCAGACTATTGCCATGATAATATCCGCACTTCAAGAATAGCAAAGGAATTGATCTTTTGCAAAAAAATAAAAAAAAAGAAAAGAAAAATTGTGATTTTAGTCCAGATAAATATACATGTATTTATACCACTCTGGACTATGGAGCAATTAATGAATTAAACAAAAAAAAAAAAACTCTGGACTATGGAGCGGTAAATATGGGGCGGTAAATGTGTCAAATGTTATTTTACCAACGGTAGTAAATTATTTTACCTCCGGTGGTGAAATAATACCAGCATTTATATGTACCCTATATTGCCAACTTTTATGATAAAAGCACAGCCTTTTTGGCTAAAAGGGGCCATATAACGCCAATATATGGCCAAAATGGGTCATAGAATGCCAATATATGGCCAGAAGGGATCATATAATGCCACTATATATGAACATTGTCCACCGGTGGGGAATTTCACCACCAGTGGGAAATTTTCATAAGTTTTTTGAACATTTACTTATGTAGTATAGCGCAGTATAAAGACTGAAATTCAGTGTTGTTACTGGCACAAGGGCTGAAATTCAATGCTTATACCACCGGTGGTAAAATTACTTTTGACACATTTACCGCCCCATACATGCGATCTTTTGCACCCAGGAACAAATTGAAACGACTCTCTTTTTTAAAAATAAAAAATAAAAAAAGACGACGCGGCTTGGTGTATGCAGTGGTCCAGCCTGGTATATACCATACTGGACCACTGCACATTGTTTGTGTAACAGCGTGTCTGGGCATAAAACTCAGGTACTGCTTAGTCATTGTTTAATTATTGTAGTGATCTGGGGAACACAGAGAATGCAGACCTCTGAGGTCCCAAGAACAGTAGTTCTGAAGAGTTTATTCCCTGCGTTTCCCAGATCCTGAATCTCCAGGCAATCTGAATTTTTCAGCTAAAAAACAGTAGTCGTTGGCTTTAATTGAGAATGGAGTTCAAAGTTTCCATGAGTTTGGAGCTAGACAAAATTACACTTAAACTCAAGTTCTACTATCAGAGCAGCGAAGCCAGAACTTGCGGGTGCTTGAAGCCGGGCTCCCAAGCGTATGAGTTATAACTCAAATTCTCTCTCTATATATATATTTTACTAGAGTCGGCTTACTGTTGTAACGGTTACGAGATTGTAATCAATAAAGGATATGTATTAGTTTCGAGGCCTGTAAGTCAAGAACTACATGTATCATCCTTCCTTCCATCCTCCAATCATCCGAGCAACCGGTTAAAGTCAACCCAGACTGGACGAATCCGAGCTTCGAGAGAGAGAAGTTTATTGTCGACTACCGCCTGAGGCAGTGGCTCAAAACGTCACCGGTAACCTGCTTGGGCTTACGCCTGCGCTACACCACAATCTCAAACGCGATAATTACCAGCCTGGTTATGATCGGCAAGACGTTGGTTATTTAATTGGCCAGTTGGGGCAAACCAATCACAGCACTGGCCAAGATTTGTTTCCTGCGCTAGTATTACAGCTGGTCTTTTAGGATTGTTACATCTACCCTACCTAGTTCGACATCTTCAACATGAGTAATATTGAAGACTCGTATCAAAGAACAATTAACTATTAATCCCGGTAAACACTACAGGCCTATCACGGACAGCTATCGATTGCGTTATCACAATATTACCGATTAGTCGCCGCTCTGGGGGGCTGAAACCGGGGCTGACCTATTCCGCTCGATCCTTCTTTCACACCCATGCATACTTTATAACCTCGAGTCCCCCACGACGACGCGACTCCAACACCACAGCTACTCTCCTATCCTCCACTACCTAAGGTTAAGGGAGCAATCATGTCTCCTCCCACCACCGAAAACACCCCCCTCCTCGCCGACGATGCCACCGCTAAAGACCCCGAGGTACCCGCAGCCCTCGACCTAGACAAGCCCAGGATCCCCGGCGTGAGGCTGAGCGTCATCCTGCCCGCAATTAGTATCGGTGTATGCGCAGTCCAACTTCCCCATTCTCTGATCTCGTTCCTCGGGAGACTCGTGCTGATATGATTTATGGCGATGACAGGTTTTCCTTGCGGCAATGGACAACACGATTGTTGTGTCGTCTTACGGCATCATTGGTACGGAGATGAAAGAGCTCAACCGAACCTCATGGATTGCGACTGCGTATGTTCTCTTCTGCCCCAGTTATTTGAATTTGTCTCCTTTTTCTAACACGGGGTGCTATTTAGATATCTCCTCACACTGACGAGCTTCCAGCCACTCTATGGCAAGCTGAGCGACATCTTTGGCCGCAAGCAGGCCCTACTCTCCTCATACTTCATTTTCGGCATCGGGTGCTTAGGCTGCGGCCTCGCCCGGAGCATGAACGAGCTGATCATCGCAAGGGTATGCTACTCCTCCTAACACAATTTCCACACACCATGCTCACACCTCTTTAGGCCTTCGCCGGAATCGGTGGTGGCGGCATGACAACCGTAGCCTCCATCCTCCTCAGCGACATTGTCTCCCTCCGCGCCCGCGGCACCTTCCAAGGCCTCATCAACATCGTCTTCGCCACCGGCGCGGCCGTCGGCGCCCCCCTCGGCGGCCTATTTGCCGACAGTATCGGCTGGCGGTGGTCCTTTCTCTCCCAGGTGCCGCTCACCTGGATCGCCATCCTCGTGGTGTCCCTGTTCCTGCACCTCCCGCCGCCGCCCGTGGCGGAGGGCTTCCGCAAGCAGATCAAGCGCGTTGACTTCTTGGGCGCGGCGATCCTGGTGTCTGCGGTATTCTCGCTGCTCGTTGGTCTTGACAGGGCCGGGAATGTTATGCTGAACGACAACATCGTTATCGGAACAATGACTTTCGCGCTGCTGGCGTTTTCGCTGTTTGTGTACGTCGAGGGCTACATCGCTGCTGAGCCTTTCGCTCCCGGACCCATCGTCAAGGAGCGTACAATCCTCGCCAGCTCAGTGTCTGTGTTCTTTGCGTTCGGCGGCTACATGGGCACGCTCTTCTACATCACACTTTACTACCAAGCCGTTGCCGGTCTCTCCGCCGCCGAGTCTGGTCTGCGCATCGTCCCTGCAATCATCGGCGGCGTTAGCGGCTCGCTGTTTGGAGGGATCATGATGCAGACCACGGGCAAGTTCTACCACCTCACTGTTGGCGCGTACTGCGTGTTTGCGTGTGGGTTCCTCCCGATCCTGCTGCTGACGGGATATTTGGGAAGGAGCACGCTGGGGATTAGTTTGGGATTGGTGGCGACCGGATTTGGAAATGGTATTGGTGTGACGAGTACGTTGATTGCTGTTATTTCAGCGGCGGGGGCGGAGGACCAAGCGGTGGCCACGGCGGTCACGTATTTGTTTAGGGCGCTGGGGACGGTGACTGGCGTTAGTGTTGGCAGTATGCTGGTTCAGGGGAGCTTGAGGAGAGAGCTCAGTGAGAGGCTTAATGGCACTGATGCAGATGAGGTTTGTCGTCCTACTTGCTGGAACTGTGAATTTGGAGGAGTGTGTACTGACTCGGAATAGATTGTGAGGAGGGTCAGGCAGTCACTCAAATTCATCAACGAGCTACCTCAGGAAACAAAGGACATTGTCGTCAACTCGTATGAGCACGCTGTGCATGCTGTAAGTACCCTACCGCCTCCTCTCACGTCTACCTACAGTGGCTAATATGAGTAGGCATTCGTACTCGGCTTCACATTTGCTGTGTGTGCCGCACTAGCTTCCATGTTCATCAGGAACAAAAGTCTCTGAGACCAACCAGGTGCGCGGTGATAGATATTAGACTAGCTGGCGCTTCAGGGATATCAAAGACGGTAATATGGGCGGGTTATGAAAAGAAATATAGCATGCGCCATGAGGATGCATGTAGGGCTTTAGAATGTACTATTAGCAGACTTAACGCGGTAAGATAGGAGCAAGGCCGGGCGAGTGCGAGAGCGAGGAAAAGAGAAACCAGGAATGAACGATCGAGTGATATCTCATGACTGTGCAGAAACCATGTCCCTAGCAGCGTCAATGTAGTCGGTGATTCGATAGGAAAGAACTGGGGTTAGCGCAATTTATTAGTGGTAGGGTTTTGATAAACGTGAAATATTATACCCCCTTTCCGCGAGAGTTTGAAACCATATTCCAGAAGCTACCATCCCCAGGTTTGAAAACAACCTCCATCCCAACCTCCCCACACTTCCCCCGCCCCCGCCCTCTCGCCCTCTCTCCCCCATAGTCTCCCATCACCATGACCCCCCCACACCCGCACCAAGCTCAGCTCACAATGCTCACTGCCCACATCCGCCAGCTCTGGCAGACTTACGACGGCCTGAAAACACTCGTAGACACCACCTTCGCAGCGCCCATTCCCGACCCCAGTATCTGGCAGCTGATGACTGGTGCTCCCGTGACGAGCGTGGATGTAGAGAGGGCGGAGTGGGAGAGGAAGCGGTGGGAGGTTGTGAGGAGAATGGAGGAGGTGGTGGTGGAGATTAGGGCGTGGGATGAAAGAGTGGGGGCGTTGTTGGTGTAGCATACACAGGGTGAGCTCGTGGGTCTTTGGTTTAGAGGTAAAATGGAGCTCACGAACCTGTAGAGGCGGGATCAGGGGAGAAGTTTCTTTATGTGCTACCAAGAGTAGAGTGATAAGTCCGTCTATAGTGGCTGGGTCCGCGGAGGAAAGTAACAACGGAGGCTCATGGTCTGTACATATAAACGGAAGAGTTCTCGTATTCCAGCTGTAATTAATAAATCTGTATTTACAGCGATATAACTCTCATGTTGTTGTCATTACTTCCACCCAGACCAGGAAGGCAGAAAAATTAAAAAAAAAAAATTTTTTTGTGTTAGCAGCAGCACGTTTCGATCGTGCGACCTCCGGGTTATGAGCCCGGCGCGCTTCCGCTGCGCCATGCTGCTATGAATGTTTTCTGTGTTTCCGGGAGCTTTGGCTGTGAGGTTACTGCGGGAGGGGACTAAGGGTTAGGTGAAGGGCTTTAAGGTTTAACGTTTAAGCTTCAATGTTTTACCACGTAAGTCGTCCAGAACTGAACTTGACTCTGGCTCTCTGTTGAATACTCATGGGATACATAAGGGATAATAAGGGTTATGGAGGCTCTAATGAGATCTCTGGGCAGAACATTAATTGTTTTTCTTCTGTTTCTTTATTTTGGACAGATAAACCCCCCCGCATCAACTTCGGCGTCACGATACCCATAACTAACAATAGGCCGCTTACTAGGAAGGAGAAAAATAATACCAAGTTTATTAAGTTAACTATAAAAATACAACGAATAAAAATACAACGAACAGCTACATAGCTAGTCTACTTTTCACATTTTGCTTACGGCAGAAGCATACGCTTAGGAGGTTTCGTGGCAAATAAAAAGGAACACAGAAGGGGGGTAAAGGGTGAAAAAGGAAACAAGAATCGGCGCTGAACCCCTCGTATGCTGCTAGGAGTTAAGTGTTGAGTGTTACGCTTATGGGGGCAAAGGAAGGAAGACAGGACAAAAAAAGGAGCAGCGGGTAAATTTTAACACAAATCAGAGTCGACGCTCAACTCGCATGCTGCGAGGAGCGGAGTGTCGACCTTGTCACTCATCATAGTGACAGAAAAAGGGACAACCAGAGAAACCTCAAAGGGCAGAAGAGAGAGCCCACGAGCCAAACCAAAACCCACGAATAAACCAAGACCCACGAGTAAACAAGTCAAAGCCAAAGGGAGCCAGAGCCAACAGGAACAGAGGAGCCTATATACCACGAGCCCACAAGAAATAAAAAAAACCAAAGCTAAAAAAGCTAAAAAGAAATCCCACAAGAAAATACTAGTATGGAACTAATTCCTCGCTATTCAGCCAAGAATTGATTCCCCCCCCCCTAGGGAGTGGGTCTAGTTTCTATAGCTGATATACATGTAGTAGGGATTCGGTTCCTCGAATCCCTACTACATGTATATCAGCTATAGAAACTGGCCCCACACAGGGAGAAAAGAAAAAAGAAGGCTGAAAGGGGGAGAAACTCTTGCCCTTTTATACACGGGTGGGTCGGCGAAATCGTTTCTTCGACAATGGGGCATGACTGCGATAATCCAGCCTGCAACTAACTAGCTAAACCACTACCTTAGCCATGAAAATTTCCACTTGAAGTGTCTAGATAAGTATTAATCTTGGCTGTGGACATATGAGGAAAACTATCGTGAACACGATCCTTGGCGCTGGATTGCCAAGGTTACGAAAGAGGATATTCAGTGTTTCTGACGATAGGGGTTTAGCATATCGGGGTAACCCACTTCTACTTTGTTCATCAGATATAACAGTTTTTTGCCCAGGGAATATGGCCGTTGTTGACCATTAGCACTGCGGTTCACACGGTCAATGATAGATCAGCATGTTTTTATAGAGGCGAGACCTTCGACGATCAACCACTAGTACATGCATGCAATTTATCAAATAACAAGAAATTAGATGGGGTTTACACGTTGGCGATTTCAAAAATAGCTAGCCTTTATATCCTCTATCTTAGATATATCGTTTATTGGTGAACCGTAAAAAAAATTGCCAGCCTAGGGGCCTAGGTCTAGTTCGGGCTCATTATAGTACCCCCAGCTCGTAATCAGGGAGAATAAGAAGCCCATCCTCGAGCATTCTCACGGGCCACATTGACCTTAATCCCTCACGGTAGTGAAGTCACAGTTGATGCACTTCAACCCATTGTAGAGAGAGAGATACGACCGGCCAGCTGGGGTGGTGGAGTAGGCCAGTGTGATAATTACTTCAATCCGAACCTATTTGTCTTTTAAATCTACGTACTTATAATTCTTTTTATATAAATCATATTCACTTTATAGCTACCAAGTTGCACTACATATTAGCTACCCGAAAAAAAGTCATCCCCGGTCCAATGCGTTCCCCAATTGACAAAACTCCTAGAGCGGGATCCAGTATACACTGGCGCGTCGAGCGGCCACAAGAAAGAACAGGAGCCAAAAGGCGGGTCAGATATTCGACTCCCCGCATGCCGCGAGGAGTGGAGTGTCGAGCCCGCCGAGCGTCCACGGGGCTAGACGAAAGGGAAGGAAGCTACCAGCCAACAGGGTAAATGCCCACAGAGACCTATGAGCCAAAGAAACTCACGAGGCAGAAAATTAAACCCACGAACCAAAGAAACTAAAGCCGAATTTAAGTCCCACGAGCCAAAGGGGACGTGAATGTTTAATTCTCCATTAGCCTCTCCTCGCCTTCGAGGAAGTAACTGGTGAGACGACCTGCATAAATAGGGAACGATCTCACCCAAACGGGCACAGCTATCTTTGAACACTTGTTAGGAGCGCAGTGTATTTCATTTTACAAGACAGGAAGCGGACTTAGGATCCTTACGGGTGCAAAGAGGAAAAGGACAAGGAACACGAGGCCACGCAGGTTAACACTAAGACGGGGCTTCCCCGAACAAACAGAGGAGTGGAACAGGAAACAAAAAGCCACGTAGATTAACACTGAGGTCCTCGTATGCTACCAGGAGTCCAGTGTCGGGCCTACGGTGCCAGAGGAGGAAGAGAAAGCAAAGAAGACCCACGAGCCAAAGGAACCAAGAACTAAAGGAACTTCAGCCAGCTCACGAGAAAACCGGAACAAGCCAAAGAGAACGAGCCCACAAGACAGAAGCGAAAAGGAACAGCGAGAAGAGCTAGAGATCCACTGCACAAGAGAGGAGTCGAACGCCACAGGCCCAAAGAAAGAACCCACGATCCAAAGGAAAAAAGAGCTAAAAGCTCACGAACCAAAACCCAGAACTCAAAACCACAAACCACAAACCACAAACCACAAACCAAAAACCAAAAACCAAAAACCAAAACCACAAACCACAAACCAAAACCAGAAACCCAAGAACCCAAGAACCCAAGAACACAAGAACACAAGAACACAAGAACACAAGAACACAAGAACACAAGAGCACAAGAGCACAAGAGCACAAGAGCACAAGAGTACAAGAATACAAGAACAAAAGAACCCAAGAACCCAAAATCCAAAATCCCAAAATCCCAAAAAAGCCCACAGAAAACCAAAAGCCCACAAAAATCCAAAGACCCACAATATAAACAAAAAACCCTAAAGTTGGTATGGAACCAGCTCCTCGCTATCCAGCCAAAAGATGATTCCCCCGGTTTTTAGTCACCCAATTGTCCCCAAGGACCCAGGACCAAAACCAAAGGGGGTGGCAGGCAGATGTAGCCTACATTTTTTTCAGGATGGAGGCCCAAGGTACCAACTCCCTACTTCATCGGCCATAGAAACTAGACCCACCACAAGGAGAAAAGAAGAAAGAAGACTGAAAGGGGAGGAAACTCTTGCCCTTTTATTCATGGGTGGGTCGGTGAAATCATTTCTTGGAGAATGGGGCTTGGCTGCGATAATCTGGTTTGTAACTAACTGGCTAAACCATTATCTTGGCCGTGAAAATTTTCACTTGAAGTGTCTAGATAAGTATTGATCTTGGCTGTGGCCATATGAGGAAAATTATCGTGAACACGATCCTTGGCGCTGGATTGCCAAGGTTAATGGATTTAACGGTTAAGCAACACTGCAGTGTCAAGGTTGCTCATGTGTTTATCATAATTATCTCTGCCTATTCGTTATGTGTTTTGTCCAGGCCAATCATGCAGGAATATATAACAGAAAATAGTTCTTTGATCATTGCTTGTTGTAGCTCCTAGAATCAAAAACACAACTGATTCACTTCAACCCAATATCCAGAAGTGAGCCAGATTGTATAAAATATACGGGATTGGGGCGTGATTGATTGTGATGGTTCTCGCAAGCCTGGTTAGTACGAAGATGATTTTGATGTTCTACATATAGTTATAGTACAGGCCACAATGGGCCCATATAGCTATGTCCTTATGTCCTTGCTCCGAGGACATGTCCTCGATGATATGCAAGGGTAATAGTCTAAAAGGACAAGCAGCCTCGAGGAACCCCGAGCACAATTTTTGGTATATTATATGCTTAATCTGCCCCGGCCAGATGAGCTTGAGGATAGGATATGGTTTCTAATCGAAATGAATACTGCTCTTTGCCCTCCCGGAATCATTCTTGAGGGTACCTCGAGGGCAACGTTGTTGGACGTCGAGGACAGACAAGAACAGAAGTCAACGGGGACGAAGCACCTCGAAGATACTCTCCAACCTCGCCTCGAACACTCTGGTTGACCACACTAATCATATTGCCTCTTGAGTCTCCTACGCCACGGTTAGCTTCTCAGGCAAAAGAAAATGAGTTGAGAGCACAGGTACTGTGTCGATGTCTTTCTTCGAAGTACTATCTGGGTAGACTATAGTTTTGACTCGAGGTGGTATGGCCCACGAAGATCTAGATAACTATCTTCGATAGTATACAAGAGCAGTGACGCAAAAACACAAGACCAAAGCCTCGAGCGGGCTCTTTGGCTCTTAATACGCCGCCTGGTGGGGACAAAATCCGAGAAAACACACCTTTTCTCTCAATCAAACATCACCATTCATTCTCTGGGATCATTTTTATCATCCTCGAGGCTCTTCATTGTATATAGCTCTAGGGAACTTCAATAATAGACAAGAACAAAGGTCAAAGATGTCGAGCTGGAGCCCCCTTGCGACATTGATTATCACTCGCGTCTTGGCACCCACCAACCTATCTCTCACCGTCCTTCCTTCTCTCCCAAACAACTCCACAACTCCCTAACTCCTTACCTCTTTACCTCCTCAACTTTCTACCCCCCACCTTCCTATCTCTTCACCACCCCACCACCCCACCACCCCACCTCTTCCTTCCCTCCACCCCAACACTATCATCAAACCCCCAGGTCCCTCCATCCTCCAAAATGGCCAACGTGCAATACCAAGCCGGCCTCAGGTACGGGCACTCCCTCGCCATCCAACAAGTCCGTGACGTCGTAGACAAGCTCTTCCACCCTGCCGTCATCAACTCTCTCACCATATTACTCGACCGTATCTCCATGCCCCCCTCCCATCCGAGCTCAGATCCCCTAGAGAAGTCTCTGCAGCCCCCTCTGGCTCTGGGCCTGAGTTCGGTGCTTTCTACCCCGATCCTACCACTGGAAAATTTCTAGAGGTTCCCCCTCTGCCAATGCACGTGGCAGCTCCAGGCCCTCCTCCTCATCCTACGCTTGAGCCTTACCTTCCTGCGGCTCAGACTCACCAACATCCAAGCGGAGCGCTCGACTCTATGGCTAGTTGTCTCCCCGACTCGGAGGATCTCACCCTAGACCTACCGGTCCGGAGACGCGGCCGCCCGGCCCGTGACGCTCCCACTACCATCGTGAAAAAAGAGGTGCAAGAAGCCGCTGCGCCAGTGCAGCCTGTGCGGAGAGGTGCCCGCACAACAAGAACTCAAGTCTCGTATACCGAGCCTTCTCTCACCGCCGCAGAGCTAGAGGACGCTTACGAGACTTACGTCCCGAGGTCTGACCGCCAGTACCGGCGTACTCTCTACTCCGAGGCGCTCCTCGAGTCGGGTTCGGAGGATGCTGCTCCCGTCCAGCCGGCCCGTAGACGCGGCCGCCCAAGAAAGAACGCTGTACCGGGCGAGACTCTTGTCGTGTCGGATCTCAAGCAGGAGGAGGAAGAAGAAGAAGAAGAAGAAGAAGAAGAAGATGCCCCTACTCCAAAGTGCGGCCGTTTGTATAAAATCGCCTCATCCCCCAAGGACAGCGTTGAGGAAGACTTCACCCCAGTCCAGGCTCCCAAGAAGCGTGGCCGGGCTGGCCACCCAAGAAAGAACATCGTGCCGGCGGCCGACAATCTTGTCGTAGCAGATCTCAAGCAGGAGGAGGATGACGAGGAGGAAGAAGCCCCCGCTCCAAAGCGCGGCCGTCGGAACAACACCGCTTCATCCCCCGAGGCCACCGCTAAAGAAGACCTGGCTCCAGTCCAATTTCCCAAGAAGCGTGGCCGCCCAAGAAAGACAACTCCTTCACACATTGGCCGGAACGTACTCGTTCCCTTTGATGGAAAACTTGTCGACCAGGAGGTGAAACGTGAAAGGGGACGGAGAAAGAAGGTGGTTGTGTACGTTTTCGCTTTCTTCTTTTCTCTCTGCTATATGGAATTTTTTTTGCTAACTAAGTTTTCGATTTTAGATCTGATACTGATACTAACACTGCTGAGGCGTACGGAGTTGGGGCGAAGTACGAAGAAGATTCGGAGTGGTGAGAGCTGGAAGGTCCAGGAAGCCTTGCAAGGGTGTATGAGTATTCGGGAGAGCCTACAGCCCCTCCCTTCAGAATTTTGTGCCCGTTTCTAGCGCTTCGTTTGGATGCCTTGTATTCTTCTCCATTTCCTTGCTCTAAATATCCACTATCATTATGTACTACCAAGATCAAAACACAAAGAGAATACGAATTATATCAAGTAAAAAACATTCTCAAAGCTAGGTTTAGATAAGAGATAAATCTGTGGTTTAAACTAGGTCTAAAAAAAGTCCCTTCATACAAGTAGATACCGCATGCCACAAAAGTGTCCGCGGAAAGTGTATAAACCAATTTTAGATATTTCGTAAAAACCGACTGGTGTTTGGCAGACAAGTTACCGCTACACCTATTCTAACGAAGCTTCAGGGTAGAATGTATGGGCGCTGGAACGGATGGTAGAGATCAAATAATGGAGATAAGGAAGATAATGAGAGATCTCAAGATCCGTGTTCGCAGGAAAGATAGCTCAGGACTGCTCGAACGAAAGAAGATAATATAACCAAGTGGGCTCATTCTGCAGCTTTCCTTTATAGCGTCTCAAAACTAGCACATATACTCAACAAACTACTATTATAAAGTGTCTTGACACCTATTCCGCCAACATGCCCCACAGCGTGTCTTGAAAACTATGCAGGCCGCCTGTAGGCATAGGTATCGCGTTACTATACATGTAGTATAATATTGTATCTTACCTTTAAACTCCTGCTTTCACCTCGCTATATACGAGCTAGCGTGGGGGGTTGGAGGTAGCTAGGATCGAATCGAGGGGAGCTCTGGTGAGCTAAATGACCCGTAATCCGAGTGATGATACATGACGAAACCCTAACCCTGGCCACTACAAGAATTGTCCGTTCTCTCTTTTATATCTACACATCCCCATCCTCATCACTAACAGCAAAAAAAAAAAAAAAGGTCCATGATGAATATCCCATATATTCCCTCCCTCTAAGATAATAACTAAAGCCCTTCTACTACTAGCTACATGTAATAGACCCCCTCCCCCATAGCCACCCCCCCCCCCCCCCCGCGGCTTCCGGAGTAATCCAACCTAGCCGGGCAGCTACCCAGCCGGCTACTAATAACTAAAGGTTGTAGATAAATATATACAGCAACAAAAGAAAAGGAAGTATAAAAAAAAAGTATAGTATAGCCAAGGCGGGATAAGAGCGAAGAAAGAGGCTGGTGGTAGATGGATGGATGATATAAAATAAGAGGAAAGTATAATTCGAGAGAGAACATTCCGATCCGCGGATGGAGAAATAATATAGAGAGAGAGAGCCAGAAGAAGAGAAGAAGAACAACCAGAAGAACAGAGGACAGAAAAAATAGCTACATAGCGCAAAAGCAAGCAAGCAAGCCAGAAATCAAGAAAGGAATCCAAACCCCAATTACAGCACATTTAAAAAAAGAGCAAAAAAAAAACCTACTCAAACACTCAAAAAAAAAAAAAAGAGAAACCAACTCCGATCCCAAAACCCATTAACGCACCCAGCGGCCCTACCTCGACCGTTTCTTGCCCACCACATCACCCCCACTCGCACTCCTATTCACCTGCATCCCGCCCACACCCGCGCTATACCCGCCCTTCACAACACCCAACTTCGCACTCTGACTCCTCGTCCTCTTCGGCGGCGGTCCATCCTCCTCATCATACCCATCCGCCTCCTCATCCCCCGCCGCATCGCCCCCCATCCCACGCCCATTCCCAAAGATCTTCCGCGCGCCCGGTATCCCCGACACCTTCCCGACCGTCTTATTCGGCGTACACACCTCCTTCTCGCCCAACGGCGTCCTCCCCCCCACCAGCCCCGTCCCCGGAAACACCGCCGCCGTCGGCGTCGTCAACGGCGACACCTCATCCTCCTCCTCCCCCTCATCCACCATCACCTCATCCTCCCCGCCGTCGCCCCCCGCCAGCACCACCTCCCTCGGCGCCGTCCGCGGCAACACAACCGGATACTCATACTCCCTCTTCCTCGGCGTCGCGCCCGTCGGGCAATACTCCTTCATCGGCGCCCTCACCACGGACCTCCGCAGGTCCGAGAGCGCCGGCAGAATGACTGCCTCGACAGGATCAAGCGCCTTCCCGAGCGCCGCGGTGTGTGCGTTAAAGTCGTCGGCAAAGATCTCCGTGTCCTCCTTGACCTCGGCGAGCTTTGTGCCGACGGCCGTGCACGTGTCGCGCACGGAGGCCACGAGGGTCTGCAGGGTGCTGGAGAGCTGCGTGTGGTGCGACTCGTTGGCGGCGCGGGCGCGCGTGACGAAGCCGTCGAGGGAGGCGAGTTGCGTGCTGATGTTGTGGACTTGGGTGCCGACGAGGGAGACGGATTCGGCGTGGATGGCGGCCGTGGTGCTTTGGATTGCGGCGTTTTGGGCTTCTGCGGCCTGTGAAGGGAAGGTTGGTTAGTTTTGGGGGGTGATAAAGGGGATAATGATCATGTTGCAGGTAATGATACATACCTGCCAATCCACCTGCAGCCGCGTCTTAAGCCCCTCCTTCTTCCCATTGAGATTCTCAATAAACTTCTCCTCATTGCCCGTCCACTCGTCCATGCCCTCCTTATACTCCTTCGTCGCCGCCTCGAGCTCCTCCTGCACCGCCGCCACATCGCTCTGCACCCGCTGTATGCGCGCGGTAAGCCTCTTATCCTGCTGCTCCGCCGCGCCATTAATCAATCTGGATAACTGCGAAATCAGCGCCTCCCGCTCCTTCGCCGCCTTCTCGCGCTCATCCTTCAAGATGGCATCCATATCCTCCTGCGCCTTCCTCGTCGCGCTCGTGCTCGCCGCCGTCGCCGCAACAAGCTGCACCCGCATCTTCTCCACCTCCGCCTTCTGCGCCACCACGCTCTTCTGCGCCTCATCAAACAGCACCCTAAACTCGCGGCCCAGCTGCGCATACGACTCATGCAGCATCGTCCCGAACTTTGCCAGGTCCTCGACCACCTCCGCCGCGATCCGCTCCGCCGCATCATTCAGTCCCTTCAAGCCCTCTCCTACCCGCGTCTTCACCTCCTCCCTCAGCACCTTAATCTCCTCCAGCACCGCATTCATCTCCTCCTTCGCCCTGTGCATCTCCGCCGCCAGCGCCGCCTCGCCGCCATTAAAGCCCTCGAGCCGGTTCTCGATGTGGCTGTACGCATCATCCAGCTTCGCGATCCCAACCTCGGCAAACTGCGCCAGCCGGTCCGTGACATACTCTGCCAGGCGCTGCTGCTCGCCCGTAAACACGGCCAGCTCGCTCTCGACCAGCTCGGTGGTAGCCACGACGGCGCCCGACGACCGCTGCCATGTGCCGTGGTTGGTGACCTCCAGGTCCGCCATTCGGCGAATCTTCCCGTGTAGCCCCGCAACGTCTTTGACGGTCTCGCCGAGGGTGGTGATGAGCGTGCGTCCGACGCGGTCGAGCTTCTGCTCCGTGTTTTCGTGCGCGATGCGGAGCACAGTCTCGTCGGCGAGGTCGCGCTGCGTACTCTCAAGGTGAAGCTCCGTCTTCTCCAGGCTGCCCTTCGTCTCCTCCAGCACCCGATTCGTACTCTCGTGGTCCTTCTTCAGTGCCACAAACATGCGCATGTTGCTCTCAAACTGCTCGCGCGTGTTCTTGAGGCTATTCTCCATGACCTCGATCTTGCGCTGCTGCTCCTCATTCAGGATGCGGCGGCTCTCGCTCTCCTCCGTCATCTCCTGATAACTCTCGCTCGTCAAAAACACGCCATTCTTCTGCCTCGTCGCATGCAGGTCCCCCTTGAGCTTCTCAATCTCAAGCACATACTCGCGGATCAGCGCCTTCTTGGTCAGCATCTGGTTCATCTGCGGCTTATTCCTGATATCCTTTGCGCGCGCCGCATAGTCGAGCGTACTCATCGTCTCCTCGAGATTACACTTCGCCGGCGAGATGGTGGCGATGATGCACGTCTTTGTGCGCCCGCCCAGCGAGTCCTGCAGCAGCCGCGTGAGCTTCGACTCGCGGTACGGGATGTGCGGCGACTTGTCGACGAGCGCATTGATCACCCGCCCGAGCGTCAGCAAGCTCTGGTTAATCATCCCCGCCTCGCGGGCGCGCTTATTCTCCGCGCCCGAGCGGCCAATGTTCTCCGACCCCGCCAGATCCACCAGGTTGAGCTTCCCCGTGCGCAGCATGTCCTCGCCGTCCTCGCCCATGACCTTGACATGCACCGTGATTGTGAAGACGGTGTGCGATCTCGACGAGAGATCGTTACACTTTGTCGCCGCGACCTGGCGCTTGTGGGATCCGTCCTGGAGCAGGCGGACGCCGTCCTCGGCAGACTTTATGAACGACTCCTCCATTCCCTGTATCACGATTGCGCCCTTCCTCGTCGAGTCCTCAAAGATCTTCACCTTCGCATTATCATCCGCCGCCAGCAGGTCCCTCAGCTCCTCATTATACAGCTCGATAAACGAGCACTTTACACTATTATCCTTCTCGTCCGCGCCGCCCAGCTTGGCAAACAGCTGATACAGCGCACGCGGGATGATGCCCGCCGTATCCGAGTAGCTCCCAAAATTATCCGCCATGTCCCCCGTCATGGTGTACGTCTTCCCCGTGCCCGTCTGCCCATACGCAAAGATGGTACAATTGAACCCCATCAGCATCTCGTCCAGCATCGGCGCCACCACATCGTCGTAGATCATCGTCTGGTCCGCCTCGGGCCCAAACACCCGATCAAAGCTGTACGTCTTATTACTCAGCGCCAGCGGGCCCATACTCAGCGCGATCTCGCGGCCGCGCAGGCCGCCGGGCGTCGACACCACCACAACACTACTCTCGCGGATCTCGCGCTCGGAGCGCCCGCGGCAGCGCACAACAACATTGATGTTTGTCTCCGAGTTGTGCTGCTCGTCGTGCAGCGCCTGTGCGGCCTCTGCCGCGATCTGGCGGGCTGTCTTTCGCGTGGGCGAGCGGCGGGAGGTGGTGGAGATGGTTGATCCGGCAGGGGAGGGGGGTACGGCGGTGGAGGAGTTGGTGGGTTGCGGGAGGTTGGGGGGCGCGCCCATGCGCGCGTTGGTGATTGAGATTTGGTGGGCTGTCATGAGGCCGGCGGCGCGGGAGGTGGGGCGGGAGGCGGCGGCGCGTTGGAGGTTTGTTGCCGCTGTTTTGCGGACGCCGGGGCGCGGGGGGCCAGACATGCTGGCGGTGGTGGGGGGGTGGGGGGTGTGATGATGCTGGTGGTGGTGGTGGTGGTGGTGGTGGGATGTTCTGGTAAGGTACGAGTGAGGTGTCGGTGTGTGCTAGAGATGCTGCTGCTGTGTGTTAGTCGTAGTAGCTGTGAAGATGCTGCTGCAGACTGGTGGTGAAGATGGTTCTGCTCTTTCTTCTTCTGCTCTTTCTTCTTCTTCTTCTTCTTCCTCTTCTTCTTCTTCCACTTCAGGAGTCAGAGAGAGAGGTCTCTGGGATTGAAGCTCGTCCTTGTTGTCGATGCAGCCCACGTGTGTGTGTGTGTGTGTGTGTGTGTGTGTGTGTGTCTGCGTGTGTCTGTGTCTGTGCCTGTGTCTGTGTCTCCGGTCTCAGATGTGCAGAGTCGTGCGTGTCCGCGGTGTTGTTCGAGGAATGGCCGTCTTGCTCTCGACCCTTGTCTTTTGTCTTGTTTGTTTACGTTCTTTGTGCAGCCGCAGCAAAGGGCGGGAGAGATAAAGAGATCTTGGCCCTCATCCATGCTTAGCAGCGAGTGCCAAGACCAACCACCCCAACCCGAGGAGAGCTCTCTACAGCTACATGTATGTACTTCTATCTACCCAGAACTGATATTCACACACCCCCCCCCCACACATAACCAATTGTACCGTACAGTGCTAGAGTATCGACAGTCTACCGCCTATGTAAATAATATATCTGTATCTGTATCCTACCTACCTCACTAACTCATCACCCGCCGCCGCGCCCGCCATCCATCATACTCTGATCAATTGCACTCACTACTAGTAGTCTGAATTACTAAAACGAAAAGGAAAAAGAAAACGAAAACGAAAACGAAAAAGAAATCCATTCCCTATCCTACCCTATCCTATCCTATCCTACCGGCTATCGATATCATATCATACTCTCAAACCAATCTCCTTTCCCGGGCCACAAACAAAAAAATTACAGCAACAGAATATAAAAAAGAAGGAAAGAAAGAAGAATCCGACTCATACGAGTAAAAAAAAAAAAGCGAAAAACGCAAGTTAATGCCCCCCCTCCCCCAAACCCTAGTGTCGATTCCCCCTCCCACCTAAATAATAATAGATAGCTAAACAAGAAGATTCAGAACAACCAACTAACTATAATAAAAAATGAGAGACTACTGTAACCTAAAGAACAAATATCCCAAAAACACCAAAGCCAGAAGAAAAATAAAATCAAGATACCGCACGAAAAAAAATGAATACTATCACAATTTTTATGTCCTAAGAATAAATGAGTAACCCCCCTTTCTCCCCTTCTCTCTCTCTCATTACCACCCCAATTACTCCTTATTCGGCGTCTTCTCCGCCTTCGAACCTGTGTCCACCGTAATAAGCGTGGGCGCAATCCTCCTCCGCTTCTTGTCCCCGCCTGTAGCTACGTCCGACGCCTCCTCCGTCTTTGTTGCAGCCGTATGTTCATCTCTCTTCCCTAAAACACTCCCGCCGGTGGCACTGAGCGGGGTCTGCGGGGGTGTAGTCATTGGCACTCCGGCGACCGAAACGCTCGGGAGGCTTCCGACGGTTGGAGTCGGATTGTTGATGGCACTAGCTAGTGAGCTCAGCGTTGTCACTGACGACGCCGATGAAGACCTGGTCGGCGAGTTGGGCTGGCGGACTGGGGGCGCAGGGGATGGAGGGAGCGTGGGTGTCGAGGAAACCTTAGAGGACGATGGTGTCGAGGTCGGGTTGGTGGGTGTGGAAGAGGGAGGGGTTGGCGCCGCCGTGGGGATGGGCCCAGTATACTTCTCTCCGAGCTCCCCTGGCGAAAACACAACTACAGAACAGAACCCATCCGTCGACGTCATGAGTAAAGTATTGCCGTCAGGTGACCTAAATTGCCAAATTAGCATGAATCAAGCACACCCCGAAGGGAGAGATGACAAACCATGTAAGATCGGTGAACGCCGCATAATGCAGGTTGCTGACAATGCAAAGCGGCGTCTGCTGCTGGGTGTCATATATCAAAACCGCATCCTGTGTCGCAACGGCATACACAATCCTATACGGGAGTGAGAATGCCGAGTTTGTAGGCGTCCCCGACGAGGATGGCGAATCCGAGTTGCCGGACTGTGATCCGGGGGTTGAAGTGGGCTCCTGGGCGGCTACTGCGGGTGGGGGCAACAACGGGATCGAGTCCATGTCGGATGATGTGTCTACGGTTATGTGCTTCGTGGTAGCTGGCGCCTTCCGGTATGTGTAGAATACCGGTGAGCACTTCACCGCAATTGAAGGCTTCTTGTGACCTGGCAGATGTGCAATTGGCGGCTTGTTCAGCCCAGCCCGGGTATAGATATATACAGTGTTGATAACCTCATCGGGGTTCTTCACGCCATCACCGGCTGTTGGATTGGACGTCTTGTACTGTCCGGCCGGGGTTAGGAGAAGACTCCCATCGGGAGTAAAGGTCAGTCTACGGAAGAAAGACGTCAATGTCTCATTGTAGTATATGTTTGCGTTCTTGACCCCTAGGCCGTGAACCTTTGGCGAAAAGTCCATAGGTTTGACAGCAGGCAAGGGCAAAGCCGGGGAAGGCGATGTGGAGCGGCGCATTGAGGGTGAAGAACTGAAGGAGCTCCGCCTGCTAGCAGCAAGAATAGGCGGGTTCATCGGGAGAGAAAATCCAGTTGGTGTCCCGGGGGTAGACGGGGCAGGCGACGCAATTGCAATTGCCGATCCCATATCAAACTCCCTCCCCCTCTGGAAATCCGGCGGGGCGGGGCTGCTCGAGGACACCCGTCTCCGTGGGGGCAGGTCCATTCTCGAAAGCTTCCCGTGCTGTGAGAGGGAGAATTGTCCATCTTTGGACTTTAGTGTGTAAATGTGCACTGAGCGGTCTGAGCTCTGAGTCGCAACAAACTCGTTCAGTGGGTCCCAGGCAACGCCTTGGACATAGTGATTGTGCTCGGCAATTTGTCGAACCATTTGCCCTGGAAATTGCGTGGTTTGTCAGCTTCCTTCAACCGTGATCACTGATAGCGGGCCAAACCATACCTGTCTGCGCATTCCAAACTCGAGCAACATTGTCCATGCTCCCAGTAATGAAGAACATCCCATCTGGTGACCACGCAAGGTCGTAGATTTCCGAACCCATGGATCTGCACATGTGCTTCAATCTCCACGTCTCCTTATCCTCGAGATCATCTTCTCCAAATCCCGGGCCCGCGCGGTGTGTTGGTTCTGCTGGAACCCAAAGAATAATGTTCCCGTCGTCTCCAGCGGACGCTATCATCTCGCCTGTGTCACAAGAAGTCAGTCTCAACCAATTCCACGGGGAAGGCGTTGCAATAGCCGAAGGGTGCACAAACCTCGAGGGCAGAAACGAACAACATTGACAGCCTGGTTGTGTTTGGCGAGTGTACTCAGGTAGACAGCCTTCTTTTCGTCGCCTTCGCCTTGGATTTTCCACAACTACTCAATCCACACATCAGACCTGGAATTTTTTTTTCTTTTTTTCTTTCGATTTTTCTCTCCCAATCTCCCTCAAAAATAAAAATAAAATAAAATTGGGACGGGATCCTGAGGTGGGAAAGAAAAAAACGGGACAAAGAGGTGTAGATCAAACATACGCGAACATTGTTGTCTCCACCCGCAGTTGCAAGCCTTCCTTTGCCGTTTGGCTCAAAGTGAGCACTATAAATAGGCTGGTTGTGTTCGTGCCAGTGAATGGTGAGTGGAACTGCCTTCATCTCGTTTCCTTTGCGCTGAAAGTCGTCTGGGAGTCGGTGAACAGGAGATCTTTGTCGACGACGTTGGTGGAGAGGGCAATGAGACAAAGGTTGGAGTGAACAAAAGAGCTAGTAGAAGAGCACCAATTCCTCTGTTGTGAAATTATGAGAATTCTCGGTTTCGTAGGAAATAAATCAAATCCACTTATGAGTCGTTGACAAACGGTAGGTTTATTTGGTGGGAGCTTGGGTCGTGAGTTGGTTGTGGTTGAGGATGAGGTTTGTAGTGGTTGGTTGCTGTGGTGGCAGTAAGGTAGCAAGGTTCGGGGGTTTCAGAGCAGAAGATCGGTGCGGTGCAAAGGGTTACTTTTGAGGCGAATAAATTGTGTGCATACACTGGCAGAGGGACGCAGAGCATAACGGGGGCAAGAACTGTGCTACATCACCGATGCACTTGATTGCCTTTATGCCTCGAGACACTATCGTGGGGATCAGTTCCTAGAACTTCTGTTTATTTACCGTTCTACCATGTCCCCCCTGGTGCAGCATAACGATAGTATCAGCTAGCATCCAACATGATACTCCAATCAGACAACCACTTTCGCCTCTGTTATATCTTGGCTCTTTATCACGAAAACTGATACATCCTTCAATCCTCCCATCGATCTTGCTATCGAATTATTATTTCATCTCGATTTCCCCACGTTTTCACATGCAACCACACTCTCAGCCCTGTGTCTTCTGTCCTTGTGCAATTCGTTCGGCTATGACTGGATCCTCAAAGCTCAATCTATCACGAGAAGTGATTGAACGAGAATCTGATAGGTGGGCGTCTATCCCACAGCTGGCTACGAAGGACTACCAATCCAGGAACAGCATGCCCAGCTTTGTTCCTGACCACTCGGCAATGGTAATGCTTGCACAGGTACATACATGAGTAGGTACCACGCCCCAACTCTTCACATTAGCGACTTGCATATGAAACTACTCTGGAGAAGAAAAAAGGTAAGTCTTGTGTTTTAGAGCACTGTGAGGTAGCGAGGCGGCGGCCCGATGCCGCGTGCTGTAGGCGTAAGAAGGGCAGAGTGTTCGGGCAGTTACGTTCGAAGGTAGAGAGTACTCTACCCAAACCAGAACATAATTGTAAGCTTCACCAATCAAGCGGTACGACACAAGATGTTCCTAGAGTGGACCCTGGAGGTAGTCGGAGTGGAATGTCCACGCGGCAAAGTGGGATCGTCCCACCTTTCGAAACAGTATTTGCTTGCAGAACATCAAACTGAGAGAGAAAGAAGGAATTGTAATCTGCGAGTACCTATGGGTTGGTTCACATTCCGACAAGCACTGCTCATTCATATAGTGCTCTCAAGACCTGACTCTTTGCTGTTATCAAATAAGGCTTTTTATCTTTCTTTCTTCATGCTCATGCATCGCACTGATTAGACGCAGAGTTGCCGAAGAGCGCACCAATTGCCTTTGTCGTGAAAATAGGCTGAAGTAGGAAAGTGTGACAGTAAAGATCAAACAGTCGATGGTGCAGTTCTAATTCACATCGCATACGACGTCAGGCCAGATTCAAATAATATGTCCTCCTAACGCGAATTGGAAGGATTAGAGTAGAGGCCTCTGGTAGAAAGTCAGGGTAACTTCCGGCGGCGCCTTGTAGCGAGTGAGTGCTGATATTTGCTACATACGATGGAAAAAATCCCTCAAAGGATGCGCACGCCAGCAGGTGGATACTGGAACTCAAATATGTTTACCTCCTCTTTCTCCACGAGCTGTCTAGGGCTATGGTGTTGGCGGACATCAATGGGTCAATCAAGGCTGATCCTCGGCAGACTGAGAAATACTCGCTGTGGAACTTAACGGTCTGCTCGTAAATACTGCATGTTTCTGGGAAACCGACACGTCACCTGCAAGCATTTATGAAATCTATTACATCTCGTGCTCCTAATTCACATAGAGAGGCAACATGACTCTAACTCTCTTAATAATATCAGATTTTATCAATGCTTTATTAACAGCCAAACGGCTGAAAGCGGGGCGCTAGGCTTGATACATATATTTGAGAACTTATCGATAAGAAGATAGGTACATGTAGTGATACATTCCCTTCGACCCACAATTTGTAGGTACATGTTGTAACCTGTCGTCCTCGTGAACGAATTAACCCGTGTTCCAGAGCAGGTACTTCAAGGCGATATGTGTAACTACATGTATGCTCTTAGTTAATCAAATCTCCCACGCGGGGTTGAATAATTGGCATTTATCTTTTGACTGCAGACATATACCCTTCCAATGGTTTCGTCTCAATTAGTATGACTGATATGCTTTGGGATCAGCTTTGCATGTGATGAATCACAAAGCTTTGTAGAACGAGGATCAAGATCTACTGGCCTAAATCTCTTTCAACTTAACAACTTGTAGGCTGTTTCCGGCTGGGAATCTCTGAATTAATCGCGAGGGCTGGCGTGGGCTTGGTCAAATGATGGTTACCAATCTGCATGTCTGGATACGAGTTGTTTCTTGGCAAAAAAAGAGGATCCGGGTCAAAGACCGTACGTACCAGGGCATTATTGGGCTTTTGAACAAAGTGTCGTAGATTATGTATCACTACGTATATCCTGGATTTGGACGTCATTTTGAGCCTCAGACATGAAGAGCTGCAGGGCAGCAACGTCCTGTCGTACAAGATATTATCAACAGCCTTCTAGTCCTGACATTTAGGGTCTGTTCGGTTGACACAAAAATCCATAGATTGGTTGGGCTCGATAAAATAATCACCTCTAGAGGTGTTTTTTTTATTCAATCCATGGATTGCAACCAATTAAACGTCAACCGAACGGAGTCTTAGCAAGTAAGCGTCATAGTCAACTGAAATTTCTGGTGGAATGTCCATGCGATACATGAAGAAACCTTATCAAGAGTATAGTTTTAATACCCTGCAGTATTGGTCATGAAAATGAACGCTATACGATTATATGCATGACCAAACTCTGAGTCTTTAAGACTTAAGCTTTATTCAAGGAAACTTTATAAGCTTTCGAGAATGAAATTCCTTCTTGCCCAAAAGAAATTCTATTATGTGTCGATCCCTAGCACATCAGATCCTGCCGGGGATGAATTGAGTCAACTAATCAGCCTGACTTAAGTAGGAAGGTAAATATTTTGAATTATACGAGGTCGACAGTAGCTACAGTATTCTACTCCATGAGGCAGGCGTAATATCTAATGGGAAAAGTCTGTTGAGATAGAAATCTCCTCTCGGGCGGCCCGGCCCAGCTGTGGCTTTACGGAATGCTCTGATTCTCTCCTATAAACCCTGAGCTTGTCAATTGCCATAAATTCAATTACGTGTATATAAAAGAGTGCCAAAAATCGCAAGTTTCAATATGTTTATCTCACTTGAGGGTCGTCTTCCAGCCTAAATAAAATATTAATTGATTACATCGCGGTTATCGTCGGTACCGGCCGTAGGCGCATTACTATTCATTAATACCCCTGATCTAATGGCCTAGGTCACATCCGCGTTTTTCTAGTACTGGGTTGCACACAGTGCTAGTCATGGATCCGGATCTTGCAGGTAAATACGTGAACAAAGAGATATATGAACAAATTTAAGCATACTAGGTGGACGTAGCTACTGACAAACAATACGAACAAACACAGCTCGGGTATAAACAATTGTCTCTGTACGTAAGTAACAGAGGTACATTAGTAAACCTTCATAAAGGAAGGAAGACCTGAAGCTAGATATAGAGTACCAGATCAACCAAGCGCCCGACCAATAAACGAACAGACACTCTCTATTGGAAGGGATAGTCAGCTATATGAAGGGAATCTAAAGAACGCAAACTAAACCTCACATAAACGTTGGAGACGAAAAGACTTGGCAACAATCACAACTAAATTTTCATGCCAATGACCTATTTCGCAGTTTGACACGGTACCAGGTCGCGGTGGTATCACCAGGTCTCAATGTTAACCTGTACAACCGGATCTTCTGAGTTTAGCATGATGAGTAAATGTCTACTGAAAAGTTGACTTTAACATCCTCTACAGGCAACTCGAGAGTTTGATTACAGTGATCTTTATTTTCGAGATGAGATTCGAATTATTAGATCTACTATGTCGTCACACCAGCCTCTACTGGACAGCATCGCCTTACTATTTTCAGTCAGCTTTTTCTTAGTACTAGCACCTACATACATAGAAGAGATAACACCCCCACTACGACTCATATCGGCAAGAGGCAGGAGTACCATGACTCAACCGAACTGGTGGAACCGGAGATATTCCTTTGGTGATGTACCGCCACGCTGAGGTAAGGGAAGCATGGGTGGACCACAAGAGATTTCACTGGCGCCCATAAAAGAGGGATATCCATCGAATAAAGGGAAATTCCCGCTTTACAGTACTCATCACCTCTTGCAACGTCCCACCAGCGAATGTTCCTTGCAGTAATGGAACATAACACCATTATTGCACTTGTCGCAACGGCGTCGTCGGCAGCGATAATTGCAGTCTCGAGCACTATTAACGCAGCTAAACACTGGAAGCAGGTCTCGTCCAAGCGAAAGGGAAATTACGAGGAAATTGGGACAGGTGTCTACCAAGATGAGGACGGTACAGCTACAGAGGAATCGGAGGCCAGGTACTCGACCTATGTGCAGAAGGTTTTCATTCTGTTTGGGGCAGCGCTTGGTGTTGGGTTTTCTTTACCAATTGCAATAAGATCCATGAAAGATATGGAAAGCCTTGTATATGTCTCAAATTGGCTGGTATTTGTCTCATGGGTACGCATTGCATTCCTTGGATTGTTTGGCCGTCTCTAACATGACACAGTGTTTTATTACTATTCGTGCCATATGCGTCATACAATTACGAGGAAAGCTTCAAACGTTCTACGCTTCCTGTCAATTGGCAGGAGTGGGCGCCATTCTTCTCGTCGCACAATTAGTCTTAGCTTCAATGATACGTAGTGACTTGTCTCCTTGGCTTGAACTTGGTCTTGTTGCTGGCCGCATGTTTGCCGCCTTCGTTTTAATTTTCTCCTCTCTTTCGGTCCCAAGGCGGCCTGACGTTTACTTCAATGGCCAAAAGGTGGATGAAATGCGTTCAGTGAGCTTGTTTTCCCGCTATACCTACACATGGGCTGGAACGCTTCTCAAGTTAGCTTTCCAAAGAGGTCGCCTAGAGGAACATGATTTGCCAGTGTTAGATTCAAAGAGAAGGGCGCGCGAGTTGCAAAATTCGTTCAGCCAGGTAGCGGAATCTCCTAGGCTTTATTATCAAATTTACTTGGCCCACTGGAGAACAGTCAATATCCAGTGGACACTGTCTCTGATGAATGCATTCACAACCTTTGCGCCCCAATACATCATGTTCCAGCTTCTAAAGAGCTTGGAAAAAAGAAGCGCTGGAGTTGATGCCCGTTACGAAGCCTGGTTTTGGCTTATTTGTCTGGGCTTGACAAAATTAGTTGACTCAGTAATCGCATCGTATTTATACTGGTATGTGCTTATTTAGAGTCCCGCAATTAAGCTGCAATAGCCACTTTAGTAAATTATAGACTGATATATCACGCTAGGCTATCCTATATGGGATTAATGATTCCAGTCCGAGGACAGCTTTCTGCCATAGTGTTCTCTAAAACTATGCGAAAGAAGGATGTTAAGGGAATGCAAACGGGAAAGGATTCAGAAACCACAGATGATGCAAATGATAACAATAAAACCACCCCCGGGGCCAATGACGATGAGGACGAACTGAAGAATATGAAGCAAGGGACAATCAACTTGCTTGCCATTGATTCTTCGCGAGTTGCCGAGTTCACTTCCTTCAGCTGCGCCTTCTTCCAGGCGATCTTTGAGATGTTCTTTGGGTTTTCGTTGCTCATTAATATTATCGGGTTTGCTCACTTCCCATATATATCTTACGCATTCATTCGAAACCTAAACTAACGCAAATCCAATCCAGTTGGAAGAGTATGGTTGCGGGCCTTGGTGTAGTTGCTGCGACGACTCCTTTTAATGTAATCGTTTCGAAGAAGTATTCTGCGGCTCAGGACAATCTGATGAAAGTGAGAGACCGTAAAATGGCCGTCATCTCGGAAGCTCTTCAGGGTGAGTGAATATCATCCAAGTTGACACTCCAAGCAGCTCCAGAAACCCGGAAACTAATAAACGAACATCACAGGTATTCGGCAAATCAAATTCTCTGCTTTGGAAACGCAATGGGAAAATCGGATTCGGGCTGTACGGAACGATGAGCTCAAGACTCTACGTACTGTCTTCACAACTGAAGCGTATGCATACCTCTATTGAATATCCGAGAACCAATTAATGATTGCTAACTTTTTATAGTTGTTTGATTCTTTTCTGGATGTAAGAATTATTGTACCCTTATAAGCTCCAAGAATTTTACTTACTGTCGCAGAATGAATCCCGTATTGCTCTCAGTAGTTGCTCTGAGTTCCTATGCTATAATTTACGGGACTTTATTGCCCTCCGTAGCGTTCACTGCATTGGCAGTCTTCAGCGAGTTGGAATTTGTCCTATCGGTTATTCCGGAGCTCACAACGTAAGCCATTCTTCGGGACTTAAAGGGTGCCTCCTTACTGACCCAAAATAGAGATGCTTTGGATGCATATGTCAGCACAAAGCGCATAAAAGATTATCTTGATTCTGCTGAAAAAAGCTTCAAGCCTACACCGTCCAAAAGAATTGCGATCAATAGTGCCACAATTGCTTGGGCCGCCGATTCGGAAGATCAAAAAGACAGATTCTGTCTTCGTGACGTAAACCTTGAATTTCCTATTAATGGGCTTAGCGTCATATCAGGAAGAACGGGTTCTGGGAAGAGCTTGCTGCTTGCAGCTCTATTAGGCGAGGCAGATGTTTTGAGTGGAGACATTGAGATGCCATTACCCCCGTTGCCTGAAGAGAGATTCGACGCGCAGGCCAACCCAGGAAATTGGATTTTACCGTCAGCTGTAGCATATGTTGCTCAGATCCCATGGATTGAGAATGCCACCATCAGGGAGAACATATTATTTGGTTTACCATATATTGAGTCGAGGTACAAACAAACTTTGGCAGCATGCGCTTTACAGAAGGACCTTGAGATGCTCTCGGACGGAGAATTCACTGAGATTGGTGCAAGCGGAATAAACCTCAGTGGTGGTCAGCGCTGGAGGGTATCATTTGCACGTGCTGTTTATTCTCGTGCAGGGATATTGATCCTTGATGATATATTCTCAGCTGTCGATGCCCATGTAGGAAAGCATCTTTTTAAGAACGCTCTCGTTGGAAACCTCATGCAAGACCGAACCCGTATTCTTGTTACCCACCATCTTAAACTCTGCATCTCTAAAGCAAAATATGCGGTTTCGCTGGAGAACGGGGTTATTCAACATTCAGGTTCGGTGGAGAAGCTAATCCAAGATGGAATCCTGAAAGAGATTATTGCAGCAGATGAGAACGAGGATCAAGCAGTTGAAGAAATTATCGACGAAGTAAATGAAGATTCCGATCTGAATAAGGGTGATAGCAAGCCTCAGACTACACCTCTTAAATTTGTGCTGGACGAGGAGCGTGAAAGAGGTGCAGTAAAGAAAGAAATCTATCTTGATTACATTCTTTCTAGTGGCGGGTGAGTGAAAACGCAAGTCCTTCGACGGTATGGAATAAATCTAACAATTAGAAGAATCATCTTTTGGATATTTATAGTTTCCTCTTTCCTTGGACAGGAAATAATGCTATTATCAAGAGTAGGCGTTTCCAGACTCGATAATATAAGAAAATACTAACAAGTTACAGAGCTACTGGTTGAAAATGTGGACCGCAGAGGGCGTACAAGCATCTGTAGCTCTTAGCCCACAATCTCTTATTCATACTTCCCTCCAGCGACTTATGACTGTTGTTCAGGAGGAACGTTCTCTGTTTTACTGGATCGGCGTTTATTCTGGCCTAAGTGTAGCTGTCTGCATTATCGGAGTTGCGAAATATGGTAAGTTGTTTAACATTGAGCCTCTTTCTGAAGTGCTAATAAGGTATTGCAGTATTGGTCTATATTGCTTCATTGAAGGCTTCTAAGGACCTGTTTGAACGAATGACATTTACCATCTTGCGAACTCCACTGCGCTGGCTAGATACAGTCCCTACTGGCCGGATTCTCAACAGGTTCAACAAGGATTTTGAGCTTTTCGACTCAAAGCTTTCGGGAAATATAGCCATGTTGGTTTATCATTCACTGGCACTCATGGGAGTTATCGCTGCTGGGTAAGTAAAGTGCTGTCATTTTAGTGAATTACAACTGATAAATATTTTTAAGTGTAATACTTTCTCGATGGATGCTTTTGATGGCTTTAGTCTTGCTCTTCATCAATATCATCTATGCGATGTACTATCTCGCGGGTGCTCGTGAAGTAAAAAGATTAGAGAGCAACAGTCGTAGCCCAATGTTTGAGCTTTTTGGGTCAACATTAAGCGGAGTTGGAACCATCAGGTATCCCATCCTTCGAGCTACCATATTATCGCATACTCTAACCAGAATGAATAAATAGGGCGTTTGGCAAATCCGAGGAATATATCGATAAAATGTTCAAGAAAATTGATATCTTTAGCCAGCGTACTTTTTATGTTTGGTTGGTTGACATAACTCTGCTAATATCCTGATTCCAATACTAATGGTGACTTTGTAGGTTGTTCAATAGGTGGATGGGTCTCCGTATGTCTGCAATTGGAGGATTCTTTTCTGTTATTGTTGGGGCAGTAATTGTCGCCGTTCCGAATATCGACGCAAGTTTGGCTGGGTTTGCCTTGTCTTTTGCTCTCACCTACACTATTAATGTCATATGGACAATCCGGCGGTATGCAAATACCGAGCTTGATATGAACAGTAAGACTATGACGATTGAAGATACGGCATGTTTTTTCTAACTTTGGGACCAGGTACCGAACGTATTATTGAATACACCAGACTTGCTACCGAGGACATCGATGGTATAGCTCCGCCTGCAGCATGGCCACAGGAGGGCAGAGTCGAATTCCAAGACCTAGTAGTAAGCTATGCTCCAGAATTACCTCCAGTGCTGAAGGGTATCTCGTTCGATATCAAGCCGAGGGAGCGAGTTGGTGTTGTTGGACGCACTGGTGCCGGCAAGTCCTCCATGACGTTGGCTCTCTTTCAATTTATACGTGCTTCCTCGGGGTCGATCTATATCGACGGTCTTGATATTTCCAAGATTTCACTGCAAGATCTTAGAAGCCGGTTGGCTATCATTCCTCAAGGCAAGTAATAAAGCTAAAACCTAATTTGCGAGCATAATTATTAACGATTTTTAGACCCTGTTCTCTTTTCTGGCACTATTCGTTCTAATCTCGACACATTTGAGGAGCATAGCGACCAAGAGGTGAGCAGCTCCCTATGTCTCTTAAGGACCTTCTTTCTGACATATCTTTTCTAGCTTCGGGATGCTTTAGAACGTGTTCATCTAGTCAGGTCATCTAGTAGCGGTACAGCAACGCCTAACTCACTAGGCTCGACAAATGCAAATATCTTCGAAAGCCTTGATTCAAAGATCTCTGAAGGTGGTCTCAACTTGAGCCAAGGGCAAAGACAGCTCCTGTGAGTAGGATCCAGTCGGGTCAACCAGATTTCCTGCTGATAGTATTCCAGATGTCTCGCTCGTGCAATTGTATCTCGGCCAAAGATTTTGGTTCTTGATGAGGTATGAACCCTAAAAGTCCTATCTATATGAATTTTTATTCACAAATTTATTATAAGGCCACCAGCGCAGTCGATATGCAAACCGATGCCTTGATCCAAAGAAGTATACGTGAAGAGTTCACAGACTGCACAACGTTAGTGATTGCGCATAGACTGCAAACTGTAGCGGATTATGATAGAATACTTGTCCTCGGTGATGGAAAAGTCATTGTACGCCATATTCCTCTTTCAAAGCCCATGACTTGCTCACTAACGATATCTAGGAGTACGACTCGCCGTGGAATCTACTCCAGAGCAACGGCATGTTCCACGACATGGCCCAACAGAGCGGTGATTTCGACACATTGGTCAGTATTTCCAAGAAGGCTGCAGGGCGGGAATAGATGAATTGAGAATTTCTTTTCTTTTCTTTTGGTTATGGTTGTGAATGATAGGAGTTTCACTGCGTAAGAGTTTATCCATGTTTTCCTTCTTTTTTTTATATGCAAAATTCATAAAACCGCACGCAATAAAATCATGTCTGTTTAAAATCAGTTATTTGCCGTTGCTTTTTTTTTTTTTGTTTAATTCATTGTTATTTGCCGTTGCTATTAGTATTATAGATCTTGTTTGTGAAACTTTTTATGTTTTGCGCTGAGCATGATGATAGTGGTGATGGGTTAAAATATAACGATAATGATGTTGGTAATTGAGGTGTATGGTGAGGGGATGAGGGTGTGGTCTGTTTCCACGACCCAATTTATAATTTTGCAAATGCCAAGACCAGAGCCAGTCTAGCGTCGGCATTCCCATTGTGTCCATTCTATCCCTCTCCCGAGCCTCACTCTCTCCCCCGCGTGCACCAAGACGCATTAGGAGCTAAATACTGCTACTAAGACCGGGGCTCGAGAAACTGTGTCTAAATTGGCGGTGCTAAGAGCCGAGTGATTTACTATGATTGCAAACGCCTAACGATAGGATAAATCGACTATATTCTACGCTTGTTCTATGTATTAATTCCATGTCTCTGATGCTTTCCAATACTCGTTCACCAACTCTTATATGGTTTATATACGCGGCTGAGGAGGCAGGCCACCGAGTGATAATCCATGATCGACAGAAGCTGGCTGGTTTTCTTGACGTTTCACGCTCTGTGCTGCGTAGTTATCGGCTGGGTAAAGCTGGGCTACGCAGTGGGAGTGTAACTCCCTTGCGGTGGAAGATAATGAAGTAACCTCTCGTACGTATTAGCAATCTATACACATAGCTATACTATATCCGCCGTCCGGTCGCCCCACAGAATTCAGTAACGGGGCATGATAGCGGGGATTTATGCAGCTACATCATAGCACCACCAGTGTGATGTCTTTCGTAGTGTACCCTCGTTTAATTATTGAACGAATTTGAAGTCGCCATCGTTTCTATCAATCAAACTGTGGGCGCTCTATTGACGGGCCAGTGGTATCAACGTTTTCCAAATAGTAAGAAGATAGCAGGTGTGTTCTTTTTTTGGCTTTTTGGGTAGGTCGGTGCTGGCAGTATAGTCTCCATTAACGTAAAGGCTGTGCCCCGAACCGAAAATGGATATTCGGGCTGGACATCGAGAGCAGTAGGCACTGATACATTATATATGGTGAAAGTGAACTTTAGTGTTGAGTATTAGTCACTAAGTAAAATTTCAGTAGAGTTCTAGGGGTGATTCACATAAAGTAATCAACCAATAGGGGTGATTCATGTGTGTTCATCAATTAATGAATTAAACAAAAAAACAAAAATCATGTGTGTTCATAACTCATCACTCGGCCACGTGAGACCGGTGTTGTTGGATAATGGCTTCAATGACCGGATATCTCATGTTGACATTCTGTCCTGTTCGGATAGTGACTAGATAGTTATATGTAGCTATATGTAGCTAGCTAGACCTCAGGGTTTATCATCTCATTGATAAAATTTCTGCCATCTCTCGATATTTTCTCTCTAAAAAGGTTACCAATTCATCCCTTTCAACAGGAGCTAGAGCGATGTCATACACAACGGATCTAAGGGGAATACATGAATGACATACTGATCATATGCCATGACCAAGTTGAGCTACTGATACCTTCAATTACAGAGAACCAATTCACTTATATTCGCAGGCTAAAAAGGTCTACAAAAAAAGCCAGCCAACGGTTACGCATCAAGACCACCAATGGGATTACTACGACCTCCATCTTTACCATATTCCACCCATATATACAACGCCGTGCACCCGGAGAACCTAGCGCACCCTCAACAACAGCTGCCCGCCAATTTGCCTCTCAATAGCCTCCCTTGCCTCCAACAAGCCTTTATCACTCAACAGGAACATGCACTCGCCAGGCTGCAGCGGCTTGACATACTCATGTTCCTTCCCACTCGTGAGCATCTTGAGGCCATTCACACCCACCCACACCCTCTTTGTCGGCTTTGATACCAGGCGCATCTTCGAGAGCACGGGTTCGTTGTCGTAGTACTTCATCCCCAGCCACAGTCGTCGGGTCGCGACATTCTCCTGCGTTATCGGTGTGTACTCGGTGTCGGGCCCGGCGTAGTTGCCTCTCGTCACGGAGGATATGAAGCCTTGGTCTTGGAGCCCAAGTGCAATTGAGAGGTTGAGCTTGGTCATGGGAATGGATGTCGTGGCGATGTGCGCTTTAGAGATGTTTTGCAGGTGCGAGCAGACCTGGGCGAGATTTTTGAGAACCATGGTGGGGGTAGTGGGGGGGTTGAACGAGTCTGTGAGAATTAGTGGGAGGGCTTCAGATGGAAGCAGCATGATTGCTCGGGCCGCGCGGGGGGCAAGGTGTCTACCTGGAGAATTGGCTGGGACGGTGACTGACAGCCTCCTTCAATTGAGACGTCGCTGAGATTCTTCTTTGGTGTCTTCACACACTTGCCTGTGATTTCGATGTTTCGACAATCCCGAGAGTCTTGGCGCGTGTCTCAAAGAGGCTCTCTGGTGCGGGAAAAAAAGGCTCCAGACTGTGCATGACTAAGGAGGTGATTGGGCAAGCCAACCCAGCCTTGGGCTTCTCGGCACTTCTCCATTGAGATAGACGTGTTAGGGTCAGGGTTACATTTGGGACTCCCTTCAAGGAGGACGAGAAGGACAGAGAGAAACCTCAAACAGTAACCCCCCAGCATAGGCATCCAGACCCGTTCTCTCTCTCCCTCACAATCATCACTCGGCTTCCTCTGAATCGTGACCCTTCTACAGAACGGACTTATTTAACCTATCCCTACACCATTCTGCGACCCCTACCCTAAACTGTTCGAGAGCCGCCAAATAGAAGGGGGTCAGAAATAAATCGTACGATTTGAACACCCAGCAGCTTCATCAATCACTCCACTTTTTTTTTTTTTTTTTCCATCCCCTCTGGCTGTGCAAGTCCCCCCCCCCCCCCCCCAACTGCCGCCACACACCCACTCGAACCACTCGCACCCCCCCCCCCCCCCTTCCCCCACCTCTTGCGGTTTACCACCCCTCCCCCCCTCCCCCCCCCCCAGGCCCCTTCTGCTAGTCCCCGATGATCCTCGGGCTGTCACTCATCCTCGCGTTCCTCACGTATCTTATTTACCGCCGCCTGCTACTATCTACGGACAGTAGTAGTAATACTAGTAGCATCACTGGTGGCTCGTCCAGGAACAGCTCACAATCATATCAAGTCTTTCCGATGTGGCCGTTCCTGTCGACGCTCTTACAGCAGCAGTCATCCACCACCTCTACTACTATTACCTCAACCTCCACAACTGTAGGCCCTTCCACTACAGCCAAGCGTCCCTTCCCTACATGCCAACCCACCATCTCTACCAGTGCTGCAAATAGTGCTACTACTACCACCACCACCACTACTACAACATTAAGGGCCAATGACCACCACGGCAGGTCACCGGTCATTCCCGCCCAATATGCAGCATCGCCGGAAACAACCCCCAAAGCAATCCCCACAGCGCCTGCCATCGCAATTGACGCAATCCCGCCAGTCACCCTCGAGTTAACACCCCCCAGCATCACCATCAATGTCGACGCCGAACAAGATGAGGATGACACCTACATTCCCTCGTTCCCATCCTTAAATTCCGCACAGCGAGCCTCGCCCTCCTCCTCTGCATCTCTCATGTCCACCACTACCACTCACAGCGCCAAATCAGCAGCCCCCATGGCGCCCCCCCCAATCCCCATCCGCGGCCGCAATCCAAAAGCCAACATCCGCTACGCAACGCCCACCACCACCACAACCACCACTGCAACCCCGTCCGCAGCAGCCGTCGCACGCCAGAATCCAAACGGTGCAGCCCGCTCACGTCTCACCGCGATGGGCGTCGGCGCATCTGGCGTGGCCGCAGGTAGCGGACTGAGCTTGCCGGGCAGAGGGGGACAGAGCAACAACAGCAACAGGAAGAAGGTTGTGTTAGAGCCTGGACACTCGCCGCTGGACTGGGCGCGCTTGCAGAGGAGCGGAATCGATCTGAGGGTGTGTTTCCCCCAGTGCAAATCTATAGTGGGCGGGGTCGGAATGACTGCATCTTACAAAACAAGGCTAACGGGGCGTTTCTGTGTGTATAGGGACTCCCACACTCAAACCTAATCAAGGTGCCGCCATCACTGCTGGCAAAACACGCAAAGGCCCCCGAAGACATCTGGACGGCGCTCAACGGACGCGTCTACAACATCACTGCCTACCTCCCCTTCCACCCGGGCGGCGAGAAGGACCTCCTCCGCGGCGCGGGCAAGGACAGCACTAAACTATTCAACGCTACGCACCCGTGGGTAAATGTGGAGGGTATGCTGGCGGAGTGCCTCATCGGCATATTTGTCAGCGAGGAGGAGGCTGCCGCGGGTCTTGGCGAGGAAGAGTCACCATTGGATACAGTGGATTGAGGATTATTGGGGACTTGGGGCGTGAACAAAGTGAGGAGGAGGGAAAGATTTTTTTTCTTCTCTTTTTTTTTTATTTTTTTTCTTTTCTATTTTCCTGGTTGGGCTGGTCTGATCTGGTCTGATCTGGCCTGTTGGAGTGGTCGGTTCGGCTGGTGGCTCCATGGTTGGTAGGGTCTTCTGTTGTCCTGGGTTGCGGAGTTTTCTTGTCCATATAATGTTTCCTTTCTTTTTCTTTTCCTTCCATCTTTTCCTTACTGTTTTTTATTATTATTATATACCTTTCCTATCTTTCCTAGCTTCGTGATCTTAACTTTGGCTTCTTAGGCGGGGTATGGGATACCCCTTATCTTTTTTTTACTGGAACAAGAAAAGCGGGGCTTCTTTTTATGACAATATCCTTTGATATAAATCTGTTTTTGTTTTATTTTGTTTTTCCTTTCTTTTCTTTTCTAATTCTTCCTGGGGGCTTTTATTACTTGGCGTTATGATTAACTCTACCTACTAACTAACTTAACTATGTGTAACTTCATTTTACCCCTTGCCCCTAGCCCCTTCTTAGTGACTGACTTGTCTTTTCCTTTCGGCTCTTGTTTTTGTTTGATTTTGTCTGGAAGAATATGGTGATGGTTTGGGGGGGGGGGGGGGGGGACGGCGACTATAAGTATCTACGTAATATAATGGTAGTAGTGTAGCATAGACCAAAAAGGTTTTATCAGCGTTGGCCGGTGTGTCTGTCTGGGGTTCTTGGCGTTTTCTTGCTGGATATTGGGGCATCTGCGGCGTGGTGGGTGTATTACCTGGGGAGATTCGAAGGGTGCCGAGGATGAGGGGCGTGCTTGTGCTTGTGTTGTGCTTGTATGCGTGTTGCTATATAATATTGATGTTACTATTTTATAGATTCCTTATTGCCTTGCCTCTGGTGTCAGCTCTTGTGCGGGGTGTTGTGTTATGGGTCTCTCCTCTTCTAGAAATGTTGGGGGGAATTGCTAAGCTATCGAGCTTGTGTGATTTATTGGTATGTAGTAGCTGGTGGCAAAAACTTTAATATCGATAGAGGTGTTGGTATGTAATCAGCCAACCATATATCCACTACTCACACAATGCAATAGCTCCGCTGTCTATCTATCTGTCTAGTGCTTGTGTCCGGAGCCGTGCCTGCGTTATATGCACGCCATCCAGCCAGTGTTGAGTAGAGTGCAGATATATATGTACATCCTAAATAGTCGACGTGTCTATTTCCTCCGTCCCGGCCGGTCGATATTACATAGTACCAGGCATACACGACCAAACGAGGTCATTCCACGCGCCAAACCCCACCCACCTGCATGCAAATACAACAAGAAGAAGAAAATAGGGTTTCGGAATAAGTGATATTCCAGGCGGTAGTTGTTTTCAGGGGTTGGGGTTTGGGGGGAAGATCTTCCATGACCGATATATTGGTACGCGTGCAGATATATGCAGCCTGCGGGTACGAAGTGGTAGAGTACATATTGGCGAGCGACAGCAAAACGAAAGATTGCGGCCCAGCCCTATCGAATGTAGCAGAATCGGGGCTAAGTCGGAGTAATGGCGGGCGGGCGCGGGCGGTACATCAGTGTTCTGGTGTAAAGTACTATACATGTAGTCATAGGGTGTCACTCGGTGATGTATGTGGACTAGCGCTGGGGCTGTTCGGTTGCCGAATGTTTCGGTGGAACGGAGGAGGCGCGCAGGGGTCTTCCCGGTTCGCCCGCTAGTTGTACTGTAGATACAAGTAGGTACATGTATCTTAGTAATATTGGTTGATTGATTGATGAATTCGTGTGGGTAATACATAGTATATGGATCCTGGCTAGCGATAGTCATAGTTTATCACTCGTTTGGTTCCCGCCCGACAGTGTTGTGGTTTGACCGGTTGATTGATTGATAATTCTAGAGTTGTGGTTTCTGGGCCTAGGGTGACGGCGTCATAAGCCATATCCGAGTGGTATCTGAGATGTCTGAAATTTAAGGAAAAGCTTAAGGGTCGCACTACGTTGTGGTCAGTCAAATTCTCTGGATCCTCCCGGCTCTTTTAATTCTTGCTCCGATTCGGCACATGAGCCGGCTTCTACTGCGTTGTCCCTGTTCTTCGGATGTCCATATAAGCGGCCTAGGTATGTTAGAAATTTTGTCTCGGGCTGTGGAGATCCATCTTTGCGGGTACCCTTTCCGCCGGTGAGTGGGCACTAACCTTCGATCCTCGGATGAGAAATCTAGAGTAAATAGTACTACGCTTCTTGAACGGCCTATGTTGATGTTGAGGTGAAGATGAGGAGGAAGGAGAAGAAGAAAGGGGAAAGGGGAAAAGAAAGAGAGATAAAGAATCTTCTCTATCTAAATAAATGTTACGTGTAGAGGAGCTTTGACGACATCTCCTGATGCCAGCTGTTGCGTGGCGTCTATTACACTAACTCAACTCGACTGTAGTCGTGTCATAAGCACCGACTAGGTAATTCCCCTAAAAGGGATACGTACACATTCATAGGGAGTCACTAAGTTTTTTTTTTTTTAAGCGCCGGCGTGTCTAGGTGATTGATTGGCTGACCAACGTGTCTGGAGACGACGGCGGCTGCATATGGGGGTGAACATGTTACAGCGAGACATGGGTAATCACTCGAATATCTTGGCGCCAAGAATAGTACTACCTACACGTATGTATAATGTAACTGATCTCCTCCGCTCCATACAACCATACCTGTACTACTACGAACAAGAACCTTCGATGTCAAGATTTCAACACTGGTGATATCTACTACATGTAGTTATATAATGACCCTTATAGCTCGAAGGCCAATCTCGAACCAACTGCCACGCAATCACTATTAGAAAAACGCACCAGCGAGAGTGCGATCCCACAGGATTCGAGGCCGCCGTGATCTAGCTGGGTTCGGGTGGGATAAGCCTATATTCCATTTTGATTTCTATCTTCGCAGCTAAACGTACCATGGGATAAGGGTTAGAGAGAGGTACGCGTCGAAATTTTTCTATTAGGAGGCCATTCTAATTTTTGATTTCTCTAGAGGAAAAAGGGAGTGTCTAGTTTGCATTATGTGTTATTGTAGAGTACGTATACCGAAAACTAGATCTTACCCAAATATTTTTGCCATACTTTATCGGCCTGAACTTTATAAGATAGTAGTGACCTGCCGATGCTTCTCTGCTCGGTTCCGGAGGTTGGTTGCCCGGAAGTAACAAAATTGGGGATTCTTTACACTAAATTCATAATTGAGGGTTCCTCATTTTATGA